CAAAGACAAGCATTCACACAAATGGAGACTAAGTTGAATTGCACGCGTCGCCCAGATCGGCCACTAAGCTATGATACACTGAGATCCCCACTGGCCCGATGACTCAGTGCCCTACTTCGCACTACGTTGGATAACTGCCCATTGTCGAAAGACAGGGCGTGATTCAAGGCTACATAAAAACTTTACGCGAGCCAGGAACATGGCTATTGAACTCTACAAACAGGCTGAAAGGCATGACACAAATTATACTGGATGATTCTTGATTCTATTGATTCTTTGGAGCAGGTCTTGGCTTCCTCGAGGACTCCCCCGAATACTAGTTTCTGACACCACGAAGAGGTGCCTGCAATCGCCAGAGGATCAGTACGAGGACCGCGGCGCCACGGGTCGCCTCATGAGCGCAAATTTGATAACGCAGGGCTCAAGGCTGCATGGAAGCTCAAAATTATACAATCACAGGGCTCAGGGCTGCGAGGGAGAACTTGGTGTCGCAGCGGTCTCCTGCGGAGGTTCTTGGTAACGCAGGCGTCCCTGCGGAGCACAGGTTTACAACGCAGGGCTCATTGCTGCGAGGGAGCACATTTTTACAATCACAGGGCTCATGGGCTGTGAGGGAGCGCGTTTTTACAATCACAGGGCTCATGGGCTGTGAGGGAGAACTTTTTGACGCAGCACTCTCCTGCGGAGAACTTGGTGACGCAGCGGTCTCCTGCGGGTCTCCCTTGGTTTCGCAGTGTCCCCCTGCGGAGGCTCTTGATGTCGCGGAGGTCCCCGCGGAGCACATTTATACAACACAGGGCTCATTGGCTGTGAGGGAGCGCTCTCTTACAATCGCAGGGCTCATTGCTGCGAGGGAGAACTTGTTGACGCAGCACTCTCCTGCGGGTTGCCCTTGGTAACGCAGCGTCCCCCTGCGAGGCAAACTTGATTACGCGGGGCCTTTCCCGCGAAGAGTTTTTGGTAACGCAGATCTTATCCTGCGAAGAACACCCGAGTGCTCGGGAGTATGAGGAAGAAAGTCCTGCTTTTCTTTTCGACGGGAAAAGAGCGTCTTTTATGCTAGTCAAGTAGGGGTTTCGGCAGCGACCACTTGCGTACATTTTGCCGGACTCAGAGATCTTCATTCGAAATTCGCACCGAGCGACCGCCTTTTTGCTGGGTGTTGAGGCGGTTGATTCAACGTTGAAATAAGAAATTTCAAGAGTTCGGGGTGGAGAGCGGGTGGAGTGGATGGATCCACCTGGACCCTTGGCTCTCCTGGGTCTAGGCCTGACAAATAAAATGCCTCAACGTTGTTGACAATGGTGAAACAACTTCAACTTGGCCGGTAAGTTCGAAAGAATGGGCTGGCCCTGGCAAATCGACTGCCCGTAGCCTCGAACTTGTGTTTGTAAACTTTGCCATCCTAGCTGCCTCGATGCGTGCTCCCAATTTTGGACGTGCAACTACCCTTCCTCACTTATTTATCTGATATAGGCACTGAATGAACGGACCTTCAATTAAACCATCAGCTCGATTGACCCCTGCTAGAATGGTCAGAGCTTGGCCAGCCCGCTGTGCACGCAGATGAATCTTTTCACAGCAGGATACGCTGAAAGTAGCACTTAAGCTGCACCTTTAGCTGGGCGCAGACTTACAGTCCAACTGCGAAGCCAAGTTTCTGTGAACCGTGGGTTGGAACATTCAATCCGTGCGGACAGCTTGTTAGTCAACGTTCATCTCGTTGAAAACCTGTTGAGGTGTTGCTGATTGCTTATTGCGCCCCGCTTCTTTGACTCTTATCTAAAATGTGAGACCATATATGGCTGGTGTAGGCTCAGGGCGACGGCGTCTTCCACTGCGGGCATTTGACCGTTAATTCCTCGCTAATTTAAGAGGCACTTCTATCCTACTTCTCAAAGGAGGCCTGTCTTGTCGGCAGCACCCCGCTTGATCCCAATATACGACCATGGGGGCCATTCGAAAAACTTCACGCACTCGGCAGATGCCAGACTTCCGACGTCGACTGCAGAGCGCGCTGTCCTTGTCATGCTCGGAGTCCGAATGCAGCCGGAACACATCTAGGTCTCTGTCCGGCGACACCGTCGAGGAAGAGTCATCGACCCACTCGAATGATAATGACCAAGCCGTCCTACAGCAGGTCGATCATCAGCAGGGCGATGCTCCGAGTAATCATGACCACAGGGTGCTACCAACCCCTCAACACAACAGAATCGGGTCTCAGCCCGGGGACAGTAATATTATGACTCTCAAATGCCTCGCAGAGTTAGTACTGATGATCCTCTTATCATGAATGCAAGACCTTTGCTAACAGAAGGGACTCTTCAAGGCTAGATGTGCGGGTGGAGTTAGTTTTCCGTCTCCTCTAAACAAAGAACAAAGAGCTAATAAGACCCCAGATCTCTAGATCGTAAATTGACGGACCAAAACAAGTGCATCGAAGATTTCCGCAGGGATCTAGCAGACCTTCTCCGCCGGCTGGAGGTTATCGAAACGGAAGCAGAGGAGAGAACCAAAAGTGACCTGACTCATACGCCAGATGAGCCGGAGCAGAAGACGGTGCGGACCCGGCGGTCGCAGCGACGAGGACAATTTGATGGGGTTTTATGGTTGCCTTGGTGACGTTCGATGTGCAGGAATCCGCCGAAGATGCGCCAAATAGGTTCTCTTGCGGTGGTACACTCTTAATTTTCTCACAATTGTCAAGTATAGAATGTTCGGACCTGCAATTTTCTTGTACTTTCTATAGGTGGCACACAGTAGAACCTGTCTGCAGATATAGTAAAGACCTAGGCCAGAAGTCTGGCTACACCGCCGAATTAGGCAATTCTGCCATATCATTACCACCACATTCAAATATATATATCTTAAGCAATATATTAGATATTATCACCAAATTTTGATATATTTTAAATTAATCAATATTTAATATATTTATAAATTTTCATTGTCTAGAAACGCGTATAAAAGCCTAGGGCTCGCTGGCAAGCAAGTACACGCGCATGCGTCGATCTAATTAAGCTATCAATTTTATTTTGATCTAGGGCATCCCACGCCTCAATTATCGCCTTTTTGAATAGCTCCCAATCAGCATCAGAGGTGCCACAATTCAAAAGATTAGGATATAGCTCATATAATTTGCGTTTGAGCATACGCCACACGGGTTCAATAGGGCTTAGATCGGGCGAATGTGCAGGCCAATCTAACACCTCAATACCGTGACGTTCAAACCACTCTTGCGCCCTATACGAACGATGGATTTTGGCGTTATCTTGCTGAAAGATAATTCCTGGTTCGTAGTGTTGAATAAAACCTTTTTCTAAGACATCAATGTATGATTGGGTTGTATAGCCCCCATTTTGATTCTCTGAAAAGTCACGCTCCATGATCACAAGATTTGTACGCCCCCCAAGCCAGATACCAGCCCAAACCATTTGACTAATATCCTTTACATGAGGCTTAACAAGCACAAGTCCCCGCCGATATGCTTCTCCTTCAAGACGTGTAACATATTGGCCGTTTAAATTCGGAATACGTTGGACGCTGCATTCGTCAGAAAAGATGAAGTCTTCGAGGCGGGAATTAAGGGCCTCACGGCGCCAAGTTCGACAAAATTTCTTTCGCTTTCGAGCAACTACCCCTGAAATAGGTATACAACGGCGCGCCCTAAATCTCCGAAGACTTTTATGGCGAAGGAATCGCTTAATTGTTGATCGAGATGGATGACCGGGTATCGTAGCACTAAGCTCACTGAGGCTTTTCCAGGGCTCTCGACGCGCTAAAAGAACAGTATATTTAAATGTTGAGAGGTCAAATGTCCTAGGGGTACCTGAGCGAGGCCTTGATTTTGTGTTGTGTTGTTGTTGAAAGCGTTCAATTGTTTTGTATATCGTAGACCGCGCAACGCCTATATCGGAAGCGATTTTAGTAGGCGATACACCACATTCACGTGCAAATATAATAGCGGCGCGGGCCTCAGATGAAAGCTCTGCCCCAGGCCTTCGATTAGCACTTATTTCGGTACCGAATTGACGCATATTGGTGGTGTATTAGGTGTTTGAAAAGGAGAGGTTGGAGGGTGGGCGCGAAAAACGCGCTAAATAATTAGCGTGTGTAGCCAGACTTCTGGACCGCCTTTGTATTTATAGGCCGCCGTGTCGCTCGCGCAGCTGTGATCGAGGGTCCGACCGAGTTGGCCCTCATATCGTGGCCTGTTGAACCGTTTCACGATTGATTATATGCTAGTTCGATTGGAACCGCAGTTTTCATCTCGATGAAAAACTATTCTGAAGTCTTATTCCAGGATTTCCAACGTCGCTTCAACGTTCGTGACGCAGCTACCAAATCAAAACACCAACAACGCATCGTGTCAACTTTCATAAACATGAGTTTTCGCCAGTCAAAATAAATTCTGCGGCATCATTTAACTTGTTCTCAACGATGATAATTGCTCATTTCGGTGATGAATATTTGACACCCAACTTCGAATGGATAAATTGGTATGCAGACTCATCGACCAGCCTACTTTTGATATCATGTTGTTGGGATGAGATGTCCTGGTCCTGATCCGGGTCCAGAAGATCTAAGTCCATAGACTTGGGTACAATTTCTGAATTGTCCGTCTCGCAGGAAACTAGTTGGCGTGTTGGAGAATTGCTCCTTCCGAGAGCAAGCATCTCTTCCACCCCTTGGTTTGTATTCACACCCCCATTTTCTCAAGTGTCGCTGGATTCAACCCTTGGCGAACAAGAAGCTAGTTATTGTGTCGGCCACATCGACGTCAGCATGCAATCAATCTAAAATAACAAAGGGGCATTTTGTATATCGAGGTGGATAGAGCTGGGGCCATAGATCAATACATGAGCTCAACTAGCGTTCGAAAAGGCGTATTAATCTTCGACAGCGTTAGATAAAATAAACACAGATTTCGCGACTGAGGAATCGATGTAAAATCTAACGGGGAATTTTGAGGCTGCCTGTGGCCAATTTTAAACGACCGCCTAAATGGATAGAGTGACATTGAAATTCGTGCCCCCATTATTGTCCCAGTATTCCTGGTCGAGCACATTGTAACGGATGCAGACACGAATAATGTTTCCAATTTCAAATGGTAAGCTCCCTGGATCGATCAAGAAAGCAAACCTGTCGGAAACAATTGAATTTCCCAAGTACAGGGACTGCCCATGCTCCGCGGCTACCTCCGAGACCGTTTTCCAGCCATCAAAGGTGAAACGAGCAGCCACATCTTTCTCCAATCCGAGGTTTAGCACTTTCACCGTCCCTTTGATCTGCTTTCCTGTTGGCAAAATTTCCAGGCTCTCTAACTGAACAGGCTGCCACGCTGAAGGTGAAGCAAGCGGGGAGTGTAATAGGCAAAGCCTTTTTCGTAAGTTCATCTCAGAGACTATGCCGTCCTCTCCGTTTCCTGTCGAAGTGATATCTTGTATCAGTGCCCGAGGAGCGTCTGCTGACAGGAAGAAACAGCTTTGCTCGAAAGTTTCATCGAAATGCACATTCTTCACAACCGTTGTATCTTGATCTGTCGCTTGCGTGCTTTGTCGTTTATTTCGGATCGCGGACTTGCGACATGCGGCCGAAGAATTCGATGACACTGAATCGACTAGTACCTGACCGTCTCGTTGTCTTTTATCGGGATGATCAGCAGCGGATGATTTTGGCGCTTGGGTGGAATCCCAAGGGCACGAGACCGTTTGAGTCGAGTTTCGATCATTCTGAAACAATGAGCGACCGTAATATTCCTCGTAGCAGGTTGCTGCTGCAACCCGCTGCAAGCTTCCGGGGGAGGCAACGCTTGCCATCGGTCACTTCCAATGATGAGACATTAGATGTTCACAATAGTGAGACGATATTCGCCGATAAATACCGTTGAACATAATGTGCGACTCGAGATTTAAAAAAAGCCTACCATCACTTTGATGGCATTCTCCGCGGACACTTCAATGAGGATGCAGCTTGCAACCAATACCAGTTCGATGATGCGCAGAAAAGCTAATGCAGCCACCTAGGCCTGGTAATGGGACCTCGAGAACCGCGGTTCGAATACAGGACGAACCCAGGAAAGAAATCATGTGATTACATAACCCGTAAGCATGTTGAAAGCGGTGGAGTGTCTCGGAGGTCTTACGTGCGCTGCGGCGGTGTTTGAATGCGGCGATTGACGGGAGAGCAGAGCTTGATCCGCAACTCGTTCGCTCACAAGATTAGAATCGAGCCATTGCTCAGCTATACAATAGCTACAGGTGGGAGATCCCAAACGCCGCCACCGACCCAAGTTTCACTGCACAGTAAACTTTGCCAATCTAAACCGTATTAACCTTGTTTCAGTAATTCAAGCTGGGCACGTGTTATGTCATAATTAGAATGATTTCTTCACTCGTCCAAGTACTTCTACTTTACTTAAATTAAATCCCAATCAAATATCTGACGTTTTTCGCTATTACATCTGGCATGTGGACAGCTTTCCATCTCTCCATATGATGAACCTTTACTTACATGTTCCATCGCCCGATGAAAGTGGCCCACTGATGGCAAACGAGCTCTTGATTTCGTGCATGCCATGCTACCAAGCATCTCAAGATCGCTACAAATCAGGTCTGTTTCCCTGTACAAAATTCATCCTGATTCCGAGTTAATATAAAAGTAAAAGCGAAACAGAAACAGAAAACTAAGTTGTATACAGATCATTCAAATCCCATATTACTCCCTCGGGGAGAATGCACCATCTGCCTGGAAGAACTTGGTCCGGCATCTGTCTTCCGCCAGCTACCTTGTAGCCATATTATTCATCAATCCTGCGCAGACACCTGGCTTTGTACTAGGGATGCCAGTTGTCCGATATGTCGCCAAACATTTTACTATCTGCGAAGCCCACGAGTTCTAAATGTGGATGAAGCAAGGCCTGCAGCTCGGGGACGAAGTCCCCAAACTGCAGGTCATCATCATGTGCATCCGGTGCAAACCTTAAAGGACTGGCTCGGGAGAAAGTTATCCAGAAACAGGGAGTAGAGCTACTTTACTTAGGTCACCCGCTGACCAAATGGGAATGAATAGCTATATCATTCGTTAGCGAAATTAGATATTATACACTTTTCCAAGACTGACCGTGGCAACCCTCGCCGTGTACCCTCGGCTCTATTGGAGGCGACGTAGTACATCCGTGCAACCTAGGTTATTTGGAAGAGATATGGATTAGCCCATCGCCTAGTCCCCTATCTGATGGGCAAACCGGCAAACCGGCTCCCCACACAGACAATTCTTCTTCAGCTTCTTCCAGTAATAATCAGAATAATCGACCGTGATTTCGCTGCCAGCTGACACGCCGCGAGAGACCACGAGTACACGTTCTATCCCGCGCCAGTAAAACCTTTGGAACTGACTGTTCGGACGACACGAGCGGTTGATAAAACGAGTAGACTTTGGGGTGCCTGGACAGTAGGAAATGCGCGTGATTTGGAGTGGAGACTGTTGTCCGGCCAGTAATATCCAATAAACACCTATCAGCACTTGCTAAAAGCGTATGGACTAGTATGCATTCAGGACGAATGAGATCAAGCGGAACCAATGCAGGATAAAATGATTGATTGATTGAATCGAAATAAGCATGCGATCGAGGGCAGGTTGAAATCCCCCCCCGTATGTGCGTATACTCGGTGGTTATTATACCGAGGTTGTTAGTTGAACCAATTTACCATACAAAACACAAATAAATGTGGGTTCCTGGGTAATCAATCGCTTGCTAGTTGTAAAATACCACTCGATGCGCTGACATTATTCTACGAAAAGGTAATCGCCCTAATAACGGACTCACTATCAAAGGGGATTTGCTGTGGGATGGGGGCTGTGCGGATGTCCCACGCTGCACCATAGCTTTTATTGTGGCGTGATATGTTTTCTCCGATATACGGGGTAGACACCAACACTGAATAAAGAGGAAGAATCCTGCGGTTGGGTTATTAGGTAGCCAGAGGGGCAACGTGGCTTGATGTTTGCCTAATTTTGATAGGGTGTTCATTGAGTAGCGTAACGGGCTCATCATCGGTGAGTGAAATTAAATGGCATGACCTGTTGCCGCCCCACCCGTCGCAACAACGTACCGACACATGGTGGTGAATGTTGAAACGCGTCATCGGTGCTTTTCTGCGGCATCCCCACGACTGTTTAAACGGTTCCAACAGTGAGAAAAGGTTTTTCATACACTGGATCTTCAAAAAAAAAATGCGATGCCTCCGAATGCTGTATTGAATCAATAATGAAATATGGAACCAGTTGCAATTGGAGGGTCGTCTATTTTGTGCCCTCACAATTCACGCTAATCATTGCATCGACGCAAGCAGAATGACTGGCTACGATGCTATAAATACCCTATTTCTCGCCAGCAGAGCAGTTGTTTTCAGGAATTCCTTGGCCATTCTGAGTCAAATAATATGGAGCACTTTTCGTCTATGCCGGCTACTATTTGGTATGGAATGGCCCCGTAATGTCATGTATTTGTGATTCAACTGACCTGTTGTATCACCCCCAGCTTGTCTACGCTCAATACCAAAGTCTTCGAACACAGCAAGTAAGTGTAGCTGCCCAATCATTTGGAATCAAGCTGACATGGAAGATGCTATATATCAGTCCCGCCTCCGCCACTCCTCTAGGAAGCCATCAGACGGACCTTGACTGGCCTCAAAAATGGTAAAAGCTGCGAACACAGCCAGTTATGAAGTGCCTTCATAAGGTACCTACTGATTATTGATGGTAGATCGAAGTCATGCCTTATGCAGCCGCTTTGACCTTGCCAGAATGCAACGGACAGCAAAAGCTGGCAACGTAAGTTTTATCAGCGGCAATTTGGAGAGTATTCACCCTGTGCTGACGCCTCCCTGTATAGAAAGGCAAACTTTCTATCACGAGCCACACGATGTCTTGACAGTCACCCTGGTCCGTTGTCACTGCCCATTCCCAACGCCCGGTACTGCATATTGAATCTCAGTACGAACGCTATCTGTCTGTGGCTCTCCGTTCTTCGGAAAATATCGCTGATGTCTCTTTCTCGTCATAGGGCGAATTTCAATATTGCACTCGACACGACCGAGCCGTTCTCACCGATCATCTATAAAAAGTAAGCCTGATACACGACGAGCCGGAACTCTGACTCCCAGCATGCTTGCGCCTTCGCTGTTCCAAAAGACCTGGTTGGAACGACCACTTCGCTCGAGACATTTAGCGGGCCCAATCCAGGAAGGCTCAATACCCTCCGATTAGCCATATAGTAACATTCCAAAGTGTTTTCATCTCTTCATTATTACCCTGTTCGACCAAAGTTAACTTTCACTGTGTTAGAAAGTTTCCGTGTTCCGACGGATATGCACCTCTTGTCCCATGTCCGATTCGAAGCCTCGACGACGGCATGATCCGGTCTCATGCTAGGCCGAGTGAGCTATCGCGGCATTCCAGCGACAACGAAGAGAAGCCGAACATCGACGACCACCGAGAAAGACCACGGTTTGTCCGGGGATAACATCAATCAGCAATGAATCGAGCTTTTGTCCACAGGCTGAGGACCAGCTCTATCAAGCCCTGGTTGCAGCTGAGCAAGCGACAAGCCAGGCCGCAGCACTGGATCCACCCTAGAACTCCCCAGAACTCTCGCCGCGGGAGCAGTCGTTTCAGTTCAGTTCCTAGTTTGTCCTAGACCAAATACCATGAATCTGTCTCCAGTGATTCTTTGTCCTGACACGGTTGAAGATCTGCCTGGCGCACGAACAGCAAAGACGAAACAACTATGCATTGGAAGATATGACCCACATCCATTCCCCGCGGTACGGAGTGATCCTGGGCTCTCGTGCACGTGTGATCGAGCTGACACCTGCTACCTCATCCCTGATCTGCCTATGCTAATGCCAGACTACATTGACAGCAAGCCTGTACCACCCTCAATCACCAGAAATCTTGCTGACATAGAGAGGCAGTGAAACACAGCCCTGGTTCGGCCGTTCTCACGGGTCCTATCGGGATGGTGGATTGTGGCTGGCATTGGGAATCTCGTCCAGGCCGCGAGCACGGTGAGTCGCGAACACTCATCTTGCGCCAGCTACTGACAATTGGTGCTAGATCGAATGTATCTAACGACAAATTGCTTTGGCCGTGTCCCAATGCCGGCAGCGATTCAAAGCTGCCACCATGGCCTATTTCATGAACGAAGCTGACAAGTACGTTCTCATCACTAACATAATTTGATGTCAATTAAACGTGTTGTCAAGTCGCTATAATGAAGTTGGCCTTGTTCCCCCGATGATATTGCGCAATGCAGCCGCACGCCAACCGAATGGCTCCTCGGACTCGCCGGCAGAAGCAGCCTCACAAAGCACGGCCAGCCGGACTCAATTTTCCATTGATGATTCAAGAGGTATAAGGCTAGGTTTTGATCCGAAACGGAGAAGACGTGCTTGTTGACTTCGAACGTAGCCGCTGATGTTACTCTCAGTGTGGGCGTGGCACGTGTGTTCTACGCGACCCGCCAGTGGACCAAGGTCCTCGATTACCATCAATTTCAATATCGCCGGTTGTTGACTTTGACCGACATGTGCAATCGACTCCGCAAAAGTGGTTTCACTGTTCTCATTTGAGACGAGCAAGAAGTAAAAATTAATCAGCAGAGCGAATACTCGAGAAATGACTTGGAAAAAACAAAGCGGGCTGTGATTTCGGGCGGACCGCTTGAGCGAGTTCCGACGTTCTGACTTAAGTTCAACTGAATGTACCCTGCGGAAATCGAACCCGCGCCGTTACTGAAAGCAAATGTGAAGTTCCACTAGACCATGCAGAGAGAAGGGCTGTCAGCGCCACTTTTGCTTAACTATACCCATTATCAGGTCAGAATGTCATACACGTTCTTCCGAGCAAGTACCCAGCTAGATCAGCGTTTTCAGCCCCACAAGTGTCTTTCATCTGATCATGCAGACACAAAATGATACTTGAAAAGGATCAGAGGACCCGGCTTTTTATCGCTGATACCCCGGTTGAGTGTTTCCTAACTTACCGCCAACAATGTACGCAACAGTGCGGGTCTGAGAATATATATATTGCACAGATCGGTTGAGTATACCGTAGCGGCATTACCTTATGGCTGTAGACCGTGCTAACAGATACAGCATAGCAACAAAGAGCATGCGACGAAGCTCGAGTCACATAGAAGGGCGACTGGAGTATAAACAAGGATACACTCTACCATCGACAATGTACACTTTAACATACTTTTTTGAATTGGCAACCTACGTTGGTTGCGTCACTCAACTCCTAGCTCATAGTCGAGTTTCTTTTTCAGAAAAGACTACATGTGAAGCGTATTGAATGCAATTTGCTGTACTACCAGATCGAAGCTGCTATGTAGAAAATCATCTTTTCGCACTGTTTATCAACTTTTCAATTCGTGAAGGAACGAAGATCCCCCCCCCCCCCCCGGCGGGCTGTCACCATCTCCCAAATGCATTCTAGGATCTGTACCAAATAGTGCCAAAGGAAACATCACGCTCAGCGAATTCTCGGCCCCTCTAATATCTGAAGTGTGGTCTAAACAATTTCTCCCTTTCCTTCATCTTCTCTATATTCTCATGCCGAGCAGCGACAGCAGTCTCATAGGCCAGTCGGTAGACATGCACACCCTCCGAAAACAAGGGCCGAACGTCCCTCCAGCCCGTGACCTGGCGCAGTTTCTCAGAGCTCGTCTACTGAGGGAAATCAATCAAAGCAACGGGCCACGGATTCTCCTGTAAGGTCAGCTGGTCTGGATGCACATACTCCAGCCCAGCCAGGATGTGGTATTCAGCCAGCAGAGCTTTCCCGATTTCATCGACCGTCTCATACCGGCGTGCAGAGATGTTGAAGACTTGTCCCTCAACTTCCTCTCGGCGGGGGTGACCCGCGATCGCGACATAGGCATCGCCACAGTCATCAACGTGAATGGCATGGCAGATAGAATTCGGAGGAACATGAATGGTCAGGGGCTGCTTTGATCCAGAGGTGAGACCAGCGACCTCGAAAAAGCCCCGGTAGTAGCTGGCGGTTCGGCCAAACACGTTGGTCGGACGCACCAGGATGGGCGAAAAGACATCCTTGTGGTCCAGAATCTTCTTCGAGTAGTTGGCTCGGTTTGCAAGAAGTGGGGGTGCATTGAGAGGGCTTTCTTCGGTGTGAGGTGCCAGGCCCGGCTCCCCGTCATAGTGCGGGCCGACGCCGTAGTCCTTGCACCCCGAGGAGAAGATAACAAGCGGACGAACACCATGTGCCGTGCTTGAGATGGCCAGGAATCGTAGCAGCTTGATCGTGTTATCATAATGTGGGACATAATCTACTATGTTCTCGGTGGTGGAAACAATCGCATGCAACGTAGGTGGGAGGTTCTGACCAATGATTTCATGCGAGGCGGGATCATCAATGCTGCCGATGACTGGCAGGATTTCTTCCGCAGCTAGCGAAGTTGCCGCCCGCTCGGAACGGACTAATCCGTAGCTGACCCAGCCGGCTCGTGCAAAAGCACGCGCGACGGCGTTACCGATATAGCCATTGGCGCCAGACACGAGCACATTCTTAGGTGTCATAATGAGTAATGAATGGGAGTGGTGTTAAGAAAGCTTGGTCGAGGAGTGGACAATTTTAACAAGTAGGAAGAGGGTAACTAATTTGAAGCATGGCAGCAGAAATGTATTTTTAGTAGTCTTATAGCCATCTATAGATGCCGGAAATAGCGGTCGACTAGGCGGATTATAAATTCCGGGGTGTGCGTAACTATACGCCATTACAAATTACACTAACCCAACAGTAACTGTCAGGATGGGGAATTGATGTACTGGCTAGTACTGAACATGTCCAATACAATCAGATGATTGATTGAAGGTGGTGAGATCGGTTGAGTGATCTCAGGGATCTCTATATTTGAACTATGGCGTGTTATGACACCATACTAGGATAAAATTGGGTGAACGATGAAAAAGCCGATCCCGAAGGTCCTAGTGGTATCCTATCACTTTTTCAGTTCGTCATGAGGTTCTATGAACCAAATTTCACCGGCCAGACTCAACGATTCCATCGAAACCTGAGGAGACCAACCGGCATTGAATCTCCATACAATGCTTCACAGCCCTGTCAATAAAGATATCTGGAAAGTGCTGAAACCAACCCTGGAATCTTTATTACGGTTGTTGTATTTGCTGGACTCAAATAATTGCTACCAGTTTAACAGCCATATTTGATCCTTACAAGTCGGTCGGCAATGGTGATGCTGTATCAATAATTAGCCCAAGAACCCTCGTTTTCGAGCATTAAACAGCAAGAAATAATTTGGATACTATGGTTTGAGCATGGTTTTCATATATACAGCAATTATGAAAACAAAAACATGCATGACTCTTCACATCAATAACCTTTCAAATACAGTAATTGGATTTGGTCAGATAGCACGTCACCGTTGAACTAAAAGAATTTAAATATTTTCAGTCGAGCAAAAGTAAATAGTGTTACATGTAAGCAAAATTGATGGTGAAATTATGATGATAAGAAAACAGTATTTCTGACCGTTAACCGCGGTTAAGCTAGAATAGAACGGGCAAATTTCACCATTTGACATTTTTCACCAGGAGTGTTATACAAGATATTTCTGTTGTTTTATTAAGTGATGCTTCAATGTTCATATTGTTGAGGGGAGTTGATTGTGTGTTGTGTTGAGTGTTGTCTAAGATACAAGTGAAATGTTGAGGTAGGTGAATGTATGCACGTGATCCCAGCCTTTTATTATCTCAGCGACCGGGATATTCCAACAGGTTCACCAAGGTCAAGACCCGCGGTGGGTTGCCCGTGGGTGGGTAAAGAAAATGAAAACCCAACCCAAACCCGCGCTTGGCGAGGTCTAATTGGGGGTTTGTCACGTGAATATAAGGTGCATTCCATTCGAACGATGTGTGTTGAGGTAGCAACGTGTCCTATTTTTCATCCTGTTTCCCAATTTTTTCTCCACTAATTTTTCGAAAATTCTGATTACTAGCCTGTTCGGGTTCACCGTGGGCCTGGAATAATTGGTATCTCCGTCTACCGATACATGACCTTGAGATAATAAAGTACCAAACGAGAGTGACATCATGGTTAGTTTATCTCTCTACTGGTGTAAACGATATCCCTTTCGGCGCCTTGATCATCGACTTCCCTATTGTCATCGTTATTGGATAAATCTGATGCTAATACTGTGGATAACAGGCTTTACAAACAAAGGTTTTGCAGCTGTACCCACAGGGTACCGAGCTGGAGGCTAAGCTTAAAATTCTAGAAGAACAACGGGGATGATCTGACCGAGAAAGTCTGGATGGATAGGATCTTGGTGACGAAAGTGGTAAAATCACTGTTATGGTCTGCTTTTATACCCGCATTGGAGGGAGGAAAGTTTTTCAACGTGAGATAAAAAGAATGAAATATGGTGTATAACAGAACTGACGAACTGAAGAAGTGGTAGGATACCACTAGGACCCCTCAGTATCGGACTATTCATCGTTCATCCAATTTCCTCCTAGTATGGTGTCATAACACGCCATAGTTCAAATATAGAGACCTCTGAGATCGCTCGACCGATCTTAACACCCTTAATCAATCATCTGATTCTATTCGACATTTTCAGTACTAGCCAGTATATCAATTGCTCATCCTAACAAGAACAAATAAACGTGTCGGATTAACGGATACTGATGTGAGCTACTCATGACCGTATCCAGCTGAGATGATTGATTGAAGAATTATCCAGGAGATAGCTGGTGAGGGTGACGTCTCATAGCCTCGAGAGGCTAGTATTGGGATCGGGTTGATCCGCTTTATGGTACGAAGACATATCAAGGTGTGTGGAGACGCCGAATCAGCCTGTCCTTGGGGGTATTTACCACCCCACAAACTGACATATTTTAACTTTTGTTTTAGCGCTAACTAATGCTTAAAGTTTACGGTAAATTCAAGCATCAAACAGGAAACATTCCTGGCCTCCAACTAACTGTAGACCCATCAGGAGCAATGAGTCCCTCATAGCTTTCTGCGTTGGTGTTTTGCATGGCCTCTGTCCATCCGCATGAGTGAGCTCGGTCTTGACGGGGATCTGGTCCGATTGGTACAATCATTCTTGATGGGTCGCCACATTTAACTGAACGACAACACGTAATGCCTATTCCATCCGCGTCAACTCGGGGGGGAAAGCGATAAAACCAACGACTAATTGCCCAATGACCCCGATACTATATCTTCGCAACAGTTACATTTGAGATTAAGGACCAGATATTATTAATGATTGTAAGGAATGGAGGCTTCTGGGGAAATGATTAACACTTAACGATGCATGTGGGACCTGGCGCCTTCCCACGGTTGAAAAATAAAGTAACCGTCACAGATACATCATTCCTCGTATATAGTGCTAATCCTCTGATCCTCTTTCCGCGTATTAAACTAACATTCCTTGTCCACCTTTACATTTTCAAAGTCAGCTTATCAAAGTATGACCTCTGCGATGTCCCAGCAATATATTAACATCAAAATTCAAGATGATTTACAGTATGATATTCACATCGAAAACGCGGACCTTGTCAGATACTTTTCTTTCCCCTGAGGTTTGAGTACTTTTTCTAATATATGCACAGTGGCCAATTTCACAGAGTGGATGATCAAACCGATATTTTAACATCGGACGATGTCGACGACATGGCTATCCGCAATAAAGGTGGTATGCGGACAGTCTGCTCTATGTACGGGTGTCAAGGATGCATCGATCACATTGACTATTTAAAGGATACGAGGATTTGCATTCTAGCCTGGAGAGCATATATGGAGCCCGGAGAACTGAATGAATTTAAGACGCCCAACCAATTCAAAGTACGTGGCTGAAATTGGCCAATGGAATGAAATTGGTATTATGGGAGCGATCCCTGTTACCATTAAGAAGCAATTTTGATCGTTATCGAAGCTGCTATCTTTTAATAACCGTTGTGCACACACTAAGCCCACTTTTATCATCAGCATCAGTGAAAACGAACAAGGCCCTGGAATTGTTTCATAAACTAAAAACAATACCAAAAGTATTTTCTTCACAAATCACTTAGTGTGGGTAATAAAGTAAGTATGAAATTGCTTAGTCCTCAAGCCCAAAGTTGCAACAGGAGTTGCAACCGAGTTAGGCGTATACCCCCCAGTGACGAATCTGAATGATAGTCCGCTTCTAGGACGTCACGTCCACTTCTTAGCATCATAAGTGCTATTGTCGCCTCTATATTCTTGTCGTTGATTCGGGTTCTCTCCGGAAAAGTGCTCTGCTGATCGTTGAATTCCCAACGCGCCCAGAAGGCCCTCAGGCTCTGTCCGCATAAATTTGTCTCTGGACCGAGATATGTACTGACAATATCTAAAAGTTGTGTGTATGAAGTGTCCTCATAAACAGTAATGGGCGTCATAACGGTTCCAACTTGGAGCATAATTGGTATGCTGTTGGGCATTGTAGCGTAAATATGGTCGTTGGGAAGGTGATGAGATGGTGGTGAGATTTATTAAGTTGAAGGTTAACACAGGTCAACTGTAAACGTAGATAGACAGGTGGAAATTGAAATACGAAACGAATGGCCATCTGGCTATATAGGTGTTTTTGAAAATGGAAAGAGCACTGGAAGACACCTCCTAGACGTCATTCAGACGTCAGTAGGTCTAATGGGTAGCAAAGCCTCCCTCGTTAGAAGTCAAAACCTTAATGTAATGACTCATTCTTCTAGCATAATGCAGTTAATTTGATATACCTGACGTGTTTATTTTTCTGCAGTTCGGGTCTATAACTTTCTGGGCCACGGAACTAAACACTATACAAAGCTATGGGCATGTCTGATGGAGGTTACACACGATACTAAATTTACAGCGCTATATGCACCCAGGTCACATTGGACAAATTCCCCTCTGCAACATCTCCTTGCTTTCTGTTTGAGTAAGTCTTTCATTCTCTGGAAGTGCATGAGCCGCTGCTGATATCTTGTGTAGAAGATAATGATATTATGGCTCGTAAGGTTGCCGGGATTATACGGGAGATTGGAAACAGTTGATCTGGAGCCCCTTGTACAGCTACCTGTATCTATCACACGGCATGTCATTATGGCAACGGAAATCTCAAGCAATCGTAACCTCTATTCACACCAGAGGTTTAGATAAACAGTAATTGGTATGCAGTAGAAACCAAATACCAGACCATGCACCGTGGGTAGATTACGCTCTGAATTTCGATGTCAACATTAAATAAACGCCTTCTAGTATCCCCACCCGTCATCCTGGTATGATATTCTACGAGTTTCACTTTCTTGCCGTCATTTTTCACTTGTCTCTTGCTACGGCTGCTACTTGGGCCGAGCAAGAAAATCGGCCAAAGTTTAACTATTCGTCCGGCGGTAGGATATCAGTATCCGCTAGTACTCTTGAGAGTCAACTGAATTATTCCAACGATCGATTGATTGAAGGACTATCTGTAGGTCGCCATTCGGAAGGGGCTATCTTTCAGGGGTGGTTTAGCATGTTACAGCGCTGCTTTTATGAAAATACTCAGATTATTATACAAAACATGTAGGAAATTGGGTATGCACTGAATCATACTGCTGCTGGCGGTAAAGTATCCTCCTTTTCAATCGACACTATTGTACCAGAGTGGCATGTTGCTTGATGTCAGATTCGTCTGTTCAACTTCAACGCGACAGTCTCAAACAGAAAAACGCAAGTGGCTTCAACGTGCGATATCATCAAACTCGCCCTTATCCTCCTTGTTCATGGGGCTCTTATGCTTAATATTCGCGTCCTGGTAGGGAGGACTTCGTCTTTCGGGGCTCAAGCTCTTATTCCTGTAAAAGTCCTCGTTGGCATCTTTATCAACATTGCTGGTGTTAGGGACCGCGGAATAAGGGTGGGAAATGCTTTCGCGGTCGGGGTGGGCCCGTCCAGTTTGAATAGCACCTTCGTTGGTTACTTTGTGAGCCGTGGAAAGAGCCAGATCACCGGAATCAAAGTAAGTGCGATTCTTCTGGTTGTCAGTCGGAACTCCTTTCATCAAGTTGCATCACAAATACCTTGGATTGTTCCCCAAGTAGATCTCCATGAGGCCGCTTTTCATATGTGCTAAATTTGTGTTTCTTTCCAGATTCAGAGAGTGGCTAGGAGAATGTTGTTAGTACTTCTGCTTTGATATAAGACATAGAAAAGTCTTACCACGGAACATAATTTCTTGTCTCCTGATTCCATTTTGAGATGTTATTCATGCATAATGTGAACAAGCACACGATATGAACTGCAAATTATCCAGATTGTCTGTAGACGTATTTGCCACAAGCAGATAGACAAAGGTGTCAATGACGCAATATGTCAGGATCAAGTTACAGCTTGTCCCGATCGGGATCATTCATTTCTTTGTTGCCTGACGGACGAGGCATAAAAGCTCGTGGATGGCCCCGCTATGTTGTCGGAGCAGTTGTGGGCCTAGTTAGCATGCCTGAATGAGATAGCAAGGAGTCTTAATTTGAAGTGTCCCTCTTACCATACAGTTTTTTATGGTGTCGACAAAAGAGGGTCGCAGTTTTACTAGTGCGCCCGGGGAATATTCAGCAACCCCATATAACTGGTTTCAACCATGTTTGCATGGCTCTAAACGAACTTACTAAGCCCACATCACATAGTTATATTCTGTACTTTCCATAGTATTCAAAATCAGCACTCTCAAAGTACTCAATTGGCTATGCCCCTACTAGTCCGTACTGTAACGACAACTTTCCGACAGACTGTATTAATTTTCTTCTTTCCGTGATGAATTACGTCATATGCCTAAAGGCAGAAGATGACGGATGCGTGACGAACACGACACGCTAGTTTTGTAATGCAGATCAGAAGGTATAAAGACGTTGCACATTTATTCACGCACTGTTCACTATTATCAATCAACGAATATATTCAGAAGTTGATTGATGACCTAGGAACCCCGACATGTCCAATACCGAAGAGAACCTGGATGCTATGAGAGGTTATAAGTCGTTAGTGGACTACCTGGTAACTAACGCTGAGGGTCTATGGGCAACGCTAATCACAGAATGTGCAATGCAGGGGACTAAACAATCCAAATGTCTCAGATGAGGTAAAGGGACCCGATGAAGTACAGCTTGATCAAGACATTGGCCGTGACCAGTCCTGCAAAAAGCTAGACAATGCTAGAGGTGGTCAAAACAAAGACTTGAGCAAAGTCCCTGCTGGACCTAAAGCGTCAGTCCTGAAATCAAAAGAAAGTGGCTACAGTTATATGATATGGCTAACAACGCTAATTTACTTAAGAGCTCAGAATAGTCCTGGTGTAACCAAAATGGACAAGAAGAAGGCATACGAGGAACTGATTCGGATGGGTGGTGAAACTCCCGAGGAATAATAATGATCCCATTTCACGCGAGTAATTCAATGTCAGCTAATACGGGGATACTTAAGGTATTACTGCGATCACAATGTATGCTGGGAGTAGTTTTATTGGTTGCCTTAGATTTTATGTCTTTCGGAGCTCTAATGGTGCCACACCGTGCGTCCCAGCTTACATGACGCGTCAGCAGCTGCGTCGCGTCTTTCACTTGACCGATAATCAAAATTCGCGAGAGTTTAATGTGAGTGCGTCTTCCCTCCGCCTTAGCAAGTTCTACGCTATCGCTCGCGAAAAGCGGAGCGTATGCCATAAGATACGGCTAGTGGCGATAGATGTTTCGGACAGGTGTACACTATTCCGGATAATGGTTCTGAAATCTATTCTGTACTGGGGGTGTCATGATTAGCTCACCCAGACCTCGGTTTGCCACAGACATTCTTCGGCCATTTCAATGACAAAAGAAACACTTTGATTGCAAATATATGTTAGATTTTATCTTCCATATTTTCAGAACGAAGATCCCCAATATCCACAGATTGATCAGGCAAAAAAAACCGGGTATGTAATGATAAGGAACTGGTGGATAATACCGGACAATAACAGCTCCCAAGTGAGCGCTAATTATCGATAAAGCATATAAGCTCTTCCCTTTCTCGCACGATTCAAACATACTTTAGATTTTGACGTAATACTTGGATGTACTGAATTCCAAGGATTTCATACTCAGAGCATACCAATTTCTTTTCACAATGGTAATAGTTCCAAAGTATCATACGACATCCAACTCCTGCCATACCCCCTTTAGCAATTATCCAAAGGCAATGCTGAGCTTTCTGCAGTCCCCCAATAAATCAGGATGGTACGGAAAATATGAACCTGAATGGCAAAAGCAAATCGGTGACGGGGTACGTCATAGCTCCAATCTTTTATAAATTGTTCGCGCTCACTAAGCTTCCTATTTCAGGTTGAAGAAAATGACGGTTAGAAACCCTTCCAGTTCAGCCATTCCGAATATTTTGGCAGGAATCTATGCGGATTCTCATCACCCTAGTAGGTAAAGTTACTTGGAACGAGTTCCAGAAGGCTCTTTCGGCTTTTGGCGCTGAGGCAAACGAGGCGCGCAGCCAATTTGAAAGGCTGGATGCTGATGGTGATGGGGTTATCAGTCGGAAAGATATTTCCATCTACATGAAAGCAGCTCCATACAATATAGCTAATTCACTTCAGAATAACAGCTTTTTCCGACAGTTCAGTTGGTCGTAAACCTGGCCATCTGTTAGCCTTAGATGCTTATTTCCAACATCTCATCGTAATTCTAGGATTTCCAATAGGAAGCGCGCTCTGCATCAGAGCATTTATCGTGCCCTTGGTTTGTGGTTAAACAGTCAAATAAGGTCAGAGATCCTCTCTGCCTCCTATGTGATAATCTTGCGAAATAGCAATAATGTATCTATCCCTGTATTTTGCGTAACTAAGAGAACGAATGGAACGTCTCTAATAACGAATTAATTTCTAAGTTGTCTTATGAACGGAATTTACTTGGGTGCACCTACTTCAAAAGTAATGAAGGCTGACGTGTACGAAAAGTAATCATCAGCGTCAGCAGAGGATATTGGATTCGGCACCGTCCGATTGTGACGCTTCCGCTTGTAGTTAGGGGTCATCCACGGAAAAGGCCGGATTCCCCATTAGCAGGGATTGATTGACCAGAGAATGTGGTCAATGCGCTAGCAAAAGGCACAGGCCAAAATTTTCATTGGACATTCCCAAATATTTGGTAATTCGAGAACGATGGATCTCTTGTGCCGGCACATTTGTTCTTGATGCCTGTAAATGCAGCTGTTGAGCCAACGTTGAACATGAATTGCCGAAAAAGTGAAATAGCTCCAAGATAAATCAGGCAGATCCGGCAGAAGCTTAACCATATCTACGCGTCGGCACCCAGCAAACTTGTACGGGTGGGGACCCCCGCCATGGTCGGGACGATTTGATGCTTTACATAAATTTCTCGGATTTCACGAAATGGGACTTTCAGGTAAGCTTGCTACAGTACATCAAACCTAATATCACTTGAAGGGGCCGCATCTTTCCTTCGAATTGTGGTAGTGCAATCAAGAGAAAATTTTAATAAATTGGGATTCTGTTCGTGAAAAGAGGGGCGAAAGAGACCGTTTTACTTCAGCGTTATTGATTTACTGCTATACTCATGTTATTTTGGGCAATTAATACAAAATTGACATTATATTGTCCAAGTTAGGGATTATGAGGTGATAAGGGGATAGAGGGAATCTCCTCTGGTAGTTGCAGGTTTCATTTTCAGGGTTGCAGAATATTTATCATAAAAGGTTACATTGAGATGACAATAAATCTTTTCATTCCAATTGGCAGTGGGAAGCATTTACATTTTAAACCATTCATGCTGCAGCAGCTCTGCGGCCGACTTTCGATGTGCCGGGTCAATTGCAAGCATACCTCGAAGGAAATCGATGAATATGGGAGTTTCAGCGTCGGACATGTCGTTGGGTTTGAGGAAAGGCCGCTCAGTGCCATCTATAAGTCTTTCAAGACTCGTCGGTTTTAGATCTGAAATTCGAAGAAGGCCGCCTGAGTAAAATTAGTAAGATCGAGAAAATATGACGTTAGCCTTCTTTCTTTAAAGGAGGGCATACCACTCGTGTTAAAGAATTCCGCAGTCCTGTTTCCTTTTCGAAGAAGCTCAGGCGGAAAATTACCAAGTATTTCGATTGTCCTCGCGAGCCGGTCATCATCAACCGTCCACGAACCGTATTTTGACGCCACCCCAGAGAAAGGCACTATCCCCTGAACAAACTCAACAATCTAATCAAAATTAGTGATATAAGACAACCTTGTCATATTTTGAGCAGGTAGGTCGAATACCTACAAGGCAACCGAGGCTCCAGATATCAATACTAGCATCCCAATGCGCACCGATTGTGACTTCTGGTGCTCGTAAAGCTGGAGATTGGACTACATCCGACAGGTGGTTGTCTGACCAAGAAGCTACAATCAGTGTAAGTGTCATCCGGATAAATGATCCGACGAGTGATACGTACCAACACCAAAGTCAATTATTCTGATGCGCGGTTCAAGCATGTTTGTGATGAGCGGTGTCCTGATGACCTCTCGGAGTGGCTTAGTGACACCACGTTCATGACTGACTCGTGCAGGAATTTCTGATAAATATTTTTCAATAGTTTCTTCGGGAGTTTCCAGCTGGAGTAGTATATTCGTGGGCTTAAGATCTGTGTCGACCGTAATTAGCACTATTATCGTGAGTAGGAGGCGATTCGCAATGCATAGCAATACCGGTATGAATAATTCCACACTCCCTATGGAGGAAATCCAACCCTAGTAAAAGCTGTCGCGCTATTGTTTTCACTGCCTTGAGAGGCAATCTCCCATTTTCATATTTTGCGGTTTGAAAATCCAAGTGGTGGCCCAACACATCGAACACGAAGCATACGTGTTGTCCATTTGGCCCTTCGTGTTTGAATTGATCCAGGAGGGGTAACACGTGGTGTCGGCCTCCATGTTTGCTTTTCCCGGAAATATCAGACAGCCTCGAGAGGATTTCTCGCTCGAATATGTCATGCGATCCTCCGTAGCAATCGGCTCTTAGTATTTTGAGCGCTACATACTTCTGGGCCCTTCGTTACTCGATAAGCTACACGTTTGACAAATGTAGAGAATTGCACTCACTTGGAATCCCTAGCTAACCAGACAGTAGAATACTGCCCGTAGCCTAGTTTCCTCATCACTTTGTATGTGCCAGAGTTGAACGTGTCTCCGAGCGATACGGGATGGAAGCCTCCGGTAGAATAAAAGTCTGCCTCTTCTGTTGTCTGGTGTGGATTGGGAGATATGGATGTTTGAGAAACAGGTTTGAAGAATTTTGCGAGCCAAGCTCGAGAATTTACCCGAGCCAAGGCTTTCTTGAAAGCAGTCGTCATCTTGAAATGTTTTGTGCAGATTTGTGGCATGAACTTTTTGATCCTTCTGTCAGGGGGATTATAAATGATCTGAGGGGATCGCGAGCGGTTATAAGTTCCTAGACGCGCCATTCACGTGACATATGCCAAGATATTTACATGAGTGCCTGGCATCAACTGGTTACTCGTAGCACCGCCACCACATCCGCCTGCGACGGGCAGACACCTCTTCGTGGTGCTGGGGCCGCCACTTTGGCAGTTGCTCGTTCTCCCAGGGGAAGCCAAGTTCTGTCCAAGATGAGGACGGCGGTGAAACGCGGGTGTTGTGCTTGAACCTCATCCCCTGATATTTTTCAATTCTGCTTTCTAATTAATACCGCACCCCTTTTTCCTATCGGTTCTCAACACTCACAACGACCGGCGGAATCAAGGAATATCTCAGGACTGTGTCCGCCTCACCGCGCTATCTCATGGTAGAAGTAGCTAGCTGGTTACGAGTCGAGAGATGCATGCTCGATGTGCACACGCCTTTCCGGGCCCGGGTCTGACGCAACGTTTGCCAAAGTGACTCGGTTTTTACGGACCACCGGGGTAGAACTCATATTCTGTGCCATGAACACTACCGCCTGACAGAAATAATATGGGAATACTGCCGTCTAGGAATACTGCGGGTGAATACTGCCGTCTGGGAATAATCTCGTCTTACGGGATCTACCAAAGTCGTGTACATACAGAACGTTGCCGCGCACACAAGCTAGGGGGGATATATACGGCCTAAGGCCTTGAAAAGCCCGGGAATGAATCAATCAATCAACCAAACCCATCCGCCTATATGGCGTGGTATCAAGCGTCACCCGGATTGTCTTTACTAGTTCTCGAAATCCATGAGAGGGTGGGCGTTCCAACTCTGGCGCATACGATTGGACTACATAGAGAGCTCGTGGGTCAGAGTTTCATAGCAGGCGTCGATCATGGGGGCATCGAAAGGAATGGAAAGAAACATGATCAGGCAGTTGCTGACATGCTGTGCCGCCTAGTGACCCTTAGTTTGACGTTAGGGGGAATATGCACAGGGAGAATGTCACAGGATTTAGCCCCGCGTCGGTTAATTTATAGGATGAACTATCAGATAATACTTGCTAGAGGGCTATATGCAGCCGTAGGCCGCGAAAAGCTCGAGGAATCCATCCATCAATTAAACTACCTGACCCATCCACTCCCGAGTGTGAGGTTGGAGTGCTGCGGGTAGGTACTTCACTAATTACTAGTGAAGCATACCAGCGCATATAATTTAAGCTGCTGGTTGTCTTAGCTCGAAGACCTAAGATCCAAATCACATGTGTAATGCAACGGGTAAAATGGTGATGCCTATCTTGTCGTGAGAGACCGCGCTTTGTCCCCCGTTTACGGCTAGGCAATAGCTCATCTCCACGGTCGTATCCATGTGACTGGATGTTTCAGTTCATCAAGGATATCTTTGTGCGTATCCAGCGTATTGCGCATAAGCCTTCTCCGAAGGTTATTGATTCACTCCTCTCTGTGATACTCAAGCCGCGATCGAACGTCGAACCAAACTGCAGGGAACTTCATTTTCACTACTGATCACTCTCACAGACTCAGTAAGATAAGTGTAAGACAGGCTATGCCCGCGTCCTTTTGGTTAAATCGGTATGTATTATTCAACAAAACCAGCAGATATGAACATGAGATGTATTCCAGTTGCACATAACCAACTCTCCCTCCCCATACACTTTCTCTCCCTATCTCCAGTGCCTCTCAGATTCTCCAATAGCATTCAATCAATAAGGCGGAGCGCCCCACAAGGAAAGCGATGTACACATCACAGCATCATAGTGCGAATAAAGCAACACAACGTGCTTTCCAGTGGCACAGTGAAGCCAACGTACGTCAATAGACATGTCTCTTTGTCACAAATTCACCATTTTCTTTGATCATCTCGACAGTCCAGTGCTCTCCTTTGGGGTCTGGGTTCCTGGGATCATTATGCTTCGCTCCCCTTTATTGGTAAGCAAGCCGCCTTTTGACTCAAATGTTTAAGCACTCACTTGACAATCGCCTCAGAGACCCCTCGTTTCTCCATGTTGTCTTTGTTGGCCTCATAAAACTTCTTGATGGCCGTCTCGGCTTCTTTGCGTTTCTCAGGACTATTCTTATATATATCTTCCCTTAACCATCTGATGGCCTTGAGGGGATAGCCAAGAATGGCAGTTCGAAACATTCTAATTGCAAGGGTCAAGAAAAGGCTTTTCGCAAGGACTTTCAAAGTTAAAAGGGAACTGTTGTTCCTTGCGCGTGAAAGAGGGCGAAAGAGACTGCTATTTAAGGCTTTCTGATATTTTGAATTCCTTAAAATCGCGCATAGAGTGCAGGAATGCAATTCAAATTCAGACGCTTAGGGGTCCAATTGCAACTGCTGACCAAGTGCACATTATTCCGGGCGCTAAGTTGATGGTTGAGAGACTCTGTTACCTGAAATTCCAAAAATAAAAAAGCATGTTTCTAAATGTGCAAGCGCGCGCTTACCTTTTTGTCTTGGCTCATTCGCTTCCTATCACAAGGCTCTGGGAACGAACCCCAATCTGTGTGTGGTAGGCATCTCTTCTTTCTGCGGCGGCCGCGAACGGCAACACTCATGCCAGGGCGATGTTCTTGAACAAGGGGGGGTGTGGTGTAGAGATCAATGCGACCGAGTCGTCAATGCGACCGACTTGGCGGAGCCGCCCCTTTGTCCGGAGGACCGTCGCCGCCCTTCAGCGGTATGAATTATTTTTATTGCTTGTGCTCTCCCAGAGGGAAAGCCGAAGGGATCGTATACATATAAAGGGACTGATCTAGCAGGAGCTGGAATATTCCAGTCAGGGCGACTTGATTCCTGTCCTGCTTTTACAACAACAGTAAATCAAAGACGCCTGTGGAGCTCAAAAAGCTGATCTTGCTGGGTACGCGTGCAAGGGGGGACAAGTCAGTGCACCAGCGCGTCGCATATGACACATGTCACACGCCCACACTGAAAGAAATATCTCAATCTGGCCAGATACTTCTCCAATTTTTGATGGAAAATTGCGAAGCTGCTCTGCTGGCGAGTCCCGGGCGTTTGGCGGTGAGATCGAGAAAGGACCATTATCGGCGATTGGCAACAAGGTCAGTTGGTTGCCCAATATTTCAATGACGGACACCTACTTACTAGCTTCGTTCATAAAGTATGCCATGGTGGTAGGGTTGAATTGCCGCTTGCATTGAAACACAGCCAAGCAATTTTTCGTTATATACACTCGATCTAGCACCAATTATCGGTCGCTGGCGCAAGATGGTCGTTCGCAACTCATCGTGCTCGTGTTTCAGATGAGATCCCTAATAGCAGCCACAAAACACTCTCCCGATCGGACTCGTGGGAACGGCCGAACCAGGGCTATGTTTCACTGTCTATGTCAGCATGACTTCTGGTGACTGAGGGTGGTACAGACTTGCCGTCAATGTAGTCTGGTATCAGCGAAGGCCAACCAGAGATGTAGCGGGTTCAGCTCGATTTCACGTGTACGAGGGCCCGGGATCACCCCGTATCGCTGGAAATGAATATGGATGATCGCATTATCTGCTAAAGAATAGCTGTTTCGTCTTTGCTGTTCGGGTAAAAGATAAATCTTTAAGGATGTCAGGGCAAAGTCCTGTTGAAGGAAAGAATCTTGGTGTTTTATCCCGGGTAGACTCAGAACTGACCTGAAACGACTGCTCTCGTGGCGAGAGATCTCGGGTAGGTCGAGCGCAGCGGTCTGCCTTGTCACTTGCTCAGCTGCAACCAGGGCTCGACGGAGCTATCCTTCAGACTATGGCCAAAAGCTCGACTCATTTCTGATTGACGCCATTCTCGGAGAAGCCGTGATATCTTTCGGTGCTCGTCGATGCTACGCTTCCCTTTGTTGTCGCCGGATGCTGCGATTACCCAGTCGGTCTAGCATGAGACTAAATCATGCCTGTCGGAACACGGAGGATTTCTAGTGCATTGACAGTTAACCTTTGGTCGGACAGGGTGAATCTGGAAGAGGGGTTAGCATGTTGGAACTTTACCACATGGCCAACCGGAGGGTACTGAGCCTTTCTGAATCGGGCCCACTAATAAGCCAGGCCAAGTGGCTGTGTCCACCACGTCTTCAGAAACAACAGAGACGCAAGCATAGTGAGATTCAGTGGCTTGACACCACAGGTTGTTGCAGCTAGTTTAGCTTCGAGGACGAGGGGGAACATAGCTCTGTCAGGTCGAGTGTAAAATTGAAGCTCGCCCTATGACGAAAAAGAATCATCAGCGATATCTGCTGAGCACAGAGAGCCACGGACGGATAGCAATGGTAGGGAGATTGAAATGCAGTATCGAGCGTTGGGGATGGGCAGGTGCAAGGACAAGCGTGACTTACAAAACAATGGCTGCCTCGCGATAGAAAGTTTGCCGTCCTATATAGAGCATCGTCAGCGCATGACATCTGCCTTGAAAATTGCTGCAGACTTTAAACTTACGTTATCAGTTATTGCTGTCCACTGCAGGGGAATTTATAAAGGATGGCACCTGATTATCTTCAATCATGGGCAGGTAGCTTATGAAGGCATTTTAACCCACATTGCTCGCAGTTTGGACCACTCCAGATCCTGAAAAATTCATTCAATAGGTTCTTCGAGGAATAACGGAAACGGGGCTCATATCGAGCATCTTCCGAGTTAGCATGATTCTAAATGACTGGGAAGCGACACTCACTTGCTTTCTGAAGACTTTGTTATCGAGAAATTTTCGGCTATTGCGATATAAGATGTCGGCTCATTTCATTGCCTCATTTGGAGGTCAATCCATACGAAAGTGTAGCCGCGGAGACGAATCACGTTCGATATTCTTTCACCCAGAATCACAAAGGAATGCTTGCGAACAACTGCTCTGCCGGCGAAGGACCGGGTCTTTATAGCAATCCAGCCAGGCATTCGATCTGCGTCAATGAGATAATCATCGTGAATTGTGAGGGCTCGGGCTCAAAGTTCTCTTAAATGATACCTGGCTCAACATTTCATCACTGGTTCAAAACAGCTCTCGGAGGCAATACATCTTGCACCTGGTGATCCGCAACATGAAAAACATTTTCTGGCTGTTCGCATTGTGTAAACAGCCGTGAAGATGCCACATAAAAGAGTTGATCACAGTTATCAACATTCACCACCATCAGTCCGGCCTTGATTGCGACGGGTGAGGTGACGAGGACATGTCATTTCATTTCACTCACCGGCGATGAGTCCGTTAGTCCACGTAATAGCAACTCACTAGAGACAGGCAGTTCGCAGGCTTCTTCGTTGCCTACCTCGCATATCGGAGAAAACCCATCACACCTACACAATATCAAGTAGATCAAGCTATGGTACGGCGCGGAGCAGATTCGCACACCCCCATCTCACAACAGAGTCTCTTGTACAGCAAGCCAGTCATTAGTTCGATTACGCTTTTAAAGAACAAACCTCTGCGGTCAGCCGCGTCTTTGCGAAAGCAATACCCACATCAATCTCCTGGGAACGAAGCGGATGCGAGTGGGTACTACTCCGAATATAAGCCAATTAGTGCCATCAATGGCCCACATCCTGACAAGTCGTCTTGATTACTGGTCAATGATTGGCCTTGGCTCCCAGGAGTCTGTGGGTCGCTAATATTGATGCGATCATTGGATACTAATAATAGAGCCGATGAATAATGAGCCAATAGGGGCCATGATTGATACACTGTGCTACAATGCCCAATAGAAGTAATTGGTCTCGATTTAGCTCTGAGCTCCTGGGAGCTCGAGCTTACCATTACACCTTACCATCATTGCTTAGTCTGTCAGCAAAATCCACATCGGATCCCTGGGAGCTAAGTGGATACGTGAATCGGGGCAACGCTGCAAAAAGGTATAAGCCAATCAGAGCCATAAATTCCCTTTAGCCTTGATAAATTCTCAACAACCCTACAAAAATGCGGTATGAATTGCAAAATCTGCGAAGCTAAGGATGGTTGCCAAATTAGGAGACTGATTCAATTTTCATGAGGCATGGAATGTCAATTTTATCGTTGCTATTTCTCCTTTATACTGATCTCAAAAAAAGTGAGGAAAATTATAAGTATGCTGTCTTGCGTTATTGAGCGCGCAATAAATGGAACCACAATCCAATTGCAATTTGATAGGGCGCGTTCTTTTCTAGTCCTGGCCCCAAAGACTCAAATACGTTACGCAAGCCTCTACATTTCGTCTTCAAAAGGGTGCTCTCTTCGGATGACGGCACCGTGATTTTGCAGATGAATTTATACAGCTTTTGTGGGAGCTTTCTTTCAATTACCAGACCGATATCATGGGAAGGGTTTTGAATTTCTCTACACGATTTCGCAGAAAGCCCCGTACCCAGAAGTTTGAACTCAATCACGTACCATTGTGCACGCCTCAGTCCGCTCTTGACAAGAAGATCTTTTATCCCAACTGGAAGCCTAGGCCCGAATGAAGACGCCGAAGAGGCCTTGACTTTGTTGGGAACCCTTGCTGGATTTTCACGAGCCCAGATGACCCAGACCTTCACCTCGACGAGATGCAACTGATGCTCTACCGAAACCTCTCCTTCCGTCCGGTATTCGAAAATTTACAACTCACCTATCACCACACCGACGACCCTCCAATCGAATGCATTATCAGTGCGGCTGCTTTGGAGACCGCAAAGCCTTATTGCGTCGGAGAATATCTTTAGTCGATGATATACCCGGGAGTGAAGCCCCCGTGTCTCACCGAAAGTGTTTTCGAGCCTCCTGGAAAGATGAATTTATTATGGAGGATAGCAGGGACCTTTAGTATAACAAAAGCCTCAGCGTGTCTAATTTGATTTTCATCTTTTATGAATCCGTCATTCGGATTTTCGCAATATCTTTTTCATAGATTGATTGCTAATATGGGCTAAAAATGGACTAGATTACGGCCAAACCTTTACAGTGCATGGATTGATAGAATAATGAAATTGTGCACCCTGCTTCCTGATTCGTCGGAAATACGAGTGTTCAGGCTACCATCGCTAGACAAAATCAGTACTGTTAAGATATGCCCACAAGGATTTGAAGAAAATTTGAATCATTTGAACGCACCTTCAAACACATAATAGTTTTTATTTCTAAATATAGCCTAGTAGTGTCTATAAACACACACGCACATACACACACACAGAGAGAGAGACAGGGAAAATTTATTAACACCAGGCCGTGGAGCCGAAAGGGCAAGTAGCACTAATCAATCAACACATACATGGCCCTGGTATATATCGTGTCTGCTCAGAGCCTATATACTTGCTTTTCATATATGTCATCTCAGCTACCAATATCGTGATGGATTCTCGTAAGTTAGTAATTGCTGGCTGGCTGGCTTGGCAGCGTTTTTTCAAGATTCTAACATCCTATTTTCGACAGTTAAAGAGCATGTGCCCATGATGACACGAGTAGATAGGTGGGGGCTATCTGGGGGCAGTGGTTCATCTGTGTTGATCGACATGGCCAGGTGGCGTCGAGCCGGCCCGTGGCGATTGCAAACCGTATTGAGGCCGGCACTGCTTCTAGATTTGGCGTCATATTTTGGTCATCTGACGGGGATTTTGTGCCAGGAAGAAAGATATGTCGCTCTTGTGGATTTCGGTACATTGCAGCATTTTCGTCTGGTGTGTGGCCCTCTTCTGGTATCGAAAGAGAAAGTGCTCCACGGTCTATTCTTTCTTGCAAAAATTGGCCGTTTTTCTATAAAGAGACAACAGAAATTCTTTCAGCGTCACAAGAAACCGCCTTCATCTTTTTCAGGCGACTGATGTCTGATTATTATTTTGATAAAAAAAACATTTCCTTTTTGACTGGGCTTTACCTCAAGGGAAAAGAATTGTCTCGCGGTACCAAAATTTAGTTTCTTCCCTTGTGTATTTTTGAGGTGTTGAGATTGAAGCTTCATGATAGTCTATGGATGTTTATTAGCTTTTAATATACACTGATAGCCATCCTACAAATCCTTTTATTTTTCATTTTCAACTTATTTATATACATTTTGATCTTCTGGGACGGGTTAGGGTGAAATAAGTTTGAAGAAGAGCTCCAATCAAATTTTGAAAGCCATTTGAACGATTTATTTGAAATTGGCTACTGTGTTAGCTGCAATATTTGGAATTTCCCTTGTGGAAGCTCACCTAGTCATGGTCGACCCCGTCCCCTACAACTCAGACCCATCTAATAATTCTCCTCTCGACGCATCTGGAAGCAACTTCCCATGCAAAACCACGGGCGATTATTCAGTTATTGAGGAGAACCATATGTTAAAGGGTGAGAGCCAGTCCATGATATTCCATGGTGGTACTACTCACGGCGGTGGCTCTTGCCAAATCAGTATTACGTCGGATCGGTCTCCCAGCAAAGACACTACACGGAGTGTCATTATGTCAATTGAGGGTGGGTGTATGGATGAGACCGTGAGTGACTTCAACATCGGAAGCAGCTCAACGATGGTTACTCATTTCTCGCCCAACTTCACCATTCCTGACAGCTTCAAAGCCGGTCAGTATACAATTGCCTGGACCTGGTTCAACCGTATCGGTAACCGCGAGATGTACATGAACTGCACCCCCATAACCATCACCGAGAATAACTCTTCCTCGAAGGGCTCCGGATCCGCTGAAATCGAGGAAACCTCCCCTTCCCTCCCCTTTTCATTGCCAACATCAACGGCTGCTTGACCAGGCCGTCGTACGATATCCGTTTTCCCAACCCTGGAAATACTATCCAATATCTTGGAGCAGAAGAAAAACTTATTGGAGCTGATGATGACGTTTGTTTCATCGGTGCTGCTACCTGGGGACAAGATGGTTATAGTGCTACTGGATAATCTGCCCATGAAGCTAAAGCATCCAGTTATACCAAAAATTCCACCATCACTACAGATTCTAAATCCCCTACTGCGGCTGGTAGTACTCAAGAGTCCTCAGTCAGCGAGTCACTTGCCGTGAACGTGGCGAACTACTCCACTGAATCTGCAAGCTTTGTCCAGACCAATCCTACGGCGGAAAGTTCCGATAGCTTTATTTGTGCTTCCAGCCCCGGTTCCAAGACGCTCACCGGGTCTTGTTCTGAAGAAGGGATCTGGAACTGCATAGGAGGCACTTATTGGCAGCGCTGTGCTAACGGCGTCTGGACTCCTGAACAGCCGATGCCTGACGGCACTGAGTGTACTGACGGCCCGAGCCAAGATTTTACCATCAAGGCTGCAGCTTTGGACTCCCAGAAGAAAGAGAGCTCCAAAACTCACAGATGCGATGCCCGCAGGCACTCTGAGGAGCCTCGCATCTGATGGCTCGGATGATTCGGCTCTGGGGTGTGTTTACTACTATCCCCTTCATTCATTTCGTTTCAAAACGTCTGGTGTTTCATATCCTGTTCTTTCCCCCAAAATACCTGCAATGGAATAGGTATCTTGACTACATAGCTAGGCTATTCAAGTTGATTAATTTACGTCATTACAACTTTATCATGCTCCAAGACCTTCTTCTGCCATTCATGAAGCTATTCGAACCAAGAAGGGAATTCAAAGTATTGAGGCTGCTCGTATACTGCATCCAAAGCTTGACTGAGTAAGGCTCAATTCATTCAAATCCATATCTCTATGCGATCTTGCGGGAAGCAAGTACAGTCTCGTGTCTAAAAGTAATCTTCCAACTGGTTTACAGTACAGACCATCTGATATTTGCATCGGTAATTGATAGGCTGGAAATGCATGTTGGTCAACAAAGTCAGCCTCCGATAGCCAAATTGAGACCCTCCTTTATCGCTCAAAAGTATGATTGAGCGGATCGCGCATTCTGCAGGTCTTGATAACAACAACAAGCGGCTTCAAAAAACAATACATAAAGCAGTAATCTTACACGCAAACCAGTAAGTAACAGACAAAAAATAAAGCCTAGTTGAAATAGCAAAATCCGTTGCTGCACGTAGGTACTCACATAAACGCCACCTAGACCTCGATCGTGGACTCCACAATCAACGACCATAGCTTATTAGCATTCAATTTCAATCGCAAGATGCTCATTGATAGCCAGTGAGTAAAGTGCATTAAGGGGATCACTGTTGTTTAACAGCCCAGAGCAATAAAGTGTGGGCCCATGTTGACGAACGTCCCGTCCGCACTTATCTACGGCATCGCTGCGAGTTTTGAAACGGTGTCAACAGAGTTGGAGATAAATTAATATGCTAAGCCATCATTAAAAGCCATGATGGCTTGGATTGTGCGTGAGAAAAATGTGTACATGTTGAACCAGCTTCAATTTGAGTGCCAGCGGTGTTGAGGTCCTCACAACTTGTGAGGATCCACAGGGTAAGGGCCCAGTGAAATCATATAAGTACCTGGAGTTTCGCCAGAAGAACGGTCTTTCACAAATATTCCATTGTCATCCTAAACCAAGGTTATCGAAAGCTTTTTGCTTTCGCCCCTGCCTCGGTACAGAGTGAGCCAAAAACGTTATGCATATACGATAGAAGTGGCCCGCTCTATCATCACTGGACTCTCTATATAGGGCATAGACTTCCGTGGACGAAGGTGAGTAGAATGCAGACCCCATATTTCATACGCTGCTAACATGGAAGATGCTTTTTAAAAACCGTCCCCGGCTGTTCTTGTACAGATTTATGTTAAACATGCTTGATACTGATGAAGAAAGGCTACGAAGATGGTACGTTAAAAGTGAAGACAAAAGTCTGTTGACTGATCGCCCATGACAGATCGAGACCACCCACTATACGCAGCAGTAGCTGGCAAAGTGAGTAGAGAAATTGGGTAATTTTGAGCGTGACATCTATTCTGACGATTCATCCTACAGGGACCCTGCTGATCAACCTTGAGCCAGTGGCACGCGTGTTGTAAGCCCTCCCTTGCGTTGCCACCGTCGAATTTTTGTTTTTTAAGAGATGTCGCTGATGTATACGTTTGTCGCAAGATCATTGCAGTCGAGACGACAGATCCCTATTCCGCATTTGCCTTCCAACCAGGCCTGGTCAAGCCAAACCCGATGATGACAGCTGTCGATACTTCCGTTGAAAGGACAATTTCGCTCGAAGTTTCTTCAGCGACCGAAACCTAAGGGGACCCGAAGCCCCTCGATGTGAGATCTGGTAGCATTCCAAAGCGTCCTCACCTTTCCAGCACGATTCTATCTAATGAAAGGCTGACTATCATTGGCAAGTAAACCATAGATATGACCGCCATGAAGCTCGTCTCATGCCAAATCCGAAGCCTCTTCAGCAGCCATGAGCGATCTGGCTTTTGACCGACTGCGCCATCGCAGCATACCGGCCACGATTTACATGCCATCCCATACCATGGCTGATATCGCGAATGTTATCAAGGCCGCTAGCAAGTTTAGTTGCAAACATTCATATTGCGGGGGCTGCTGGCCACTGATATTGGATAAGTATCGCGAGCGAAATTTGCGTGAGTTCTATCGCAATACAGACGGTGCGTTAATGTTGCCACCGTGGCCGAGTCAATAATAAGCTTGTCAAGTACGTTCTCATCGCTCATTGATTTGGTATCCAACTGATTTTGCGACCAACTCGTCAAAATGAAGGTGACCGTTTAACCGCGAAGCCCCCGCAAACCGAGCGACTACTCCCCCTGAATACCACCACCTAAAGGCACGAACCCGCCGGCGGAAGCAGTCTCACGACACTCTGCGTGAAGCCATCGAGATAGCAACGATTTTTCGACAATCTGAAAAGTCCAAGATTGCTTTTGAAGCCGATGGAGATGAAGAGCATATTGATTTTGAGAGTAGCCGTTAATGCGACTGGTGCGACTCACCTCAGGTGAGTCACCTGACAGGCTAACAAGGACGCGCTCTGCCGCGTGACCCACCGCCCTAGACGGGGACCCCGGCCGAACCAGTGGCCGAACCAACACGATAACCTCAGCGAACAAATGATCAGAGTACCAGCGTCATATCCCCACCAGCAAGCGAGAGAAACCATTTACGATATGTCATGATGTACGACAAGACACCGATAACACCGGTCGTCGAGCAATCATTGTCAGGAGACCGGACAGTTGAACCACTGGGCACGAGCAATTGCCGCGACGTTTACGAATCCTTTTCTCCTTCCCCATGGCCGACGACAGTCCTCCAGATTACAGATTGCGCTTGAAAAGACTAGAGGAGAGATACGAACAGGAGAAAGCTCAGCGAAAGAGGGGGAGAGCAAGTGGAAGCAGGCAAAGGAGCGCGAGAAGCAGGAATTAGTTAGGAGACGACAAGCAGAAGAGCGCAACCGACAGACCTCGTTCACCGAGCTCCTCCAGCACTGCCATGATCTTCTCTCCCGCCGGTTAAGAGTCGAGACGCCGTCTCGCTCAACCACTGGCAAAATACCCCTTCCCACCGGAAAATACTGCCCAACACGGTTAGAACATTGGGCGGACTGCCCAGAGCAGCTGCTCAGGGTCTACAGGTCCGTCTCTCAATACCTAGAGTCGAACTCAGCACAAGCGCCGCTTCTATTTTCATCACTAGCCGAGCTAGAAGGACTTGGCCGCCGGTTTTCTCGCAAGCCCCTCAGCAGTGAGCAAGATCGAAGCCTATGAACGTTTCGGAGTGGAGGAGCACGTTCATGATATCATCATCGAGCTATGCAAACTCCTGGCGGCCCGTGACGAGTTTGGCCTCGGTGATGGAATCCAGTTCAGCAACCACACAAACTCCTTGTGCAGGAGCGAACCCTTGGAGACAGATCCGAACCACCTGTCAAGCAGACTCCACCCACGACCAGACCAGTTTTGTATTCATCGTGTCGACCATAACACGATTACTATCCTGACGACTGTCGAGTACAAGCCGCCTCACAAGTTGCCGGTCGCAACTTTACGCATGGGATTGCGACCGATGGATCTATGGAAGGAAATGGTCAGATCTAATAAAATACCGACCGAACCGGATGCGAAGCTGCGGTACAATGCAGAGCGACTGGTCTGCTCTGCGATTGTCCAAGAATATCATGTGATGATTCAAGGAGGACTCGAATATCCCTATCTGACCAACGGAATTTCTCGTGTCCTGCTTCGCGTTCCACGAGATGACCCCACCACGCTCTATTACTTCCTTTGTGATCCACCGAGCGACATGCAGCACACAGCAAGGGATCCATTTCCCCAGCTATCGAGGACCTCAATTGCAAGGGCGTTATGCCATTGTTTGACGGCATTCCGTTTTTACCCGCGCGGGCAAGAGTGGAGAAATTCCGTGCGCCCCCTTCAAAAATGGGTAACAAACTTTGAATATACGCGTTCGCTGATCCCGAGGAAAGAACTCCAGCAGCTTCCCTACTCCGATATCGTAAGTCCTGAGCTTCCGAGTCCGGATACTAGCTCGTCCTATGAATTGCCGTCTTCGTCTACGCTACCATCTCCCTAAGAAGGCCGCCGAATGCCCACATGATCCCAAACCAGCTCTAAACCTTCGGAGATCCGACTGTGTTCGCAATCACCTAATTCGTCCGGGTCAGACACAAATCAAGCTGCTGGCCACACGCATAGGATCAGTCAAGTCGCGTCGTCACCGTCCGCTCAGCGATCAGGTCGCCAGCAGGAGCGCAGAAGTGACCAAGACAATCATTCGCGGCGGTGTGATGTACAATTTTGTACGTAACGATGTTTACTCGGCTTACAAGCCACGAGCTCCCAGGGTGCGCTGTGTCCAAACGTGGACCATCATTGCGGGAGCCAGGTCGACCCGTGTCGGCATCCTCTCTCGGCCCAAAAGTTGGCGGCTTCGCTCAAAAGACAATTGGACAAAAACATCGATCGTTGTATTCCTCTTGGTGGTTGTGGCTTGTACGGTGCCCCTTTCAACCTGACTTGCATAAAGTAAGATTACACGGTCATCGGCAAAGGCACCACTTCGGGGCTGTGGAAAGAAGTTTCACGCGAAGCCCAGGTGTCTCAGATCTTGCGCAAAGCTGAAGGATCTGCTGTACCTGTGTTTTTGGGATCCATTGGCCTGGCCAAAATTTAAATTCTGCATGGCGGTGGAGAGATCTGCCATAAGCTTGTCATGGGCTGCAGCGATGAGAGCGCCGCCACGATGGAGTTGACACAACAGCTTCGCCGGGAGATCCATAGGTCGAACAAAGAAGTGAAGGCTTTGGGTGTAATCCATGAAGACCGCAGGCGAGACAATGTCCTTTGGAGTGAAGACCCTGGGCGTGCTTTGACCATCGACTTTCGCAGTTCTACTTTGAGGTGCCGACTGGCTAAGCAGCATTCGGGGGTCACAAAACGACGACCATGTCGAGTGGAGGCAGCAGATACAAAACGTTTTCGTGTTATTTGATCAGAAAATGTTCTTTCGACCTGCTAACTCAGCGATCTTATTTTGAGTACCCAAATTTAATCAGAATTTCCTGCGTGATGCGAGTTTCGCGCTCGCGGGCCCGTCGACCGTCGAGTTGCCAAAACCTGGTCGGTCAACGCTAATTGAGCGAGCATTGTGCTGTTCAAGAATTCTATTGGCAATTGCAACAGCTGGTAATTGTATTCGCCTGGTCATGGAAACTGACAGAAGTTGGCGGTCCGAACGCGGAAAGAACAACGGCACGCGCCACACCGTTTTCTTAGAAGAGTTTTTGCAGGGCGGCAGTCCAAAGTTAAAGGCGTCATCATTGCCGGTGAAATGTGCAGCAAGCTTCTATTGTCAACTATATATTTTGAGACGAAGTGCGCTCTTTATCCATATGCTTTGACGTCTCCGAGACATTACGTGGGCTCTCAAACTTGAGAAATGGGGTGTTTCATCATGACAAGATCATCATAAAAGCATTGCAGACTATTATTCAATACTAAAACGCAAGACTGTCGTGTACTAACCGAAATAATCACTATATAGATTCAAGGGCTCTAATGGACAGCGGAATGATGCGCTGAGGCTTGCAGTCTCAGCCATTAGACATACATCCCTTCAACAGGACCCTTCCTCCCAAATTCCTCCGAGAACTTCTTGTTCGATTCCGCTGCTAACTCCAGGTACTTATAACTGACCCGCGCGGTATCTGCCTCAGCAAGAGCATGTGCAATCGCCGCGATATTTTTGATCTAGTTGACCGGGAGTCAGCAAGTTACATATCTGCGCAACAAGATGAAACTTACCTCTCGTCCATTGAGAGCCAAGGACTCCAAATGCTGAATCTCGTCCTTATCAACTACAGCGGGTCCTTGCATTGTTCGAGCTTTGGCCAAGAAGGTGGACCAGAGACCCCTGCGGAAGTCTCTTGTTAAATCCTGGTACTCGATTATCAAATGAGTTCGGCTCAGAATTGCTTCATCGAAGTGTATGCCTCGGTTTGAGGTCAAGAAAAGCACTCCCTGATAATACTCAAGCTTTCGGAGAAATACAGTGACCAGGCGATTGTGACTATCGTGGAATTCGGTCCGACTCGCCATGAACGCATCCGCTTCGTCCAAAAGAAGAATGGCATTGAAATGCTTTGCAATTTTGAAGATGATTTCAAGTTGTGATTCAAGTGCGTGGGAGTCCCCATGGTCGACAACAAGCTCACCCGCAGATATCTGAGAAGGTCAGCTAGTTCAGTCATTGCACGGAACGGGTTTCTGATACCGAGTAGAGAGGGCGCTTGAAATACTCCGACGTTGCCTCGACAGTAAAAGTCTTCCCGACGCCTGGCGGACCGCTAACACAAGTCAGTTGAAGAATTTGCAGGGCTTCTGGAATTTGCCGACATACTTTAGTAGCACGTTGAGCCCTTGACCTTTGCCATCGATCACGTCGTCGAAAGGTACGGTTGGTATAAGACCTAGACGCGTTTTCGCCAGCGACAAGAGCATTGTCTTGGTATCCGATCGAATCTGAAGACAATCGAATGTTCCAGGTGACCAATCAATGTCCCTAAGAGCACTGACTGCGCACTCCACTAGAATCGCATTAGCTCGAAACAGTGACTTCGCAGTTTTGTCACATACAGAACATTTTCTCCTTGAAAGTGAAACAGCAAACGGTTGGGCACGCGACTAGTAAATCGGCTTCGCTCAGCTCTCGTGCATCTACGCCGTCTCCTCGCATTCTCTCCTTCTCTCGCTCACGGTCTTCCATGAACATTGCGTCAATATCAAAGACTTGAATGCCATCTTTTTCTTTCACCCCTAGATCGCGGAGAGACGGTCGGGAGTAATTTGGCTGCATTTCATGGAAAAAAGCGGCGTCCACTGCGACTCGACTGTCGATCTTGGCTTTGACGGTCTTCCCCTTGTTGATAAAGAATGCGTTGCCTTTACAGTGCCGCATGTGCGAGCCGGCAAAATCCCGAAACTTTTGGCCTCTTCCGACCAGGTCTTTCCTGACTTGGTCGTGACTTGGATGGTGGCGAAGAGGGAAGGCCTCTAGGCTCTCGATCGGCTTCGACCCTCGGAATTTTGCAAGGCGTAGAAAGATACCAGCCTCGCCGAATTTGACTCCATCATAATCGAGAAATCGGCATTCAAGGTTGAACCACGTCTCATCATTCTGTGTGATCTCTTCCCCAGCGTCGAATATGACACACCGTGGCTCTTTTGTACCGAAGCATCTTGTGAAAACATGAGAGCCCGGTTTAAAAAGCGCCCAGAGGAGGTCATAAGTAATGTGGTTGTGCAGCAGCATTGACTCGAGACGCTGCGAGATGGTTGAATATGCTTCCTTGAGGTGGTTGATGAGCAAGCAGAGATGCTGATGTGGTGATTCACATTCTGAGTGGTTCATATTTTCAGCATACTTGTCCAACTCTGGGAGAAAATGGAAAAGGGTCTTTTGCTCGATCTAAAGCCATGTTAGTGATCTTATCAGATATAGTACTCTGCTTCATTTACCGATGGCTTGTCCTCCATCAGGCTGATGGTCTTGATGCCGTCCAGAACCACGCGCAGGATGTCGCGCAGGCCTTTCGACTGGATGTCAATGTACGACGTCACGTCCTCGGAAACTCGGTCTGGGAATACTATTACTATGACTTTCATCATTGGGAAATCAATCAGGTAACGGCATCACGTACCCACACGCTCACGAACTATGAATGCATATTTGGCATACTCGTCCAGGACCTCGCTTGTCTCAGCCGATTCCGCAGTCTTGTATTTGCAAGTATCTTTGTTCCAGCTATAACCGTGTCAGATTTCTTCTGAAGGTGAACGGGAGAAGACGGAAGGGGGACGTTTGATTGGGCCAGATGAATTCTGGTGACATACGTTTCTTTGACTGTCTTGAATTGGGGTGGCAACCACTTCTCAAATGATTGGAAGTCCTCTGGTGTTGTGCAGATGGGAAGCTTGGGATCAAACCCATCTTGCCCAGGAATTCTCTCCCGTTCATCGCTTGTGGAAGAAGACTGAGCAGGCATAGTTGCCACGGAAAGTTTAGCCGAAGCGCTTTCATCGTGGCTGAGCTTGGCCATCAAATGTTTTAGTCGAACTATGTCGAGTCGCGGTGAGGGCTGGTCCTGGGAGACAGGAGTGCTTGGAGGTTCTTGGTCGGTAAGATCGAACAGCACGTTCTCAAGAAACACACCAAAGAGATGCATCAGATCCTTCAAGGTCGCAGGGGGCATTGTCGACCCCTTAGTTGGGCTATCAGGTGGCGTCAAGCCTTGGTGACAGGAGGAGGAAGTCTTCAGTGCCATGTCGTGCAATTTGGACGACTGGGAAATATCTGTGTGTATGGGAAGCTAGTATGAAGTTGACCAAACTGGAAAGCCAATGATGAAGGGAAAGCTCATTAAGAATCTGAGGAATTGCTCCTTATATATTTATTACTCCGGACTTTGTTATTTTTCGTGGTCAAGATGTTGCTTCCCCTCGGGTTTTCGGCATTGAGTGCACTGCATGGTGCATGCATGGTATACGAGGTAAGGTGCCAATTTCAATTGGATAGATCCAGGTATCATTCAACTGGAGGTGTCGCATTTGCATCCAGGCACCATATCATGGTGTCGTTCTAAGTTCTACAGGTGTCGGAAGCACTAGCGTAAAAATGTGGTAGAGTGAATGACCAACTGTAGCGACGATCACAGAATTGTGATCCCTGTGGAACAGCAGCACAGAGTTGTGATCCCTGCGGAACGGTAGCACAGAATTGTGATCCCTGACGGATATTTTCTCGGCAGGCCATGGGTATCACACAACTGTGTTCCCTGAGGTACCTAAAGCATACAAGCCGGAACGGGAATGCCCGTGGCCGAAGTGGGGTTGGGGTTTCACGGCCAAGGAAAATTAATTCTCCGGACAGTTCCAACCGACCACTGCCCCGCAGCTGTTTGCATCATCGGCTTCAGGCACAGCCGGTCTCAGTTATGGCATCAACCGCATTTACGCTAGACGTGGCGAGGCACTGTCTCCTCGAGGAGGGGTTTTTTGATTTGAATGACTCAACAGTTGGTAATCGCGTCTCGGAGATGGAAAGACGGGGTTTCCCGTACCTCACCGAATATGGCATGGACTTTTGCAAGCAATTTGCCTTTGACGAAGTAAGCGGAATGAGACGTTTCTGTGACTACCGTCTAATCATCTTCACAGCGAATCCGATCTATCCTCGAATCCTCCCTCGAACGGTGTAGCCTCGGACACTGGCTTAGATACGAAGAGTTCCCTGGCCACGTCGAATGCTTCAGGAGGGGTGGTCCTAAAGCTGGTCGCCGTGTCCTAATGGTGCATCTTTGGGCCAAAGGATCGCGAGTGGAGTATTATACCCTTTCACATACTCACAACTTGGCGACTACGAAGGGGAGAAGGTCCTTATACGAGATTCCCCAATCCGAGCTGGATCGTGTGGGCTCTCAGCCCGAGGTGAAGGATTTTCCAGATGGTGGCTTGTAAGTGATAGCTATGTATTACAATCTCAAGTTCTAACAGCCGTAGGGTGATTCTAGATGCTAGACTCGGTTTTCAGATCGAGCAAGGATATGCCATTACGTTTCTTTTTGCCACGGATGAAGTGATCGCCAACTGGGCGAAGATGTCCCTTCCATACTCAAAGGGACTGGAACAGAAAGTCAGGGACCTAGAATTGCTGAGCGCAAAAATCGGACTGAACTTCACGTTTGAGGGTCCGGGTGGAAGCACAGAGGGTTAGCGCTCATTGCTGTAACTTCTGTGGTCATATCTATAATATCGTCTTGTGCCGCCCATCCGGTCGTCAATGCTGGGACACTGTTCATAATCTGAAGGATAGGGGCATCAAAATCTTGTAGCAAGTCAAAACCTTGGGTTTGACCTTCTCCGGTATTGAAGTACATTTCCTCCGATGACATGTTCGGGTTAATAGGATCGGCCATGGTGGCCAGCCGAGGTAATGTTATAGGCGACTGCATCGGAATTGAGGGTGCAGATAGATCAATGTGAGCTGAGCCAAGCTGGCGAAGACTGTCACTCTCATTGATCTGGCGAAGACTTTTGTCCAAAGCCGTCATACCGCCGTCGAAGTCGGCTCGAGGTCCCGAGAAATCGGAGCCCAAAGTTGCCACGTCCCATTTCCGTTTCTTCCCCATGATAACTCCCGATCGACACTGCCTCATTGCGAGAGCTAGTTGTATGTCGGATTGTTCGCGTAGTTCATCGCATGTTTTCTTGACGAATGCTCGCTTTCTATCACATGCTCCATCATGTCTACCGGCATGTCTAATGAATTCGCTCACGAGCCTGAAAACTTTGAAACAGCACACACACACTTCCTCACATGTGACGTCTGCATGAAGGATTAATGGCAAGCAATTTTTCAGAGATGAGAGCACTTGCGTTGTTGGAAATGCCGCCGGAGTCCCTGCATTTTTGGAAATGGCTTCGCTCGTTTACAGGATGGACAGAAATGCCCTTTGGGAGCTCCAGTCTCCCTTACTGCGCCAATAGTATTTCCGGCGTTTCTGTCATCATCGCTTTCGCCTTGATCGTTATCGCTCCTGTCTCGGCAGTCATCGCCATTGATCCTTGAATGGGTTCGACACCGCTCGAGTTCAGCTTGCAGGTGCTGTTCGCGGGACTGGAAGAAGTCAGCTAAGTCATTTCTTTATCTCAGCGTTACTAACCCGATATTCTTCGAGATGTTCGCGTAGATTGTTTTCTGTTTCAAAGAAAGCTGAGCATGCACACTGTGGTTGTGTATTTGACATTGTTGATGGTGCTGCAGAAGAGCTAAAGATGTGGGGGGGGGTGGTCTACCCGGCTTCTCCCATGGTTGGTGGCAAGGTCACGTGGAAGAAAGATTAGTCAGAATTTAAGAAACGTAATTGGCTGTAGGTGCGGACCGAGACACGGTCGCAATCTAATAAATACTGAGCACGGTCGCCGCCGTTGGGCAGCGAGACCATCAACTTCTCACTCACAGAACTCCTGTCTTGCTCTGAAATAACGACTCAAGTTACCAAGACAAACTTCTCTACCTGTTCTTACCTTGAAGAGAACGAAAATGGTCCCGTGTGAAACCTGCGGAGGCAAAGGAATCGTGAAAGATATTGCATGTCCAACTTGCAGTGGCAAGAATTAAAGATCAGCAGGTGAGCAATATTCAAGCCAAAAAACTTCATCCTTGGTAATTTTGGAACACAAGAGCGTTTATTTAACCTATTCTTTGCGGATATAATTGCAGCCGGAATGTTCACGCGGGAAAATCGTGCGGATTGGTACAATGCCATACCCTACGCACATACGATCACATGATCGGGGTTACATATTTTCCTGCCCGGAACTCAGGCCGCCGGGATGGTTGCATTGAAATAACAACACTCCACCCAATTATGCGGCCGACTTGTATTGTCTATATTCTCCCTTATTTCCTTTTATGCACTTGGATCTGAAAAAAAACACGGACGCCTGAAGTTTAGGTACGTAAACTACTCTCCACCTAGAATGTGCGTTCTAATCCAAAAGTTGGTCAGGTTTCCCATCCACTATTTTCGAAGAGCATTCGTGTGGATCGAGGGATTGCTGTATCAGTGCCTTCTAGATTCTCTGACGGTTTTGAGTTGTTGCTCAAATATGCCCGTTTCCGTTCCGAATGTTGGTTTTTTTTTGTAAAAAATGGATTCATTTGATATTGAGACATCTCTCTCAATGTCACGCGGAGTTATCGGATCACTGTGAGTAGATCATTACCAATAGACCATCTCTGGTGACCACTATTCTGCTGCAAATTCCAAGAGTATCTCGCAACCATGCTGACGCTATGCGAAGCCTGAAACGGGCTTGGGTCTTGTCAAATATCCTGCAAGACATGCCGATAGTGCGCCAAGTAGGCCAGTCCGCGACGTGGGAGTTCGGCACGTTGAGACCTACATATGTGAAAGTAGTGTCGGCCAAGTTAGTGTGCCGTTGAGAAAAAGTAACTTATACTGAGACGTAGGAAATTTAACGTATTTTTGAATCCAACATCCAAGTTATTACATATAGAACTGAGGCATCTATTTGAAATAAATGACTGTTCCACTGATCGGTGCTCCTGAGGACAGTCAAATATGGCCTCGGAAGATCTTTGATGAGATAAATTGCACATGTTCGAGCTTAAGGGCCAGAATAAATGTCGCCGCGAACAAACTGCGGTCATTACAGTACCAAATCAAAGGCTGCGTTGGCGGTTTTGAACTGGCGGTTCTGCACCGCATCGTGGAGGTTTCGCTCTTTGCCGTTTCTCACATCTCTGGGTTTGGGGACTAAGATTATCTAGCCAATTTTTGGAAATGGAAGGCATTAATATGAGTTCGCGGTTCAGAAAGGCAACACCAGATTCCTAGCAGTTAAGCCATTCTGCAAAAGCGGGATATGTTATGTGACGAGCTATTTTTCTCTGTCATGCTGGAGCATCTCAGATTGTCACCAATATTCTCCTCTAGTCTCTCGATGAGGCAGCTACAGTCCATTCTCACAAGCCTTCAAAGGGCGTTCCAGAACGAAGAAGTCAGGGTTGCGGCGGTACTTCCCCAAAGAATTGATGTCAAAAACAGAGCAGAGGTGATAAAATATTACACACATGCATTCTTATCGTTATATCCGCTCTTTCTTCCCAGAAACTCTCTAGTTTGGGGGATTAAGCCATCTGCTAACTGCACCATTCGTAATTTGGCCACCACCTCTGCAAATTTGTTCTATAGCAAAAATCTGATCCAAGATATAGAAGAAGATATCAAAATGGTCCCTGAAATTATGCAATCCAAGCCCGTCCGCATCGTGGTCACGGAAATGTTTCATGTCAAAGCGTGGCAGGAAATTTGTCGGGGTGGCCGCCGAGAAGAACTGTATATCAATGTATTTTATGTTTCTGTCGGACCTATGGCACAACGGATGACCTAGAAGGGGTTGGTATATTGACTTGATGATCAGATACGAGAAAAAAAATCTAGTCTCTTCATTCGAATAGGAAGGACCCCTTCAAAGATCTTTTCTCGCATCATGACCTAGATAGTAGGCTGCGGTAAAGCTATCGGAAAAGAATGTTGCATACCCTGCCGTAGTAAAAAGGACTGGAGTTACCGAAATTGGTTTGATGGCATAGTTAGCTCCATGGCTATTATGAGTCCTATGCAGCGTATACAGTATTGTACCAAAAAAGCCTTCTCTGTGGCGAGACTGAGAACCTCTTTCCACAATTACAATGTTTCGAACTTTGGCCTTCCTGCTGGGACTGAGAGGGGTCGAAATTTGTGTTTGTGTATTATTAGTTGCTGCACGGGTGGAATCAGTTCAAGTCTCAACGGCATAGTGTTAGGTGAATCATCACTGAATGATCTAAACTATGATCCATCACCATCCAATTTCAGAATCTAATTTGAAAAGCTTCAGACCATTACTGCATAGCTGCATAACTCGGCGTGAATGGTTTTCTCTCGCCATCATCTCGCATATAAGTCTCTTGGTTTTTTTTACACTATATTATCCCCCCTATACAAGCCGTTGGATCGCCAGTTTGTCTATCCCAGCTTCAGCGCATTGCTTTCCGGTCCGTTCTGGTATTGACGACTACGAATAAATGGATCTCGATTACAAAACATCGTATAGACACTCAAAGCTCGACTTCAATCGCTTCCGTAAAAAGCCCGTCGGTATGTGATATATCTTATTCCAGCTTTGGCAAACAACAAAGCTAATCCTGATAAAGACAAGCCTCAACTTCCGGTGCATCGCTCCTCTGAAGCTTTTGTGAACAGGTTTCCTTTCCTATATTCGGAAACCGAGGAGCTTGTCTGGAAATGGGAGCAGTCGAAGCTCTGTGGCCAGAGCATCAACACTGCCTTGCAGTCCACCATCATGCCACAAGATCACCCTTCCAACAGACCTGACAGGGCAGGCAAATTCGTTTCCATGCAGAATGGAAATGTTACCGTGATGCCTCCGGCCTACTTGACGAATCTGAGACCGGAGGAGTATCAGGTTGGACTTCTTCATGCAGGAAACCTGACAGATATGAAGATCATTCTCCTTGGCTTGCCAGACTGGAAAAGGCCTTCCAAAGTCCGGGAGAGCATGCTTCGTTTTGAGAACTTGCTGGCCGGGAAAAGCTTTCCACTCTTCTATAATTGGTCAACCGAATACTGGATCTCGGATTCGGTTATTCTCGATCCACGATCAACCGATGAGATTGAGATGATCAGTATGGGAAAACGAGCGGCAAGTAGTTATGATTCGAGGTACCTTTGCGCTGGCCTCCCATCAACCACGATGGGACCTCTTTTCAACACGCTTGTGACCTCGGGGAATGCAGATCCAGCCTGCTTTGAGTATTCGATGGGGTTCATTTGGATTCATGCGTCGATAGATCCGAAGAACTTCGAGATAGAGCTTGACACCTCTATCGATACGTCATGCAATCCCGTCGATTACATGCTACAACAGATGGGAGAGAAGTCTTGGTTGGTTCAGGCAAAGCTAGCGATGAAGCTTGAGGGGTCCAGCAGGGTGAAAGCCGCCATCTCGGTTCAGATTTTGGGCGTTTCTCAAGTTCGCGTCACTTCTACTTATAAACCAATTACTCATCAGTAGGATGTGTTTCAGAGCCAGGCGCCATACCTTTCGCTTGGGCCATACTATTTGTGTCAAAGTATATTTTCAAATTCAATCATCTTTCCTGTAGAGTCAAACCCTCGCGTGGCGTTGCCGCCGTACCGGAAAGTCTTACTGAAGGGACGAATTAGTATATAGACTCGGCCACTGAGCAAAACTGTACCTCCATGCGATCTGTAAAATGGACTGTCTCGGTGGGTAGGTATACCCATGAGACGCCACATTGACAACGCATTTACTGTATGCGCAGAAGACAGATTTATTTGTGTACCACGTATAGAAAGCACAAGAATAGTCCTAGTCCGAACATTCTACAGCTGGTAGTCGTAAGAAAGGCAAGAGTATACTCGGCGTAAGAGAGCCCATATGACGAATTCTCGATGAATTTCTGCATAAATAATGTCCTCGGAGACCCCTTAACCCGTCAAATTTCATCCCCGCTGCGACCGCCGGGTCCGCGTCGTCTTCTGAACCGGCTCATCTGGCGTATGAGCCATGTCACTTTTGGTTTTCTCCTCTTCTTCCGTTTCGACAGCCTCCAGCCGGTGGAGAAGGTCTGGCAGGTCCCTGCGGAGATCTTCGATACACTTATTTTGGTCCGTCAATTTACAATCTAGGGATCTGGCCTTAGGTTAGCCCATTATTCATTGCTTGGAGGGAATGTAAAACTAACTTCACCCGCACGTCTAGTCTTAAAGTATCATCTATTAGCAAACATCCTGCATTCACGATAAGGGGTGACCCGGACTAACTCTGCGAGGCATGTGAGGGTGAGCACGTTGCTGTCCCTGGGCTGAGACACGTTTCCGCCGTAATGAGGTCTCGGTAGCACCCCGTGTTCGTGGGTACTGGGAGGATCGCCCTGTTGCGGAACAGCTTGGTCCTTCTTATTCGAGGGCATCGATGGCTCTTCCTCGGTAGTGTCTCCAGACAGAGATCGGGATGGGCTTCGACTGTATTCGGACTCCGAGGATGACAAGGACAGTGCGCGCTGCAATCGACGTCGGAAGTCGGGCATCTGCCGAGTGCGTGGAATTTTTCGAATGGCTCCCATAGTTGTGTATCGAATCAAGCGGGGTGCTGCCGACAAATAGACCTGTTTGAAAATTATGACGAGAGTGGCTCTTATATGATTCGTGACGGGTGTGACACTCTACTGTACATGTGTGAAAATAGATCCGGCGAGCAAATGCCCGCAGTGGAAGAGGCCATCGCCCTGAGCCTAGGCCAGCCATATCTGGTCTCACATTGTGAAAATTCAAAGAAGCGGGGCGCAATAAGCATTTGGCAACACTTCAACAGATTTTCAACGGGACAAACGTTGACTAACAAGCTACCTGCACGAATTGAACGTCCCAATCCGCGGCTCGCAGAAAGTTGGCTTCGCGGTTGGACTTGCAAGTCAGCGCCCAGCGATCGGTGCAGCTAAGCTGTCACTTTCAATGTGTCCTGCTAGAAAAGATTCATCTGCGTGCACATTGGGCAGGCTAAGCTCGGGCCATTCTAGCATGGATCAATCGAGCTGATGATTTAATTGAGAATCCATTCATTCAGTGCCTATATTAGATAAATGTAATGAAAGGGTAGATGCACGTCCAAAATTGGGAGCACGCATCGAGGCAGCTACCATGGCAAATTCTACAAACACAAGTTCGAGGCTATGGGCAGTCGATTTGCCAGAGCCAGTCCATTCTTTCGAACTTGTCAGCCAAGTTGAAGTTGTTTCACCTTTGTCAACAACGTTGAGGCATTTTATTTGTCAGGCCTAGACCCAGGAGAGCCAAGGGTTCAGGTGGGGCGGGCCACTCCACCCGCTCTCTCCGCCCCGAACTCTTGAAATTTCTTATTTCAACGTTGATAAACAGCCTCAACACCCAGCAAAAAGGCGGTCGCTCGGTGCAAATTTCGACTGAAGATCTCTGGGTCCGGCAAAATGTACGTAAGTGGTCGCTGCCGAAGGACGTATCCGAGAAGACATAAAAGACGCTCTTTCCCCGTCGAAAAGAAAAGCAGGACTTTCCTCCTCACACTCCCGGGCACCCGGGTGTTCTTCGCAGGATAAGCTCTGCGATATCAAGTGTTCTTCGCAGGATAAGCTCTGCGTTACCAAGTGTGCTTCGCAGGATAAGCTCTGCGATATCAAGTGTTCTTCGCAGGATAAGCTCTGCGTTACCAAGTGTGCTTCGCGGGATAAGATCTGCGTTACCAAGTGTGCTTCGCAGGATAAGCTCTGCGTTACCAAGTGTTCTTCGCAGGATAAGCTCTGCGATATCAAGTGTTCTTCGCAGGATAAGCTCTGCGATATCAAGTGTTCTTCGCAGGATAAGCTCTGCGTTACCAAGTGTGCTTCGCAGGATAAGATCTGCGTTACCAAGTGTTCTTCGCAGGATAAGCTCTGCGTTACCAAGTGTGCTTCGCAGGATAAGCTCTGCGTTACCAAGTGTTCTTCGCAGGATAAGCTCTGCGTTACCAAGTGTTCTTCGCAGGATAAGCTCTGCGATATCAAGTGTTCTTCGCAGGATAAGCTCTGCGTTACCAAGTGTGCTTCGCGGGATAAGATCTGCGATATCAAGTGTTCTTCGCAGGATAAGCTCTGCGTTACCAAGTGTGCTTCGCGGGATAAGCTCTGCGATATCAAGTGTGCTTCGCAGGATAAGATCTGCGTTACCAAGTGTTCTTCGCAGGATAAGCTCTGCGTTACCAAGTGTGCTTCGCGGGATAAGATCTGCGTTACCAAGTGTTCTTCGCAGGATAAGCTCTGCGTTACCAAGGGAGACCCGCAGGAGAGTGCTGCGTCAACAAGTTCTCCCTCGCAGCGATGAGCCCTGCGATTGTAAGAGTGTGCTCCCTCATAGCCAATGAGCCCTGTGTTGTATAAATGCGCTCCCTCGCAGCCAATGAGCCCTGTGTTGTATAAATGTGCTCCGCGGGGACCTTCGCGACATCAAGAGCCTCCGCAGGGGGACGCTGCGAAACCAAGGGAGATCCGCAGGAGACCGCTGCGATACCAAGTTCTCCGCAGGAGACCGCTGCGACACCAAGTTCTCCGCAGGAGAGTGCTGCGTCAACAAGTTCTCCCTCACAGCCCATGAGCCCTGTGATTGTAAAAACGTGCTCCCTCACAGCCCATGAGCCCTGTGACTGTAAAAACGTGCTCCCTCACAGCCCATGAGCCCTGTGACTGTAAAAACTCGCTCCCTCGCAGCAATGAGCCCTGCGTTGTAAACATGTGCTCCGCAGGGACGCCTGCGTTACCAAGAACCTCCGCAGGAGACCGCTGCGACACCAAGTTCTCCCTCACAGCCTTGAGCCCTGTGATTGTATAATTTTGAGCTTCCAAGCAGCCTTGAGCCCTGCGTTATCAAATTTGTGCTTGTTAGGCGACCCGTGGCGCCGCGGTCCTCGTCCTGATCCTCTGACGATTGCAGGCACCTCTTCGTGGTGTCAGAGACTAGTATTCGAGGGCACTCGAAGAAGCCAAGACCTGCAAACAACCTGTAGAGATCTAGAATTCATTAAGACATGGTCTAGAATGACTTCAGTATTGTGTGTTGTTGTGATATGAGGCTGGTGCAGATCAGGAACCAAGCCGAACCATCGGAATTAATCCCGAGATATCCATACGAAGAACCAAGTCGATTTCCAATCAACTTTCCCTTCTCGTTGTATATATATAGCCTAATGTTTCCCTCTGAGCAATAATACAATTAATACCTCTGAACTACAACACTGTCATTAACTCAAAACTCCGTCTTCACAGGTGGAATACGTAGTATAGTTCGTCCCTCCACCTCATAATTTTCGAGCTTTTCCATCACAACGTTGACGTCCTCCAAATCAAACACCTTTACATGCGTTGAAACATGCCCATCAACGGCCATTTGCAGCAGCTCTGCCATATCTTTCTCTGTTCCCACTGCACTTCCAACAAATTTTATACCCTAATGTAAAACAAATACATAAGATGAATACGTCCTATATCATAGGAACAGGCTTTCCCTTACCTCTATTCACACAGTCAACAGCGCTCATGGGAATATGAAGCCCAAGCTCTGGAAGCCCAACACAAATAAGAGTCCCAAGGGGTCGAAGAAGCTTCACTGCCATTTTATAGGCTTGCGATGCCCCGACCGCGACGATGACTGCGTGGGCTCCGAGACCACCGGTAATGTCATTGATTCGCATTTCGGCCTGACATCCAATCAGCGAAATACATATATTTTGAAAACAGAAGAATTGGAATTATACATTTTCCGCCAGTGAGACGAAGGTAGCGGCACCGTTCCGAATGCAAATATCTCGTTTGGCTTCACTATACGGGGCACACTATCAGCATCTTCCCACCACAGGCTCGATTTGGGGCGCTTGCCTGTCAACAGCAATAATTCGATAGCCTAAGGTTACACCAATTTGGATGCCTCTGCAGGCCGCATATGATTTAGTCGGCTGTAGAGCGGTCGCGATCACTTCATGTTGCACTTACAAATGGCCCAGGCCACCCCCAGCTCCCAAGATAACAACCCAGTCGTTCCTCTGACAGTACTTTTCCAGCTTCCTCAAGGCCCCAAACATCGTGACACCAGCTATAGGTGATTATTAGTTACAACTGCAACTGCCTGCTCAGGGGCATTCATACCACACAACAAAGGTGCCGTTGCTTCTATCTCAAGGCCTTCGGGGATAACAGTTGCAAATTCAGCGGGTAAGGTCACGAATTCTACATCAGTCTATCAGCTTTTGCCTCGTTATATTGCCAGGTTAAAGGTATCTCAACGTTGAAAGGTTCCTCGGGCACTCTAGTAAAATATTACGGCCAGTAAGCATCTTGAACAAAAAGTAGGCAGGCTGGAAAGGGCTTTGATAACCAGTGATGCTCACCCGTCCTGAATTAATCTGGTTTGGACAGTGATTGTTTTCGAGATGGCAGATATCACATTGGCCACAACTGCTTCGGAGCCATCTGTAGAAGATGAGAAAAATCTATGTCAGTCATTCGGGAGTCGAAAAATCTACTATGGGGAATATACTTGACTCCGACATGTCTGTCGATTAGATCTGCAGATGTGTTGGGTCCCACTGTATAAGTTACTATATAAGGCATCGGTTCGGAGAAGTTCAATATGAGAATGCAGCTACCTTTCACCACGCGTCCTACTCCTTCGTGGCCAGGGATATCTGTCGTGCTTGGGAGATCTCCATGGATGTAGTGGATATCTGAATGGCTATTTATGACGAGCAGGAATATGTTAGTTGGTATTTGAAGCTGTATATGATGTTATCCGACTATATAAACTCTAAGCTCACCAAAACCCCGTGTACAGCAGATTAACCAGAATCTCACCCGCTCGAGGCTGGGGTACTTCAATGTCGTTTCTGATCAAAAGCGTAGCTTCGGGATGTGGCTTCTCTAGCCATGCGGCAACTTGGGTGGTAGGAATCTTCATCGGTCGTCGAGTTTCTAATTGAATGGCGACTCTGATGCGATCTGTAGATACATATTTTCAAGCAGCTACTTTCCGCTGACCACTTATAGAAAATGGTCATTCCAAACTGGGGTTTTTACCCCATTACCGCATTGCCCCAACATCTCCACTATCCCCACAATGTCCGTGGTCATCGCGAAGTGCACTGGAATGACACAATTAACCGAGGTGCTCGAAAAAGGCCCTTCTTTGTCTCCTTTCAAAATTACTTCGATTTTAGCCCCTTAAATGAGGATGTCCTTTATCAAACCCCCGCCCGGCAAGGTCATGACTGGTGTAGCAGCCAGAACTGGCGACCCAAGTCCCTCAAACATGTACTCAGCACTCACAGATTGCGTTCGAATGAGCCCCCAGCGATAATTGTGGATGCGAGGGGCAACGGCCAGGGCGAAGGAAACACATTCGGTCGATCCCTCCACACAGAGACCGCTTACACACACACTCGATAGCGCTATTGAGCGCACAGTCCGTGAAAGAAACAGCCAGGATTGGGACCACAAGACCGGATATGTGATCCACTTCAAAACAAGGAATCGGCCAATGTGTCCTGCAACAAATCTAAATGGCTGAACGAGCTGGGTAACTACACGAGACTAGTCCAACCGCGATTCGGAATCGTTGTGCATCTTATGCCAACAGAGGGCTTTGGGCTGGAAAGGGCGAAAATGCAAGTTATCGGGAAAAATCAGAGAGGAGAATGGACTGTCCAACCGAGGTTTCCGCATCCAAGAGGTTTCATGGGGTTGAAAAATATGGGGTGTTAGGGAGGTTCGCATCGCCAGGCATCTGGTCAGATATACATCGATTGTGTGGAGCGCTGTGAAATCAAAAGAAGCAGACAATGTTTCCCAAGCGAACAATTGGACACATGGCGTAGTTTTGCAAGGACACACCGCGATATGGACACTGCACTGGCTGATAGGAGGGACAACGATGCGCTCTGAGCGTACGCCCAAGAGCCGACCGTCTGTGCCAAAGTCTCACACACTCAACCCCTCCACAATGGTTGAGATATACCCGTGAGTACCTCAGTTGAACGTCGTGAAGTTGGGGCCGGGGTGGCAGTGCTCATCAATGACCACCAGAGCCAGGCACCATCGATCACCGCATATCAAACACACGTCAACCACCGAGCTTGTCGGTTGTACCGACCGACCGTTGGAAGTGATTCAGTCTGATCCACGTCAACCAATGAGTCTCACATCTTCTCATCTCAGATCCCCATGTGACCGTCTCGTCCCAGGACCTGCCTTCATGAATTATGTACTCATACACGGACTCGTCCAGAAAATCTATCCTGAGCACCAAACATCAACTTTCCTTCTCCACGACGGATCCCCGATGCGCCCCAATTATTGAAGTCAATGGAGACAGCCTTGCAAATCATGGCAATCGTCCCGGGAGGCGACCTACGGATCTACACTTGATCCGTGTTCGCCTAAAGGCCCCCTTGGGTTCAATGCGACCGCATTGCTACGCCTAGCGCATATCCGGATCCAACAAATTTTCACTAATCCCAACACAACCTGTATCTCTCGGTATCAATCATTGGGCCGAGTAATTCTGCAATGCATTCACGCTCTCAGCATCCCGGTTCGCGTCGGCGTTCCATACGTGGCACGGACCCGATCACTGCTCTGGAGCATTCAGCATTCGATATGCAACCATGACTGCGCGTTCCTTCTAACCGGATAGATACAAGAAATCACCAAGGCTTTCAGTATCGGAGGACCAGGTGCACTACGCGAAGACGAGGACAAACTGCTGGCTATGATAACGAGTCTAATTCAGGAGACTCATCTACAAGACACGTCTGGATTAGGTATAATTATTTCTATATTTGTTATAGTGGATGGCTTTTTCTGAGGGTCGAGGGTCATGCCGAGGTCTGGTCACTCAGGTACCGGGCCAACAGACTAAGCGCGCTCTAGCGCTTATTGTTTATATGGATTGTTCTGGTTAAGTTTGACGTCAATGGCAACTAAATTCCGTGAGTTTTATTTACATCGACGTTAGTCTTTGAGGGTCATGGAGGCCTTTGGCCGTATATCATGTACACTCTTGTATACAAATGATTGGATAGATCCCTCAATTCGCGTCGAACACCCGCCAGCAAGGCTTCGATTTCAACGCGTTCCCACCTGAGCACGCGTGTGAAGAGTGCGTATGTGTATGACGGCATGGCCTCGAGCATGTTCAGTTGATGGTATTTACCGAGCTCCAAGAACTCAGGGTCTTTTGACCAAGGACTTTGAGGGAGCTATATTGCGATCAGCCTGGTTTCCCCTCGAGTCCCAATGGCAATATCACATACTTTGTAGATCTCTTCCCGGACATTGACAAATCCCGCTTTCTTTATCCAGTCGCTCCATGAAGGGACAGAATGCATGGCCTTCCCAAACGACCTTGCTGATGCATATATGTTCTTTACGCTGTTCAAAAGATAGGTCGATTTGAGATGCGTGCCGTCATCTGACATAGTGTTGACTTCAAAAGTAGCCATCTCGAACCATCCATTTGGTTTGAGGTTGTCAAAAGCTTGCTGAAACAATTGTTTGTGATCCCGAATTGCCCCTTCTAGCTCACGGCCGTGAATGTAGTCAAATGGTGCGTTGTAGTTCCAGGGCTGTTCAAAGTCATCAACTTCGAATTTACAATTCGGCGGTACCCTGTGCAAGTCAGTATCCTGTATCACAGAGTTGCCGCTGAGTTGTACCATGTCGGTTGAATGGGACTGAGATCAATACCTCCGGTATGTTAGTGAGGGTCCCAAGTCGGGGAAGGGTTATATGTATTTACCAATCACTTCTGATACAGGATGTACACTACGTCAGGTCAGTGAAATGCCTCCCCGCGGCTTTGTGAGGCGAACTTACTCTGCGAAATCAATTGCCCATATACCCGTCCCTGTGCCAAGGTCCAGCACTCTTCCTGGATTTTCGACTGGTGCCCGATGGAGCTCCCCTTTTAAAAGCATCAAATAAATGTGATGACTCTGTGTTTGTTAGTACTCGCCACGGCAGGTCCGCCTCTCCAGTCCGGGTAAGCACTAACCAAATCGAGACGATCTTGTTCCTGTTCATCGTTGGGCTGGGCCAAGTTGTCATCAGATTAAAACCACATATTGTTCGGAGTCACATACCAGAAGGTATTCCCCCTCGTGGTATGAATGATACCTGCGACCGTTCTAGACACTAAGCAAGGATTCAGGATGGTGACATGATCAGTGGCATACTTCATACCTGAAAAAATGCGTAATTAACGATAGTTCGTGTGGTGGGGAAAAAGGAAATATGAACAGGTTACACATACTGGTAATTCAGAGCACTGGAGGTGATACTTGTAGTGCAATTAGCATCGTTCACCCTTATGAAAAAGGTCAGCAGGGTTCACAGCTCACACCATCACTAGCCACAAGACTTACGAGTCAGGATAGACTGAGTCGATATCTGACAGCTATACACAGGATATTAAATCTTGGAAGTCCTAGTCAATTTTCGGAGGGACTAACGTCAGGCTCGATGGTGGCCGAGCTGTATGCCATGTGATGCATTCCTGATCTCCAAAATCGGGAACCCCAAGCAGGGGACGAGGGAGAGCCGACAGTGCAAAGGTTCAGAATAGGGGAGACTAGAGTGAGTGGGTAATTGAAATACTGCCCTCGACAACAGCCACAGCGACTGGGTCATATGACACCGCCGGTTTCACGACCGCTATTAGTGACCCGGATTGCCGGGTCGCATGCTATTCAGCCATATTTTGCACGGTCCTCCTGTGCTCCCGCGGGGCTTTAGTTTGCAGCCAAGGAAGGAATCGATCGCTAGCGTATTCAACGCGCCGAATTGATTAGCTCGTCCGTCGATATAGATCCGCAGAGCCAAGAGGGGGCTGCCCCAATCAGCGGCCGTGGTGGGTAGCTGCAATGGGTCGAAAAGCTGCGATGCGACTGGTTTTCCACTAACAGGCCCATGGGCATGGGGATTTGGGGCTCGTCATGGGGCCTCTTCGCTTTGGATAATGATCATCGGGCGAAGCAACAGCGGCTTAGGCTCTTTTCATCTCCGCGTGGACAGAGTCTCTTCAATTGAAACGCAATTGCCTTGCCCATGGCCTGGTCATGCCAGAACCGGGGATACTTGACGATGGAGGAACATGCCAATTGGGAGATATCAGGCTCGAGAGACCGTGTGGTTATGATTACCTAAGCTGCATGCAGTGCTGAAGCCGACAGTCTGGATGGTCACCACTAAGAGTGGGGGCTACCCGCACAAAACGAACTAAAATGCAGCGGACCGAGCACATCCGCGATACGGCCGCACATGTTTCATTGTAGTCGATATCATGCTTTTGACGGTATTAGTGCCTTCCAGCGCTACTAATAGCCTTTGATGCCCAGTCGAGCATCGCGCGTCCATAGGCCCTTCTTGAAGAGCCATTTGCAGCCAATTATGACCTTCGGTCGGTACATCTTTGTGCCGAGCCTTCTCCCACATTCTGTGCGCAGAAAGAGATGGATAATTTTCTGGATGGCTGCCCGCCATTCTTCGCCCATAAAGAGAGTAGACGAGATCACTGGTCATCGACATCTCATGCTGAATTCTTTTGACTGGTGTAGGGGTTTCACGCGCTTCACAGGTGCCTCCGTCCCTGTTTCATTGTGAGCGCAAGGTACGTTGGTCAGGTTCAGCCAGGTGCGTGGCACGAAATATGCATTCTTCAACACCAGAGGCTGGTTGAACTTCCCCCGGAGCGTGAGCTTCACCGTACCAATCCCTTCGGCTTCCACTGGATCACCCGCCGTGTCCAACATCTCGCGGTGGGGCCGCAGACTGCTGAAGCAGCTCCGGTCCCAGCAGATGTGGCTGGTGGCGGCCAAGTCCAGGATCCACCGGGGGGTGGATGTCCGCCGAAATGGGTTTGGCGTACTTGAACAGACAGTCGGGACGCTGGAGGTCGCCCAACACTCACATCCCAGACCTGCCTTGCTTTGAGGTAGGAGGTCATGAGGCGTTTTCAGGTGGCGAAGTTGTCGCTTCTTATCAGAGGCTCAATAGCCGTCGGCTCGGCCAGGCGAGTCGTGAACCAAAGCAGACATGGTGATGCTTGTGAAAGCAGGGTAGATATATAGTTAATATAATCAAGATGATTCTCAGATGAGTGGAGGCGGCACCCAAGAGTTTGCTCCCGGGCTCATAACCTCTTGTAGTTCAGAGGTATGAAATTGATTGTTCTTGTACCAAGGGAATAACTAAGGCTATATCTCCAATGAGAAGATCAAGTTGGTTAGAAATCGACTTGTTCTTCGTATAGACACCTCGGGATTAATTCCAAGGTTGCTATTAGGTTCCTGATCTGCACCAGCCTTTTATCACAACAATGGCGCCGGGGCGGGGGACGATTGGGGGACGATTGGGGACGATTGAGGGACGATTGGAGTTCTCTGTGTGGGGAACAACGATAGGACTTCGGGGACCAGGATGAGTTTCGAGACTCAATGTGGGGAAATGTAGAAATGTGATGACCGAATATGACGTCACAGTTCTAGAGAAGTGTCGCTGCTAAGCCCGAAAATGATGGATCTCGCCAGTATGAACATAATTCCCGCAAATATGCCTGCTCCCTCCAAGGAGAATAGGAAGCAGGTCGAGGCCAATGGCCAGACCGGCGCCAATGGAAACATCCCGCATCCCAAGACAGACAAGCCTCGGCCCCATGTCTGCACCACTTGCGACAGCTCCTTCGCCCGATTGGAGCACCTCAAGCGCCATGAGCGCTCTCATACGAAGGAGAAGCCTTTCGAATGCCCCGATTGCGCCCGCTGCTTTGTGCGCCGAGATCTGCTCCTCCGCCATCAACAGAAGTTGCACATGACTTCCACCTCGTCATCTCGTCCCAGACATGGTCGTCAAGAGAGCACGAACGGTGCTCCTGGTGGCGCCAATCGTGTGCGCAAGAACTCTGTCGCTAACACACCATCGATGCGCCCGAGGGCGAACACCATCAGTCATGTCAGCGAGAACCCGTTGGGTCTTCCCGACGGCACCAACCCACCCTCGGCACGAAACCACTCTGACTCGGGCCATGCGTATCACTCTAGTTTGGGATCTTCCGTAGGCTCGAGTATGGACTATAAGGGTTTAAGCTCTGAAAACCCACCGGTAAATGGCTTGTCGGAGCTGGAAAGTTCAGGGCTTCTCATGGATATGCCTGATAGTCTTCGAATGGCCCCCGCATACGGTAGCTTTGACATGGGCATCGATGGTACGCTGATGGGCCACGGCAGCACCATCAACCCGGCAAAGTATAACTTTCCAGGTTCTTCCCAAAGGTTCCCGCTTGGCCAACACGCCAATGACATGCGTCTCACGATGAATGAGGAGATGAACTTTGACTGGATGAATGAGTTCGATACGGCCGTGGCGCTGGAAAACGACAATAACTCGTCCATCAACGAGTCGTCGCCCTCGGCGATGAGCATGGGCAGCCGGTGTGGGGTCAGTGAGGCCATGCTGGATGGCCCCATCCGTATCCCTATCTCCAATGACTGGCACAGCCCGTTCCCTGCGCACGCTTCGGCCAACCAGTTCGCCATCGGCCTCTCACCGACGACGTTGGCCGAATTGGGGATCCCGTCGAAAACCGTACCGCCCAAGTCACTGATGGCGCAGAGCCCGTTTGCCGAGAACTACGTCACCCCTCCATCCATGACCTCGGCTGGCCAGCCCATCGTGAGAGAACATGCGCAGATTCCCAACGAAGTCGACATTCCCCAGTCTCAACATATACCGTGAGCCTCGCGAGATTGATTCCTCTGGCGAGTCCGTGTCACTCTGTGGTGACATCGAGAAGGGAGCGTTCGCTCGGCTTGTGGCTGCATTGAGCATAGCGTAGTTTGGAGAAAAACAGTCATCTTCGTATCGACGATTTGACAACATGGTTAGCTGGCTTCCAAAATGTCTGAGTGATGAGAACATACTTTGCCAGCTTTGTTTCATGAAGTAGGTCATAGTGGCAGCATTGAATCGCCGTCTGTATTGGGGCATCGCCAATGCAGTCCCTCCGCTGGATATTCTCGATCAACCATCAAGGATTAGCAGCTGGGACAAGATGGCCGTTCGCAACTCACCGTGCTTGCATGCGATTCCCAATGCCAGCCACGATACAGTATCTTGATTAAATCCATGGGAACCAGCCGAAACAGGCTGAAATTCAATGCATCCATCTCCACTTCGGCATTATTTCCAGTTACCGAGGACTGTACATACCTGCTGTCAGTGTAGTTTGGTATCGAGCATAGACTACGAGAGACAAGGCAGCAGGCGTCAGCTTGATAACGTACACGAGGGACCAAGAGCAGTCCGTACCAGAGAAAATGGATGTGGGCGCAGGCCCATATCTTTCAATATATAGCTATATCAGTTTGCTGTTTGCACGGACACAGGCAGTGGCCAAGCGGACGTTCAATCGTGTCAGAACAAAGGATCGCTGGAGGAGAGATATATTATATTTGGTCTAGGGTAGACTTGGAAATGACCGGGTAGCGACTGCTCCCACGGAGGGAGATCCGGGGTACTTGCTCAGCTGCAACCGGGGCTTGACAAAGCTGGCCTAAGACTGTGGCCGGTGAATCGATCCATGACTGGTCGATGTTTCTTTCGAAGAAACCGTGGGTTTTCTAGGTGGTCGTCGGTGCTAGGCTTCCTCTTCGTTCTTGTCGGATGCTGCGATAGCTCGGTCCAGCATGGGACCGGATCTCGTCTGCTGGCGAGGCTTTAGATCGGAAGTGGGACAAGAGATCCAGAGCCGTCAGAAAGAAGACGATTTCTAAAGCAGTGACAGTTAACCTTTGGTCGAACAGGATGAAGCTGGGAGAGATGAAGACACTTTTGGAACACTACCGTATGGCTAATTGGAGGGTATCGAGCCTTCTTGGATCGGGGCCGCTAAATACATCGAGCGAAGGGCCGTTTCAATGGGTGTTTTGGAGCAAAGAAGGCATAACCATATGTGAGCCAGTGGTCCGGCCCGTCGTTCATCAAGCTTGGCTTTAAGGACGATGGGGAAGTACGGGTCGGTCGTGTCGACTGTAATATTGGCATTTGTCCTGCGACAAGGAGACATCAGCGATATTTCCCGAAAAACAGAGAGCACGAATAGATAAGATTTCAAGTAAATAGCATTCGGATTGAGATCCAAAATACAGCCTTGGCCATGGGATCAGGCAGAGGCAATGCACCATGGTGACTTACAAGACATTGAACGACTCGTGATAGAACGGTCGACTTCCCATACAATGAGTCGTCAGCACAGGCTGACCACTTTCGAAACTGACATGATGATCAAAACTTACTTTGCTAGCTACTGCTGCGCGTTGCATTCTGGCACGGTCAGACCGACTGCGTAGTGCATGGCCTCGATCTATGATAAATTATCGGTAGGTAGCTCATGAGGGCCCTAAGTTACTCGCTGTCTCCGCAGTCGGGGCTATTTTAAAACTCATTCAAGGTCCGCCGATTGAATCCGTACAGGACCAGTGGAGACGGGACTGATTCAAAGCATCCTCCACGTCAGCATGGTCTCAAATGACTGGGAAAGTACACTTATGTACCATTCACAGACTTCAGTATCGAGCGTAGACAAGCTATGGGTGATACAACAGGTCAGTTTGGTCACAGGTGCATGACAGTTCGGGATCAGTTCATAGCGGAGGAGAGTAGTTGGCGAATTCAAAAAGCGTTCGATATTCTTTACCCCAGAATGACAAAGGAATGCTTGAAAACGACGGCTCTGCTGGCGAGGGATCTGGTATTTATCGCATTGCAGCCAGCCCTTACGCTAGCGTCGGTGTAATGGTCATTGCGAATTGTGAGGCCGTCAACAGAGCTGGCCCTTAAACTGCAGCTGGCCCAGCATTTCCTCATTAAATTTGCCTATATTCCAGAGGAATCAGACTCTTCCTTGATGATCCAATATATCAAAGACATTTTCTCACTGTTGTCACCGTTTCAACACTTCCGATGATATCACAAAAAGCATCGACGACACGTTGAAACATCCATCAATGTGGGTCCGTACGCCATTACTACAGGAGGCGGCACAAAAGTGGTCATGTTATTTCATTCCACTCACCGATGATGAGCGCTTTCTTCCACTCAAAGAATGTCCCATCCCAATCATACAAACACCAAGCCATGTTGCGCCTCTAGCTACCTACTAGCCCAACCGCAGAATTGTTCATGTTCATCAGCATTGATGTTTACCTTATTCTGCACAATAACAGGCAGATACGTACTGTACAAGTTACGGTGCGGCGTGGTCCTGATCTGCACAGCCCCCGTATCACAACAGTGTCCCTTGTTCTCCCGCCTGCTCTTACCAACTCTCCTTTTCTTACAGTACATTTTCAGAAGCTCTGGAAAATTGGAAAATGACATCAGCACAGTGCCTATGGAATTGCTGCTTGAATCGGTCGTGACGTTGTAATAATCTGAAGTTACATCCATCCCCCCATATCAATACTCCACAAAATAATGGACTGGGGACGCGCGCTGCTGCACGCTGTAAGCCCTGAAACGACGTGAAAGCGGAAGCAAAAATGCCTTAGGAAAAGTTGGTATATATATGTTGTTGCAAAGCAATACTAAGATATTTGAGAGCAGACTCTAAACAAGACCGTCTTGAGGACCTGTACTTAGCAACCAAACTCAGCGCGAAACTGAATTTTTTCCATGCTGGAAGACCTATCCACATACTTATCCAGAGTAGCTTGAAACAAATCATATGTTAAATTCGGGATTGACGTCATCAGTTCTTGCGTAAAAACCGGCGTTGTATTCCGGAGAAGCGGGAAATTTCCAATATCATTTCGATTGCTAATTGTCTCAGTCCATTGTAGTTGGCTCGGGTTAAATACACCTCCTCCATGATATCTGCAAAGGGCGGTGCTTCCATGGAATTCAGAAACGATTCGCAGAAATGTCTCTCGGCTTTGCTTTTCAGATCGTGGATCATTAAATAGTCCGCCTCGCCATACATACGCAGGCGAAAGTAACACGGATCATAGTTGACTGATGCATTGACTACAGGAACTGCCATATACCCGTCATCCCGATTCTCGGTAACGTATGTTGGGGCGTATCCGTCAGTTGCAGTAGGTTCGCTATTCATCTTTGGCCCCTGCTCCGGTTTCCTTAGAATATTCCCGGGAGTTGCCGTAACGGGTTCATAGGAATTTTCATCAATAGTAGTACGATTTCAAGGTATCGTGGATGTCTTGCACAGTCTGTTGCAAATTACTCATGTGGTGAATTCGAGTGAGATCAGACTCGAACACATTCCCCTCTTGAGCTGTCATCATATTTCACGGAAAATGATAACTCCTTTACTTCAGATGAGATGCGTTCCTGGCGACTGAAATGAATATTAGCGACTCAAAACTAATTACAGGCATTTGACTCTGACCATTTTTGCAAATTGCTATTCAAGTACAGTAATGATTCTGGGTCATTGGTGTTCTATTCCTTTCAATTCGAAGCAGAAACTCAAACTCTACCATCGAAAGGGCTTGTCGATATTTCTCGCTCAGGTCCTCCATCAGAAATGAGAGTATATGTTACAAGATGAGGCTCCAAGGATGCATACAGTAAGGCAGGTAGCTATGCGTACTGATTTCAATTGGGCACATTGAGGCCTTGAAATATCATTACAGGTAATTTAAGACGGATGGTGGCCTTTGACAGTACGATTACCAGAGCAGCACCGCCACATCAGATCCGACTCAGGGAAGAGTTTTGTTTTTATTCGGTAACATAAATTTCTAGTGTGAAACGAGATTTACATTACCCGAAATAATGCGCGATCCCTGATGGCAATCTCAAGATACTTACTCTCAGCTCCAAAATTACACAGCAAAGGAAGAAAGGAGAGTTCGTATATGCTATAAAAAGTGAAGTTTCCAGCGAATCTAAACGAAATAACCGAAATTTAATTTCAGTTGAGTACAGTACCGTAACCAACACAAAGGGGTAACAAATGGGGGTGATGCAACACGCAGGTTCTGCTCGATGGGAGAAAATTACGTTACGAGAGATAGCGCGTTGCCGACTCACATCCAAGATTACGTACAAAATCTAGTACATATCCGTAAACCATTGAGACCTTGAGACTTTAGGATGACTACGGTCATTTTCGAAATGAGTTTGCTCTCCTCTTACTGCTCGACCTCAGGAATAAAAGTCGGGGATTCGTTACTTGGTTCCAACACACTCCCTTGTACAGCTTGAAAGCTGATTGTAAATTTGTAATACCTAACAGACTTAAATGAAGATAATACTTCGACGCGTAGATGGCCTCGCATAATGTTTCTGAAATCTGTTGTTACAGCAGCTCGAAATATTGGATACTTCTATTTCAGCACTTTTATTTGAACACCCCAACTTGAGCGCTTCATTTGAGCCTTTCTTTTGAGCGCTTCATTTGAGCGCTCCATTTGAGCGCTTCATTTGAGCGCTTCATTTGATCATTGTGAATGGAGCAGTACACTCCAGAAATAGTAAGAGCCACATTACGATGATGTATTGTTACCATACACAGTAGTTTTCGAAATCAGTTATACCTTCACCCTCTAATCACTTGATTTCTCGGAAAATAATCCAAAGTCTGCAAGTTCTGGTTGGATAAGTGGCGGGCATCTCTAGACCGTCTTCTATAATAGTCTGGTCTCTTGCAATGTATCTCACACAACGGGACTTGACGCTACCAGCCCCTCCATTTATTGAGAGTGACTTTCTCATCCACCGTACAGTACCTTTTTACTTTCTGAGTGTTCAGCAACAGGGAAAATTGGAGCTAGTGTTGTTCAAGAAACGAGAAGGGCTCTGAGCGGAAGAAAATTTGCTCACTTTGGTGCATTTTCAGGATCCTGCAAGCCCAGAGAGGACGACGCTTTAAAATTTACGAGCAAACAATCTCTAATCTCCGACCTTATAATAACAGTGATTTCTCTCTAAATATGCCAAACAATATTCATATCATAAAATTTCGCCCATTTTTCACATGACCACTTGATCGAACGGAAACCCCCCCCTCAGAACACCTGAGGCATCTTAAGATGGTCTTTAGACATTTTGTATTCAAACGACCCAATGCCATTTCATTCCCAGCCTCTGGAAACGAACAAAGCTTTCTTGGGAACATATCCAGCAAATCGTCTTTGCCAAGTTGCCGCAAATGAGCCCTCAATTGGACCCAAATCTCCAAATCCAATTATTTCAAGAGCCCATGGTATCAGCAGCGCCAGAATGCCCAACGCAATGAGAGTAGCATAAACAGGATGGTCCGTTGCAAAGTCAGTAGCTGCATCTTTACTTCGGGCCGCAGCATCAGCCGCAGCTTGCGCCATCTCCGCACCGGCTTTGATTGCATTCTCTAGACCGCCAAGAGTAGCTCTTGCTATGGCATCAGACCAGCCGTTGGTGGAGACCTCCTCATTCAGTTGTTTGTCAAGCAGATAGGGGTCCTCGGCGTTCAAGATTTTGGTGACAATACTGGAAGCAACGGATTCGGGGGATCGTGAGGAAGTGGGTGGAAGTGGCTCCCTCGCCAACTTGCCCAGAACACATTCGAGGATGGAGCTGAATATTACACACACACACACAATTCATTAACGCCCGGCGGCTGAACCGAAAGGCGAACGGTGGTATCTTCTGAATTTCTTGATCTGAGCTGTATTGCTGCGGAGGGGATTGGTTAGCGGTAGGGTGTGCATGTCGGTCCACATCTTCGCAGCTCGTCTCCAGAGCCGGTGTTGCACCGTGGCGATGTGAGCCTCCGCTTCCGCTACGCTGGTCGCAACTGTGAGGAATGTCCCGACAATCGCTTGCGCTCCTACCCTCTGCACTCTGTTGATCGGCCCGATGTTCTTATTCTTGAAAGCATGCATCCAGGCATTAGAGGATAGTCCACCACCGGGGCCACCGTCGACGTGAACAGCTGCCGCGCTGTTGCTGGAGAGAGACCGCGAAGTCGTCGAAGCTCCATCGCTGCCTCGAGACCCTTGGACGCTGCCCTCGCGATATATTCCTCGTATTTGAGTCTCGTATCCATTATGACGCCAAGAATCTTGACATGGTCTTTTGGTACAACGATTTCTCCTTTGATGATGAAGGGCCCCGAGTCCGATTTGTGGGCCTTGGGGGCGAAGTGTATAACTGCGGTTTTCTCTGCTTCAAAAGTGGCTCCACTCCTTATTTCCCAGTCGAGTGCCTCATTGACGATTGTTTCGATACCTTGCCGGTTGCTCTGCGCAGTCGGTCCGGTTACCCACGCAGTGAAATCATCCACGAAAGCAACCGCTCCTCCCTGGCCATCGATCTGCCGCTGTACGAGGTCTGCATTGAAGAAGAGAAAGAGGATCGGGGACAGGGGTGAGCCCTGAGGCAGTCCAGCCTGTGGGAGGCTTTGGGCCTCAGATGCTTGCCCATTGATTTGGATGGTCGCCGTTCGCTCCGAGCAGAACGCTTCGACCCACCGAAGCAGAACCTCCGGTATACCTCGCGCTTTCATCCTTTGGAGTAATCTTTCCTTACAGACCCCATTGTAGGCTCTTTTGACATCGAAGCTGATCAAGCTCACGACCCGTCGGCCACGCCACGCCGCATAGATTTGCTCTTGCAAGAGTAAGAGTGCTTGCTCCGCTGGCCATTGCTTACTCGCCCCAAAGTGGCTGGTCGGAAGCAGGCCGTAGGTTTCCACTACGTCTGAGATTCTTTCTGCGATGACTGATTCCAGCACCTTGCCCAGTGTCGCGAGGAGTGAAATCAGCCTCCAGGCCTTCGCAATGGTATAGTTCTCTTTGTTCGGTTATTTGAGCGGTATGATCTTCGCATGTCTCCACTGCTTGGGCAATGTGCATTCTTCCAGCGACGCTTGGAATAGCTCCAGGACCCCGTGCTTGACCACGGGCCACGTCATCTTCCACACTATCGCTGGTAGGCCATCTTCACCAGGTGCTTTCCAAGATTTTGTCGCCAACAGCTGCCGTTCGACCTCTTCCATAGTGATGGCAGATATCTCCACGGGCGCTCTCTGCGGCCTGGTCCTTTCATCGTCAATTCTGTCGGGCAGTGGCGGGAAGAATTTGGTCAGTAGTTCCTCCGCTTGCTCTTTATGATCGGCGGTCATGGTTCCATCCGCCCTGACGAGCTGTAGGACCTTCCCGAATGCCGCATCATCTCCCGACTTTAGGTATTTCGCGGCTTCCCATATATTATCGTTATCGGCCAGAAACTCATTCCAGTGCTTCTTCTTTTGTTTCCGTATTGCATCGTGGTATTGTTTCGCTGCACTCGCGGCCATGTTCTCCAGGTGCGGCACTTTCCGTCCTGCCCGTCGCTCCGAGCGGGCGTGGTTTCTCCAATTTGTGTATATCTGACGGATTTGTGTCAGGTCCGCCGTCCACCATCGCTTTGCGAGTGGCGACGGTTTGGCCCTCGGCGTCAAAGCACGCACCACTTCCGACACCGCGGACATGAGCCGATCGGCTTTTTGCTGTACCAAGCCTTCCGACGGAGCGGTGACTAAAGTTCTCGCTATTCTGGCATTTATCTCTTTCCATGGTGCATTTTTCAGTAGCAGTCGCTCTGGCTGCTTAGGAGCCGGCCAAGGAGCATCGAAAACGGTCTCAATGGTGCGGTGGTCCGAGCCGTGCTCCGTTCCATGTACTGCACACTTCCATGTACTGCACACTTGACCATCGAGTCTGTCAAGTTTTCCGAGGTGAGAACGAGGTCGATCGTAGACTCGCAGTCCCCAGAATGTCCTCCGCCGTGCCATGTCTTGGTGCCCCGTTTAAGCAGGCTGCTGAGTGCAAATTCATTCATGAGGTCGATGATGGATCCGCCTCGCCTTGCCTGCCCAAGGACACATCGTCTCCTCCCCAGAGTTGATCATGGCGGTTGAAGTCTCCCACGATAATGATTTCCACCACCGTCCCCGTGCCTCGCCGTACCTTTGTGATTGCTTTTCTGAGGCGATCGCATGCGTCGTCCAATGCAGAGGCATCCCCTCCCTCTACAAACTGATGCCATAAAAATCAGCCGTTCGGGAAGCCGGATGACAGCCGCTGTCAGATCCGGCGACTCGATCCGGACTTGCTCCGCTTCCATATCTCTATTGACCCAAAGCATGCTTCGGATTGCCCATCTACCTTCCCTCCAGGTGGAGGGAACCATCTTTGTCCATTTGTGATGCTCCACCGGGGTGGTCAAGAGCCGGCCTTGAATCATCCTCGCCTGGGGTTCCTGAATCGCCAGTGCCACTGCGTTTTGAGTATCTTCGTCGTTCATGAGACTCTCATGCACTGCTCCCTGTTTCCGTACATTCATTTGCATTATTCGGAGTGTTTTATTCATGACGTGACGGGTAGAGCTTCCGGCAGTTCTTGCTATACGATTCATGTGGCGCACCACACAGGATGCACTTTAGAACCGGTTGGTCGCAGCAACTGTGGTGGTGGCCCTCTGTGGCGCATTTTGCACACATCTGGATCTTCTTGCATTGAAATGCCTTATGACCAATATCCTGATAGTTGTAGCATTGCGTTGGTCGCAGTCGATACTCAAAGACACTGGTTGTCCCAGATTCTCCTCCAACGTGGAAGTATCCCTCAGCCAGGAGCCTCCGCGCGTCAGTCGCTTTGGTTAGGTACAAGACCATCGATCCATAGGGCTTTGCGGCTTCTTTACTACTGAGCCACGTTATTTTGGCGATTGTGGTTTCATTCTCCTCGCCAAGGGCAACCGCGGCTCCTGTTAGGACGTCGTAGTTTTCATCCAGTACTGCAGCCCTCTTGACGCTGTCGACCTTGATCGTGTAAAGCTCGTCCCGAAGCACCCGGGCTCCCGCCTCGATCTTTGCTTCCGCCACTTGTTTGACTAGCTGGTGTTTGCCTTCATCGCGGCACGCGATTCTGATTCGGTTAGTGTTTCTTGGATCCACAGTGACCGCGCGACAGCGCCAGTGAGTGCGGTCTTCCATCGTCCGGACGTTTGTCTCGATTGTGGTCCTAATCAGGCCTGCGGATATTTTCTCGTTGTCGTCTTCGGTCATCTTCGAGGTGTCTATCGTACAGTATAGCGTGTCGGTGAAAGTTGCTGGTCATGTGTTGGCCGTTGGGAGAAACCGTACGTTGTTCGGATGGCTGACCGGGGGACTACGGACAATCGCTGCATAGGACGGAGAACTCGTGGGAGCGGGAGCGTTGATTTCCTCGCGCAAGGACTGAATTTCACGGAGAATCTCGTCGGAGATTATTGACGAAAAGCCCAGGATCGAGGCATGGCAATGTAGGCAGAGTGGACCGCGGAGACATCATGAAGTGCTGATTGTAGGAGAGGGGCTCCGAGCGGGGCCACATGGACAGTCGAAAGTGGGCAGTCTGCGATGCAGAGCATACTTGGGAGATAATGTCGAGAATCTGCTCGCACACCCGAGACAGATTCCCCATCGCTGTCTCGATTAGTTGTAGGAAAAAGAGGTGCTCACCGATCAACTCTTCGCTGAGCGAGTCAAATCTTGAAGGACGGAATTCCACCCAGTAGACTTCCTCTGATAGCAAGAAGGCGGAAAAGTACACAAAACATCCTCCGCCTTGGTAGACGGAGACAGAGGATCCGGACCTGTCCACGGAAAGCTTTGCTGGCTGTCGTGATTTGGATAAAATAGACAGTCGACCAAAGATAGCCCGTAAAGGTCAGAGCTGGATGATCTGGAGAATTCTGATAATGCTTTTAAGCAAGATTCGGAGGTATTGCGGGCTTTTCTTGACAATGGAGTATATCAAAAACCTTCCCTCACCGTGGGCATCATTTCAACACTCGCAGCGATACTGCAGAGAAGCGCCGACGACACGTTTCAGCATTCATCAAAGTGGGTCTGTACTTTATCGCTGCAGGAGGTGGTACAACAGTGGCCATCAAAGGATGTTCTATCTCTCCACCACACGAACGTCAAATCATAGATACGCCACTTGCTATGTACTAGCCCAACCGCAAAATTTCCCATGTTCATTCAGCCTTGAGGTCTACCTGATCACAAAGAGTACATCTTATGTACATGAACTCCTTAAACTCGAAAATAGGCATATGCAAGTTATAGTACTGACTTTTCTGACTCGGATTGCGACAGCGCGGAGACGGGTTCTCCGGTGGTTCTGGCGCCAATTCTGGCTGCAGTGGAAGCCGAGTCTGTGGATACCGCACTCCAGCCGATCTTTCCGCGGCTTTGTGCCGATCCTGGGAAAAGATGAAACTTTCCATCGCCGAGATATTACTAGACGGTGGACAAAGCGCTCTAAATACATTATATGAAGAGAATACTTTGCTATACCTTGCAGCCCATAATGCATGCGCGACACCCGTCAAAGTTCTTCAGCATGAATGTACTACCGTGGTAGTCCCGCCGGTGAACCAGAATAGCAGTTGCAAGAACTCTCTTTATCGTCGTGTCTCTCACAGGCCGTTAGATAAAAGATATATACTTGTGGCTATTCTCCCATATGAGGATAACATGTCAATTGGATTTTACAAAGTTTGGTTCGTTAGAAATTGACATAGCTGTGAATCACGTATGCACAGCCCGCGCAGTCTCAGGCTCCCGAACTACCTGATTGATAGCAGCCAAATCTACATTACGGACACACGGTAGACCTACAATTTCCCATGGTTTGGCACTCCGGCTCAGCAAGGTACGACAAATCTTTGTATTATAGGACCCGAAGCCATTCGTTCCATATTATCGATGAAGACAGCGGTATTCAATTTCTCCAGCCCTTGTCAATCAGTTGCACCTTGTTGACGATTAAGGACTGAGGGGCCTGTTTCACAGCCATGAAGCCATCGTTGGACGGCCTCTCTCAAGACCTCTTCTTTATGAAAATCGAGTATCTCGGAATGCCTGTTTCATCATCAGCGTTTCAGTTCAACATCAATTTAGACTCCCAGGCATACAACTCGGCTTTCCAATATTCAAATGAGTGGTTGGCGTTATCAAATGTCCAATCGACTGCCTCTTCAGCCTCCGGTTCATCTGTAGGGTCATGATAAGGGGCTAGATAGGCAAATTCTAGAGCTTCGGATGCAGTAACTCTCTCTTGTAGGTCGAAAACAAGCATATTCTCCAATAGTCCAGCGGCTAAGATTATTAGCAACTAGGTTCACAGGAAACGGAGGGTGTCCCTGGATAGATCAAGACGTACCTTTTGGTCCAATTCCAGGAAGCTTTTCTGACAATGGTTGACCTTCATTGCTCGGAAGTGTCTGGATGAAGTCGATAACCTATAACGCAGATTTGTTAGAGGATGCTGCTATACCATAATGAATATTCCAGGAACTCGTGGCCCCAACAAGATATAAAGCATAGACAAACATTTCCACCAGTCATTCTTTTCGTGACAGTCTCAGTCGGTGTGCCTAGCAGCTCTGTGATCATATGAAATTGTTGAATATCATTTTGGCCAGGGAAAAGAACCTTTCCCTGCAACAACTCGGCAAATATACAACCTACACTCCAAATGTCAATGGACTTGCCATATCTTTGGCCTTCCAACATAGCTTCGGGGGCCGTATAGTGGGCAGAGGCATGGCGAGTGATCCAAGGACCGTAAACTCGCGGCTGTCCATATCCCTTGATTTTGAGGTCACAGTTATGGCTCACCATAATATTGCTTGGCTGCAGGTCACCATGAACGACTCCGGCCGAATGAATATATTTGAGTCCACGCTGGAATCTTATTAGCGACGAATGATTAGCAGTGGTTGACAGACGAACCATTATCTGGTACAAAAAGTACTGGACAAACTCTCCTTGCATGGGCTTTGTCTTCAAAAGTGTTTGGAGATTGATTTCCATTAGTTCCGTAACAAGGTAGCTGGAATTTGTCAGAACTTGGCTTTCAAGTTTATTTTCTGGAGTGGCATACACATCTTGCGAAGGAGAGATAAATATATCGACGACAGCCGCAACCTATTCTTTTAGCGGAAATCCTCAGGGGAACGTATAGAATCTTGCTCCACGAACATTTTCATGCTTCATATGTCTCAATAATTTAATCTCTCGGAATATATGCCTAGTCTTGCTTGCCGCTGAAAATGGGTCCAAATATTTTTTCACCGTGACAAGCTGACGAGATTTTCGGTCCTCGGCAGAGCTTGAGTCATACCTTGGTGAGTTTCAGCTTTCGAGGTTCAAAGATATAAGACTAACCAGACAAACCCGAAGACACTACTTCGCAAAGGCTGTATTGAAGAATACCTAGGCCATATTAGATCCAGTCGTCTTCTTCTTATGGGAAGCAAAAACTTCCATACCGCATCGTCGTTTCAAAGACTCCGCCCCGGGACTGATTTTGTTGTAACTGTGCCATACGGGAAGAGCGCCGATAGTGAAGCTGCTACGGGATGTTGCTGAAACCAAGTTCAGGGGGTCGAGCTGCCGCCCCTGTCCCAGATATTCGATTCAGTACAACAAGCAAGGAAAGTAAGAGACAACTCTATTTGGGGAAAAGTTTCCAGCCATTGGGGATGATCGCCAAGACTTTTAGTGACTCATGGCGCGGTCATGAAATGATTAGCTAATGAAAGTGGATACATAACTTATTCCTGGATGCTTGGCAAATCAATTCTCTCCTTAGCCCCGTGTCTTTCCTGACTTATTTCCGTCCTGAATGCCTTCCGGTGGTGGACTTTTCACGATCTGAGAGATATCCATATTGGTAGTCATAGTAGTTTGAGATACTAGCAGGTTGTTCTTGCTACTGTCTTTTTGAAGTAGTCATTAAAGGGGCTCGAGATTGCATTATGTCACAGATCAAGTTTGCTGCAGGTGAATTTCGATGCCTGATGTATGAATTTGATCATACTTACACATGTAAAATTTGACTCAGGACAACACGGAAGTCCGGTAGTATTGGGTAAACGGGAACACACAACCCTCGGTGTCAACCGTATAAAATATCACTGATGATGTCGCGCCCTGGCTGCACTGATATATAATTAAATAGCTGCAAATTTATGTCATTCAATCGATAATTTGAAACGCAGGGTTATTTTTAACGACAGATCCGTAAGGACGTATTGATGGTGATTGTAGCGCGTCAGTTACTGCGGAAGCTGTCGACCCATCGGAAAGCGCCTCAAATCCCATCAGCCTCGCAATTGCCGTAGCCGAGCGTCGCCACTGCGAGCTGTATACACCACTCACCTGCGAAGCCGAAACTTCAGGATCTTGCCCTGTTTCACGCGAGCCCGTAGAGAATGACAGGGACGTGCGCGATCGAGCGCAGGATGGAGTTCGCTTGCGGCTTTCGTCAGAACGAAAGACCTCGCTCATGTAGTTCGTCCTCGAAATCACAGCTTGCTTGATTTTTCAGAATCATTCTTCGTTTCTCTATATTTGATTTCTACTTCTTGGCTACCTCGTGATTGCAATGAAACCACTTTTCCGTATCGATTGGGCATGTCGACTCAAGTTAGCACCTGGCAGTATTCGGACGTCCTGTCACGGGCCGCAAGGCAGTGCAATGACGCGTTGCAGCGCGTCGCGTGGGGCACGTGGGCCACGCCCACATTCAAAGAACATCAGCAACTACGTTCGAGGTCAACAAGTAGGCCTTCTCCATCTGGGATCAAAAACTAGTCTTATACCTTTTGACTCATCAATGGAAATTGTGACAACCGAAGCACACGACCAGCCGGGTGCTTTGCGATGCTGCTTTTGCCGGCGGGTCAGTGCCACACAGCGGTGAAATCGAGGAGGTATTCTGTGGCTGCTTGAGCATAGCTAGCATTGGGGAATATAGCCAACTTCCTTACAATGACTTGACAACATGGTCAGTTGGCTTCCATATCATTTTAGACTGGAGATAAGTGAAAGTGAACACTAGAACTTAGATCTTGACGTTAACTTTAGATGGTAATTTTGACCCGTGCAGTGAGAGAATATCTATGCAGACAAGCCAGGCTCGTCTTCAGGATGAATCGTTAATGGACATCGCTCGCAACCAGCGGATGGCCTTCTCGACCTTCTTAGCGAGGCCGGTGGCCTCGGTGGATCCCCGTTGACCTCGTGCAAAGAGCTCGACCAGGAGGACAGTAGTGGACTGCATCATGTAGTGTACGACACACCACCAGGGCGAAACCCCGTAGAGCCAGTTCATATCCGCCCCATCGGGTAGCATATCTAGCATCTGGCATGCGGATTGCATGCATATGGATGCCATGGTCTTGCACACGGTGCTGGTTGTATCAAGGCTTGGCGGGCGAGGTGGCGGACGCAAGGCTGGGTGATGACTACCTTAGTGGTGAGAAGCGGAAGCCTAAGCTGATGCGTTGGCGGATGCAAGTTTGGGTTATGTCTAATGCCCCAAAGTGAAACTCTGCTGGAAGGCGGGAGAGCCAATTGTCAGTACTATTATAAAAAGTAAAGATAGCCGCCTCCATCTCCGACCAGGATCGCCGCACGGTCCCAGGTCCGTATAGGGTTTCGATTGCCTCCCGTAGCAGAAATGTCAAATCTACCGCGTACAAGAGGCATAGGGACATGTTTGGTATGTGAGCATTCGTCATTCCTTGAGGGGTCGGATCGGTCCCATCGCTCGATCCGCGGTTTGTTGAGCGACTACGTTCTGCTGTAGCCTCTCTCAGCCCTGGGGTGCTGAGGTTATTAGAGAGTAAGGATGGATAATGGTGCGGCGACAGAAAGCTTTCAATTGCTACGAACCTTTCATATCCAAGTATTACAGGCCATATGAATTATTTACGGTGACAGACTGGGAAACAAGCAGCAAAACAGCACCTAGCAGAAATAAGTGGAATTAACAGGTCAATCAACCAAGAGAAGACTAAATATGACTTCGGCTGTAATGAGGCCGCTACTCTCGGTAGAACCGAATTGACAATATTCTGAGCACATCATACGCGATATTTAGACACTTCCAATGACCCTGGGCTTCCGTTGCCCCTAATGGATCTTACACCGACACTGCGTAGGTCTTGCTGTCACACGATTGGATAAACAAGAGTAAAATTCGTTCTCGCGAGTGCCCCTTTTCATAATATGAGTGAAGAGAGAGAAATAGACTGCAGCAATGAAAAAATCCCTACTTAGATACTTTGCATCTGTTGCAGCGACAATGGTGACAGACCTTACACCACCATATGGCGATGAAGGGACCGCTGTAACAGTCATGGCAACACCATGTGAGCAGATTCCCATTCGTAGCCTGGATGATGACGAATAAATGAGAAGCACAACTCCTCGTTTTTGTTTCTCTGTTTCGCTTGGGCAGCACATGGCGGGGTTGACTGGGGGATGTTAGTCAGGTTGATTCCGGGCGCTATGGTGGAGTAGGGCACATACTTAGCCATCTCGACAACGAGGACCCTGTTCAGCTTCTGGTGCCTATGAAGGCCGAGATGAATTATGCGTTTGTATGTCGATCTGTCAGCGTCGTCGCATTCTTCTTTTTCTCCTTGAAGTAGTTGCTGTAATGATTCATAGAACATGGTTATGCAATGTACTCGTAACAACGATACCACAAAAGTTCTGCTTTTCTAATATCCCTAAAAATCAGGAGTTATCGATATGTGCTAACTTTTAGAGGATTGATTGTTATAATTAACTGAAAAGCTATTGTGGAGAGCACTGTTGAAAGTATCGTAGGCTTAGAAGCTAGTACTATCCTTTCACGAAACAGGTATTATGAAGTGGCCCCTCACTAGGTTTCTGGAAGAGGGGTGAGGGATTCCTGTTGTGGTAACAGTAAGCCTCAGGGGCAAATTCCACGATAAAGTGAAGTATAGGTCGAAATATGTGCTGAGCCCGACCATCATAATTTCGGTGGTATCGTCCAAAACGACCATGGAAACGAGAGGCTTTTACATCATAATCGGACTAAGAATTCTGTCGCAGCATTCAGTTGATGGCATTTCGTGTCGTTTTCTAAGGAACAATCGGAGCCGCAGTTTTAGTGTCATACAGCTTGTATGTAACCAAGCAGTAGTCCATATATTTCCGAAAACGGAAACAATAAATTATTTTCCTTTTCTTTTTTCTTTTTTCTTGCACAAGTGAATCCCATTATTGTAGAAATCCTGTTCTCAATTCTCCGGAGTTGATCCCGGCTCTGTTCAGTTTCGAAAATAGCCGTGATCAGGTTAGTACTATCATTCGCCCTCCCAGCCGCCCCACAATATCCGTGGCGTTGGTGCTGTCCACTGATAGTGCAAATACTGATCCTAAAAATGCAGCGGCTGCATTATCACACATCTTGAGTCGAGCCTCGGAAGCTTCAGTTTAGGCACTGCAGGATTTGCTGAATGCCGATAGCTCGCAATGCTTTTAAGCACCACCAGGCACCTTTTCTATGTAGGAACATATTGAAGACTGATCTTGCCCAAGTTCAGCAGTTTACGCTGATATTGAAATTCTAGATTAAAGAAATTTGCTCACGGAATTCAAGGTTGCGCTAGAGGGCAATCGTCAATTGACGGTCTACCACGATGTTGGTGATCGGACTGATACTAGTGCCTTTCGGTCGGGGTGGTGTAGGGCCGCTGCGGATGTGGAAAGACATTTGGGCCGTCTAATATATTCGGAATGGGTATAGACATGGCCATTTGCGCCTGTTTTTGGATGGCTATGATGCTGACGTGCCCCCAAGCTGGAGCCCGTAACCAGATGTAGAGGTGTGCCCACCAGTGATGACGGAGCCACCAATGTCGGGCTCATGTACGCCATCAACTACCGTTTGCGACAAGAAATGTGTTCTAAGTTGCGTGACTTTGTTGTGACAAAGCTAATACCGCAGTGCGACTCGATGGTGCATTTTTGCGGCCCGAACGTGAAGTCACCCATTATTCCCAACGCAAACGCGATATCAAATCTGTGTGTCTACCATGCGCATAGCGTGCTCTTTGGCCGACATGTGCAACTTGCTCCCGTTTGTTGTGATAACTCCACGATAGCACTCTTCCTGCGGTTTTAATTTTTTTTTGGCTGTTTTGGGCCGACGAATCGGAATCCTTAGAATGAATGCGACTACGGAGGTTAACAAGTATCACGAATGCAAAAACCCCAAACAGTGGCTTTTGACGGGCAGAATTCCCTCTGCTGATAATAGCCTAGCCTTATCAGACCTAGTGTAATACGAAGTAACGTCTTTTTCTGCCCCATTCAGCTTTGGTCTTCGCAACGCTCCCGAACAGGCCTACCGTCCTGTTTATTGGCCAACTCATCTTCCTGTCCTTCTGCTCATGAATGAAGCATCGAACAAGCTGAATTCTTCTAAATACCATTATTTCGCTAAAGAAGCTCCTGTCTCCTCTTTCCGACTAGTCAAGACATGCAGATTGGGGTTGATTGAGTCTCAAAATCGCACCAAATACCACCAAATACCACCAAATACCACCAACGTTCCCAAGTCCCTCCACGCCGTCATACTGTCTTCTGCTAATTACCCCCTGTTTACCCTCCGGGTCTCCGAAACAGGTTCTGACGCAGAGAACCGTAACAAGCTATGGACAGACTCCGGAGGGTCACTTAGCGGATCCTCGCAATCTTCAGTCAACACACACTCCTGTGGATATGTTTGTATATAAGAAAGTTTATATACCGAGTTACTTTTTTCAGGACACTGATTTCCTATCCAAAAATCCCAAGAGCGTAGTGGTACCGCTGATTGGCTTGTATTCGGATAGTGGGCCGAGATGCTGCATCGCGGCGCGGGAAACTAGCCTTCCTGGGCCTGCTCGGGCTCCAAATCCCACGCGCTAACGGGTTTCGTCGTGAGGCGGAGCACTGTATACTCATCCAATTGGTCATGGAGGAAGGCACGGCGGATTGACTTCCCCTGGTGCAAGGGTCTTCGCGATTGGAGCCATTCCAGGCCCATAAAGCTCAGCTCCAATCTGCTGAAGTTACTGTTGGCACCAAGAACGTGAGGAGGTAAATACTCATATTTATTGGTGACCTCTCGCAGTCAAGATGGGAACAGAAAAGTGTACAGTTTGGCCGTAACGGGTCACCTGTCGCTGCGGTCTTATGCGTAAACGCATTAGACTGTAGCGTCAGAGAATGCCCGTCCACGCTCCCTTGTAGGGAGGCAATGTGTCTGTATATTGCAATGCTGGTTTCTATATACACGGGGGGGGTGAGAGGGACAAAATCGAGACTTGACTGCGTGAGAGATGACGAGCTACCGCCAGAGGCAAGCAACTGACTCTTGCGAGGCAGTTGTAGGAAGAAAGAGCCCTCTGTATTGTATTATGTCGGTGTAGATGTCACGTGAGGCAGTGTGGCAGCTTGAGGTAGACCTCGCCAAACGCGGGTTTGGGTTGGGTTTTACCCGCCCACGGGCAGCCCACCGCGGGTTTTGGCCTTGTTGTTATATTAAGTGATGCTTCAGTGTTCATGTAAATGAGGGGAGTTGATTGTGTGTTGTGTTCTAAGATACAAGTAGACCAAGAGACAGAGATACACGTATGCACGTGACCCCAGCCTCATTATCTCAGCAACCGGGATATTCCAACACCATGGGCTGGGTTTTCGCGGGCGGGTTTGGGCAGTGGGCGGGTTTTGGCGAGGCCTAGCTTGAGGCAACCCCAATAAAACTCCTCCCTTTATCCACCGAATCAACGTAGCGCAGACAGATCAGTGTGCATGTGGACAAGCAAGGGAAACTGTAGAGCACTTCCTCTTTCAGTGTCGAAAGTGGACCACATACCGAACGGAAATGCTGCACCCACACCCATCGAGGCAACATATCCTTCATCCTGGGCGGAAAATCACCTTCCGATAACCAGAACTGGATGCCGAACTCGGAAGCAGTGCGAGCCTCAATACGGTTTGCAATCTCCACGGGCCGACTTCACGCCGCTTAGCTATGTCGACGAATACAAATGACACACTTCCCCCACACTTCCCCCACCAACCACCTCGTGCCAGAAACGGTAGAAGCGCTTCAGCTGCCGATAGAAGAATGTTGAACACTTGAAGAAGCGCCTTCAAGCTAGCCCACAAACAAAATTACTAACCCGCGAGGACCCGCCACGATATCGATAGCTGAGATGACATATACTGAAAGGAACAATGTATGGGCTATAAGGAGGCACAGCATTAACTATAACATATATCGGTATATCAGTGATAATTGCCCTTTTTCACCCGCTATCCAAACGCGAAGGACCAGCGGGGAAGTGAAATGGGAGTCACCAGCTCCGGCGGTTTGGAGCAACGACGCAGCCCCTGGGTCTGTCCCATTGCAACACCCTCTCTACGGAAGGCCCTATTACGACAACAATGAAGAAAACAAGACACTTTCCTGCGACATCGGGCAGAATTCTGAAAACAAAACAGACGCAGTTTCTTCCCTACTTCGGAGAAACACCCAACCGGCTGCGCTGTGGATACCCACCCAATCTCCACATGCACGTCGAATCCAAGTTACTCCGCCAAGTCCGCCGGATCTTGAATTTGGAAACTACCGTGGAAGAAGATGGGCTGAGTGCGTACATTACTTTAATATATTGAAAAACCACTTTGCCCGATACCCTAAACACTACGCCGAGGCTCACAAAGTAGAGCTCGGAGTAAAATACATCTCGCCCGCACTAATGGATGACTGGAACAATCACAACATGACGCCTGGAAACACGTCATGGATGTTATACTGTACGTTCCTGGCTCAGCAGCTCTCACGAAACGCAAACCACAGGCAAGCCTACGAAGGAATTGCAAGTGCTTCCCAGAAAGTTGCCCAACCTGTCACCCATTTTGCCCTTTGGCTAGTTCAGTGGGCGCCTGTCGCTCCCGATGTAAGCAGCATTGAATTTATGGCCTGCTTGCTGAGAGGGGTCCTCCCTGGTATTCGCGCCCGTGCGCAAAAGTCATACGCGCAGTTTTCGGATTGTAATTCATTCGCTTTGTATCTGCAGGAAGTCGAAAACTCCACTCCGTCCAGAGCGAAATTTCTCGCAAAACGGAATAAGAGGTCCGCGTCGACTGCTGATTTTTTTCATTCCGATGAATACGGACCAGGCTGAGCGGAAACCCGCAAAAGTCTCGCCAGCAGAACCGCCAATGCCACCTGCCCTGCAAATTGAGGTTTTGCCCTCAAGACAGCTGCCTAGTCAAATTGAAACGTCGAATGTCACCAGAAGTGCTGGCTCCTCGGAACCTACCGCTCTTTTCGGCACGCAGCTGGTGGGGATGCAAAACTTTCATGTCCAAATTGCACGATTACTTCGACAAGTACGGAGACCGCCGTAAAGAGACCCGCAAATCGAGATCGGCAGGAGCAATCTCTCGCGCCCATTGCTTGAAAAATGGGACGAGTATGCCGCTCATCTTAGGAAGGTGACCTGGTTCGCATTCTGCATTTTCCTCGTTGACCAAGTTCCTTCGGAAAGCTCAGGAAACTTCAAGTACACCAATACTTACCAACGGGTCAACCAATCTGTGTGCACTTTCGCGCTCGAGTTTCTCCGCTGGGCTCCAGTATCCATCAGTGCACCGCACAATCGTCTTCGACATCTGTGGGATCGGGTGCTCCCCGAAATTCGTTCAAGGGCCCACAAAAGCTGGGAAGACTTTGTCGATTTTCATATGTTTGTTGCTTATCTACAGCAGGTCCAGGACTCCTTTTCAAACCAAAAACCAGGATTATATCCGAGAAAGCCCTCTCCACGAAAGCACTTTCGTGGAGATGGCAGCTCTTGAGCACAAAACTTTGGATTCCTCTGTGTCTAGATGAGACCTGAGGCCTATGAGGCTGAGGGTTTTACAGTAACTTTGTGGGTGCTGTTCTGAATTCTTCAGGGTAGGCGGAGCACCACAGCTCCCAGGAAAGGGTATGCATTCCGAGAGGCGGCAAGATCCACGGAATATCCCGCCATAAGCTGTGACCGCCGTGATATTCAACAACGAATGCGAATGCGAATATCTCGAAATGTTGCCAACGTGTATTTGTGCCGACTCCTAGTATTATCACACTTGTGTCTCAATTCAGGGCTTCAGCTTTGGCGAGAGATCAGTCTAAACAAAATCATCATCATCGTTATCGACTGTACCACATGAACTACAACCCGTTGCATTTCCAACGCTCGGTTACAGTCTTCCCCCAAAAACAGGGCAAAAGTGACTATCAACAGCTCGTCCCCCGGCTTCACTGTTCATTTGTTTTCCATAACTCTGTGGAAAATGAATAGAGCATTGTAAATAGCTATTCCATGTCCGTGAATCAGTATTAAGATCTCGTGTGACACCGTACAGCAATATTATGGCTGTTTCCGGTATTTTTACAGCGCTGTCAGTCAAAAGTTCATTGAGTAGATGTTTGAACCCAGCGAAATTACGAATTGAAATATATATCGGCGTATTCACTAGGTTGAAATTGGGTGGATATATAAGAAATGGATAATGAAGGAACATGGTGGTACTGGGTTCAAATGCCTCGCGTGGTTGACAAATTGATTATGGCATAGGGATTCGCTAGTGACAGAAATGGTCTGTACAGCAGGGGGAATACGATAGGCTTTACCAGCCCATTAGAGCAGCGAAATCAAAAGGGATCATGTATTGATATCATAAAGAGAGTGTTGATTCTGATCTTCTGAACTACTGGGTTTCATGGGGGTTGAAATATCCATGAGACTACCAACGACTCGGTGGTTGCACATCCGAGGTGGTGCCACGAGGAACAGGCGACTTAGCCGCGTCAGACGAAGAGGGTGTCGTAAGATTGTACATGATGAGTTAGTACAGTGCCAATGGTCATTTTTCTGACAGCTAGTTATGTGAAGAATAGAGGATGAAAACAGGCGCATGGCGGGTCGTGGGGAAGAAATGATTGGCTATCACGCCCCATAAAGTTTGATATTTACACTGATATATTAATTCCCTGTCTGAGCTGCTAGATGGGAAAATGTTTCGTGGTCGATGAATTATCCAGCCGCGTGGAGATGCAAGTTCGGCTATTCCCGTGTACAATGCCTACCCGTCGATGGTATGATCGAGGGCTGTATAGGAGGCTCATTGGTGACATTGATTGTATGAAACGAAGCTGAATATTTTCGCGAGGGCCTGCTTCCTACCTCTTCTGAAATCAACCAAAAATGGGTACAGAAAAGGGATTGATGGTTCAGCATGTAGACTCGTTCTGTAGGAACGGTAATTTTGTGTTGGATCGGCAAATTCGGCAAAACCCGGCTCCATCTCGACGTCTGCCATTCTCATGCCAATTAGAATCGAAGATAGACTAAAGTGATTATTAAAATATAAAAGTTCCTGCTATTAATTAGCCACAGCAAGATAGAGAAGGAATATTGAAATGAAAAAATTACCTTTGCTACCGCCACCATTTTGTCCTGCTGAACATCCGCGATGGCGATTTCCTTCGCATCGAGGCACATCTGATTCCACTGAATACCAAGTAGCCTCAAATTGGAATCATGAGTAAGAATACTCTCGAGGCTCAAATGCCGAAATAGTTTCAAAGCATTTTGACTCAGCTCTATGGCCACCGATCTCGGGGTATCGTTCATCAGTAAATCGAGAAAACCTGTTTCAATATCGAAATACCGTCCTTCTATCAGATCAAGGCCCATTTTGTAGCGTGTATAGCGAGCTTTCAAGATTTTCAATCTGCTGAGTATGTTGGCGTCTGGCTCAGAAAGTAGCGCATGCAAGGGCTCGGTCATGAATCGTGTATCCAGTTCGAGGTTCATATATGGTCTGCTAGATCCAAGGTTTTTCAGAGCATGTAGTACAGCCTGGTACAAGAAGCCTCCAGAGCCAGATTCCTGTATCGAATGAGCCACACCGCCGACACTGAACCAATAATTACCACATACCTCTAGTATAGATCGGTATTTGCCAGCTTCGAGGGGAAAATGGCATAAAAAGTCAAAGAGGGAAAAGGCAAGCCTTTCATGATAAGTTCCTAAGATGACCACAGCTGCAGAATAATTTTCTAACGACTGGCCAATCCAATCATCAAATTGTATCTGCTTGAGAAGACTCCAGCTGTATTGGAGGAGATTCATCTTAATCTCTTGCGTATCAAGATCCTTCGAGAAAATCATCCACTGACTTTGTGAAGCATAGCTACCCTTTCCATCGTGCACCAGTCTTTGGGTATTTGTATTTCCGGAGTCGGAAATTTGACGATGGCCCGATTGGTCTTCAGAACTATCGGCAGTGCAAGGAAACCTGAAATCCTTTGAAGGTGATGGTGATGGTGGGTCCATGGCCTGGCTCATATGTGGTTGAATTGATATTTAAAAGACTGACTGCTCCTAACATGCGAAATCAAATACATATAATAGAGCCTTTAACCTTTTCAGCACAAATATCTGAATGATTTACATCCCAACAAATCACCACTCATACCCATCGGAAGTGATGCAAAGATGACCGCATGTCACGAGTTACCAGTGAGCCGGGACTAAATGAGGATATCCTCTAGAGGCGAACCAACGGCCTTAGCTCGAGATTTTGAGACAACTGAGTGACACGTACGATTGGCTGGCATTTTCTTCCGGGTCTTTTAAAAGGCTCCGACAAATACGCAGGCGAAGCAGACACGCACCCGCCTGTTTCGATCGGGAGAACATCCCCAAGTTATTAGCCTTCGATCAGCCATTTTCTTTTCTTTCTCTTCGTGCCTTTCGACAGAGTTTCATGCGTGGTCGATTCTGCAAGACAAGTGGCCAGAATACAGCACATCAATTAACTCAATCATTGTATGGCTGACCGTTTTTGTCCTCCCACGCCCGTGAGTCTCACGAATCTCATCTTGGTTCAATTATCTCACACCTTTCCCGTGACTAAGTGCTGATTATCTTCGTCACAAAAGTACTTGTAAGTGTGTGAACCAAAAAGTACATATCTGCCATAACCCAGTCTTGCGTCAACCTATCGCGGCACTTTGCTATAATCTAAGTTTCTTGGCTTCTGTAGCATCGCCACATACGGTGAATCAGCACCTGATATATACCTAGTCATTTCAGCCGAATTCGCAGCCGGCGACCCTGGCAACCAGGAGAGCCTAGCCGGGGACAACCCCAGATCAACAGCCTCGCCGGTAGCATCAAGTTAAGCAGGCCAGATATTCCATCATGTATAGAGAAGCTCGACACAATCTTTGGCTTCAAACAGTTGACAAAGCAGCAGTATTCGGCTGACATAATGTGAATGTGACATGTTTGTTCCTTGGTATAATCGACGTTAGCTTCGGGCGACCTGATGTACGTAACAGCACAGGTCCTTGCTCTGCAACCACTGGCTCATTTCCGTCCGGCGCGTAGCGCTGGGTAAACCCAAAGAAGTGGCAGTCAAAGTTGATGTCATCGTCTCCCATCTCGACCTGCCAGTCTCCAAGAGGATCTACTCTCAACTCATGAAGGAACTGGAGCACCCCACCGCGAAACTGCACCAGCGCCATCCTCTGTGTATCATCTTTATAACATGAAGCAAGATTGTGATATCAGCTTTGATATGCGATCTCTCGTCATCGGTAAAGTCGCCGTCGAGCGCCTCTTGCAATGCGGTCGCGAGATCTTCATCCAGCAGTTTCCTCGACAGGCCGGCCACCCGGAAGACGTGCGACTTTCTTTGGCTAGCCTTCGTGATTTGGACATGCTTGGTGATCGACTGGTGGATGGACTGTGCGTCGTTTTTTGATGGATTGCCACTTCAGCCTAATCAGTGCGTCTGAATCAGTCAACACGTGTAGGGTATCAAACATGCACATTGTACAATCTTTGCTACTATCACTTCGTTGGTACTGCTGCATACCAAATGCAACTTGCTCCCGAATTATATCTTGACAGAGAGAGTATTCAAGCCGCATACTATCTCTGTCTATTGAAATCGAACGGCTATTTTCCTATAAAATCTAATGACAATAACCTTCACTTCACTTAATGGCTTGTGACATCCTCCGTGCCTCTGCCCCTAACATCACGTGCATTGATTTGAAACTAAGCTTGCCTCGGTTTAGCTCAAAGCTAGCTGTTTTAGGATTAGTGCCTTATGAGAGAACAGTGGTACTTGAGACCACATCCAGAGCGAAATGAAAAAGATTTCCTGTTCCTGGGGGATCGCTTTGACCCTAAATTCCACGTGACCGATGCCCCATTTCAAGGCAGCAGATGCGAGTTCCTACCCAAAACGACCGTTTAACTGAAATATCATGTCAAACACTCCTGGTGAAAAGTGCCAAATGGTGAAATTTTGCCCGGTCTAATCTAGCTTAACCGTGGTTAACGGTCAGAAATTGTGTTTTCTTATCATCATAATTGCACCATCAATTTTGCTTACATGTAACACTGTTTACTTTTGCTCCACTGACAAAATTCAAATTCTCTTAGTGTTCAACGGTCAAAGCACGTGCTATCTGACCAAATCCAATTACTGTAGTTCCTTTGCCCATGCTGTATTTGAAAGGTTGTTGAAATTAATAGTCATGCATGTTTTTGTTTTCATAATTGCTGTATACATGAAAACCATGCTCAGATCATAGTATCCAAATCCTTTCTTGCTGTTTAACGTTCGAAAACGAGCGTTTTTGGCCTAATTATTGATACAGCATCACCATTGCCGACCGGCTTGTAAGGATCAAATATGGCTGTTAAACTGGTAGCAATTATTTGAGTCTAGCAAATACAACAACCGTCATAAAGATTTCAGTGTTGATTTCAGCACTTTCCGGATATCGTTATTGACAGGGCTGTGAAGCTTCGTATGGAGATTCAATGCCAATTGGTCTCTGTTGATTTATAAAGTGATGCTTCAACGTTCATGTTATTGAGGGGGGGTTGATTGAGTGTTGTGTTGCATGTGAAGATACAAGTAGGCTGAGAGATTGGTATACATGTATGCACGTGATCCCAGCCTCATTATTATCTCAGCAACCGGGATATTTCATTAGTCTCCTCAGGATTCCGATGGAATCGTTGAGACTGGCCGGTGAAATTTGATATCTGATTGGAAATTGAAGGGGGGGATATTCCAGGTTTCAGGTCAATTCAATTCAATTCAATTCAAGATTCTATTAACCGAATGCAGCCTAGCTTTAAACGCAGTGGCGATGTGGGCGTTTCTTTCAGCGGAAACAAGAATGAAGGAGATACAGCATATCGCTGAACAAAGTAGGTAAATCACCCAATAAAAACCACCCCACGTGCAAATAATCAGCCTTCGTCCACGTACCGCCCGCCCGACGGCCAAATCTCACCACGGCTGCCCTCGTCCCATCAATGCTGGCATGCCGTTGTAACACGGCATTATTCCTTCGACCATGCTTCCTTTGTTCCGATTCGTCGGAATTGACAACCTCTTTTGGTTGCCTCTTCGTGGTAAGCTTCCCTATACGCATTGTCTTCGCCTCGTAATGCCCCTCGTTCACTTCCTCGAGCGATGTAACATTTGCACCGACTTCCTCGTATTTGACGTGTCGAAATTGGCCAAGGGGCCCAGACTGCTCGGTGCATGAATTCAGCCACATAGTGGATGGCTTGCAATATTTCAGGTTTTCAGCAAGACCTAACTGCCCACCGGGTCCCTGCCAGTCAGTCTGCCGTTCTGACCCACATCGGCTTTATCAACAAATAGGTTAAAAGAGGGAGAAAAGTCTTCCACTTCATTTTGATCATAAAATCACGATGACTAATAATAAAGGCTCGCAGTCGCTCGCCCCGCTTCCTGAAGGGCAAATTCGTTCAGAACTGTTTGTCAACAAAACTTCAGGAATAACAAAGGTATCACGTGCGTGCACGGAATGCCAGAAGATGAAGGCAAAAGTAGTGTACCACTGCAACGATATCATGCTGCTTACTGATCAAAAGAATAGTGCTCTGGAGTAGCACCCTGTAAGCGTTGCCGCAACCACAAAATAGAGTGCGCTATCGATATGGACACCGACGAGCGACGGAAGCTGTTTCTCAAACGCAAGATAGACTTGTTACAACATGACAGCGATCTCTTCAGCAAGGTCCTCAAGACTCTTCGGGACGGTAAAAGAGAGAGGATTTCTGGCCTACTTGCCCTCGTGCGCAGTGATGCCTCCCTTAGCGAAATTAGGATCCTTGTCGCTGAAAGGCTCACCGAAACATCTCTATCCGAGGATTGCTCAGTAGTTGAGAAATTGCACTCCCAGGCAGAAGAAAAAGAGATGACAACGGCCAAGAGTCGCCACAAAGCATTAGATATTGAATGGCTGTCAGACATACCGGTTCTTCAAGTACCGACACACCCATGGACGAACATCACCCACGACGAAGATTTCGTATCCCATCTTGTTTCCCTTTGGTTTACGTGGCATCATCCATCATGTTCAACCTGGATAGTAAAACAGCTTTTTTTGAGCGATATGCAAGCGGGGAATCAAAGCTGCATCTATTGCTCTCCATTGCTTGTCAATGCGATGCTTGCAGAAGCTTGCGTATGCTCAGCACCCTTTTGCCTTCAAGCTTTGCTCAGAACTATATATGGGTAGCTCACTAACCATGTTTTAGTTCTCCTCTAACTATAGCCAAAGTTTGGCGGTTCCTGGGGAGTCCCGTTCCAAAGGCGGCCATTTTTTTGACGAGGCCAATCGTTTATTAGACGAGGAGGGCAGTAGGATATCTCTAACTACTGTGCAGGCTATTGGTATATTATACACAACGTAAGCTACACGTATTATTTACTCCTAGTCAGGTTTTGCGAGCCAGGTATGTTTCTGACTTTCTTCTATTTTCTATTGACAGTGCCAGTTTCATGGGAAAGGATGAACTGAGTTGGACATACTTATTACGAGCTACAGATGGTGCCTATCAATTAACAGTTGCTGATGCCGTCTCAATTAATTTTGATACGGATAAGGCACGGGTGTTGGATACTATAACCTGGGGTTTATTTAATAGCACGATGTAAGTCTATCCCTGCACAAATCACAACCGAAAGACTCCTGACACTACTCAGGGTCAGTTCTTTATCGTGGCACAAATCACCGACAATGAAGAAGCCTTTGAGAGATCCTTTGCCATACGAACATCACATGACAGACACATGGTGCCCTTATCCTCTTCAGTCCCCATCATGCCAAGTGCATACGAACTGTATATTTAATCAAATGTCTTTTTTGGCCCTGATTAGCTGGGATGTGGCTGATGCACTATTTGGGGATATCCCTCTTGGGGGATCCCTTCTGCAAATCAGAGCCGAGGAGCTACATGGCCGTCTAGTTTGTTGGCATGGAACAATACCAGCATGCATAGCCGTTCAAGACGGTTCGGTTCCAGGAATTCTCTATCTCCAGTGAGCTCTTCCTTTCACTCCAGCTACCCTTGCTAACTCTATTCAGCATATACTACTACTCGATAGTCATGACTCTTTTTCGCTTTCTGAAAGCCCCATTAGGATCTGACGAAGCTTCAATGGCTACCGCATCTAACGCAAGATGTATATGTATACAATCTGCATATAATGTCACTGAGCTTATTAGTAACCACCGCTCACACTGGCGGCTTCGACGTACGACACCTGCTTGTCTACACTGGATCAGTATATCATTATTCTCATTGCTAGATGATTTGCACAACACCACTAGTTGTGCTGCCTTCATTACGCTATGTGCTGCTATAAGGTCATCTTCAAACTGCTGCCTTCTTGCTAAAGAGGTGCTTATGCGAGTACACTCCAGTGCAAGAAAAGCGGGGATCAAACTCCCACAGGAAGGCGGGTCGCTTTTCGATGACTTTTAATGGCTAGCAACAGAAAGTGCAAGTCTTTCAATATTCAAGTAACTTTTATTCAAACTTTTCGCTTTATTGTGTGCTGGGGTATGTAAGTTAAGGGCTGAAGACAACGTCCTTTTTGAAACCAAGCTGCGCGATGTTCTGTCCAGATAACTTTGGAACCAAACAAACAGTTTCTGTAAGAGTGCATAAATTGGTGGCTAAAAAAAGCTCTCCACCTTAATATTCTATTATACTACAGTCTAGTAACAGCGAAAAGAGTATAAAATAGGACGTCAATCGAGTATTTCAACCCAAACAGCCACTATTAAACAGTCGGTTCAACCACCAAAGTAGCACTAGTACAAACTAGTACCAAACCGGGTATTTGCCTCCTTCAAAATCTAGCACGTTTCTCCTTGGTGGAAAACCGTAGGAGGTTCAACTTGGAACTCCTCTGTGAAACAGTAGCAGTAAGAACTTGCACAGGGCGGGCATTTATTTCAATGGAACTCGGAGTAAAGCTTTTTCTGGATCGGCGACTCTAAAAGGAAACAGATGCATCTAAACGCTACTTTTGGCTCTCGATTCTAGTCTGAGGTGAAGCCAATTCTTTTAAATAACTTCGTAAACTATTCCCAATTTATAACAGCTTGAAAAGTTCAAGTAATTATTCAACAATGCTCGATTTTCTGGGCAAAGGCCGCAATTCCGGAAATGCCGGGACGGGACGATCCAAAGATGAATATCCTCCAGCTCATGCATCAGTGGTGTTGTATTTCAGAGGTATTAATTGATTATTCTTGTACCAAGGGAATAAATAACTGAAGCTATACATATAATGAGAAGGTCAAGCTGATTGGAAATCAACTTGATCTTCGTATAGACGCCTCAAGATTAATTCCGAGGTCGCGGTTAGGTACCTGATATGAACCAGCCTTATATGACAGCACCAGTAAGCTACTATTCTTTTGCTTCTCGCCCTACGTCTTGAATCTAGAGTCAACTATAGTTGCTCTTAAATATTGCTGATTCATCTCCAGACACTATCTACCTAGGTATACGTCAGACCCTCATAGCCAGAGTGTATATATCAAGGACAAAACCCCGAGTAAGACTGCTCATTCTTGTTAATGAAGTTACCAAAAATGACTTGAGCGGCAAAGTGTCTTGTTTTTGGTCCAGATGACATTGGGTAACATGATACACGAAACAGCCAGACCTTAGTCAGTGCCCGTAATTAATTACCTGGTTACATACCTGTGGGTGGATATTCAAAAAAGAAAACTCGGCCCAAGCCTGCGTTTTGAGAGGCTTATGTGTCGTAGTCAAAGGGTCACCTGGAATGCTTCGCAACTTTTGCTTCTTAGCTTACACCTATTACTATGATCACACCTGCGATATTATTTGGTGGCTTCGAACCACGGGTTCACGAGTGGAAAACAAAAATGGCCGTTGACCTGCATGGTCCCACGTCGGCTAACCCAAAACTATCAGAGACACTAGAGCTTTTATCCACGGTTCCATTTAGCCATGACAGGGGCTCAGAGAATATGGGAAAAAAGGATTCGTTAACTGCAATACGAGTTGATAGTGTTGGAGTATCATGCCATCGGCTTGCCGTGATACCGATATAAGACGTGGCTGCAATCTCCAACATATCGTTCAGTTGAATTAATAGCATAAAAAGATAAAGATCGTGTCTTCTATTGGCTAAGACAACGGGATTCCGAGTCTGGACTTATGTTACGTCATATATATGCAATCACATGCTAGTATGTGCTGTTTCCTAAATTCAACAGAAAAGGGTTTCGGGTCCACAAATATTTTGTTGGGCGTGAGCAGGGGCGCCAAGGCTACATCTTATGTAAAACTCTGACCAATAAATATTCGAATCATAAATACCCTGGTCCACGTCCGTCTTCATTTCCACTCTACCAAATTACTCATTATACGAATGTTATTGTTAAGAGTATTCAAAGTCAGTATGATCGGAACATCTACTATTGAGTATCTCTTTATTCGGATTTGCATCCTATTTCTTCGCAACATTGTACCAATCAGTGTTTTATACAGCATTCATTTACTTACGAATCAATGTCTTCACTTGCCATTCTGTCTCGAATGCACGCCCCACCCTATCTGCAGAGGCAGCCTTTTTCGCAACTGTCTTCATACCACTCAAATACGCTCTCCATCATTCTCCCATCTGCAATAGATCTTTACCCGCAGAGTGCAGAAAGAGATTGTTCCAAACTTGCAACGCGAATGTGCCAAATGTAGAGAAATATCTGAGCCGGTGGCTTATGGTCTCAGAAGCGGAATACATCAAGCGCGATAACGTGAAAGACTTTATCAGATGGGCATTCTTCAGACCGGGATGCACGGGGGAGCAGGACCCACAAAATGAAGCGGAAGTTGGGGCCTATACAGCAGAAACAGAGAAGCTAATTGGTCGAAAACTGTCACCGGGAAGAATAGATGTGAAAGGCCTTGGGCGGCTTTTAAATGAAGCAGGCGGTTCACCACGTAGTCTTTTGTGGTACACTGTCAGCTCTCCATCTTCTCTCTATGTGTGATAGAGCCCTAACAGGCTAACAATCCCGTTTACTTAGTGCGTTTTTGTGGTTGACACAATAATGTACTGCAAGATGTTATACAATGGATTCCACTTCCATCGCAGCATACTCTCGCGGTTCTTCACCGTCTTTCCATTTCGCCCTCTTACGATACTCACGGTCTACCAATCACCGGCGCGGCATCTCACATACTGGCATCGACGGCATACATCTAAGAAAAGGCTTCCCGTACTATTTATACATGGAATTGGAATTGGCCTCTACCTTTACACGAGCTTTCTCCGAGACCTCAGCAGGGAGATGAAGACAGGAGCAACTGAAGATAGCGAGGTTGGCATTATCGCACTTGAGATCATGCCAGTAAGCTCTCATTTAACTCATCCGGCTCTAGAGAAGGATGTGATGATGTGTGAGATCATGAAGATCATGCGGTATCATGGGTGGTACAGATTCGTGCTTGTGTGTCACTCTTATGGCTCCATCGTCGCTGCACACCTTCTAAAGTCCGATCAATTTACTCAGTTAATCGGTCTTCATCGATCCTGTCTCATTCCTCCTCCATCTGCCTGACGTGGCATACAACTTCATAGCCCGCCAACCATCGCGGGCCAATGAATACCAGCTTTGGTATTTCGGAAGTAAAGATATAGGAGTTGCGCATACGCTGGCGAAGAGGTTTTCCTGGATTGACAACATTATTTGGAAGGAGGACCTCGGGATAAAGGCCGAAGAGAACTGTAACAGTTGTTTTAAGTGGCAAGGATTTGATCATGGATGCGGAAACAGTGGGGCAGTACTTGATGGGTTCATCGTCTGAAGCCCGGACATCAGAAAAAGAAGTAACACGAGCATGGAAAAACAGGTCATGGATTGGGCACGGGCTTGAGCTGCTGTGGTATGAACATTTGGATCATGCTCAGGTTTTTGATTCCGAGAATACTAGGCGGCCAGTCATCAGGGCAATCTCTGTATATTCAGACAGGGGCTGAGACTGTTCTTTTTGACACGATGTTGCCACCAGCTACTGCGACTCTAGGGAGAGACGCGGTCTTGATGTTATACCGCACAAAGCTTCTGGTGCACTGATTTGACATCTAACTATTACTAATACGTACCTGCTTGATCCGACCGACAACCACACCGTAGTTCCTTATCTAAACTTCGATGGCTCATTACGCTTCTAGGGCACGCAATTTGACAAAAATGGCCTCGGCGTATGGATAGTCACCAGTGGATCGTGGGTAGTTGCGCCAGCAGATAAAGTCGGTTGCCGATGCTTAATAGGTAAGGAAGACTCGGGATTCAGAGTGTTTTAGAGCCTTATCAACAATCCACTGTTAAAATGTCTCATACGTTAGGAAGCCAAGAAATGAGAAATAGTTCGTCCCAATCGGTATAAGCTGACATTTGCTCCTGTCAAATGAGAAGACCTGTACCTGTTACGTCACCTAGTGTGAGAACTTACAAGTGTTGTGCTAGTAAAAACTCTCCCTCCCCCACCACGCGAAAAGCAGTCAACATCCCCCTCTCCCTACCACGCAGATTCTCTGAAGGGTCTGATGGCGCAAGGATACTTGGTAGATTGCCCGATTCCAAGAACTTCACCCTCGCAAGATGGTTTTCGAAAACGGGCAAGTTCGAATGTGATCGCATCAACCCTCTGCTCAATCCTGCGGTGTCCTCACTGTAATTCCTCTGCTATCGATCAAATCTCCGCTCCCGACATTCTGATTAACCTACACCTGAAAGACGATAAATTGGCTTTGCCCTACTATAATGTTGGACCCATGGCCCGTGCACAGAAACAGAAAGAACTTGAAAAGGGCGCGTCGACGGAGTTTCGCTCAGTGCCCTGGACCTTACAAGCGCCAGCTGCAGATGACACTTCACTTGAGGACGAGCCATCCAGACATGTGGACTATCTCTCTCATGACTGGAGAGTGGATGATATCTGGTCATCCTGGCGCTATGTGATCAGATGGAGGAGCAAGTATAGTAACGGAGTTAGACTGGAGAACGCATCTTGGAGAACATGGGCCAAAACAAGAGGCAACCTCGGGACTATATCACCGGAGAGCCTACACTGGTGCGTTTTCCTTATTCTCTGAACAACCTTTTTGATCTTTCCCCAATTTTCCATTCATTGATTATCAGTATAGGGTTAAGGATAGAGATACCACCTGGCTCTACGGACCGTTGAAGATCCCTGACAATCGTGCGACCGCTATTTCCTCTACCACTTCGGCTCGCGTACGGATCCCAAACTTCTCTATACGCCAGAGGTCCATTCTTAAAAGAAAGTCTGTTGTGAAATTAATGTTTCAACGGTCAGAGTCCCAGCAGGTTTTACTTCCAGAGGCTGAGCATTACTTCGGTCAACCCCTCTCTCGAATGTGCAACACAGGCCTAGTACAACTTCATCATCGGACAAGAGAACTGACATACCCGGAAATAGGTAGTCTCGCTGCACCTTTATCTCGCGGAAAGGTAGCAACAAAAGAAAGACGCCATGTTCACTTCAATGATGAAGTTGTACAATGTATTGCGATAGATGCGAAACATGCCGATGTGGGCCTGTGGGCTGAGTTTTATAACGATGAGCACTGCCTATATAATAGCGCCGCTGCGACAGGACGTACGCGAATTAAGAAGCTCCTGGGTAGCAGCAACACCTCACACGAAACCTTCAGCGGTAGAGGTAAGACCATCAATATTCTCCCCTCGACCATTCTTCAACACTGCGAAGAGGTCCCAGAACCTCGTATTCAGCCTGACTTTAACGAACTACCAACTATTTCGGTCTTCTCTAAGTTATGCCGGTGGCTGTCATTTTCGGCCGAGACGAGCTAAGGAAGATCAGCGAAACTTCTCCTAGTGGTCCAACTATGATCTGGATCTTGTTGCTGCACTCTCTTTAATACCGTAACTGAGCAGCTCGCTGATGCCTTTATATATACGCGGTCTCAAGTGATCCAATGATAGACTGATTTTTTAGAATGCTCAGGAGGGCAGAAATGTTAATTTGAGAATACCAGCTTCTAGAATTACACAATGATTGAACTTTCTAAAGTGGATTCTAAATAGTCCTAACTCAAATTGAGTTACACCCACCGAGGCAACATATCTTTATTCCTGGGCGGAAACATCGCGGTCCGATGATCAGACTTGGAAGCCGAACTTGGAAGCAGTGCAAGCCTCAATACGGTTCGCAATCGCCAGGGACCGACTCGACGCTGCTTGACCATGTCGACCAGCACAAACGAACCCCTCCCCCCCAAACTAACCCACCCCAATCACCTTATGCCAGGGACGGTATACACGCTACGACTATCGATAATAGGATGTTAAACACTTGAAGAGGCGCCTTCAAGTCAGTCTGCTACCAAAGTTACTAGCCCACAAGGACCGCTACAATACTGAAAGCTGGGATGACATATACTGAAAGTAACTATGTATGGGGCTAAGGAGACACGGCATATAATAGGACATGCATTGGTAGACTAGTGATGGTTGTCTTTTCGGCTTAGCCGCTGAGCCTGAATATATTTTTGTGTCTATGTAGCTGATTTGAAACTCCGTTCCGCGGGCGAGCACCCAAACTGTCATCGTAATCCTCAGGGAGCGCAGACTGTGATCCGGACAAAAGGCAGCAAGAAATGTTCTGATAAGTAAGTGTCGGCGATGCTTATCATTTGGCTGTTGCCTATATACAACCTAGCAGACATCGAGGCCTTCACACAGTGAGAGCGTCCGATAAACGGAAGTCCATGCTCCTATTATGTTGAAGGAACACTCAATATGTGGGCGCTAACAGGCTGGCATGGACCTTGATCAGCAACGACGTCTTTGAGCGGTTGCGGGTAAGTTTGACTCATTGGTCCATAACGCTGGTCCAGTGGGGACAGGCCGACAGTGAAAATGGTTTCTTCGTCAGCTTGACGGATCCATGGGTGTTCCATAAACTCCTTGATGTTGTACCGCTTCTTAGGATCAACAACTAACAGATGAGAAACCAAGTCCTGGGCTGACTTTGAGATATGGTCCCACCAAGGCGACAGGAAAATGAACTGGCCGCAGACTATCCTTTTGGTGAGTATCTGGATGCTCTCATCACGAAACGGAGGGAATCCACAAAGCAAAGTGTAGAGAACGCATCCCATTGCCCACATATCTACACCCTTTGAATACTGCTCATCGTTGACGATCTCAGGTGCAGTGTAACCGACAGTTCCACAAGGGGTCCTAGTTCGAGTGTCCCAGATAACTTTCGAAAGACCAAAGTCGGCGATCTTGATTTCTCCGATACCACCTGAGCCGAAGTTTGAAGTGAACTCGCCTTCATCTTCCTTGTCCTCATCGCCGGGCTGCTGAGGTTTCGGATTCTTGCTCGGAGTGAAAGGAGCCGGGAGGAAAAGAATGTTTTCAGGTTTTATATCACTATAAGGACTCTCAGTTGTGTTTAACCGCGAACTTGGAACTGGTACATACCGGTGAACGACACCTGACGTCTCGTGGAGGTATTCGATGGCTTTGGCAACCTGTACAATTACATGCTTGCTGAGGTCCTCGCTGAAATAGGTCAATCGCACTATTTGAGGAAGCAATTCTCCTCCAGTGCACAGTTCGAGAATGATGTAGCAAAATTGTTGGCTTTTGAAGAAGTCGATCAACTTAACTATGTTGGGATGGTCGATGTTGCGCATTATCTGGACCTCGTTGAGAATCTTGGCGCGCTAAAACAAATTGATGGTTAAGAAATGAGCTTCAAGGATATGAGGCTACAAGAAAGCAGCATGAGTCATCACTACCATATTAGGTTGGGTATAGTCCGAGTCAGTTCAAGCACATCCCGAAACCCTTGAGACCTCTTTCACCCTGAAATTCAAGGTGGATTGCTATGACCAAAGCCCATGATTTCTTTTATCGACTAGACCATGCACCCAAAGCCACGAGTAAGGGAACAATCAGGAAGTAAGACGAGCCGGTAATGTTACCTGATTAATGTCCATCTGGAATGATCTCAATACTTTAATTGCCACTTCGCCAAACTCCGTTGTTGAATCTCGCGCGCGATATACATTGCTGAATGCACCGTATCCCAATTTTTCCACTAGGATCCAACGGTCGAGGCCTGGATATTGGGGCATCTTGGACCGGTTCACTATTTCAGCTGCCACTGAGCGATCGATTTCCACGGATCGTTCCTGTCGAATTTGATTTGAAGTTTCCTGCGTTGCTGCTTGGGCGTTCTTTGGTTCATCAGAGTCGGCCGCTTTAGTGGCGAAAGAGAGTTCGCCAGTGGGATTTGTTGAATGCTCGGCGTGAACTGTGGAAACATTGGGCGCGAGATCGTTGTGAGATTCAACCAGCCGCGTTTCTTTTCTCTGCTGAATCAAATTGTTGATGCTCTGTATCTTAGTCATGATAGATAGCTTGGGGGGAAGGCACGAGGGATAATTGGAGGTCGTCAAATAAGGAGGATCTCGAGCTTACCTTGGTCTTGGTGTAAGAAAGGTTGACATGGAAAGAGGAAGAAGGAAGAAGGAGGGGGAAAGGGGAGGAGGGTGCAGCGAATGAACTGGCTGGGCCGAACTACAGTACAGTCAGCGTATCCAGATGGTCTGTGCCGAGTGCCGTCTTTAGAGTTCCGAAAGGAATACGAATAATATGAATATTGATGAATAATTGCGAATAAGAATTGAACAGGTAAGTGGTTCTATTAGGTTAAGTTGTCTAGCTTGTTAGAGGTGGGATACTCTATCTATTTAAACGTCTATTGCTAGTCTCCGCCATCTGTGGCGCTGATAACCTCTACCTAGCGAGAACCGGCTGCAACTGCGAATGGCACGGTGGTAGCAGTCTTTCATATATCAGTGCGGCCCGCAAGGTTAGATTGAGCGTGGGAGTATCCCTGCTTGAAGCTTCTCATCTGACTGTGAAGATTAATAAACGGCTTACTATATTAATCTTAACCTGCCTTCTTCTGCAAATGTAGCAGGCCTTCCTGTTGTAGTTCAGAGGTATGAATTGTGTTATTGTCCAGAGGGAAACTTTAGGCTATATATATACGAGAACAACAAGTTGATTTCCAATTAACTTTGTTCTTCGTATAGATATCTCAAGATTAATTCCGATGGTTCGGCTTGGTTCCTGATCTGCACCAGCCTCATATCACAACATTTCCACGTCCATGGTTTGCCGCCCATTTTCATCGCTAGACTCCAGCTATCCCGTATTGAATTTAATTGAAGATTAGAGGTAAGCTGTAAAGGCATTACTTGTTTCGACGAAGTAAAGCTATGCCAGCCCTTGACTTAGTGGACGAAAGGATGAACGGCTGAATGTACATCAAAAGGGGCTTGATCGATCGTGCCGCACCGTCGCACGGACCATCGTGTCTCTAGGCGTAGACCGGCCTAGGCCTGTCAAAAAAGGGTTTAGTCCGGATTTTCATTTTTCCTTGCCTGCATGGGGCCAACCTACGCGAGTTTTTGGCGGGTATCCGCTGAGTCTTTGATTGATTATTTTGGTGGTGTGAGGCTGTGATATGAGGCTAGTGCAGATCCGCAACCAAGCCGCATCCTCGGAATCAATTCTCGAGATATCTATACAAAGAACAAGTTCATTGGGAATCAACTTGATCTTCTCATTGTATATAAGCCTCAGTGATTCCCTTGGTACGAGAACAATCAATTCATACCTCTGAACTACGACAGTAATGCCAGCAGTATAAGAAGGCGGTCGAAAGAGTTGGTGTGATTAGTAACAAAAGTAGGTGATTGTATTAACTAATTCCCTTCTTTCCGTGATGAATTACGTCATATGCCTAAAGGCGGAAGATGACGGATGTGTGACGAACACGGCACACTAGTTCTGTAATACAGATCAGAGGGTAAAAAGGCGTTGCATATTTTACAAACGTATTGTTCACTATTATAAATCAATGAAAATATTCAGAAGTCAATTGATGAGTTAGGAACCACGACATGTCCAATACTGAAGAGAACCTGGATGCTATGAAAGGTTACAAGTCGTTAGTGGACTACCTGGCAACTAACGCTGCGGGTCTATGGACAACGCTAATTACAGAATTTGAAATACAGGGGACTAAACAACCCAAATGTCTCAGATGAGGTAAAGGGACCCGATCAAGTACAACTTGATCAAGATATTGGCCGTGACCAGTCATGCAAAACGCTATACAATACTAGAGGTGGTCAAAACAAAGACTTGAGCAAAGTCCCTGCTGGATCTGAAGCGTCAGTGCTGAAATAAAAGAAAGTGGCTACAGTGATGTGATATGGCTAACAACGCTAATTTACTTAAGAGCTCAGAATAGTCCTGGTGTAACCAAAATGGACAAGAAGAACGCATACGAGGAATTGATTCGGATGGGTGGCGAAAGTCCGGAGGAATAATGATCCCATTTCACGCGAGTAGTTCAATGTCAGCTAATATGGGGATCCTTAAGGTATTACTGCGATCACAATGTATAATGGGAGTAGTTTTATCGGTTGCCTTAGCTTCTATGTCTTAAAAGAGCAATATTAACACGCTGCACCCAGGTGTCTCAGAGAGTTCTTGAACTCCTTTATGGCTGTGTCGACGTCATCGAATGCCAACGCAGAGAGCGCCCAGTGCGCATGCTTCTGTGCCAGAGAGATGGACTGTTCGTCGACCGACTGTGATGGTTGACTTGGTGGTCCAATGGGCACATGAGCCGGAGATGTACGTAGAACTGGAGGTGGTCCGGACGGCACAGCTGCAGGATGCAGAATATGAGAGCTAGTGCCCGATAGCTCATGGAGCGAAGTTGGAGCCGGTACGGCGATTGAAGAACTAGTGGCTGGTGGTGGAAAGGGGTGCAAGGTATGAGAATAACGCAAGGCATCGGCTCCGCTGAAGGTTGAGGCCCCGGGAATATCTGGTAGGCTCGGCACTGGAGAAGAGTACCCAATTGTTCCCGGGGATGAGGAGAGTTCTAAGTCTCCTGGTTGTGGATTGCTGATTTCCTTTGTTCGCGCAGGAGAACCAGGGATATCGCCGAGTACGGAAGGAATATCATAATTCGACGTCGCAGGCGGCCACTGAAGTGATGAAGCTCGGGAAGTGTGGAGCGATTCATCAAGAGAAAATTGCTGGGTCAGCTCCCGCCCTTTTAGACGGTCGGATTCCTCTGAGATTTCCTCGATTGGCGGATGTCTGGATGGAGAGGGCTGTTCCGCTACCGATCCATCGAATGTTTGAACCTCCTGATTGGCGATTGATTCTTGTTCTTCCTCTTCTGGAACAGGATTCGTCGCATTGGGATCTTCACCATTCTTGATCGCCTTCACAATTCGAACTGCATGATACTTTCCGAACTTGAGCCTTCCGGCAATCTCCGGGTCCAGAGCCCCCCCAGATTTGACGTAGTTCGAGAAATAGAGCCGCCGCCTGGAATGTATCTGCGGTTTGTCTTGTAAAATCAGAGAACAGGCATATTGGTAGCCACAGGCAACAGTTGAGAGCTCACTTCGTGACCTTGTTAGCGTTCATAGCAGCTTCAGCGCGAGCAAAGACTTCCAACCCAAAGCGCTCGACCAGTGCACTCGCCGCGACGCTATCCACCACCAATTCATCACCAGAATGCTCGCTTTTGAACTATATCACACGTCGTTGTCAGTCACGATCTTTGTCAGTCATGTAAAGAGCAGGAAAGGGGTTGGGTTGGGGGACTCGGCGAACCTGCTCAAGCTTGTCCACCAGGTTGGTGGTGTAGGTTTTAATTTCATCGTTGGAATTATGAAGACCCCGTCCGATGATCTGATTCACTATATGAAAGTTGCCTGCGATATTGGCGATTCAGTAAGCTCCAACATCCACTGCAGCGTCCAGGAGGTTGAGACTCACACCAGTAGGCAATCACAGGCTTGGTCTTCTCGATCTGGGCTGCTCTCATGGCAAAGAGGCCAATGTCAGTGGATCTCAGCCCCTCTGGAATAACTTTCGCCATGTCTGAGGTATGGGATAGGAAGAATTAATGAGACCCAGGAGAGGCGCCTGATCATGACGGTTGATAGCGATGACATCACAGCCTGCGGAGGCGAAAGCTCCAATTCTCAGGAGCTCGAGTTTACATGCCAGCGCATGGAGTGGTAAATTACCACTATCAAGCGATTGATTACCCAGGAACCCACATTTCTTTGTGTTTTGTATGGTAAATTGATTCAACTAGCAACGTGGGTGTATTAACCACCGAGTATACGCACATACAGAGGTATTTCAACCTGCCCTCGATCGAATGCTTATGTCAGGATGAGGAATTCATGTACTGGCTAGTACTGAAGATGTCCAAGAGAATCAGATGGTTGATTGAAGGTATTGAGATCGGTTGAGCGATCTCAGGGGTCTCTTCTTCTAATTGAACTATGGCTTGTTATGAAACCATACTAGGACGAATTGGGTGAACGATGAATTGGCCTATCCTGAAGGGTCTTAGTGGAAAATGACCACCCCTCAGTTCATCAGCTTGTTTTCTATTCAATCAATCACTCTTTGTATCCTGAAGTGGTTCCGCTTTGTCTTATTCGTCCTGAATGCATACTGGTCCTGACACTTTTAGCAAGTGCTGATTTATGGCTAATGAGTCCCGGTGAAAGGCGGTGGGTGTGGCCGTTTCCTGCGTCCTGCTAACTAGACGTGTTCATTGCCAACGCCAAAAAAATCGAAGACTCTCGTCGGCAGGCATAGGTGAAATAAGTAAAGAGAAATCCTTTTTAGTAAATGAGTTAAAGTAAAGTGAAAATGAAAAAAAAATAAAAATTTTGATAGAAATTTGACCGAATCGGTTCTTAGGGTCCCACTTCCATCTGAGCTGACAGTGTGACCGGAGACCACTTTGTAGTCCTTCAAAGTTGCCAATTTCCTCAAAATATACCAACAAAAATTAGACAAATCACGTTCGGGGTGCAGCTTACGAATATGTGGTGAAGATGGTGCCAGGCCGCAGCGACGGCGAGGGAGTTGGAGAGCGTGGTGACCGAGAGGTTGACGGGTACATATTTCCCGGGCTAGGGCGCTCGAGGCCGTTCTAGACTTCGCCGAGGCGTCACAACGAGTTCGAAGCCACACGCCTCGAGGGCAGCCTAACAACACGAACGGCAATTCGGTCACCACAGAATTTGTGGAAGCTCTAAGTCCGTTTTTTGGAAGTAGTAGTTATAACCTACATGTGCGTGCATGGAAATATCTAATTGCTGTAGCCTGCGTGTTGCTCCGCGATTGATTGTAAACCTCACCCACCATATGTATTCGTATTTTGATCTAGTAGGAAAGTAAACTCTAAGGGGTCGAGGTAGGTGACTAGGCTCCCGAGCCTAGTCACTCGATGGCCCAAATATCCGGTCGATTTCTGTCCCAAAGAGTGAGTCACCGGACAGTGCGGGGAAATTCGAGGACGTGTTTTTATTGGATTGAAATCTTGCCCCTCTGTAAATAATGGATTCTAATTTGTACGATGACTTGACAGAGTTGTAGATTTATTAGCTCGTCCAGCCACCTTCGTCCACTATCTACAGAAAACTGGTATACATAAAACGAAATTCCGCCGGGCTTACTTTGCTCGTTCCTCCGTGAACTACTTATATAGCCAGGCAGATCAAAAGATTCTTCAGCCCATTTAAACCTAGCACATAATAATCCGAGGTCTCCGTAAGTTTTCAGTTTTTGAGTCGGCAACAGCAACGACGACAATGGGGAATCTCAAAAACATTACGTGGCTCAACGGTATCTATAGTCTACACCCCGACGACTTAAACATTATCCCATTCGATACCATCACCACCGAGGCAAAAGATGACTCCTTCTGCGGCTTACCCCTCATTTCACCACCGCCAGTTTTGTCACCGGGAGAATTCAATCAGATCTTCCCAAAGTCAGTAAACCGCAGCTTGGACGCATCATCAATACAAACATATTCTCCCCTCCAACTCAACCAGAACTTATCACAGAATGAGAGATTTAGCCTATTGTGCATTGCACCATCGGCCTTGAGACAGGCCGAAATTCTGAAGACTGTGCAAGAATGCGTCTCCTCGGATATGAAAGCACAACCCAACGGCCCGAATACGGACAGAGAAAGCTCCATCGCTTCTATCGAACCTACTAAGCCGAAGCCTGAACTGGTAAATGGCAGCCTCGCCTCCAATACCAAATCAACCATGCAACCATTAAAACCATCAATCCCCCCTAGCCCATCATGAACTGCTGCTCAAACGTAACCGTCAAGCAGCGAAACGATGCCGTCAAAAAAGAAAACTACAGAACCAGCAGGACGAATCGAGTCCGAAAAAGCAAGCCGCTAAGAACAAGGAACTGTTGGCTGGTACCAAGAGGTTACAATACGAGTTGTTGGATCTGCGACTTGAAATGCTCAAGCATTCAAAGTGTGAGGGGTACATTAAGCGATACGTGGAGCAGATGACGGGAAGGGTCCTTAGTGAGGATACTGCAAGTGATGTTCAGCAGGCAACTACTGTGGTTTCATCAAATAACAAGGAAAAAAGACTTGTATCGTTGCCGGCAGCAATGTCTCACTATCCTGACAAATCAGAAAAGGCAGATTGACGGCTATCCATGCTAGGTTGTAGCCTATAGATTTGAAGCTTTGTTGTGAGATGGTTCTTGATTTGGGGATAATAATAGTTTTTGAGTTTTGTTCTTGCGTTAACGTTATCTTTCCCGGATTCTTTTCTTCTTCCTATTCTTTTTTTCTTCCTATTCTTTTCTTCTTCCTTTCTGTCCAACCGAAGGAATGGTCAAATACCACTAGGACCCATTCGGGATAGGATATTCATCGTCCATCCAATTCCAGAGGTATTCGCGTGGTATTCGGGCTAGACTCAGTACGGTGCCGTAACACACCAAAACTGGATGATACAGACTCTCACGGGTGCTCAACCACTCTGATCCTTAATCAATCAATCATCTGATTCTATTGGACATGTTCAGTACTACCTAGCCAGTACACCAATTTCTCATCCTGGCACTCTCTCTTATGCCTTATCTTTTCCCCAACTATCCTTCCGTATCTGCATGGTGTTTCTACAGCGCCCACTCAGTAGCGCTAAACCTAATATGGTCAAGGAAAGTCCCACCAGCTTTTCTTGATGAATTTCTGGTAGATCATCAAAATTACCGCAAATGCAGTTTCCAGCACTTGGCAAATATGTCCTGTAGCCATAGGTAGCCTAGCTTGAGTTTTAGCTTTACCTCGATCGCACCAGTCTTGTGGAACCACCCCCACCCAAAACCCCAAGACTACTACTTTTCTTTTTTGCGGTTTCCTTCCAAAACCTATGAGATTGCTGCACTGTGAATACTATATTCTAGCATTCCATAGTACAGAGCTATAAAGGCAAGCCGACCCATTCATTTGGCGTTTAACTTATCATCTAATAGCCTCTCAAAAGATCATGGAAAACAATGAACTCAACATCAAGCTGAAGGGAGTACTTGATATGACCGTCTTCTCCCAGTTGTTGGAGATGGATGAGGAAGAAGATCGAAAGAGTAGCTCAACAGCGCTCTATGGCTTCATTGAAAGAGGCAAGGAGAAGGTGGACTATATGGAGATGGCCCTGTAAGCGCTGATGCCCGATGCAACCCTGCCTTAGTCAGAGTGCATAACTCGAGGCAATTAAGAGAGGTGAACTGGCATTCTGACGATATATGCTTATGGGTAGTTCGAAAAGAGACTTTGTTTCTTTGATCTTCAACAGTGAATCCCTGCAAGAATGTGCAGTGGCGTTGGGCTTCCGCAAATTTCACGAAAGCTGTGAAAATATTGGAAGAGTCAGTGCGATGATGAGTATACATGGCGAGGTCGCAGAAGCAATTGAGATGTTCCGTCTTACCCTCATTAAGGAAGAAATCGGCAATCTGAATGACAGTCTTCTATCTGCTCGAACAGCAATGAATTCCTTCTATAAGGATAGTATCTAAAACGCAAGACCGAATTTGGGTCCGAAGTGAGCTTGTTTCGGTTATCGGTCACTTTCCCGTTGAGACCCGAAATATGCCACCATTGTCAGATGTATTTAAAAATCATATTTATCGAGTAAGATATGAGGCAGAATTAAGTTTGGTTATTCTGGAATAGCATATCCACAGTACAACAGTTTTGTGAGTTTCGGGAGGAAAAAAAAAAAAAAAAAAAAAGGAAATCTGGGGTGGGAAGGGGGGACGTTGGGTTCCACAAAACTGGTGCAATCGAGGCCAAGCTAAAACTAGGTAGGCTATGGCCAGGGCGTCTTGGCAAATATGGGTCCATAAGGCCGGTAACGGCAATTACGGTAATTTTCGTGATCTACGACGGATACATCAAGAAAGAATAGTGGGGTTTTTCATGACCCAGATCTAGAAAGAAAGCACGAGTGTCTGAGGGGTAATCTGTTTTGTTGTGATATGAAGCTGGTACAGATCAGGAAGCAAGCCGAACCATCGGAATTAATCCGGAGATATCTATACGAAGAGCAAGTTGATTTCCAATCAACTTGCTCTCCTTGTTGTATGTATATAGCCTAATGTTTCCCTCTGAACAATAACACAATTCATACCTCTGAACTACAACACGTTTTCGAATTCTGCTTCGGCTGTCTGTAAGCGAACTTTTGGCTGCCTGTAAGCGAATAAAAGTGATTAGCCCAACTATCTTTCGTCGGTTTTTGTAGTAAATTTAAGATATGGTACACACAGATTCTGTTGCATCTGAAAGGGAGGATGCTAGCTCGGCGATGTGACAAGTTCACCAAAAGCCAAACCGTCGAACTGTTGACTAGATTCGCCCTCTTGTGGTCCCTTGCTTCATTTCTGTTTCGGCAATCCAATCGGAAAAATGTAGCTCCGTAAAACTAGTCTGGAACATGATGGAACCCGAAGGTTGAGCTTTTGATTTCTGAGTCTGGCATTGGGCAAATGTGATTCGTTGGGGATCTGGTGACTTGTTCTTACTCGGTTAGATAGTTAACTCTGCCCAAGCACCAGCGGTACGCCACCTTGGAAAATATCCAAAGGAGGCCTTTCGTCCATGGCCCCTGGTTGCGCCACTGAGCAAACGACCTTCGCTGTGCTCTAGCTGATAATTTTCAGCAACCGAGCTAAGCCGTAACATGAGCGTGTCTGGAGTTTCGCCGTTTTTGTTCACCAGTCTCTTTATACCCCAAGCTAATATTCCTTCTTTCTGACCGTTTGATACCAACTGGCTGAACGAGTCAGTCATTCGCTCTTTCGAATTTTGTTCCCTCGGAGTGGTTAGGACCCATTTGATCCGACGATGGATTTGGACCAAGAGGAAGGCTGTCGGGCCGGAAATGTCGCCTTGACTTCCAAACCTACGGCCCAGAAGCTGGTTCCTGAGCACAAGGCTCCTCAGAATACTGAAATTGCGGCCGGCGTGCCGACTAGCACATGCATCGGTCATACAATTCTGCGGATCTACCGTTGCACACCAACACCAACGATTGTATTAGATGGCTCCCTACAAGTAGTGGAAGTCTCTGAGAGCTACGAGGCTTTGTCCGATACGCCTCGGGACCAGATAATCAACATTAGCGTGTACGCGTTGACACCACGCGTGATCCTGGCTCCAGACATCGCATCGTTAAGTGGTGCGCTGGGAATGGCTATCGCCACGCGGGCCGTTCAAGTGATCAACAATGTTCGCGTCGGGAAGAACGATGTAGACATCGCACTCCACATAACACCGATTTTTGACGACGATGACTTGATATACGTACTCATGGAGGTGCAAAAAGCGAAACGTGAAATGGCTGGATTGAAGGTCATGGGGGAACAGGTCTATCCGAATGAGCTGCACAGAGTTATTGTCGACACCGTGAAGGACTATGCCATTTTCATGTTGGATACACGGGGTCACATCATGACTTGGAACTCGGGGGCCGCGACTTTGAAGGGGTACACAGCCGAAGAGATCATCGGCCAACATTTCTCCATCTTTTATGGGCGCGAGGACTGTGAGAAGAACAAGCCCGCCCGGGAGTTGGAGATTTGTTTACAGGAGGGCAAGGTGGAGGATGAAGGATGGCGTTACAGGAAAGATGGCACACGATTCTGGGCCAATGTGATGATCACGGCGGCCCATCAATATGGCCGCCACGTGGGATTTGTGAAGGTCACCCGTGATATGACTGAACATAAAGCAGCTGAAGCGCGCCTCATCGATGCTTTCGAAGAATCATCCAACCTGAAGTCTCGTTTCTTGGCCAGCATGTCGCATGAGCTGCGCACCCCGATGAACGGGATGTCTCTGGCTCTGGCCATGTTTATGGATACATCGCTGAATGACAACCAGCGCGAATATGCATCCATGCTCGAGGACTCAGGCAAGTTCCTCATGCAGGTGATAAACAACTTTCTGGACTACTCCCAACTGTCGTCGGATCCTTTACGTCTGCACACAGATATCTTCAGTATTCCCGACGAGGTCAGCATGGTGACCCGCAAATGCAAGTCGGGGACAAAGCACGGGGTAGTCTTAGGGTGTACCGTTGCCCCCCAGTTTCCCCAAAACGTAAAAGGCGATCGGCTGCGGTTCCGGCAGGTTCTGCAGAATCTGGTCAGCAATGCGGTGAAATTCACAGAACGCGGATATGTCCGCGTCGATGTCACGTACACCGTCGATGAGGATGATCCTGAGACATATATCATCACGGCTCGGGTTGTGGATTCCGGGGTCGGCGTTCCACATGATACCATCGATTCACTCTTCGAACCCTTTACACGATTTACAGACTCAGCCACCAACAGTTTTCCGGCTACTAGGCTGGAACTCTCGATCTGCAAAACTTTAGCCGAGTTGATGAATGGAACGGTTGGCTTCCATGCGAATCCCGACGGGCCGGGCAGCGTATTTTGGATGGCCGTAAAGGTGGGTCGCGTCAATACATCGAATTTTGAAGCAAATCAGTCGGGCTCGTGGGAAGACGAAACGCCGCTTGATACTTCTGCCCTCCAGAAGGTTGCCCCGCAGACGCATATCCTGCTAGTCGAGGACAACAAGATCAACCACACTATCATGCTGAAGCTTCTGAATAGTCTCGGGTTTGAAAGGTTGGATGCCGCCTGGGACGGTGCGGAAGCCGTGCGAATGGTGAAATCAAAGCCACTCGCCTACAACCTGATCTTGATGGACATCAATATGCCGGTCATGGATGGCTTGACGGCGACAGAGCATATTCGCAAAATGAATGCAGTTGTGCCTATCATTGCGCTGACAGGGAACGCTTTGAAGGGCGATGCCGAGACCTACCTGGCCAGGGGCATGAGTGACTGTGTCGCTAAACCTCTGCATCGGCAGCAGCTGGTAAATGTACTTTGGAAGTGGTGCGGAACCTAATTTAGCGACTACCTTCCGCCGTAATCGTCTACTCCCGTACAGTCCTTATGTGGATCTCGACAGGATCAGGCGGGCGTTGAAACAGATCGCCCTCGCCGAAAGTCAGCGTCCCTCACGTACTGGCCAGTGTGTTCCACTGCATAACCTTCCTGGCAGCTACCTGGCTGGTCCGCGGATGGCAGTTCTTTGGCTACACTGCATTCCTTGTTTCCTTCCAGGTCTCCATGCCTTTGCATCCTGTCCGATTGCGAAGGTTGCAAGTTCCGAAGAATTGAGCTAAGAATTTAATCCACCTAAATTAGAGGACGCATCAGCGATACTTTCGAGGTATGCGGTTACTTACTTGGTTTGGCACGCGGCAGTCTTGGAGCGAGGAGGAAGTTCCAAGTCTATGTGGCCAAGCTGAGAAGTGAAGCCATGTGACCCTGCTTCCATATACATCAGAAGGGTAAATCCACTCAGCTCTCCACCAAATAAATTTTACTGATTGATGTTGGAGTTGGCGATTGTGGGCACAGAAGCCCGATGCATAGGGAGATGTCGATTCATAAATGAGCAGACTTGGCCCTATTCTGAGTACGCGATTCAATTGAAGAGTATCTGCCCATGCGGAGATGAAAAGAGCCTAGCGCTTGAGTAACTGACGCTGCACTGTTGCGGCACTCGGATGATCGTTTTTCAAAGCGAAAGGGGCCCCACGGCAATGCCCTGCATTTCGCATGCCAGGGCTGTGCCACAGCGGTTTCGACCGTTCACAGTGGCCCATCACGCACTGACTGAGCTTAAGATAATGCTCCTTTATGGTCCTGCGGATGTTTACCAACGGTCGTTGTGTATATAGCCTCATCTATTCCCGCTGAAATAAGATAACCAATGTTCCTCTGAATCACTACAGTTGACAGTGCGCTAGCCGGTGGTGGTACCGAACCGCTGGTGGAAAGACCGGTGATGGAGAAGCATTTTCTGGGAGGTTGTCGCCTGTTTTACCCTCGATGGATGGATGCTACGGGGATCCTCTCATCGAACTCGACATCACGGGAGAAGACTGTCTTTCCCGAATGAACTTCATAAAGTTTGTACTGTTTGATTCGCAGTAACCCAGCAATCGGCACTCGGATGATACGGGTCCGGGTTTTGCTCGGTGCTCATTCGGGATCAGTACCCATGTACGGGAGCCGATCCGCCGCAGATGCAACAGTGACGGCGGCTCTCCGTATAAGATTCCATACGGGGCCTTCTTCTGTAAGACCCATGCTGGAGTGCGCAGCTTTAGATAGACCACCGTGTCCAAGAGCTCGGTCCACCAGGAAGGAGGAAAGTTCGCATCGGACAGGAGCGTGTTGATCCGCTCCCGGATAGTGCGATTCGTGCGTTCCACCAGTCCATTCTGCCCTTTGCAGTATGGTGGCGAGGTGTCAAACTCAACTCCCTGGGACTCGAGATGTGTTCCGACAGGCAGGTATTCTCTCCCGTTGTTGGTGAGAAATCGCTGGATTCGGGCGCCGAACTGTCGCTACACCCAGGTCTCGAAATGTCGAAACTTCTGCAGCGCTTCATGTTTCCATCTTATGGCATAGGCTCACGAGCCTCGAGAATGGTCGTCAGTAAAGGTGATCACGTATCTAGAGCCATATTTGGCAACTGGCATTTCCATAATGCCCGAATGGATCATTTCAAAGATTCTCGATGAAAGCAGACGTGGCCGCCTTACACGGGAGTTCCTCTTCTGATGTTGCTTACCCGATATGCAGGCCGGGCACTGCAGCGTTGCCAGCAGTTGCGCCTGCGTCAGCGATCGGTACGGAGTCCCGGTCTGCTGAAGGACCACCCTTAAATCTCCTCGGTTCAGATGTCCCATTCGAGCGTGCCACAGCGCTTCGGAGGCCTGGTCCATTCCTTTGCATGCATCTGCTTCGGGTATCACAGCTTCACCACCGAGTTCAGAGGTTGACGCTGCACATTCTGCGTCACTTGGATCCGGAGGGTCGTCAACGTCCATGGCCACCGCCTGCGGTTCCAGGGAATCTGCATGGTCATGGGTCGCCGGCGCCCTCTCCAGTTGGACTCGCTCTCGGGTCTCTGGCTCTCATGGCACCGCAGGATCAGTAGATCCTCCTCCGCATGGTAGGCGGTCCCCACCGTCCGTCCTCGGCGTTGCACGAAGACGTTCTGCGGGTGCGCCACCACCGAGTAGCGGTCTCGCGATAGCTTCGGCACCCTGATCAGGTTCATCCCGACGCGTGGCGCGAAGTATACATTTTTCAACACCAGGGGTTGGTTGAACTTCCCCCGGAGCGTGAGCTTCACCGTGCCAATCCCTTCGGCTTCCACAGGATCGCCCGCCGTGTCCAACATCTCGCGATGGGGCCGTAGACTGCTGAAGCAGTTGCGGTCCCAGCAGATGTGGCTGGTGGCAGCCGAGTCCAGGATCCACCGGGGTTGTGGTGCGTGGGTATAAAGGGTATCACCCTCGCCCTCACGATATTGATCCGCGGACTCTTGGAAGTCGGCGGGCCCTGCCGATCTTCCATCTGGCTTGATGGTATATTTCGTAAATTGCTTCTTGATGACCTGGAAGCACTCCGTTCTGCCTTCAGGGCATGGTCCCTGGGCGGTTGTTGCTCGCGTTGCTTCTTCCAGCATTCCGCAACTACGTGGCCGCGTTTCTTGCAATAGTTGCATTTCTTGGTGCTCTTCTGCACCGTACTGATAGAGAGATTGCTTGTTCCGCCAGGAACTCCTTGCGGGAACGTCGCGGTGTCCTTTCGCTGCACCGTCTGCTCAGTATTTGCTAGACGGTTGCCAATATTTGCCGGGTTGACAGGATCCTTATCATTTTGGATCGCATTTTTTATCCGAATCATGAAAGCCAACAAAGCTTTCCGTGGACAGGTCCGGATCCTCTGTCTCCGTCTACCAAGGCGGAGGATATTTTTGTGTACCTTTCCGCCTTCTTGCTATCAGAGAAAGTCTGTTGGGTGGAATTTCGTCTTTCAAGATTTGACTCCCTCAGTGATGAGTTGATCGGGGAGCGTCTCTTTTTCCTGCTACGAATCGAGACAGCGATGGGGAATCTGTCTCGGGTGCGCGAGCAGGTTCTCGACATTATCTCCCAAGTATGCTCTGCAGCGCAGACTGCCCGCTTCCGACTGTCCATGTGGCCCAGCTTGGAACCCCTTCCCTACGCTCAGCACTTCATTGATGTCACTGCAGTCCACTCTGCCTACCTTGCCCTGCCTCGATCCGGGGGTTTTCGTCATTAACCTCCGCAGGAATTTCAGGTAGACCTGGGAGCTGAACTGGGGATACAGAATCGGAAATGCAACGAGTATTCTCAGGCAAGTAGTATGTAGCAGATACTAGTGCCGAGTTACTCACTTTGCCAAATGAACTGTTTGAATTCTAATACCAATTGTGAGGCTAAATTGTGCCGAGAAAGACCGCCACGAACAGATTAGTTGATGAGCTCTATTCTTTAGGACCCTTGTCACTAGGACTCCACATTTGGTGCGTCAATTAAACAAAATTCCATCGTTTCTGTCTCACGGGCCGACTGGACGCCACTTGACCATGTCGACCAACACAAATGAACCCTTCCCCCCAAACTAACTCCCATCAACCACCTCGTGACCGAGACGGTAGGCGCGCTTCAACTGCCGAGAATAGTATGTTGAAAACTTGAAGAAGTTCCTTTAAGCCAATCTACTAACAAAATACTAACCCACGAGGACCCGCTACGATATTGACAGCTGAGATGACATATACAGAAAAGACCCATGTAAGGGCTCTAGGGAGATACGGCATGTACCATGACATGTATTGGCTCAACATCTGCATTTACAGCCATCAAGAAACACCGTGCCGGCACAAGAGATCCATCGTGCTCGAATTACCAATTATTTGGGAATGTCCGTTGAAAATTTTGGCCAGTGCCTTTTGCTAGCGCATTTATCACATTCTCTGGTCAATCAATCCCTGCTAATGGGTAATCCGGCCTTTTCCATGGATGGCCCCTACCTACAAGAGGAAGCGTCACAATCGGACGGTGCCGAATCCAATATCCTCTGCTGGCGCTGATGATTACTCTTCGTACACGTCGGCCTTCATTACTTTTGAAGCAGGTGCAACCAAGTAAATTCCGTTCATAAGACAACTTAACGTCAATGTTCTTGGGGTACGGGGGCATCAGAGGATAATGTCGCATAGCATACAGCCATATCTGTTGGTATCCGGTCTCGAGGCATTCCGCCTCAGTCGCACGCAGGCGTCGGAAAGTAGACTCTGAGGTCTGAATGATACACTTCCCTTTCTCTCGGTGATCTTCCTCAGACTCCGAGTCTGGGTCAAACATCGAGCTCATGGCTTCCCTCACAGATCGGGGTGATGGGCCCAAGAGCCGCTTCAGACAGTGAGCGCACCTCTCCAGGTACTTGAAATCCTCAAAGAAAGTGTACAAGGACGGAATGAGGCCATCATAACCTTTCATTCTGGCCCATATCGCGCTTCGCTCGTCTGCACTGAATTCGGCAAACAAATGGCCACTGAGAACCAGCCCGCACGCCGTCCTTTCATCAGTGCGTGATTTACCTGGTGCCAGTAACTGCAGGGTGTGAACTGTATCCTGATCGATTTTCTTCATCAGACGCTGATCCGATCCGACCAGAGAAGACCAGAAGTCCAAGATGTGGTCAAAATAGGTTGCTATCTCCTGAGAAATGGAGAGTTGTGGTTAGCCAGCGAAAGCAGCAGCTTGAGCCTGAAACTCACCTCAACGCAGCCAGAGGCGATTAATCGATGAAGCAGGCTGATTCTCATTCCGCCCGGCCAAAGTCCAGGAATCGTCAACAATCGGTCAAATGCATGTCGGAGGCGACGATTCTTCTTGTTGTCGAGTTGATCCAAACGCTCTTGGTTGCTGGGCGATAGTCTCACGAACCATCGCTCTCGGAAAGCTTCGTTACCCTCGCCTTCATACTGTCTGATCTTGCGATAGACCTCCCCGTCGGTCGGCTTCTTCTGATTGGAATATTCTTCCACCAACGCGGCTCTCAGTTCTTCACCAATGTCTTGTGGGACTGTCAATATCGATCTGGCGGAAGGTAAGGGTCCGTCACGTACCGTCTGTGTAGAGATCAACCGTCCACCAGCGATCCGCCGGAGGAAGTACCTCAACACCCGCTTGTACACGATGGCGGCCATGGAGACCCCGAAGTTGCCCCGCCATAAATTCCAGTCGAGGAATTTGCCGGCCTTCGGTTGTCAGCAAGGCTTCCTGTGGAACATTCGCCTTCTGCAATGCGTCTGCGAGATTATGTCGCGACACGGTCGCGGGAACATGGTTTTGGACATCTAGGCGGCGACAACGATTCTTCCGGAAGATGTTTCGTAGCCGGTCCAAATTCTTAGGGTCCAGGTCCCGTGGTAAAGGGAGGTTCGAATTGAATCTGGCAGATGCTGACTTTAGCTGCACCAATGTATTTCATTCGTCGTTCTGCTGCCAGCCGCACTTCTTGTTCGGTAAAGACGTGTCGAGTCATGGTGTCAGGATAAATATGGGGCTCAGGATTGGCTTGGTTTTATCGGGCGTGAATGCCTTTATAAATACATCTGGACGCCCTCGTTGTGGTGGCTCAACGTTGGCACTGCGTTTCTTTGCCGGTGAAGATCCAACACCCTAGTGTTCCACGAAATACCCATTTAAATCGAGCAAGATTTCCTTTCTATTTCGTGCTCCTTTTTCGGCTTTCAACTATTAGCCAAATTCTATCCTGCTTCCATGATGCGAAAAATTGGCGAAAAGAGAGTGACAAGAATCCAGGCCGCTCAGGTTGCATTACTCCCCCAGCCGCAAACCCGAACAGAAGTATCACCGGTAACGGACCTCATACCCGGCCCACAACCTCTCCATTTAGGACCCGCGCCTGGAAAGGGGTCCATCACTTCCTCAACTTCGGAGCACACCGGTAAGAAAACTCGATTGATGCCACTAAGCTCGCCTCGCCAGGAGACTATGCAGTGGCAGAGCATTATCGGTTCGGGCCTGACAGTCCGAGACGAATCTCCTTGGGGTACTTTCAGAAAGTACTACGATTGTGACCTAGCTGGCCCCGTCGCGGTATGTGTTCGATCAGCTGGAGACCGCGGCGTCTGGGCAGTGCGCCAGTATCCAATTGAGGACGCTGACAAGATGCTGCGGATCCTCCGCTCCATGCGCCATAGAAACCTCACCTCCATTCGGGAGTGTTTCCGCACTCCGGAGCTTCTGTACACACTGGGGGGATTTTGACCCTCTCGTTCTGGATCATATCGTCGCTTGTAAAGCCTTCCCAGACGAGCAGGAGCTGGCAGCCATAATGTCTCAGGTTTGTTCCTCATTTCCTCTCACCTATGTGCCAGATGGCCAAATGGCTGATTATGTACAGCTCGTTGACGGGCTGTTATATCTCGTGGCGAACAACTTCCATCACACATCTCTGGAATGTTCTAGTGTTTTTCTCAATCTCAATGGGCAGGTCAAAATCGGTAAGTTTATTCCATTTCTACCTTGCCCGTCAATCTCACCTAATCAGGCACGGTAGCACGGATTGATTGCTGTGTGTTCCGGCAAAGAGGTAGAGCCGATGCCAGTGACCTGGCGCCAGTCTCGAGAATTATGATGGAATTGATGCAAAAATATGTCAAAGAAGATGGGGCAGTAGGAATAGATAATCTCGACCGCTGGAGAACCTGCCCGGCTGCGATCGAATTTCTCTGCGCGACGACCTCGGCAAGCTCTTTTGAGGAGCTGAAAGAGGTTTGTTTCTCTCGATTGGTTTCCAAAACAGTTCTTTCAAATGTACTAATGATATCTAGCAACGACTGTTGACGGAAATCTCATGCTGCCCAGGGAATCTCATCGGACTTGCGTGGTTCGCGTTGATCTCTGCTCGCACATTCTACTCGTACACGCCAGGCCCCATGAAGAACGATTGAAGCAGAAGTGAAATTTCCATACTGCCACCCTCTGCTTTGTTGGCCACTGCAGCAATAATTCGACCAATAGAAAAAATTCATGCACGGTACAGTAACCGACGAACTTCCTGTTTCCATGGTTCAAGCTTTTGTTCTGTCTGCTGTTAAATAATACCCGTCTTGATTTTGATAAAAAAGATTTTTGAATTAATTGCATCCTCAATCAAGGTCTAGCCGCTGTTTTTCAGTGTAATGCCTAGCCCTATCCAATTCATAATTGACCAAGTAGCTCATTTGCATTAGCTGCATGCGATCTCCCTATCATTGAATTACTCCGGCTGGTATTCCAGCTCCGAAAGCCTCACACCACGATGCAAAAAGCCCTTGACGGTCTTTCGGATCTGGTCTCTGAGGCTACCTGCTGCTGAAACTGGAAAGAAATTAGTATACGATAAAATAAAGCCAGGCCACAGTAGGATCACTTACCCATCACCAAGATCCGGCCTTGTTCATCGCGGATGTTCGGTAATATCTCGATCTGGCCTCCCGATGCCTCGAGCGAGACTATGTTGTCATAATCGGGTACTCCCTGGTAAAAGCAGGCTCTTTCATGTTTTCCTATTGGCGTCTTATCATGAGCAAGCCCTTTTTCGACGTAGATTGAAATGCTGAGAATCTGTAGACGGTTTTACCGTCAATAATAAACAAAGTTTCCATTTTGAAGCCAGTGACTTACATAGCCTTTATCTATGATATCGTCCTCCAGGAGGGGGTTCAGCAGGTCCTCGGCTGCGCTAACCATTTCTAATTTGTTAGTGCTGGTGCTGTCTGACTGAAAGCGGAAGGGTCTTCTCACCAATTGATTCTATCTGCCATACCAAATGCAGACGACGGACATGAAGTGTGCAGGTATTATATCCATGTATCATCTTCTTCAGATAGGGGATTGTTGCAGCGATCCCGAAACCACTTGCAATCAGTAGCACGGTTTCAAACCCGTCAACAATCTCACTGGTACCGTGTGGACCTGTGAACATGGCCAGAAATGGTACAGGGCAGCCAGGAGCGCCAGCGGCAAGACTCAGTAAGTCTAATGTCATGCCACCGCGTGGCTGCACAAATAGCTCAATCGTATCATGTCTTCCGCGCGACCACGATGTAACTATGAAAGGGTGCGTTTGAAGCCACGACCAAGATCCGACGGACGGCATCCACAGGTTGATATACTGGCCCGCATCGATCTTGATAGATCTGGGCAAAACCAGACGAATGTGGGCCGCTTTTCTTAGCCTAGGATGTGTCAGAGATCCTTCTGGGGTGAAGGATACAAAGGCCCGCGGAGCACCGTAGCCCGAAAATAGCCCGTTCGTGTAACATAAGTTGACGACCTCCAGGATTGTAGTCAGGGCCAAAATTACCAGCGGCATGTAAAGGTACAATCTTGGCAAGTGACTCTGGTCTGGAAGATGTTGCCACGTGCCATATAAAAAGAGAGCAGTCAGGGCTTGGTGGCTTCGGAGGAAGACTTCATAGCACCGTCGACGAAGCCAGGGGAGCGAGAAGAGGGCAAGTGTGGCCAAGGAAATTGACCCCTATCAGCGTTAGTCCTGAATTCATGACAGCGAGAAGGAAACTTACAATCAGGGTAAATATGTTACGTATTGCCCCAAGAGGAAAACTGAATCCCCGGCTCTGGCATTCTGCAACCACGTGAAAAGAAAGCAGAGCAACAGACATCCAACCTGTTGCCTGGTGAATCTTACAGCACGTGTGCCAGGTGATACCCAGAAGGTCAGCCAAGTACCCAAGGTGAGTGGCCGAGAGGGGAAAGATAAGGTTGATGAGAGCCAGCTCTCCGGCTCTCCGGCCAGCTTGGACGACGGAGTGTGTATGGAAGAATACCACAATGATATTGACCACAGTGTAGGTAAAATAGATGAGAACATTCAACCGGGACCAGGGGCCCCAAATACGATGCCTGTGGACAAGAGCAGGAAGTGTGAGGTGCCGAGAGATCAGAACAGAGCAGGACTCGATCCAGCCAATCATAGTGGTTCGGGTCTGGATGAGGAAAAGAGCTAAAAAGCAGCCTCCCGCAGCGATTGCATAAATCGATGACACATTCATCCTTAGTGGGAGCTCCATTTACAATGGACCTTGGAGGATGGCATATGAGGGGAGAACGGACCTATTTAAATGAAAGCCATTAACCACGACATCGTCATGTCCCTATTAGCGACATCTTGCAGTGGAGGCGGAAGCATCAGGAACAAGAAGCAGAATACTTCGGAGAGCCTCGACTAAGTGTTTTCGGTGTCAAATTTCCCAGCTTCTGCAGACATCAAAATGAATGAGCTGCCGTTGAGTGTACTGGGAAGAGGGTGTGTCAGATAATGAAGGCTTTTCAAGACTCACAAATACATCCCTTCTTGCTCTGAATCAACAAATCAGAATCTTCAAAAGAATAATGGAGTGGAACAGCCATAAAAATGAGGTTGTTCCTTCCTTCCGTTCGATGTATCAATAAGAATTTTGGCTATTATCGGCGATTCTGAGCGCGCAACTTATCTCACATAAGGACAGGTCCATTCCTAGCTAGCACCGAAGGTGCTGCACGGAAGCATTCACTTACACATAGAGGCCTATATGTAACAAGCAGCCTGAATAGAGCGATACAGTAAATTAAAAGGGTGAGTGCAGTTAATCAACGGATGTACGAAGAGACTTGACATTGTGTGTGCTCAAGAGGAGGCAGGGGTTCGGCTTAGCACTTTTAAACGTGCGAGTTGAGTGGCGAAATCCTCACCCCTTACTTCATAATCATATTTGATGCATTTTACTGGCTATATTAACACTTGTGAATGTATTACATGGCTCTAGACTGGACAGTTGCAGTCTGCATCTACGTTTCTAGTCTCGGCGTATACAAGAGTGTGGATTTCACGTCTAACTTCATAGGAGAACCGCTCATGGCTCAGTATTGATGGGAGACAATAATATGATAGCACACAAACAGAAAGATAAAATTTTCTTGCTCTTTTTCGTCATTTCTCTTGAAGAAACTCTTTGCGATTCTTTTGCCATAGGAACGGGCTCGGGGCTCGAGGAAGCGCGACTGAAATCCTGGGAGTAGAATTGAAAGTATGCAGAACTACGGTATCCTGTGACTCCTCAGCCAGGGTATAAGTATCCAACGTGCAGTCGAATCTGTGACCATCGTAACCCATGGGAGCCCCGGCTGGCGTGCACCCGCAAAGGAAACCTGCGAAATGACCCCCGACAGATACGTGCCATCCACGGCCCTCGCCTATGATTTACGCTCCAGGCGCTATCGTAAGTCTGTTATGTACAATTAAAATATTCTACTAATTCTGGATAGCTTTTCTTGAATATCCAAGACGAAACCAAGCAAGGACACGTTTCTATCATCTATTTTACCAAATCGAGGAGCAGGGATCGCTACTTGAAAATCAGCAACAGAATCTCATCTCTGAGCTCGAACGTCTGCGCAATTATCCATGGGCCCTGTATAATGAGTACAATAAGGCAATGGGAGAGCTAGAACGGGCCAAAATGCACCAGTGATCCGAACGTGGATGACAAGGGACTATTCATTGCGCCGTAAACAATGCTCTAGTTATTTGATGGCCATGAGGCACTGTCAGCAGAAACTCCAGAACTATCTCATTTCAATTTCACTCGTAATTGATACAATAAAGTACATTTTTTGAACCACGAGCTCTAGTATGGTTCTCGTAAGAAACCCGGTCGGGCTGTGCATCTTATACCCCGATTGAATCCTCCATGAATTTTACGATATACTTTGACCTGGTCTACTCGAAATTCTTGTATTTTCCTCAAGTTCATCCAAGTTGCTCTGTAGAGCTTCAGCGCCTGAATATATCCGCAAATACTACACCTGAATTTCAACGGCAATTCTTAATGTCGTCTCTATCTCGGGTTCAAAGGGGAGAAGACGTGGGTACATTGTGAACATAATTGTATCAGCCTTATCCAATTATTGGAGGTGTTATGGTAGGCTCAGGCTCCCAGGAGCTCACAGCCAAATTTGGACCAATCATTTCTACAGGGGCTATGTGGCAGACGTGGATCATTCATAGCACCGATTGACTCATTCTTCCTCCGACCCATTATTAGTATCCAATGATCGCATCAATATTTACGACCCACCGGCTCCTGGGAGCCATGGCCAAATATCCACCAATCATTTCATAGGCGACTTGCACGCATGTGAGCCATTGATGGCACTGATTGGCTTATATTTTCTTGTTGTAGTACCCACTTTCCCCCATCCACTTTGTGCCCAGGAGATTGATGTGGGTAATGCCTTTGCAAAGATGCTGGTGATCGCAGAGGTTTGTTCTACGAGAACGTAATCGACCTATATCTGACCCACTATACAAGGGACTCTGTTGTGAGATGGGGATGTGGGAATCAGTCCCGCGCTGTACTATAGCTTGCATCTGCTTGGTATTGTGTAGGTGTCCTTTCTTTTCTCCGATATACGAGGTAGGCAATAGATAACCCTTCAGTTTGGCTGGTAGAGATCCAGGGTCGCAATATGGCATGGTGTTTGCCTATCTTTGATGAGGTGTTCATTGAACGGGGTATCGTGCCCATCATTGGTGGGTGAAATGAAAGGGTGTGATATGTCGCCGCCTCACCTGTTGTAATAATGTACGAGCCCATGGTGGTGAATGCTGAAACGGGTCATCGATGCTTTCCTGCGGCATGCTCATCCCTGTTTAAACGGTGCCAACAGTGATAAAAGGAACTGCATATATCGAGTCACCAGGAAAAATTCGATGTCTCCGAATGTTGTGTTCAATCGTTGTGCCAGATAAATAACCAAATGTTGAACCGGCTGCAATTTAAGAGTAGTTTGTGTTTGAGCCCTCACAATTGATGATGATGATCTCATTGAAGCAGACTGAATGCCTGGCTGGATAGTTATAAATACCCGATCCTTCGCCCGCTGAAGAGTCGTTCGCAAGCATTTTTTTGTGATTTTGGATCAAAGAATGTCGATCATGACTCGTCTCCGCGGCTACTCTTTGGTATGGATTGACCTCCAAATCATGCATTGCAATAAGCTGACCTTTTATATTGCAATGGCTTAGCCTTTCTCAATAACGAAGTCTTCAGACAGCAAGTGAGTGTTGTTTCCCAGTCATTTAGAATCATGCTAACTCGGAAGATGCTCGATATCAGCCCCGTTTCCGCTGCTCCTCAAATAACCCATTGAGCGAACCTTTGTGGATCCTGAATAGCCCAAGCTGCGAGCACAGTGAGTTACAAGTTGCCTTCATGAACTGCCCACTGACGATTGATGATAAATAGATGTCATATTTTATACAGTCCCCTGCAGCCCACAGCAATATCTGAGAACGTAAGTTTCAAAGCATTCCGCAATTTTTCAAGGCACATGTCATGCGCTGACGACCCTCTATGTAGGATGACAATCCTTCTATCGCGAGTCGCTCAATGTCTTGTAAGTCATGCTAGTGTTTTGCCCCCACGCATTCACAACGCCCCGTACTAAATTTCAATCTCCGTACCATTGCTATCCGTTCGTGGCTCTCCGTTCCTCAGCAAATATCGCTGATGGTTCTTTTTCTTCATAGGACACGTGTCAATATTACCCTCGACCTGACAGAGGTATGTCCCTCCCCCCCCTTTCTTCGCCTTCGAAACTAAGCCAGCTTCAACAGCCTGATGGGCCAAGCCATGGAATATTACTACGCTCGCGCCTTTATTGTTTCTGAACACGTGGTTGAAATGGCCAATTCACCTGGCGCATTTAGCGAGCCCAATCCAGAAAGGCTTGATGCCATCTGCTAAGCCATACGGTAACATTCCAAAGGGTTTCATCTCTTCAGCATTACCCTTCCGATTGAAGGTTAAGTGCCAGTTTACTAAGAAATTTCCAGATTCCGACGGCTCTGAGCCTCTTGCCTACCTCCGATCCGAAGCCTCGTCGGCAGCCATGGCCATTCCCATACTAGGCCGAGTAAGACATTGCAGCATTCGCCGACATCTAAGAGAAGTCTAGCATCGATTACCACCGAGAAAGGCCATGGTTTCTGAGGGAACAACATCAAGCAGCAATGAATCGAGTTTAGGCCACGGGCTGTAGGCCGGCTCTGCCGAGCAGGTCGCAGCACTAGATTTATCCCAGATCTCTCCCCATGAGAACAGTCGCTTTCAGGTGAGCTACTACTTCGCCCCAGACCAAATACCATGAACCTCTCTTTCAGTGGAACTTTGTACTAACACGTTTGAAGATTGACCTCTCACACAAAAAGCAGAGACGAAACAGCTATGCATTGGCAGCTATTGCCAACATTCATTTGCAGCGATACGAAACGACACTGGGCCCTCCAGATGTAATCGAGCTGAGCCCGCTACATCTCTGGTTAACTTTCGCTGATCCCAAACTACATTAATGGCAAGTCTGTACTACCCTTAGCCACCAGAAGTCTTGCTGATATGGAGAAGTAGTGAAGCGTAGCACTGCTTCGGCTATTCCTACAAGTCCGATCGAGACAGTGTATTGCGGCTAGTATTGGGATTCTTTCTAGGCCGCGAGCACGGTCAGTAGCGAACACCCATCTTGCGCCAGTTGCTGACTATTGGTGCTAGATCTAATATCTCCAACGGCAATCTGTTTGCCTGTGGCCAATGCAGACGGCGATTCAAAGCATCCCCCGTGGCCTATATCTAGAACTACGTTCTCACGGCTGGAGGTTTGTGACAACTGACCTTTTTTGCCAAACCACTAGTATGAAGATAACTTTCCCTTCCAAACGTGGCCGCAAGCCAATCGAATGCTCCACAGATGAAGTCTGGCAATCCTTATATCACGCATCATGACCGAGTTCGCTGGAAAGTTGCTGCCAATAGAAGGTTGTTGCATGGCCGAAAACAGGAATCGACCTGGAGCTGGGCGGGAATGCATTGTAGGGCCGACGGGTGCGAGCCAAGGGAGTCACTCTGCCATACTCGAGGTTGCTTCATTCCTGGCAATAAACCGCAATTTTCGCATTCTTGTGCCCCGGGTCACCACCGAACGGCACGAATTCACCAGAGGACGCAGCCTCGCGAATTACGGTCGCAGCGGTTGCAACTGCTCAATCATTACTCGAAGGATGCCAGGTGGGTTTGTGATAACTGGTGGAAAATTCGTGCTTGCTGATCTCGAATGTAGGTGTGATGTTCAGCCATTGTGGGCCTGTCACTTGTGCCCGACGCGAGACGCTGCGACGCGTCAGGGCTCGGCCTTGTCGCCAGCGCCGGGTGCTGCCTTAGGTCGGTATTCCAGAAAGCGTTTCATATCAAGAGTCCCAAGAGAAAAAACACGCGAGACGAACCGTGAAAAAAAGCGGGTTGTGACTACGACGATGGAAATGCATGAGCGAGAACCGTCTTTCTGATGAATGGCCATCCAAATGCGCCCTGCGGGAATCGAACCCGGTTCGTTAAGGAAGCCAACGTGGCATATTCGACTAGACCACGCGAGCAGATGCGCTGGCGGCGCCAGATTTGCCTCACTATATCCAGCATCTTCTTAGAATATCATAGCCACCGTTAGTCTCGACCAGTACTCAGCTACATTACCCCTTTGAGCTCCACAAGAGTCTCTCATTTGGCCATGCCAATGGAATATGATATTCGAAAAGAGGGCCAGAATACAGGGCTTGAATCGCTGACATTCTGATAGTTTGTTTCTAATTCTACTGCTACCATGAACGTGCGCGTCTAAGGATATATATTGCGCCATATTGGATGACCATTTATCGACATTCCCTCAGAGCTGTGTATCACCAAAGAGTATGCGACGAAGCTCAAGCCACGTAGAAGAGCGACCCGAGTGAAAACAATGATACAGTCTATCGTCAATAGTTGTACATAGTGTACCCTCTAACATATTTTTAATTGGGAACCAAAGTTGGATGCACCATCACGCAACTCCAAGCCCATAGTCGAGTTTTTCTAAAAAGACTATTCGCAGATAACTACATTACGATCTGCTGTAATGACAGATTCTAGTTGACGAACTGCATCATGTGTCACCGTCTATCATCTTTTACATCCTTGGTGAGCCAACGAAGATCCCACGGTAACGGCGATGGGTAGTCACCGTTGGCAGCCACTTCATCGCTCGGCAGTTACGCCGCGCCGCAAATCAATATGTTGAACCACTGGTTCCCATCGATCATGATCATCACCAACTCTCAACTGTCACTCAGCTCCGGCCCTCATCGCCAGCCCTCGCAATCAGCGTGTCCTCAACATCAACACGCCTTCATCAGCACGCCAACACTACCTACACACTGTCGAAAGCCCGCATTTCACCACGTCGAGACAAATTCTGCCTCAAGACACGCATTCACACAAATGGCGACTACTTTGGATTGCACGCGTCGCCCAGATCGGCCACTAAGCTATCATACACTGAGATTCCCACTGGCCCGATCACTCAGTGCCCTACTTCGCACTACGGTGAAGAAATGCCCATTGTCGAAAGCCAGGGCGTGATTCAAGGCTCCATAACAACTTGACGCGAACCAGGAACATGGCTATTGAACTCTACAAATAGGCTGAAGGGCATGACACAACGCATACTGGATGATTCTTGATTCTATTGATTCTTTGGAGCAGGTCTTGGCTTCTTCGAGGACTCCCCTGAATACTAGTCTCTGACACCACGAAGAGGTGCCTGCAATCGCCAGAGGATCAGGTCGAGGGCCGCGGCGCCACGGGTCGCCTAATGAGCGCAAATTTGATAACGCAGGGCTCAAGGCTGCATGTAAGCTCAAGATTATACAATCACAGGGCTCAGGGCTGTGAGGGAGAACTTGGTGTCGCAGCGGTCTCCTGCGGAGGTTCTTGATAACGCAGGCGTCCCTGCGGAGCACATGTTTACAACGCAGGGCTCATTGCTGCGAGGGAGCACGTTTCTACAACACAGGGCTCATCGTCTGTGAGGGAGCACACTCTTACAACGCAGGGCTCATTGCTGCGAGGGAGCACGTTTCTACAGCACAGGGCTCATCGTCTGTGAGGGAGCACACTCTTACAACGCAGGGCTCATTGCTGCGAGGGAGCGCGTTTCTACAACACAGGGCTCATCGTCTGTGAGGGAGCACACTCTTACAACGCAGGGCTCATTGCTGCGAGGGAGCGCGTTTCTACAACACAGGGCTCATCGTCTGTGAGGGAGCACACTCTTACAACGCAGGGCTCATTGCTGCGAGGGAGCGCGTTTCTACAACACAGGGCTCATCGTCTGTGAGGGAGCACACTCTTACAACGCAGGGCTCATTGCTGCGAGGGAGCGCGTTTCTACAACACAGGGCTCATCGTCTGTGAGGGAGCACACTCTTACAATCGCAGGGCTCATTGCCGCGAGGGAGAACTTGTTGACGCAGCACTCTCCTGCGGAGGCTCCTGATGTCGCGGATGTCCCCGCGGAGCACACTTATACAACACAGGGCTCAGGGCTGTGAGGGAGCACACTCTTACAATCGCAGGGCTCATTGCTGCGAGGGAGAACTTGTTGACGCAGCACTCTCCTGCGGGTCTCAATTGGTAACGCAGCGTCCCCCTGCGAGGCACACCCGAGTGGCTCGGGAGTGTGAGGAGGAAAGTCCTGCTTTTCTTTTCGACGGGAAAAGAGCGTCTTTTATGCCATTGTGAGTAGGGTTTCCGGCAGCGACCACTTGCGTACATTTTGCCGAGTCCAGAGATTTTGACTTCAAATTCGCACTGGGCGACCCTAATTTCGTGGGTGTTGAGGCGGTTTATCAACGTTGAAATAAGAAATTTCAAGAGTTCGGGGCGGAGAGAGCGGGTGGAGTGGCACGCCCCACCTGGACCCTTGGCTCCCCTGGGTCTAGGCCTGACAAATAAAATGCCTCAACGTTGTTGACAAAGGTGAAACAACCTCAACTTGGCTGACAAGTTCGAAAGAATGGGCTGGCTCTGGCAAATGGACTGACCATACCCTCGAACTTGTGTTTGTAGACTTTGCCATCGTAGCTGCCTCGATGCGTGCTCCCAATTTTGGACCTGCGACTACCCTTCCTCACTTATTATCTGATATAGGCACTGGATGAACGAATCTGCAATTAAATTATTAGCTCGATTGACTCCTGCTATAATGGTCCGAGCTTAGCTGCACCGATCGCTGGGCGCTGACTTGCAAGTCCAACCGCGAAGTCAACTTTCTGCGAGCCGCGAATTGGGACGTTCAATTCGTGCAGGTAGCTTGTTAGTCAACATTTGTCCTGTTGAAAATCCGTTGAAGACTTGCCAACTGCTTATTGCGCCCCGCTTCATTGAATTTTCACAATGTGAGACAAGATATGGCTGGCCGGGGCTCAGGGCGATGGCCTCTTCCACTGCGGGCATTTGCTCGCCGGATCTATTTTCACACATATAGAGTGTCACACCCGTCACGAATCATATAAGAGTCACTCCCGTCATAATTTTCAAACAGGTCTGTTTGTCGGCAACACCCTGCTTGATTCGATACGCGACTATGGGAGCCATTCGAAAAATTCCACACACCCGGCAGATGCCAGACTTCCGACGTCGATTGCAGCGCGCACTGTCCTTGTCATCCTCGGAGTCCGAATACAGCCGAAGCCCATCTCAATCTTTGTCTGGAGACACCACCGAGGAAGAGCCATCGACCCCCTCGAACAAGAACGACAAAGCTGTTCCGCAACAGAGCGATCCTCCCAGTACCCACGATCACGGGGTGCTACCGAGTCCTCAATACGGCGGACACTTATCTCAGCCCAGAGATAGCAACATGCTTACCCTCACATGCCTCGCAGAGTTAGTCCGGGTCACCCCTTATCGTGAAAGCAAGGTGTTTGCTAACAGATGATATTTCAAGACTAGACGTGCGGGTGAAGTTAGTTTTACATTCCCTCCAAGCAATGAACAAAGGGCTAACCTAAGACCAGATCCCTAGATTGTAAATTGACGGACCAAAATAAGTGTATCGAAGATTTCCGCCGGGATCTAGCAGACCTTCTCCGCCGACTGGTGGTTATCGAAACGGAAGCAGAGGAGAAAACCAAAAGTGGCATGGCCCATACGCCAGATGAGCCGGAGCAGAAGCCGGCGTGGACCCGGCGGTCGCAGCGGTGAGGACGATTTGACGGGGTTGGATGGGAGCTCCGATGACGTTCGTTGTGCAGGAATCCGCCCAGTAGGCGTCAAATGCGTTCTCTTACTTTGAGTAAACTCTTGCTGTTCTCACGATTGTCGATTATAGCATGTTCGGACCAGAAGCTCTCTTGTGCTTTCTCTAGATGGGACAGTAAAACCTGTCTGCGGATACAGTATATGCCTTGTGAAAGGGCTTTTCTCCGATATACCTACGCACTGGGATATTCAATTCTGCAGATCATATGGAGGTGCAGGTTAGCTACATAGAAATTCCTTGGTGTTACGAAACTATTGCAAGAGATATTTTCACATATTTTTTCGACATTCCCTACGCCAGCACTATGATATTCGTCCGCCATTAACCATATCCGTTCATCCAGAAGTGAAAGAAGGTTTGCTCAGGTTTCGAGTCTGTGTATAATACCAATTTGGGCATTCAGTAAACCTTTGCGATATGGAAGCAATACCATGCGAATGACACATCCTACAGATTTACAAATAGGGGACGAAGATATTGTTTGAATTTACATGAAAGGAGATTGAATTTGGAGAGATACTTTGGCTTATACGCTTAAAGTAAAGGCTTGTTGTCCATATCCCTGCTTGCATAAATTTCTCTCCAACGTTTACTTATGGAATGACATATGACAATTATGCCTAGGAGTCCCATTTACTTTTTCCCGCTTCCTCACATTTATGCAGAGGCATGAGTTGTTTAGCAGGCAATTTAGAATCCCAAACAGTCAATACATACAAGGATACCATTAAAGAGCCTACAATAATAGTATAGCCACGGCTATAGCTGGGTTAAAAATCTCGAGGCCGGCAGCAGAATTCTTAATGCTGGTAGCCACGGCCGCAGACGCCGCAACATCAATAGCAGCTGAGCTTCCAGTTTCAGTGGTAGCAGTTCCAGTGCTGGCGCCAGTTTCGCTAGCACGCTCCTTGAACGAAAGAGATGACGATAATGGCTTGGGACACGCGTTCTTATACACATATTGCTCAGCATCACCACTGCAAGTGGTCGTATCGTCGGCGTTGTATGTGCCATTCGGATAGACCCAGCAAGTACCGCCCTCGTACTGTGAATTATTTTCATTATGGGGATTGAAAACGGCATAGCTGCAGGAATCAGCTTCTGCACAAATACTCAAGCAGTTCGATGCACCCGAGCTAGCATAGCAGTCGTAAAAGCAAACCTCATCAGGCGGTGGGTACCCACAGACCTCGGCGACAGCAGAGGGGGTCCTAGTGGCGGCACAGGCGCTGGCAGACGCAGTCGCAGTGGCTGGGCTAGAGCAGACGGGTTTGTCGTAGACGGACAGGTATGGATTGGAGCAACCTGAAGTAGAACATTTGCTCTCATCAAAGTTTTCGCCGGGGTACAGCCAGCAGGTTCCGGTGCCTAGGTAAGGGTTTCCAGCGACGAAGATAACAAAGCTGCAGGGAGGATTGTCGTTGCAATAGTCCCAGCAGTTGGATTTGCCAGAGCTAGCGACGGCAGTACCGTCTGCTGGCTCTGGGTAGTCGCATAGAGTGGTGATAAGGGAAGCTGTACAGGTTGATGATGAGGCAGTAGAGGTAGTGGTGGTGGATGAAGTGGACGTAGCAGATAGAGCGCCTGGGACCAATAAGGATAGGCCGAGGTTGGCCCAGAAAGGAGTTATCTTCATGATAGCGAGTGTAGATCGAGTGTCGACCGAATATCGATCGAACTTTTATAGCGAGCGTGGGTAGGAAAATTAAAATAAACGTGGGGAAGGGGGAGAGCAGTATTAATTAAATAGGAACGCCACTGGTACGAATAAACATGCCTATTTAAAAAGGCACACTATTTGTGCCTAGAGTCACAGGAACAGGAAAATCCAGTCCACAGCGCTAAAACTGGGATAGGGGCAAGCTAAAACTGTTCGTGTGGCAGTTTTTAGTTTAGTGTTGTATTTTCTGGCAACTTTGGCCTTCAATTCTCGGTTAAAAAAAACCGACTGGAGCACGGTTAACCGAGCACTTTTTACAAGGTAGCAATGCTAGTTTTTAGGGTCTTCCAAGAGCCACTAGTTCGTTGCAGCTATTTAGCCCCACCAAGTTTCTAACACTAAACTCTTTTAGGTTGTAACGATCCAGAAATTTCAATGTCGCCCTGTAAGGCTTAGTTAGTGGGACGAAGTTCAAGTAAGTAAATATCGAAAGATCAGCATATCAGAACTCATGAAGTAACTGAAATTAAAGGGAGGAGTTCGAAGTGTGAAACCCTACGAAAACCGGGGTTGCAAACAACCATATAGGAAGTAGTTTTATTGGAGTTGCCTCACAATGCCTGTAACCTCATGTAGGCTGCGTCACTATCCGCATTATCGTACGATAGTTATCGATCGATCGTATCCAACTGCCGATAACGATAGTTTTTCATTATCGATTATCCGCAGCGGATACGATACGATAATTTTTTTGGCCTCTGCGGATATCGTACGATATCCGTCGGATAATAAACATTATAAACAGGCCAAGACTCGTGATCTCGGGGAGCCTGCATAGATTATGCAGTTTTTCTGGTAGTTTTTGTGTATCTGCATGGTATAGCATGATCGAAAAATCGAGGACTTTGGGTGCAGTTTCGCTATTTAATATTTAGCAATGTATACACTCTTTGATATTAATGTGAAGGTACCCTGAGGGCTCTGAATTCAGCTAGTTTACATAATTTTGACTATTTACATCAGATATTTTTCTATCTAAAAGCCATCCGGCATCTTTGGCCTCTTCCGAATCCTCCCTGATCGTCCCTGCGTAGCCTCCTCAGTTGGCATTTCAGGAGGAGGAAGGCCACCATCATCACTGTCTTGAGGCTCAATAGCCTGATGTGGCCTCTTACTCTGTGTTGTAGTCTGCGCAAGGTATGCTTCGCTCTCCAAATCACTCTCTGGTTCGTCTAGTAGCTCCTCAGCTTGGTGTCTACCCTCCTCCTCATCGTCACTAGTAGGATCAATATCATTCAGTGCTGGAGAAGGCTTCCATGACTCATTAAGAATAGCATCCTCTCCCTCTAAGGTATACTCCTTAATCAGATCAAGCTCGCTTTGCTGGAGATCGAACTTAGACGAGAAGAAATGGAGCATAAGCTCTTTGATTGTTTCAGGTTTGAGCTTGCCTCGGCGATAGTGGCAGATATCGCGGGCACAATTAAAGAGCCGTTCAACACCAGCACCGCTTGCAGGAGTAGAGAGAATATCCCGGGCTAGCGCTGCAAGCACTGGGTATTCCTGCTCATGCTCCTTCCAGAAGAGACGAGGGTTTACTCTTGTAAGGCCTGTAGTATTGTAAGCCAAGATCTAGGGGTTACTACAGAGATATAAACCTTTTGAGAGATATTGGGTGATCTCATCCACTGGCTGATCTACCTCGGGTTGGAGAGCTGTTTGTGAATCCATGATGAAAGCGAGATCGTCATCAGGATCGTCCTGAGAGGCTTTGGGTTCTGTCGTATTGATCTGGGGGAGAATACGCTGCTTGTAGCGTTCAAACTCGGCTTGTAACTTGTCCCGATAGATCTTCATAAAGTCAGCCTGCTCACCATTTGCATGAGTCCCTCGCCAGTCCTCATTATCAAAGTAGCGGAGCTTCTTAGATGGGCAGAGGATAGTAGCAATTGCATAGACTGCTCCATATGGCTCAGTATCAGTCGCTGTATAATACTTCCTAAGCTTAGCTTTGGCTGCACGTAGTGCCTGGAGCATCTTAATCTTCCAGAGAACACCCTTTCGCTCAAGCTTTTCTTCAGCTGCATCAAGATGATTGAACACTTTGTTATAGATACTGAACACAGAATGAACTGTTACATCACGGGTCTTTGATAGCACATTCGTCATATCAAAGAACGGCTTTGTGATAAGGAAAAGATAGTCCACTTGACGCCATTCTTCTGCAGAGAGCTTGAAATGGGAATAGTGATGTGTAGTACAGTATAGATCAAATACTTGCTGTAGTCGCTTAGCACGATCGAGCATCAGAAATGTTGAATTCCAGCGTGTGCGTACATCCTGGATTGGCAGAAGCCTGATGGGTGTTGTTTGAAGAGCCTGGAAAGCATCACGTCGTTGAGGACTAGCATTAATAAATACAGCAAGCTCTCGGATCTAGATTGAGGAATAGTTACTAGGATATAGTAGTATATACTAGGAATGAATATACCTTCTTTAACGTATTTGTGATATTACCTGATGATTGTTCTGAGGAAGACTGGATTGATTTTGTTCGTGATTCTGGCCACTCTGACTCCGCTTCAGTATTCTTTGGATTGGCTCTGATTTTCCCAAGAAGATCGTGTAGGCTTAGCTGTATAACATGCACGATACAGGGAATGCGGAATATCGGAGTATCACCAAGCGTCAGAGGCCCAGCCAGCTCTTGGACGGCTTGGATCATCTTTGTATTGTTGGATGCATTATCGGTTGTGATTGAGAGCACTCGATTGGTAATCTGGTGCTTCTTGAAGATGTGTAGAATAGTTTCACTGAGATGGGCCCCTGTATGTGATCCAGGCTGGTGCTCAAAGCCGAGAAGAACCTCACGATAGTTCCAATCTTCATCAATAAAATAGCCAGTGATGGCCATAAATGCCTGAGAGAATGGGGACGTCCAGCAATCAAGTGCAATAGAGAGAGAGCTTCCTATAGGAAGCTTGCTGAGTACATTTCTCTGTTGTTGTTCAACCTGACTTTCTAATAGTCGCCTGGTAGTACTTGCGGAAGGAATATGTAGGTCGGAATCAGCATGTCTTGTGTATTGCAGAAGGTCTTTGAATGAAGAGTGCTCAGTTATCCGGAATGGTAGACGAGTAGTTGTGATAAACTGGAGAATTTTATGTTGAAACGTGGCTTGGTCAAAAATGAGACTCTTTTGCTGCGGCTAAGGAGATATTAGTAATGATATAGATTCATTAAAAGGGAGACACACCATATTCCGAAGTAGCTTATCGATACCTTGCTTCGAAGTCTTTTTTAACTGTGGCTTAGCACATTGAGCACTTGTAAGGTGATTCTTCATGGGCGAAGGGCCAGAGCGTTTATATCCAGGATGAATAACCACTGCACAGCATCGTTTGCACATAACCTTTGGCTCACCCGTCTTTGAATGAGCAACCTGATCAAATGAGCTCCAAGCTGCAGATTTCTTTTGGTCACTATCCCAATTGATCGTTCTCCGCAGGTCTTTTTTCTGGCCGAATTCAGTGGTTAACCACCATTCAACATACTGGGTACGAGAGGTATCCATTGTTGAATTAGCCTTGTCCCCGTTATATAGGATATAATGCTGTTGCAGTGGTTTGCCGGCACGCTGAAGAGAAGTAGGGGGCAGATTATATCGAGGTAAGGAGGGATCTTCGAAAACAGAGTTTGAATGCGTCACGAATTGACTGCTTATCGCGTCATCTGGAAAATCATCGGATTGTAGGAGTTCTGGATCAATGAATGAATTAGTATAATGTGACACTCCATATTGGCTCCCACTATCCTGCGAATATGACATAGTAGGCTGTAGGTAAACTACTCATATTCAGTAAGAATAGTAGGATTGAAGAGACTTACAGGGAATTTGTAGAGTAGTGGTGTGGGTAAACAGTACTTTGTAAATTCGACAGGTTAAATTAAATTATCAAGATTGATTGGGTAGATGGTTAGAAAAGTGGAGGTTCTATTAGATAATCTGTTGAATATCGGCTGATATCCAACACTATCCGCTAACCACCAGGATCACCCAAAAATCACTAAGTTCGCTTGATTAAGTTTTCCAATACGATCTACTCAACATTTTTATATATACTGTAAGATGGGAATGCTCGCTGTGGCAGTCTGCGTTGGCAGACGGGTCGATCGCAAGAGGACAACACCACCACACTCGAAGAGTGCCGGAGAGAGAGAGAAGTAGACAGTGCGTGACGCTATAGAGATGCGACTAATAAGACATTCGAGTCTTCATGGACATGCGATATACCGATACCGTAACCTCAGCCTCAGTAACCTCCGCAGGAAGAATAATTCATAAGGGGGAACACACATGTTGTTATTGATACTATCGAACGAACGCTACTTATTCTTCCGAAACGATATGGCTGCCTTGTTACTAAGGCCCCAATCACCTGACTATGGGATACCGGTGTTGAGAGCGGAATTCCCCATTACATACCACCCTCCCTGAAAAATTGACCGTCCCTTGGTCAATTCGAAACAAAAGAAACAAAAGAAACAAAAGAAACAAAATATCAGATAGCACCTCCGACAATCATTCTATGCTTCATCCATTAATCGGCACCTAGCCGCCATGAGGATGGCCAACCTCCGCCTCAGGAGTAGGTTGCTGCATGCTCGATAGTGGTTGAGATTCAGCAGGAGCATGAACAGGCTCATCGGGCAACAGACCCAGTTCTTGGTCGTCAACAAGCATGCCCTTCTCAATACGGTAGAAGAATGAGTTTTTGCCGTATTCCTTCTTCTCTAAGCGTTTGGTCAGTTCGAAGCAGCGTAGGTACTCATACCAAGCTTCCTCTCGCCAGTCGCGAACCATTGCTCTCGCAACCTCAGGGTCTTTTCCAAAGAGATCATCTAATTCCATGCATATGGAGGGACTATCCCATCTCTGTCGGCCTACCAAACAATTCGGAATCCCGTGTCGGGCCGTCCGGAAATGTACTCCGGCAGCAAAGGGAAACGGGATTGTACCATACCGAGAAGAGGAATAACCGGAGGGCGTCTTGGATGCAGGCATTAGTGTACGATGAGCCTCTGCCAGCTCCTCCCAGGTATTCGACTCTGCACAGTCCAGAGTTTCATGGTCATCCTGGATCGCTGTGTACCACGGGAGTCCGGTTCGGCGTACTCGTGTGGCAGGGCCTGTCGATCCATGAGGCAACATAGGAAGAGAAAGTCGCACATCACCGACACCACAAACCTCCGTTGTCCATTGGGTGCCATATGTTTCCTCATCCTCCTTCCTCCACATGAAAGGTTTGATACCCGAGATAAAGCCGTCTCCAACGGGTCCACGGGACTGGATATCCTTCCACCATTTTGCCAGACGTTCTGTCTTATGCATACCTTTCAGCAGTACGGTACAGTTCTGTTCGTCCTCTTGCGTGAAAGATACTGATCCTTGTAGTAGGCTACTACCTCTCTGGCTGTCAAGATAATCCTGGATATTGATGTCAAGGTGCCGGAACTCAGTGTGTTCGCCAGCCTGTGTACTTTTTATGTAATAAGGATGCGAGATCAGACGCCATGCATGGTCTGGCCGGAAAAAGACATATGCCATGTAGTAGGACAGGTCTTGTCGAATCAACTGCTGAATGTTCGAGTGCCACATGCCGCGAAGCCACCCAAGCTCTTTTGTTGCATCGCTTAGATGATAATGGTACATTCGAAATTCCTGGTGAATAAGCGGCCATAATCCTTCCGGGTGTCGTCCGTCGAGATCCTCTCCAAGCCATGAGAAAAGGTTCGGCAATACCGTACTGCCATCGTTGTGCATGTCATTTGCCGGGCTAATGTCTGGAGCCTCTCCTGCATAGATCCTGTCGATCAAAGTCTCCACCGATAGCCATTCAGTACAAGACACAAAGTCAGAGATAAGCGGAGCATGATGCTGAGGGCGGAAGCGATGGAAGCCGAGACTGTTTTCCTGCCGGAAACTGAACCATCGGGGGTGATCTTTCATGAATTGATCCCATTTACCAATGTGCTGATATGACAGGGCGACACGGTTGACTAATTGCTGATGGTTTTTCGAAGCACTCGTCATTTGTACCGCATCAACTAATGCTTTAGCATGTTGGTTGCAGAGGGTGCTGATCGTGATGCCTTCTGACCTCGCTAGTCTTCTGCCAATCATACGCAGAGCAATCAGTCCGTTCCTTCGTTTCGAGAAGTCTTTGTCCTTGAGGGCTCTAACCAATGTAGTCGGGCGTAGCAAACATCCACATTTTGCACGTTCGTTGGTCGAAACAAGGATTTCATCATCACTCTCTTCAGCAGCAGGATCAGTTTGTGCATGTTGCGGAGACTGTTCGGCATCTGGGTGGTCATTTTCACTCTCTGATTCAGTGTCGGTATCAATATCCATTACATCAGTCATCTTCGGGGCGTCGATTAGGTGTACACTATCAGCTTCCTCTTCCTCATGATCCATATCTTGATCCTCAGATTCTTCAGCAGCAGTAATGGTTTCTGGCCGCGAACCACTCTTCTCAGGGGAAGGAGGCAAGGTAGTAGCTCGAGGTTCGATCAGAGGGAGGTCAAAGCCTTCGCCTCTCGGGCAGACGAAACCATCCTGATCTAGTTGGAGACCTGCGCGATCCAGTTGATCCTGCGTTATCGGCGACAAGATACGGCAGTTGTAGGTATTGGTCAGGTCGCTAGGTTCCATATGCTTTGATTTCAGGCTTCCGCTTCCTTTTCCGAAGGTACACCGCTTGATGACATAGTTGTTGATCGAGAGTTTGACATCATCGTAGGACATATCGGTATTCAGCAGCTTGCTAACCTTCTCCGAGAACGCGCGGTTGATGACCCATTGAAAGAACTCCGCTGTATTTCTGCCTGCCGGATTGCCGTTATCCCACTTCGTGAGCGCACGTCGCCGATGTCCTTCGATCGTCATGGCATCCTTCTCCTTTCTTTTCTGCAGCTTGACGGCATCTTCCCATTGCTGCTGGAACTCTGCATGACTCTCATGATGCCCTTTCCATAGTTCCTCAGAACTAACATAGTCGAACAATTTGCAAATTCCATCTCCAACAACCTTGTGGACTTCATTCAGCTTCCCATAACAATGGAGTGCCAGGTCATATTTGTCTTTCTGTTGACAGCCTTGCAGGGTTTTGATCATATCATCAATTGTATGAACCTTTGTTCCATTGATGATCAGTCCTTCCGGAATTGGCATCGACATTCTTGCGGTTCTTACAGCGGTCTGGGTAACAGGCACGAGGGTATTCATTTCGGATGTGGACATGGCTGCGACGTTTTATGTTCAGTTCTCGGAAGTGAGGGTGAAAGGAATCGGACTTCTGCAAATGTTTCACGATGCTGGTTGAATCTGTCAAAGGCGTAGGATCGAATGAGGAAATGGTAAGCGAGGCCTTCAAAGAAACAAAGGATCTGCAAGATTCAAAGGGCTGCATGAACAAAGGAACAGGTTCTTTCCCCTCCTCCTTATTCGACCGTCCCTTGGTCGAATCGCACGTTCTCGAATGGCTAGGGCGCCTCGGCTGGTTCTTTGTAGTTCCTGAATGGTTCGATGGTATTGGGCGAGGGTCAAAGCGGGTTTTGAAATGATGGAATGGACGAAGCAATGATGAAAGAAGATCGGAAAGGGGAGGGGGGGTTGAAGAAGTTGAAAGTGAAAGAAAGGAAAGGGAGGAAGTTATATCTACATCGAGGGCGGCTTCCTAATCGGGTTGAAGCAAACGGCCAACAAGGCCGCAAGGCCGCAAGGCCGCAAGGCACCAATTTCCTGCCGGAAAACGATGTCCTGTTTTGGGACGGTCTATCTTCCTGTTCTTCTCAGCGATGGCCTTCCTCGCCGTCGTGGCAATTGTACACGCGACGTTTCGACCTGTTCTTCATGCTGCTGTCGTCCTCGGCCACTACCGCGACTTCTTTGACCTCTTGGACGTCCGATAGGGTTACGCCGTGGCAAGGATGAGGATCCTTCATGGCCGTTCAGGTCATGTCGAGAATAAAACTTCTTCAGTCGATCGCCATTGAATGACTCCGGTTGATGAGTCAGGTCTTGCAGCACTGTGCCATCCAGTTCACTTAGCAAATACGAACTGCTCTTGACTGCATGAATACGATAAGGTCCCAGCCAACGGAACTGCAGTTTCGTTTTCGAACTGTGGTCCATTCCGCGAATGGAATTGTGTAGGAGAACAAGATCATCCTTTTCGAATCGCTCATACCGAAGCAGATGATGTTCGTCGAAGAAGTGCGCATTTGCTTCTTTCAGGCGACGCATGCGGAGAATTGCTTCCTCGATATCCTGGTCGCGCTTCTCGAATTGGCGCGCTCTCATTGCTAGCAAATCCTTTCGATCTTGCACCTCATGCCATGGCAGCATGCTCCAGGTAGGCATTTGTAATTCAATCGGTATAATTGGATTCTTCCCATAAAGAAAGAAGAACGGGCTCATCCCAGTAGTTGCGTTGACAGTAAAACGATCCGCCATCAAAACAGAATAGAAATGTGGTCTCCATGGTCTCCTGTGTTGCCGAGTCGCATTGTCAATCGGGTAACCTTCTGTTATCTTTGAGAGTGCGTCTTTCATTGTTCGCATCGCACGCTCCACAGGACCATTAGAACCTGGATGGTATGCGGAGATTTTGACTCTCGATATTTGTTCACGTTCTAGAAAGGCTGTCAAACCTCCACGATTTTCAGGTCCCATGTCGATCACTATCTCCCGGGGAACTCCATGACGGCTAATGATGTCTTCTTTGATGAATTGAATAACGCTCTCTGATCTTGCAGAATGCAACACTCTTGCCTCTGGCCACCCGCTGACAGAATCTCTCGCCTGAATGACAACACCTTCACCATCCTCTGGGGGCATTCGAGTTGTATCAATGTACCATTTGTCAAAAAGCAACAGCGGTTGTGTGACAATGGCAGGTTCACGAAGACGATTTGGAGCTCTTGCCTGGCATAGTGAACAGGTTTTGACATATTTTGCTGCATCCTCGTATGCACGAGACCACCAATATCGATGCTTGATCAAAGCATATGTTGCCTCTCGTCCTTTATGACCAAGATCATCATGGGTGCTTTTCAACGCATATTGCTGGTCTTTCTCTTGGTCCAGAACCCTGCGGAGCAATTCGGTATTACCCTTGACACGTCGGAACAAATGACGCTCTTGGACAACAAACTTCATACACTTTCTCTTGAATGAATAGAATTCCGACAAACCCATACGATCCGGCCTGTGAAGACTGGTCAGGTATCTTGCAATTTGCTCAGATTCGGCCGAGTATCCTTCGTGCAGTACATTGGCATCAGGATTACCAGGATTCTCGACATGAATAGTAACAGGACAACAGCTGGCGTGAAGATGCAGGACTTCTGCATCAACAAAGTCATCAATATTCTGTTCTTGGTCCCTTTCACGCAGATCCTCCTTAGTTGGTGGACGACGGGACAAAGCATCCGCAGCACCATTACTAGTGCCAGGAACATGTTTCACATCGAAATCGAAAAGCTGAATCCACGCTATCCAGCGAGTGACCAGGGCGCCAGGGAGGTCTGTTGCCGTACGGTTCAATTGTGCAACCAACGTATTGGCATCGGTTTCCAAGACAAAGTGCACTCCGTACAGCCAATGGCGGAACTTCTTGAATGCCTTCAAAACGGCACGGCATTCCAATTTTCCCGCATCATATTTTGATTCAGCATCTGACCAAACGCCTGATTCATATCGTGCCGGCTTACGGACACCATTTCGAACCTGCATGAGTACTCCGCCCCATCCTTTTATAGAAGCATCTGCAGCAACAATCATAAGGAAAGGATGAAAGTCATAATCGATAGGCAGCACTGAGGGAAATTCTGAAAGACGTAGCTTTATCTCCTTAAAAGCCACCTGATGTGCCTCCATCCACACAAAATGGGCATTCTTGCGTAGTATCTCATAGAGAGGCTTCATAATGATCTGGAATTTCTCAATCAGGATGCGGAAGTAGACGGCGAGACCAACAAACGAGCGGAGTTCATCCTTGGATAGCGGAGTAGGCCACTGTGCAACCTTTGCTACTTTCGCTTCATTAGGTCTCCGGCCGTTAATGTCACAAACCCATCCAACGACTTCGATTCCTTTCATCATGAACTGAGACTTTTCGGCCGAGATAACCGCTCCGGCCAATTCCAGAAGATACAGCGCTTCATCGAGATTCTGAATGTGCTCAAGGACATATTGGCGAATCCCTTCTTCCATAAACTCTTCATTGTACGTTGTTCGTGGGCCCTTAACCGCAACATCGTCAAGAAATGAACGCGCCTTTGTGCCGAAAATGCTATGCAAAATGACAGAGATCACTCGTTGAAACTGCGCAACTGAATTCGCTGCGCCTTGGAGAATTGTAGTTTGACGAAGTAGGCCAAGGGGAGTTTGAATAGCCGTCATATCTCGGTCATCCTTGTGTAACTCTATCTGGTCATACCCAGAGAAGAGGTCAACCAAAGATGCTATTGCCATTCCTGCAAATTCCTCTGCAAATTCATCTGCTATCGGGGGCATGTTGGCATCTCGCTTGGTCACTTTGTTGATTAACATAGCTGCATTGACCATTCGATATTTGCCAGTTTGTTTCTTGCCGACAAGAAACCATGGGTTTCGATATGGGCCATCGCAAGGTTCGAGAACACCTTTTCGTAGTCGATCACGCAGCATTTTGATAACCGTGGTATTCAGGGCATGAGGAATCTTGAATCCTGGGTGTTGCCACGCTTCATGAGGAACAGTCTTAATGCGTTGCGGAGGCATTACTTCATTGCGTATTCTCTGAACATGCTCCCATTCCCAGGCTAGTACCCCTTCTCTTTTGAACAGGAGTTCTCGAAAAAGTGCTCTTTCACGCGGTAGCAATTCCTTTCCCACCAACAGGGTTATTTCTCGTTCAGGGGTAAGGCGAGCTCCCCTTGCAATTACAGAGATACGAGGCTTCAGCAAATGATCGAATTCTGTTCGAATATCCGATGCGCGGTACTGTGTATGGTATTTCTTGAGACATTCATGCTGCCAATCAGGATGACCAACCGGGATCGTTCCATCAGAATCAGTCGAGTTCACGGGTTGAACCTTATCTGCTTTTCTTTTGTAGAGCGTATTGACTTGCGCTTGGTGATAAAACTGGTAATCAGGACGATTATTCCATGGCAATTGTATATCAGACATATCGTCGAGAGAGAAGGCTGTGCGATATTCCTGCTCAACCATTTGGTCGCGAGCGACGCACAAAGGTTGGGCATAACGGGGAGATGGTTTTCCTGCAGGAAAACTCCGGAGCGGCAGCGTATAGAATTCATCATGATTCACATATTTTTGTAGGGTTTTGTTATTTTCAATTGTTTTTGGTTGGGAATTGTCGCTTTTCTGAGAACGCAGGGGATAACGAGAATAGGATATGATAGATTCGGAAGGCGGTGATTTGCGGCGGAGGATCAAAGCCTCGGTGTGCAGCACCGGAACAGGGGATGACACGACGCCTACATACCCTGCTCGTCGTTTAAAGAAGAGAAATCCTGAGGCCACAGCTGGTTTTCGAAGATAGACCCGCTGTCACTAGGACGATATGCAACAAACGAAGCTTGCTGCGTGCGGCTTTCGTCAAAAATGGTGCACATAACGCGGCCGTCTGCCATTTCCTCAGTTCGCAACCCCGCATTTTTCGCCCACAATCGACCGAGAAGCAAATCATTAGTGGTATGGTCTGTCACCATTGTATGAGAATTAACCGTGACACCGCTGATAGTAATTGGTAGGTGCTCAAGACATGCTGAAACGCTGATTCCACGACCTCCGTCCACTGGGGTAAGTTGAAGATGTGGTTTGAGTCTCATATCTGGTAGAACATTCATGCGCTTGATCACCTTGCGATGAATAATATTGACTGCGCTTCCTGTATCGATCAAGGCTTTGACAATCTGGTCACCAATAACTGTTGTTGCATACATGAAACCTCGCGTGTATTCCTGGCGAGACTTCATAGGAGCATCGGTAACTTGCGCAGCTTGGAAGCTGACCGAAGAACTAGCAGCCTGTGGAATCGAAACGCTATGATCAGGTCCGAACGACATAAAATGAGAGAGAGCTGTTTTCTGGACATCCTGGACTTGGGCATCGACGCATTGAGAGATCTCCGCGACAGCGGCATTGATGGGCACCTGGTTAATGACCTCGGTGAGCTTCTGACTTATGGCATCAGTGCTAATATCCTTTCCGACTCCTGCTCGAATACGAGGCGCAGCACCAAGCAGTTCACCAATAGAGATCGTAACGCTAGTTTCCCAAACCTTCCGCAGTATCAGATCGGTGATCATAGACCTTTTTTCAGCAACGGCAGGATCCTGTGGTCCTCTGACACGACGCGGAACGTCATTGGGAGATAGGTTTCCGGCCGGAAAACCTTGCAGCGTTTGTTCCTGAGAAGCTCCCTGGGTATCATCTGGTACATGCATTGGTTCAGCCTCACCCTCATTAGCATCATCAATGCGTGGTTGAAAGCGACCTTGCTGAGCATTTCGGGTGCGCGCATAATCAGACGCTCGCTGTTTTCCTTTCCTGACACGACCATCCTGGACCTGACCTCCGATAGCATTAACTGGACCTGCCCAATATTCCTCTCCATATTCTTCCTCATCCTCTGACAGCTTTTCCCATGCAGGCTGAGACCCAAGAAGAGACGCAGCAATATATCGCACTGGGGCCGAGTAGTATTCATTGCTTCCTGGAATACTATTGAGAGACGCACCTAGGAACTGTGCTGGTGCTGAAGGTATTGATTGGACATGGTTACTTCCAGACTGCGGTACGTTTTGACTTGCCCATGCAGCATATTGTTCCGGAATCAAGTCCTTTCTCAGAACACCCATTCGCAGCCTTAGTTCAGGACCAGGATGAGCCTTAGTTCCTAGGGTTGTTCTCCCTGTGGCGGCATTGCGGTGAATCATTCCCTTTGCTTCAAAGTCCCGGATGGCGTCGCATTGTTCAGGCGTACTGTTGTGTGGACCTCCACATGTCCAGCATTCCCTAGGAGGATTGACTCCCATGCCATTCGACGGTACTCCTCGGTTTTGTTCATACAAAGGGTTATTCCGGCGATCAGTCCTAGCATCCAGTTTCAACGCAAGCGCTTCCAGCTTCCGAGCCACATCATCAATTGCTCTCGATGTATGGTCCTCAGTCTGTCGATCATTAGCCATCGCAACAGGAATCGGTTGAACAGTAGGAGCAGAAGGAGCAGGACGCAGGGGTGCCAAAGATAACTGTCTCTCGTCTGACGACATATTCTTGACTTCTTTCCTTTCAACCTTTCGATAAACATCGGCTTCAACACGCAGGTTTGTCTGAACTTGCTTGTATGCCTCATCATAAGATATCTCATCGCTACGGGAACGCGCTTTCAGTGCATGACGCTTCAAGATCTTCGCTTGCCATTTCTCAGGAAGACCTTTGATCAGCAGATCAGCTCGTTCACCATCGCTTAGACGACCAAGCAAGAATACCTCTGTAGAAACCTCATGAAATTCGCTCAGATAGCGCCTGATTTCATCGTTTGTCGATCGATCACCATTTGCAAGCTTGTTAAGATACCGCTTGTTGTATCTCAATTGTTCATCGTCCCAATCATGATAGTGGTCCAGGAAGTCCTCACGGAACGTCTGCCAATCTCTCACTTTCCATGCATCCTGACTTTCAACCCAGACACGTGGCGGTCTTTCACAATATTGAGGAAGAAGGTCCATGATCGCAGCATGTTGAACAATGCCACTCCGTCGGCAGGTATCCTCCAATTTCCTCAGGAACTCAGACGCGTTGGTCTCATCGAAAGTAGGAGCTCCCTGAGATCCTGGGGCCGGCATAGCGCTGTATATCATCTGGTATATTGGCTGTGGAGGCGGAACAGCATAATACTGAGTGGGCGGTACAGGGTCTCGCAAAGGCATGGTTGGCGGAGGAGGCGGAGGAGGTCTCGCAGCAGATTCAGGACTTGCAGGACGAGAGGGTTCGCCAATAGTCGATCCCGAAGCTTCAGGCAGAGGTTCACGAAACTGAGTGAATTGTTCCGCGGCGGTAATGGGTGCAGCCATATCGCCAGGAAGTTCACTATCGTTTCCACCGTCGTTGATAGCCATGGTTTCGGGGGATTGTTTTCCTGCAGGAAAAAGAGGTACAGAAGAACAAGAAGAACAAACAGATATAGTATCAGAAAACGGCTCAGTCTGATAGGATAATTCCGAAGCAGAAACAGAAACAGATGAAGATAAAGACAAAGAAGGGGAAACAGAACGGGGAATAGGAGCCTCAGTACTCCGTGACAATAACGATAACGATGATTCTGTTGACGATGACTGCTGTTCTGACAGCAATCCTGTTAATAATACCTCAGATGAAACTGACTCTCCGCCCCCTGACGAGGAGTCACGCGCAGTTCCTAATAAATAACGTAACGCAAAAGATAACAAAATATTGTATAGCGCCGAATGCCAGACATAGCCAATGCCAGGACATCTGCGAACCGCTATCTCATGTAGTTGACTCGGTGTCATTCGTAAAATTCCTTCTAGTGTCGTGGCATCTCCAGTGTGCCAATCAGCGAGCGTCGATCGTAAAAACTGTGCATACTCAGGGGAAGGGGATACTCCGATATCCTCTTCAGCCGACATTTCGAACATATGATAGGCTGATGCCACCCAGGATCAAGCCGCTCTTCACTCTTTGTGATATGTTCGATCGCCGTCGTATTTTCTCAGGGTCAAACGCAGTGCCCACTCTCACAACGGTATTGTTCTTGCTTTCAGCCACCCTTTGTTAATCGAGCCTTCCCGGGGACGCCATATGTAAGATGGGAATGCTCGCTGTGGCAGTCTGCGTTGGCAGACGGGTCGATCGCAAGAGGACAACACCACCACACTCGAAGAGTGCCGGAGAGAGAGAGAAGTAGACAGTGCGTGACGCTATAGAGATGCGACTAATAAGACATTCGAGTCTTCATGGACATGCGATATACCGATACCGTAACCTCAGCCTCAGTAACCTCCGCAGGAAGAATAATTCATAAGGGGGAACACACATGTTGTTATTGATACTATCGAACGAACGCTACTTATTCTTCCGAAACGATATGGCTGCCTTGTTACTAAGGCCCCAATCACCTGACTATGGGATACCGGTGTTGAGAGCGGAATTCCCCATTACATACCACCCTCCCTGAAAAATTGACCGTCCCTTGGTCAATTCGAAACAAAAGAAACAAAAGAAACAAAAGAAACAAAATATCAGATAGCACCTCCGACAATCATTCTATGCTTCATCCATTAATCGGCACCTAGCCGCCATGAGGATGGCCAACCTCCGCCTCAGGAGTAGGTTGCTGCATGCTCGATAGTGGTTGAGATTCAGCAGGAGCATGAACAGGCTCATCGGGCAACAGACCCAGTTCTTGGTCGTCAACAAGCATGCCCTTCTCAATACGGTAGAAGAATGAGTTTTTGCCGTATTCCTTCTTCTCTAAGCGTTTGGTCAGTTCGAAGCAGCGTAGGTACTCATACCAAGCTTCCTCTCGCCAGTCGCGAACCATTGCTCTCGCAACCTCAGGGTCTTTTCCAAAGAGATCATCTAATTCCATGCATATGGAGGGACTATCCCATCTCTGTCGGCCTACCAAACAATTCGGAATCCCGTGTCGGGCCGTCCGGAAATGTACTCCGGCAGCAAAGGGAAACGGGATTGTACCATACCGAGAAGAGGAATAACCGGAGGGCGTCTTGGATGCAGGCATTAGTGTACGATGAGCCTCTGCCAGCTCCTCCCAGGTATTCGACTCTGCACAGTCCAGAGTTTCATGGTCATCCTGGATCGCTGTGTACCACGGGAGTCCGGTTCGGCGTACTCGTGTGGCAGGGCCTGTCGATCCATGAGGCAACATAGGAAGAGAAAGTCGCACATCACCGACACCACAAACCTCCGTTGTCCATTGGGTGCCATATGTTTCCTCATCCTCCTTCCTCCACATGAAAGGTTTGATACCCGAGATAAAGCCGTCTCCAACGGGTCCACGGGACTGGATATCCTTCCACCATTTTGCCAGACGTTCTGTCTTATGCATACCTTTCAGCAGTACGGTACAGTTCTGTTCGTCCTCTTGCGTGAAAGATACTGATCCTTGTAGTAGGCTACTACCTCTCTGGCTGTCAAGATAATCCTGGATATTGATGTCAAGGTGCCGGAACTCAGTGTGTTCGCCAGCCTGTGTACTTTTTATGTAATAAGGATGCGAGATCAGACGCCATGCATGGTCTGGCCGGAAAAAGACATATGCCATGTAGTAGGACAGGTCTTGTCGAATCAACTGCTGAATGTTCGAGTGCCACATGCCGCGAAGCCACCCAAGCTCTTTTGTTGCATCGCTTAGATGATAATGGTACATTCGAAATTCCTGGTGAATAAGCGGCCATAATCCTTCCGGGTGTCGTCCGTCGAGATCCTCTCCAAGCCATGAGAAAAGGTTCGGCAATACCGTACTGCCATCGTTGTGCATGTCATTTGCCGGGCTAATGTCTGGAGCCTCTCCTGCATAGATCCTGTCGATCAAAGTCTCCACCGATAGCCATTCAGTACAAGACACAAAGTCAGAGATAAGCGGAGCATGATGCTGAGGGCGGAAGCGATGGAAGCCGAGACTGTTTTCCTGCCGGAAACTGAACCATCGGGGGTGATCTTTCATGAATTGATCCCATTTACCAATGTGCTGATATGACAGGGCGACACGGTTGACTAATTGCTGATGGTTTTTCGAAGCACTCGTCATTTGTACCGCATCAACTAATGCTTTAGCATGTTGGTTGCAGAGGGTGCTGATCGTGATGCCTTCTGACCTCGCTAGTCTTCTGCCAATCATACGCAGAGCAATCAGTCCGTTCCTTCGTTTCGAGAAGTCTTTGTCCTTGAGGGCTCTAACCAATGTAGTCGGGCGTAGCAAACATCCACATTTTGCACGTTCGTTGGTCGAAACAAGGATTTCATCATCACTCTCTTCAGCAGCAGGATCAGTTTGTGCATGTTGCGGAGACTGTTCGGCATCTGGGTGGTCATTTTCACTCTCTGATTCAGTGTCGGTATCAATATCCATTACATCAGTCATCTTCGGGGCGTCGATTAGGTGTACACTATCAGCTTCCTCTTCCTCATGATCCATATCTTGATCCTCAGATTCTTCAGCAGCAGTAATGGTTTCTGGCCGCGAACCACTCTTCTCAGGGGAAGGAGGCAAGGTAGTAGCTCGAGGTTCGATCAGAGGGAGGTCAAAGCCTTCGCCTCTCGGGCAGACGAAACCATCCTGATCTAGTTGGAGACCTGCGCGATCCAGTTGATCCTGCGTTATCGGCGACAAGATACGGCAGTTGTAGGTATTGGTCAGGTCGCTAGGTTCCATATGCTTTGATTTCAGGCTTCCGCTTCCTTTTCCGAAGGTACACCGCTTGATGACATAGTTGTTGATCGAGAGTTTGACATCATCGTAGGACATATCGGTATTCAGCAGCTTGCTAACCTTCTCCGAGAACGCGCGGTTGATGACCCATTGAAAGAACTCCGCTGTATTTCTGCCTGCCGGATTGCCGTTATCCCACTTCGTGAGCGCACGTCGCCGATGTCCTTCGATCGTCATGGCATCCTTCTCCTTTCTTTTCTGCAGCTTGACGGCATCTTCCCATTGCTGCTGGAACTCTGCATGACTCTCATGATGCCCTTTCCATAGTTCCTCAGAACTAACATAGTCGAACAATTTGCAAATTCCATCTCCAACAACCTTGTGGACTTCATTCAGCTTCCCATAACAATGGAGTGCCAGGTCATATTTGTCTTTCTGTTGACAGCCTTGCAGGGTTTTGATCATATCATCAATTGTATGAACCTTTGTTCCATTGATGATCAGTCCTTCCGGAATTGGCATCGACATTCTTGCGGTTCTTACAGCGGTCTGGGTAACAGGCACGAGGGTATTCATTTCGGATGTGGACATGGCTGCGACGTTTTATGTTCAGTTCTCGGAAGTGAGGGTGAAAGGAATCGGACTTCTGCAAATGTTTCACGATGCTGGTTGAATCTGTCAAAGGCGTAGGATCGAATGAGGAAATGGTAAGCGAGGCCTTCAAAGAAACAAAGGATCTGCAAGATTCAAAGGGCTGCATGAACAAAGGAACAGGTTCTTTCCCCTCCTCCTTATTCGACCGTCCCTTGGTCGAATCGCACGTTCTCGAATGGCTAGGGCGCCTCGGCTGGTTCTTTGTAGTTCCTGAATGGTTCGATGGTATTGGGCGAGGGTCAAAGCGGGTTTTGAAATGATGGAATGGACGAAGCAATGATGAAAGAAGATCGGAAAGGGGAGGGGGGGTTGAAGAAGTTGAAAGTGAAAGAAAGGAAAGGGAGGAAGTTATATCTACATCGAGGGCGGCTTCCTAATCGGGTTGAAGCAAACGGCCAACAAGGCCGCAAGGCCGCAAGGCCGCAAGGCACCAATTTCCTGCCGGAAAACGATGTCCTGTTTTGGGACGGTCTATCTTCCTGTTCTTCTCAGCGATGGCCTTCCTCGCCGTCGTGGCAATTGTACACGCGACGTTTCGACCTGTTCTTCATGCTGCTGTCGTCCTCGGCCACTACCGCGACTTCTTTGACCTCTTGGACGTCCGATAGGGTTACGCCGTGGCAAGGATGAGGATCCTTCATGGCCGTTCAGGTCATGTCGAGAATAAAACTTCTTCAGTCGATCGCCATTGAATGACTCCGGTTGATGAGTCAGGTCTTGCAGCACTGTGCCATCCAGTTCACTTAGCAAATACGAACTGCTCTTGACTGCATGAATACGATAAGGTCCCAGCCAACGGAACTGCAGTTTCGTTTTCGAACTGTGGTCCATTCCGCGAATGGAATTGTGTAGGAGAACAAGATCATCCTTTTCGAATCGCTCATACCGAAGCAGATGATGTTCGTCGAAGAAGTGCGCATTTGCTTCTTTCAGGCGACGCATGCGGAGAATTGCTTCCTCGATATCCTGGTCGCGCTTCTCGAATTGGCGCGCTCTCATTGCTAGCAAATCCTTTCGATCTTGCACCTCATGCCATGGCAGCATGCTCCAGGTAGGCATTTGTAATTCAATCGGTATAATTGGATTCTTCCCATAAAGAAAGAAGAACGGGCTCATCCCAGTAGTTGCGTTGACAGTAAAACGATCCGCCATCAAAACAGAATAGAAATGTGGTCTCCATGGTCTCCTGTGTTGCCGAGTCGCATTGTCAATCGGGTAACCTTCTGTTATCTTTGAGAGTGCGTCTTTCATTGTTCGCATCGCACGCTCCACAGGACCATTAGAACCTGGATGGTATGCGGAGATTTTGACTCTCGATATTTGTTCACGTTCTAGAAAGGCTGTCAAACCTCCACGATTTTCAGGTCCCATGTCGATCACTATCTCCCGGGGAACTCCATGACGGCTAATGATGTCTTCTTTGATGAATTGAATAACGCTCTCTGATCTTGCAGAATGCAACACTCTTGCCTCTGGCCACCCGCTGACAGAATCTCTCGCCTGAATGACAACACCTTCACCATCCTCTGGGGGCATTCGAGTTGTATCAATGTACCATTTGTCAAAAAGCAACAGCGGTTGTGTGACAATGGCAGGTTCACGAAGACGATTTGGAGCTCTTGCCTGGCATAGTGAACAGGTTTTGACATATTTTGCTGCATCCTCGTATGCACGAGACCACCAATATCGATGCTTGATCAAAGCATATGTTGCCTCTCGTCCTTTATGACCAAGATCATCATGGGTGCTTTTCAACGCATATTGCTGGTCTTTCTCTTGGTCCAGAACCCTGCGGAGCAATTCGGTATTACCCTTGACACGTCGGAACAAATGACGCTCTTGGACAACAAACTTCATACACTTTCTCTTGAATGAATAGAATTCCGACAAACCCATACGATCCGGCCTGTGAAGACTGGTCAGGTATCTTGCAATTTGCTCAGATTCGGCCGAGTATCCTTCGTGCAGTACATTGGCATCAGGATTACCAGGATTCTCGACATGAATAGTAACAGGACAACAGCTGGCGTGAAGATGCAGGACTTCTGCATCAACAAAGTCATCAATATTCTGTTCTTGGTCCCTTTCACGCAGATCCTCCTTAGTTGGTGGACGACGGGACAAAGCATCCGCAGCACCATTACTAGTGCCAGGAACATGTTTCACATCGAAATCGAAAAGCTGAATCCACGCTATCCAGCGAGTGACCAGGGCGCCAGGGAGGTCTGTTGCCGTACGGTTCAATTGTGCAACCAACGTATTGGCATCGGTTTCCAAGACAAAGTGCACTCCGTACAGCCAATGGCGGAACTTCTTGAATGCCTTCAAAACGGCACGGCATTCCAATTTTCCCGCATCATATTTTGATTCAGCATCTGACCAAACGCCTGATTCATATCGTGCCGGCTTACGGACACCATTTCGAACCTGCATGAGTACTCCGCCCCATCCTTTTATAGAAGCATCTGCAGCAACAATCATAAGGAAAGGATGAAAGTCATAATCGATAGGCAGCACTGAGGGAAATTCTGAAAGACGTAGCTTTATCTCCTTAAAAGCCACCTGATGTGCCTCCATCCACACAAAATGGGCATTCTTGCGTAGTATCTCATAGAGAGGCTTCATAATGATCTGGAATTTCTCAATCAGGATGCGGAAGTAGACGGCGAGACCAACAAACGAGCGGAGTTCATCCTTGGATAGCGGAGTAGGCCACTGTGCAACCTTTGCTACTTTCGCTTCATTAGGTCTCCGGCCGTTAATGTCACAAACCCATCCAACGACTTCGATTCCTTTCATCATGAACTGAGACTTTTCGGCCGAGATAACCGCTCCGGCCAATTCCAGAAGATACAGCGCTTCATCGAGATTCTGAATGTGCTCAAGGACATATTGGCGAATCCCTTCTTCCATAAACTCTTCATTGTACGTTGTTCGTGGGCCCTTAACCGCAACATCGTCAAGAAATGAACGCGCCTTTGTGCCGAAAATGCTATGCAAAATGACAGAGATCACTCGTTGAAACTGCGCAACTGAATTCGCTGCGCCTTGGAGAATTGTAGTTTGACGAAGTAGGCCAAGGGGAGTTTGAATAGCCGTCATATCTCGGTCATCCTTGTGTAACTCTATCTGGTCATACCCAGAGAAGAGGTCAACCAAAGATGCTATTGCCATTCCTGCAAATTCCTCTGCAAATTCATCTGCTATCGGGGGCATGTTGGCATCTCGCTTGGTCACTTTGTTGATTAACATAGCTGCATTGACCATTCGATATTTGCCAGTTTGTTTCTTGCCGACAAGAAACCATGGGTTTCGATATGGGCCATCGCAAGGTTCGAGAACACCTTTTCGTAGTCGATCACGCAGCATTTTGATAACCGTGGTATTCAGGGCATGAGGAATCTTGAATCCTGGGTGTTGCCACGCTTCATGAGGAACAGTCTTAATGCGTTGCGGAGGCATTACTTCATTGCGTATTCTCTGAACATGCTCCCATTCCCAGGCTAGTACCCCTTCTCTTTTGAACAGGAGTTCTCGAAAAAGTGCTCTTTCACGCGGTAGCAATTCCTTTCCCACCAACAGGGTTATTTCTCGTTCAGGGGTAAGGCGAGCTCCCCTTGCAATTACAGAGATACGAGGCTTCAGCAAATGATCGAATTCTGTTCGAATATCCGATGCGCGGTACTGTGTATGGTATTTCTTGAGACATTCATGCTGCCAATCAGGATGACCAACCGGGATCGTTCCATCAGAATCAGTCGAGTTCACGGGTTGAACCTTATCTGCTTTTCTTTTGTAGAGCGTATTGACTTGCGCTTGGTGATAAAACTGGTAATCAGGACGATTATTCCATGGCAATTGTATATCAGACATATCGTCGAGAGAGAAGGCTGTGCGATATTCCTGCTCAACCATTTGGTCGCGAGCGACGCACAAAGGTTGGGCATAACGGGGAGATGGTTTTCCTGCAGGAAAACTCCGGAGCGGCAGCGTATAGAATTCATCATGATTCACATATTTTTGTAGGGTTTTGTTATTTTCAATTGTTTTTGGTTGGGAATTGTCGCTTTTCTGAGAACGCAGGGGATAACGAGAATAGGATATGATAGATTCGGAAGGCGGTGATTTGCGGCGGAGGATCAAAGCCTCGGTGTGCAGCACCGGAACAGGGGATGACACGACGCCTACATACCCTGCTCGTCGTTTAAAGAAGAGAAATCCTGAGGCCACAGCTGGTTTTCGAAGATAGACCCGCTGTCACTAGGACGATATGCAACAAACGAAGCTTGCTGCGTGCGGCTTTCGTCAAAAATGGTGCACATAACGCGGCCGTCTGCCATTTCCTCAGTTCGCAACCCCGCATTTTTCGCCCACAATCGACCGAGAAGCAAATCATTAGTGGTATGGTCTGTCACCATTGTATGAGAATTAACCGTGACACCGCTGATAGTAATTGGTAGGTGCTCAAGACATGCTGAAACGCTGATTCCACGACCTCCGTCCACTGGGGTAAGTTGAAGATGTGGTTTGAGTCTCATATCTGGTAGAACATTCATGCGCTTGATCACCTTGCGATGAATAATATTGACTGCGCTTCCTGTATCGATCAAGGCTTTGACAATCTGGTCACCAATAACTGTTGTTGCATACATGAAACCTCGCGTGTATTCCTGGCGAGACTTCATAGGAGCATCGGTAACTTGCGCAGCTTGGAAGCTGACCGAAGAACTAGCAGCCTGTGGAATCGAAACGCTATGATCAGGTCCGAACGACATAAAATGAGAGAGAGCTGTTTTCTGGACATCCTGGACTTGGGCATCGACGCATTGAGAGATCTCCGCGACAGCGGCATTGATGGGCACCTGGTTAATGACCTCGGTGAGCTTCTGACTTATGGCATCAGTGCTAATATCCTTTCCGACTCCTGCTCGAATACGAGGCGCAGCACCAAGCAGTTCACCAATAGAGATCGTAACGCTAGTTTCCCAAACCTTCCGCAGTATCAGATCGGTGATCATAGACCTTTTTTCAGCAACGGCAGGATCCTGTGGTCCTCTGACACGACGCGGAACGTCATTGGGAGATAGGTTTCCGGCCGGAAAACCTTGCAGCGTTTGTTCCTGAGAAGCTTCCCTGGGTATCATCTGGTACATGCATTGGTTCAGCCTCACCCTCATTAGCATCATCAATGCGTGGTTGAAAGCGACCTTGCTGAGCATTTCGGGTGCGCGCATAATCAGACGCTCGCTGTTTTCCTTTCCTGACACGACCATCCTGGACCTGACCTCCGATAGCATTAACTGGACCTGCCCAATATTCCTCTCCATATTCTTCCTCATCCTCTGACAGCTTTTCCCATGCAGGCTGAGACCCAAGAAGAGACGCAGCAATATATCGCACTGGGGCCGAGTAGTATTCATTGCTTCCTGGAATACTATTGAGAGACGCACCTAGGAACTGTGCTGGTGCTGAAGGTATTGATTGGACATGGTTACTTCCAGACTGCGGTACGTTTTGACTTGCCCATGCAGCATATTGTTCCGGAATCAAGTCCTTTCTCAGAACACCCATTCGCAGCCTTAGTTCAGGACCAGGATGAGCCTTAGTTCCTAGGGTTGTTCTCCCTGTGGCGGCATTGCGGTGAATCATTCCCTTTGCTTCAAAGTCCCGGATGGCGTCGCATTGTTCAGGCGTACTGTTGTGTGGACCTCCACATGTCCAGCATTCCCTAGGAGGATTGACTCCCATGCCATTCGACGGTACTCCTCGGTTTTGTTCATACAAAGGGTTATTCCGGCGATCAGTCCTAGCATCCAGTTTCAACGCAAGCGCTTCCAGCTTCCGAGCCACATCATCAATTGCTCTCGATGTATGGTCCTCAGTCTGTCGATCATTAGCCATCGCAACAGGAATCGGTTGAACAGTAGGAGCAGAAGGAGCAGGACGCAGGGGTGCCAAAGATAACTGTCTCTCGTCTGACGACATATTCTTGACTTCTTTCCTTTCAACCTTTCGATAAACATCGGCTTCAACACGCAGGTTTGTCTGAACTTGCTTGTATGCCTCATCATAAGATATCTCATCGCTACGGGAACGCGCTTTCAGTGCATGACGCTTCAAGATCTTCGCTTGCCATTTCTCAGGAAGACCTTTGATCAGCAGATCAGCTCGTTCACCATCGCTTAGACGACCAAGCAAGAATACCTCTGTAGAAACCTCATGAAATTCGCTCAGATAGCGCCTGATTTCATCGTTTGTCGATCGATCACCATTTGCAAGCTTGTTAAGATACCGCTTGTTGTATCTCAATTGTTCATCGTCCCAATCATGATAGTGGTCCAGGAAGTCCTCACGGAACGTCTGCCAATCTCTCACTTTCCATGCATCCTGACTTTCAACCCAGACACGTGGCGGTCTTTCACAATATTGAGGAAGAAGGTCCATGATCGCAGCATGTTGAACAATGCCACTCCGTCGGCAGGTATCCTCCAATTTCCTCAGGAACTCAGACGCGTTGGTCTCATCGAAAGTAGGAGCTCCCTGAGATCCTGGGGCCGGCATAGCGCTGTATATCATCTGGTATATTGGCTGTGGAGGCGGAACAGCATAATACTGAGTGGGCGGTACAGGGTCTCGCAAAGGCATGGTTGGCGGAGGAGGCGGAGGAGGTCTCGCAGCAGATTCAGGACTTGCAGGACGAGAGGGTTCGCCAATAGTCGATCCCGAAGCTTCAGGCAGAGGTTCACGAAACTGAGTGAATTGTTCCGCGGCGGTAATGGGTGCAGCCATATCGCCAGGAAGTTCACTATCGTTTCCACCGTCGTTGATAGCCATGGTTTCGGGGGATTGTTTTCCTGCAGGAAAAAGAGGTACAGAAGAACAAGAAGAACAAACAGATATAGTATCAGAAAACGGCTCAGTCTGATAGGATAATTCCGAAGCAGAAACAGAAACAGATGAAGATAAAGACAAAGAAGGGGAAACAGAACGGGGAATAGGAGCCTCAGTACTCCGTGACAATAACGATAACGATGATTCTGTTGACGATGACTGCTGTTCTGACAGCAATCCTGTTAATAATACCTCAGATGAAACTGACTCTCCGCCCCCTGACGAGGAGTCACGCGCAGTTCCTAATAAATAACGTAACGCAAAAGATAACAAAATATTGTATAGCGCCGAATGCCAGACATAGCCAATGCCAGGACATCTGCGAACCGCTATCTCATGTAGTTGACTCGGTGTCATTCGTAAAATTCCTTCTAGTGTCGTGGCATCTCCAGTGTGCCAATCAGCGAGCGTCGATCGTAAAAACTGTGCATACTCAGGGGAAGGGGATACTCCGATATCCTCTTCAGCCGACATTTCGAACATATGATAGGCTGATGCCACCCAGGATCAAGCCGCTCTTCACTCTTTGTGATATGTTCGATCGCCGTCGTATTTTCTCAGGGTCAAACGCAGTGCCCACTCTCACAACGGTATTGTTCTTGCTTTCAGCCACCCTTTGTTAATCGAGCCTTCCCGGGGACGCCATATGTAAGATGGGAATGCTCGCTGTGGCAGTCTGCGTTGGCAGACGGGTCGATCGCAAGAGGACAACACCACCACACTCGAAGAGTGCCGGAGAGAGAGAGAAGTAGACAGTGCGTGACGCTATAGAGATGCGACTAATAAGACATTCGAGTCTTCATGGACATGCGATATACCGATACCGTAACCTCAGCCTCAGTAACCTCCGCAGGAAGAATAATTCATAAGGGGGAACACACATGTTGTTATTGATACTATCGAACGAACGCTACTTATTCTTCCGAAACGATATGGCTGCCTTGTTACTAAGGCCCCAATCACCTGACTATGGGATACCGGTGTTGAGAGCGGAATTCCCCATTACAATACATATATTAAATAATGTAAATTTCTAATGAGCTTAAGCTCCGGCGATTCTTTTGAGCCTATTTTGATTCTGTTCAAGCCTGTAACCACTGTAATAAAATAAACGATCGATGTTTTCGAACAGGTGTACCTAATTTACTCAGTGTCAAATATATATTTCTTTCGGAATATCACCAACGAGTTGATATTTCTGAATTGCTACATTACCACTACGTACAGTCGATTAAAAACAGATATATACAAAGCTTTTGAGGTCATCGAATAATGAATACAATCTCAATTCATAATAATTCACAGAGTATCACGCAAGATAACGAGTACACTTGTTATAACCATACCATTCAGATTTCATGTATAGAATCCGGTTTTATCAGCAGCACAATTGTCACCTGATCGTCTAGAACAGGTTAAATTAGCGAAATTTATGCTCGTGCCGATAATATGCGGATACCGATAATAAAACATTATCGGTATCGTACGATATGCCGCAGCCTAACCTCATGTGATGATTTCACCGACATTACGGAGAGCCTCTTCCTCCTACAACTGCCTCACAAGAGTCAGTTGCTTGCCTCTGCAGGTATATCGTCATCTCTCACGCAGTCAGGTCTAGCTTTTGTGTTTCACGTCCTTTTCTACGGCAACAGCACCGATAGGCCTTGACTATATCGCTCTCCACCATGACGTTCAGCCATTCTAGCAGTGCCACTCCTGCCCCGCTCGACTCCGCTTGGCCGCCGGCCCACATTTGGGAAACCATGGGTGCGGCAGACCGTGCCAGCTGGTTCCCTGAATCCCTGCTCACATACGAGGCGCTTCCAACCCGTTCATAGTCCTGTCTGATCTCCCTCGGTCGCTTCAGTCGGTTTGCGATTTTCTGCTACCTTCACTGGCAGGATTTCTTTGGCTGCTTCGTGTCTCAATTGATACCTCTTTACTTGTTTTCGGTCCACCTTCCATTACGTCTGATGCTCACCCTTCCAAGGAAGACTCATCCTAGATCATATTCCAGCCGGTGTTGCACATAGCACAGACACCCGTGCCGGTCGTTCAGGCTTCGAAAATCGACATTGGCATGTTCTCCACGTCATCGTCAGCATGGAACATAGACCGGTGCTGTCGCGTGCGTTTGACGTGGCCTAAAAGGCGTATATACAGAACACCATTTATTTGGCCTTGATAATACTGGTTAAACACATCTTTGTGTTCCTATCCAAAACCCATGGCTGCGACATCCAGCGAACAAGCCTGGGTAGCCCAATCCAGAACACCTCCTACGCTTGTGACGACTACCTTCGCTACAGTCGAGAGGAATCAACTGGGTGGGCGCTAATCAATACCTAAATCAGAAGCGTTAGCTTCATCCGATGACGATAGTGGTCACGCGCCGCTGACAGAAGCTATTACTGCGCCTGAAAATAAGCCAAAGCATCGGGCCCCATGGCTGACTGACCCATCACTTGCAGCCGAGCGAAAACATTTTCTGTCTGACGACCCGGTCACTTCTGATTTCTCTTCAAGCCCCTTTACCATCGCAAACACAATGGATCTCCAAGAGCGAACCCTCAGCAACAAGATCTCATGCCATCGAAATCGCATAACAAGACGCGGACGAAGCTGAAGCTGCTGCTGCCGCAGCAAAAGACGAGGAGGATTCTACACGCGCGACGTCCAGCAAAACACCCGCACGAGTTGACAAGGCCAATCAAAAACCCTCCGTGTCATTCGCCGCAGACCCTGCTACGCCTAAACCCGCACCAGCCAAAGGCTAAACTGGTCGCGTCACCATCGCAACTATCAAACAAGCCATCCAAGAAGCAACCTCCACATCCCTCCAACAATCTCTCCGTGGCCTGCCGCTCTCAGGAAAACTCTTCTTCGCCGCGCTCCTATCCCGCGTGCGAGCACTGGTATCACCGAGTCAACATTCGGCGATGTCCTCGACGAAGCACGCCGCATTGCGGACGCGGCCGTGGCCATGGCCGGTGCAGCGGGTGCAGGCGTGAAGGATTTCCTTATTGGCAGTGGGGAGCCGGGGTTCGTGTGCGAGCTTTGGGGTTTGCGGCTATGGAGTTGATGAATTCGGGCGTTTTGGCTTTGGAGCAGGGGGCGGATTCGAAGATTTTGCTTGGTGGGTCGACGATTCCAACTCGTCGTGATCGGAGTACTAAGATTCGGTTGAGGGTTGCGGCGTAGGATGTTAGGTCTGCTTTTCGGGAGGATGGGGAGGCTAAGGGGTTTGGGTTGGGGATTGAGTAGTGAGTTCCAATTGTGGGTGGGTGGACTGTGTATGAACAATTGTGATATTTTTGTGGGAGTGATCCTCGTGGTACATTATGGGAGTTTTGTTCGTGTTGGTAGTTATTCTACTTTTGTTTTCGTGTTGCCGCCACCGGCATGAGGGCTGTGGTGGTTAATTGCATACTGTGATACCCTTATTCAGAAGGATCCTAGACAGGATACTAAGTAGGTGCGTACCTAAGTAGCTACTAGTAGATGTGTATGTGTATTGCTGATCCAGTGGATTGACAACTTCTTTTGAAAATTGTATATAGTACTTGTACATGCGTTATAACAGTCACCTCAGGCGGCATACGGAGATGCCTTAAGCCTAAGGCTGACCCACACGCTGCGCGTGTGGGTCAGCCGGGGGTCAACGAAATTCTGCTCTCAACAATCACAGTATTGCTATTTCGACCACCAACACCACCACCACGATGCCTAGTCAATATAATGCAATTGAAATGCGTATCCAAACTGCTTGTTCGGCTGCTAGGGTTGCAAAAAAACCCAATATCGCTGCGTTAGCGCGTGAATACGACGTTCCAATGCAGCGACTTCGGGCACGCTACCTTGGTCGCGCATCTCGCAGCACACGCCATATGGCCTATAAGCGACTAAATGACGATCAAGAAGCGTCATTAGTAGGCTGGATTCGGCGCCTTGATAACCTACATATTCCACCTACGGCTGGAATGGTGGTTGTGAGTGCAAATGCGTTACTACGCAGGGATAACCCCGCCGCACGTCCGCTTGGCAAAGACTGGGTATATGAATTCGTCAACGTCCGCTTGCCAAATGACCTCAATTGGGTTCATCAAAAGCCTGCAGATCAAAATCGAATTACTGGGGAGGATATAGGTGTTTTGACTGTGTGGTATGAACGCCTGGAGCCTTTTATCAAGCGTATTCCAGCAAAGCATGTGTATAATTTTGATGAAACTGGCTTTACCCTTGGCCAAGGCCGGCCACAAAACGTTATTTCAGCCAATCCAAAACGAACGCGAACCCATTCATTTGAACGAGGCCAGTTATTAACTGGAATCGAATGTATTGCGGCTGATGGTTGGAAGATGGAACCCTATTTTGTGGCACCAGGGTCAGTTCATTTGATGCGGTGGTATGAAGGTGGTAAACTTTCAGAAGCTACTAGGATCGCAGTTTCGGAAACTGGATATTCAAATGACCTATTAGCACTCGATTGGCTGGACTTTTTCCACCTTAATACTAAGGATCGCCTACCAAAAAAGAGAATACAGCCCAGGCTTCTGATCATGGATGGGCATCGCAGCCATCTAACCTACGAGTTTTTGGATCGATGTGACTTCTACAACATTATTCCATATTGTTGTCCAGCTCATACAACCCATATTATTCAACCACTTGATGGGTCTCCATTCCGTGCTTTGAAACAGGCATATCGGACCAAGAATAACCAGATTACTCAATGGGGTGGAGATGCACGCGATATTGGTGTTTTTTTTGAGGAAATTACACAAATTCGTGAGGATGCATTGCAACCACGTACTATTCGTAACGCATTTGCTACACGTGGTATACTACCCTATAATCCAGACCTGATTATCAAGCCTTTAGTGGAAGCGCAAACCCCTGAGCCAGAGCTTCAGATATTTGATGGCGACGAAACACCACAACTACAGGTTGCATCTAGTATTCCAAGCTCGCCACCTAAGTCATCAGCTGATGCACGTCGAACATGCGATAAAGTGAAGGGTTTACTTGACCGTGACGACGTCCCAGCCGATATACGCCGCCAAATGCAACGTGTGGCAAAATCGCAGGTTCAGTTAACTGAGGATATTGGTCTCTTATACGACACATTAGAGAACCGATTACCTAAAAAACCTACAATTGCACGCAAATCCCAAAAGCAATTAGGCAAATTTGGTGCCCTGACTACCAAAGATGCTATTCGTTTTGCAAATGATCGAAAAACTAAGGATGAACGAAAGGAATACAATGCGGCTGTCCGAAACCAGGCACCTTTAGGCACTCCTGCTACGCCTACACCAATTACTTTTGGACAAAAGTACCCGGATTATATACCGATAAACGTCATAGATGACCCCTTTCCATGTTAAAATACAATATTTATGGTGGTGGTGGTGGTAGTAGCTAGAATAGCAATTTCATGATTGTTGAGGGCAGAATTTCGTTGACCCCCGGCTGACCCACTCCCTCCGGGAGTGGGTCAGCCTTAGGCTTAAGGCATCTCCGTATGCCACCTGAGGTGACTGTTAATTCTTTTGATCCACTTTCCAGTAAACGATTCCGCAATGCCCCGGACTGAATCCCCCAGGAAAATTTACAAACCCCGCTAAACTCCACATAGTGCCGTATAGGAAAGGACATGACGAAATGAGACCAAGCAGGCAGGTAGGTAGGGAGGAAGGAAGGGTATTAAAGGAGACTCGACTCTGAATAAAAAATGCGTCTATAGGAGACTCGCGCCAAGCATAGCACCATCTCTCCCTAATACCGGGTTCGACCTAAAATAGGAGGCCAGGCGACAGGGTGAGTCTCAGCTGTGGCATTTTCATCCTGCTTCCACACCTTAATAGCCTTATCCGCCTCGCCGGTGATGAGACGAAGACCGGTCTTATCGAATGTCGACGCCATGATACCCGCCTCAGCATCGAGGGAACCAGGTTGGGCCATTGTATGGATAGATTGGAATTGGTGACCAGTCTTCCAGTCCCAGAAGCCCATGGAGCCATTATCACCACCGGAGAACATGACATTTTCATCATTGACCGCCAGCGAGTTGATGACGGCGTTTTGGCCGTCGAAGTTCTGTATGAACGCTCCTTCGGGACACTTCCACTGCTTGATACTACCGGTGCTGGCACTGGCGAAGGTGAATTCAGTCGGGTGGGTCGCAAGCGCACGAACACCCTTCTTGTGGTGCGTCAATACGCCCATCGATTTTCCAGCTGCAAGATCCCACAACCGCACCGTCGTATCCAGAGAGCCGGAAATGATCTGCGGATCCGCTTCCTGACACTTGATATCCGCGACCGTGCCCTTGTGGCCCGCCAGAACGTGGACGTTACTTCGAGTACGCATGTCCCAGACACGGCACACGCCGTCCCGACCACCCGTCACGAGCAGGTCGAGATTCGGGTGCAAAGCAAGCGTGTAAACACCACTCAAATGGCCGTGGTAGTGGCGGATAACCTTGTTTGTCTCCAAATCCCAACATTTCACCATTTTATCCTCTCCGCACGAAAACAGATACGGGTGTCGCGGCGACACCGCCAGTCCGCGCACCGTCGAGATATGGCCCGTCAGCGTGAGTCGGAGGTTTCCAGTCGCCATATTCCAGATTTTGATCGTGCGATCGCCTGCTCCACTTGCGAACCATTGGCTATTCGGCTCGACCGCCAGTGCCCGCACCCAGCCCAGATGGCCGGAAATCACGCGCATCAGTTTCCACGGCGCGTGCCAATCTGGCGGTTGTTGCTTGGTTGCTGAGGGTCTGGCGATCAGACTCTTTGGCTGATACTCGCTGCCTCCTGCTAGACCGTCGCCTTCTGCTCCGGGCGCTGGTCGCTTGACGAGTGGCATTAATGCTTTGCTCTTGTCTCCGGAGCCTTGGGCTTGCTGCGCAGATTGGATCTTGGGACACTTGCTGCGGCTGCTTGCTGCGGCTGCTTGCTTCGCGGCGAGGACTGGGGGGGAATTCCTTCACGTGCTCGTATTCTGCCTTTCGTCGGTAGGAGACGCCGATCGAACCGTCTGTCGTGGTGGTGTGACCATTAGGTACTCTGAGCCGAAGAGGTCGGCGGCTCTCTTTGCGGAGGCACGGACAGCCTCTTCGGCTGACTGGGAGGGTGCGAAGTCCATAATGTGCGAGGGATTAGTGGGGAGGTCGGTGAAGGAAGAGCTTAAGACGGTTCTGGCGCGATAACTCCTAGGTTTCTTGCGCGACGTGAAAACCCTGCGCCGGGTCGCGAGTCAAGTTTGGTGGTGTGGTGAACTCAGCGCATCTAGGAGCTCTAATTTCAGATGAGGATTCGAAGAGTAGAGAGGAGGTTGGGTTGCAGAGTAAGGATGGGAAATTCTCTCGCGATCGGGCTGGACTCTTCCAGTTTGAATAGCACCTTCGTTGGTTACTTGATGCGCCGTGGAAAGAGCCAGATCATCGGAATCAAAGAAGTGCGATTCTTCTGGTTGTCAGTCGGAACTCCTTTCATAAAGTTGCATCACATTGCATCACAAATACCTTGGACTGTTCCCCGAGTAGATCTCCATGAGGCCGCTTTTCATGTGCTGAACTCGTGATTCTTTTCACATCCAGAGAGTGGCTGGGAAAATGTGATTAGCACTTCTGCTCAATATAAGACATAGAAAAGTCTTACCACGGAACATGATTTCTTGTCTCCTGGTTCCATTCTGAGATTGTATTCAAAATGTGAACAAGCACACGATATAAACCGCATCTGAGTCAGGCTTTCTGTATAGATATTTGCCACAACCAGATAGACAAAGGTGTCAATGACGCAATATGTCAGGATTAAGTTACAGCTTGTCCCGATCGGGATCAGTCATTTCTTTGTTGCCTGATGGACGAGGCATAACAGCTCGTGAATGGCCCACTATTTTTTGCGACCATGATTCGGTCACTATCGTCATTTAGAGTATTGTATGGAATGAGGTGAAAGTCTGCTCAATTTAGAATACCTCGAAAATACTATTTAACAACAAATTACGCTTACAAAGTGTATTACTTAAGAATGCCAAGCAATCGGACGGTGTAATCGACTAGTAATTGCATGTTTGGTCGCGATACTATTTTGTCGGAGCAGCTGTGGGCCTAATTAGCATGCACGAATGAGATAGCAAGGAGTCTTAATTTGAAGTGTCCCTCGTACCATACAGTTTTGTATGGTGTCGACAAAAAAGGGTCGCAGTTTTACTAGTGCGCCCGAGGATATTCAGCAACTCCATAAGCCTGTTTTCAACCATGTTTGCATGACTCTAAACGATCTTACTAAGCCCACATCGCATATATTCTGTACTTTCCATAGTATTCAAAATCATGACTCTCAAGTACTCAATTGGCTATTCCCGTACTAGTCCGTACTGTAACGACGACGTTCCGACAGACTGTATAAATAAGAGAGCTAGTGCCCGATAGCTTATGGAACGAAGCTGGGGTCGGTACGGCGATTGAAGAACTAGTGGCTGGTGGTAGAAATGGGTGCAAGGTATGAGAATAGCGCAAGGCATCGGCTCCGCTGAAGGTTGAGGCCCCCGGAATACCTGGTAGGCTCGGCACTGGAGAAGAGTACCGGATTATCCCCGGGAATGAGGAGAGTTCTAAGTCTCTTGGTTGTGGATTGCTGATGTCCTTTGTTCGCGCAGGAGAACCAGGGATATCGCCGAGTACGAAAGGAATATCATAATTCGACGTTGCAGGCGGCCACTGAAGTGATGAAGCTCTGGAAGTGTGAAGCGATTCATCAAGAGACAACTGCTGGGTCAGCTCCCGCCCTGTTAGATGGTCGGATTCTTCTGAGATCCCCTCGATTGGCGGCTCTCTGGATGGAGAGGGCTGTTCCGCTACCGATCCATCGAATGTTCGACCCTCCTGACTGGCGATTGATTCTTGGTCTTCCTCTTCTGGAACAGGATTCGTCGCATTAGGATCTTCACCATTCTTGATCGCCTTCACAATTCGAACTGCATGATACTTTCTGAACTTGATCCTTCCGGCAGTCTCCGGGTCCAGAGCCCCCCGGATTTGACGTAGTTCGAGAAATAGAGCCGCCGCCTGGAATGTATCTGCGGTTTGCATAGTAAAATCAGAGAAGAGGCAACTTGGTAGCCCCGGGCAACAGTTGAGAACTCATTTCGTGACCTTTCGAGCGTTCATAGCAGCTTCAGCGCGAGCAAAGACTTCCAACCCAAAGCGCTTCACCAGTGCACTCGCCGCGACGCTATCCACCACCAATTCATCGCCAGAATGCTCGCTTTTGAACTATTCCACAGCGTCGTTGTCAGTCATGTAAAGAGCAGGTAAGGGGCCGAGTTGGGGGATTCGGCGAACCTGCTCAAGCTTATCCACCAGATTGGTGATGTAGATTTTAATTTCATCGTTGGAATTATGAAGACCTCGTCCGATGATCTGATTTACTATGTGAAAATTGCCTGCGATATTGGCGATTCAGTAAGGTCCAACATCTACTGCAACATCCAGGGGGTTGAGACTCACACCAGTAGGCAATCACGGGCTTGGTCTTCTCGATCTGGGCTGCTCTCATGGCAAATGAGGCCAATGTCAGTGGATCTCAACTGCGCTGGAATAATGTTCACCATGTCCGAGGTGTGGGATAGCAAGAATGAATGAGACCCAGGAGAGCCGCCTGATCATGGTGGTTGATAGCGATGACATCACCGCCTGCGGAGGCAAAAGCTTCAATTCTCAGGAGCCCGAGTTTACATATTATTCTGTCACCCTGATATGCACTACTCATGAATTAGGGTCAGATTTGCACCTGTAATACCGGTCGTGAGCCACAGAATTTCCAGACAACACATCCAACTCGCACATTTTACCACAGGTTATGAGCCCTCATTTCTCAGCATGGATAGCAAGTCATGGCATCGCAAACTCATACGAATGACTATCACTCTTGGGGTCTAGATGCAATAATCAAACCCACTGGCCACGGAGCAAGAAGCATCGTCGAAGCCACCGAGCTAGTTGACACAGTCCAAATCATCTAATCTTAAGAATGCGGACGCCCTCCGTCGTGGTGTTCCCGGAAAGCAAGCTTTGTTCATGGAACAAGGACTGACAATATAAGTAAAATCAAGAGAGCCATGGTGGTGAATCAAACAAATTTAGCGTTTATCATACCGGTTACCCATGGCTTTATTATGGTCCTTGACTTCTTTCGATTTTGATTTAGAGTCCAATTCGCCACTCTCAGTATTAGGTCCTTCACGGTGCATTTTGAGGCTGTAGTATTCATCGTGACTTTTGGTTTCATCAGCTACGGAGGACGACTCGGGCAGTTCTAAACAATTATATATCTGTCAGCTATCAATCCGAATTGGGTAAGGTTCATGATAACAAGAGAGCAGAGCCATGCTCACTATATTTACCTTTGCTGTTCGAATCTGCCTGGTTTGGATCGGCTTTCGATGACCTTTTAGTATCATTTTCATGATCTTTTGTGTTGGTTGCCAGACCCTTGGACTCGTGTTGAAGAAAGATAGCTGATCTTGTGGTGCGGGTTATATTCTCTTGGCGGCAGCGACTTACCAACAGGCTTGTTGGAGCGCCTCGTGTGAGTCTCATTTGGTTTAGGATCTGCATTGTGGCAATGTGGAAGATAAGAAATCGGCATAAATTTGGAATCAGCGAGTTCTTTGTCTTTGAAATGGCAGTAGCATGGCGGTGGCAAAACTGAGGTCTTGTATCTTTGGGTGAGCTAACAATATGACGTCTCGAGTACAGATAAGATTTCAGAGAAAGTATCAGAGCCAGGTAGAGGGCCTTTTGGAGACAGCATGCACGTGAGTTCCCGATACTTGCTAGCCTCACCCGTGACGTCTTCTCTATTCCTGCAAGCGGCGCTTGGGTTGAGCGTCTTTTTACCTGCGCTCGTGATATTTGCTTCTATTGCCGGTCACAGCTAAGGTCAGAGACGATTAAAGAATTGATGCTACACCGATGTGCCTCAAAATTCGAATTTGGCAAGAAGGGATTGATTTAACAAAGGAATATATCTCTACCGGAGAGGAACCGGGATCCGGACCCTAAGTGTGGCTGTCGCAACCTTCAAACCTTCAGTGTCTGATGCATTGTACGGTATTTCTCTTCAGCTCACTTGTATTCGCTCCGATTTTCTGTGTTTACTCCCAGGCTGCTAGCTATCCTTGCTCCGACAATGCTTCTCGAATTACCAAATGAGCTTTTGTTGATGCTGGCCGAGCAGTTAATGTCAGCAAAAGACATAAACAATCTCACTTCGGCCAATAGCCAACTTTATGAGCTGTTGAATAAATACCTGTATCATTACAATGTCCAGCAGTGCGGCAGTTCCGGAATGCTGTGGGCAGCAGAGAACGGACAGGAAGCTACAGCTCGTAAGCTATTGAGAGAAGGGGCTAATCCTCAGGTGAAAACCACCTCAAATGAAACGCCGCTCCATCTAGCGGCGCGAAATGGACACGAGCGATTGGTACGGCTTTTTCTGTGCTTGAAAAACGTTGATCCTCATGTCAAAGATATCCAGCAGCACATTCCATTGATGTGGGCAGCACGAAACGGTCATGAGGGCGTGGTCAACATGTTGATTCGAACAAAGAGCATCAACATCAACTCTTCAGACTCCATGGGCTACACGCCGCTGGCCTGGGCAGCAAGATATGGACATGTGGCAGTAGTGGAGTTGCTACTCAGCAGGGAGGCCATTGAACCAAACTCACTCGATCGTTTCCGACATACCCCTCTGTCATGGGCCGCGCGATATGGGCATGAAGCGGTGGTAAAACTATTGCTAAAAAAGTCTGTCGTTGGTCCAGATATTCTGGATATTAACCAACGAAGTCCGCTATCATGGGCGTTACAACACCACCATCACACAGTTGCCAAAATGCTACTTGCCAGAAAGACGAGCCCAGCGAACTCCAAGGATTATAGCGATCATACACCACTGACATGGGCGGCACGGAACGGCTGCGATGAGATCATACACCACTGACTTGGACGGCACGAAACGGCTGCGATGACAGTGAAACTTCTCCTTGCACAGCCACAGCTCGACCCGGACAGAGCAGGTAGCTTCGGACAAACTCCATTATCGTGGGCTGCAGAGAAGGGCCAAATCACAGTGGTTAGGCTTCTTCTTGCAACTAAGCAAGTTAAACCTAGTAGACACGACCTGCTGGAGGACATTCCAAGATCCTGGGCTGCACGGAACGGTCATTTACAGGTATTGAGATTGCTAAATCAACATGCCGATCGCGTCTGCCCTAGTTTCTCGAAACAAGAATAATGAGTCGGGGCCTCAATGTCAAACATTTGTGCGGAGCCCTGATACTGATCCATTCTTGGTTTGGTCAATTACTTCTATGGAGCTGCAATAGGGAATTAGACGTATAGGGGCTACTGCTCTGATGCGGATATTCAACCGTGCATCCTGTGTAGAGCACTCGGGTTCTCCACTGGCTCAACTGAAAGAAAAGACTCTCGTCGCATGAAGCAGACAAGGTGGCCGATTATCGATCAGCACCATGATTACCAAGCAGCCCCGATGTATGCAGGGAGATAGATCCTCATTTCGTGTTGTTGTGATATGAGGCTGGTGCAGATCAGGAACCAAGCCGAACCATCGGAATTAATCCCGAGATATCTATACGAAGAACCAAGTTGATTTCCAACCAACATGTTCTTCTCGTTGTATATATATAACCTAATGTATCCCTCTAAACAATAAGATAATTTATACCTCTGAACTACAACAATTTCTCATTTTAGTTTTGTCCTACGCAAGTTCCTCCCGCGGAACCCGCTATTTTCCAAGACCAAGTTCGTTTCGAGCAAATCTCTATTCTCTGCAAGGGCCGTCGAGGCACTGCGAGTCGGGAGGGGCAGAAAATAAATCCAATCCAATAATAGCCGCTGCCAGCCTGCGAGACTTGTGGGGTTTGAGGTGTATATGGAGATGACACGACTACACGGCTACAGAATGAGCGAGCTGGGTAGCTATGAATGGGTAGAAACAGATACAGTACAAGTTATACACCGGAAAGATGGGCTTCTTAAAGCTATCATTAGCTAAACTCAATTTCAGAGGCACACCTTCCTCCCCCCAAATCCCAATATACATGCGAGCTCCTTTTCTGTAGAAGAAACTTCCCCCCTAGGTTCAGTCCAAAAATTAATTGCACTGTCTCTCACAATGACTTTGAAAATTGCTATGGAAATAGATTCTTCGCATGTCTAATTCCCTGTTTTGAGACAGCTCTGGATGAATAACTCGGGGTGGCAACAGCTTGGACTGGAACTCGGACGGGCCAGCGTCGGCCTCCGAGAGAGCCGACCTCCGAGAGAGAGCCCCCGACCGAGAGCTTCTGCCCGTCTTTTTAGCTCAGCCCCAATCTCAATATTTGAATTCTATATTCTCTTAACCCCCCCCACCAAAATAAGGATATATTGTTAAACCGCCGTTCAGTTTCAATAGCGTCAACAATGCTTACACTTTATATCGCTTATACCGAACCAGTAAATGGCACCGATCCAGCCATTCCAACTCTGACACAAGAACAGGTCTGGAACGGCATCAAATTGAAGGCCAGGTGCCCTGAAGCATTTATTCCATCTTTTGATGGCTCTCGTGTCGTTGAAGAGCGCGAAAATGGCTGCGTCATTGTGAGAGAGGCTCATGTTTCAGCGGATCTTCGCGAGTCCCCAATGGCAGGGAAATGGACTCGCGAGGAATGCAGATTACATGCACCGGTAAAGGTAAGTGCCACAAGAAGCTTTATCAGCCACTTGAGCTACTTGAGCTTTTTAACATCACAATTTGGTATTACTGTCTAATCAGAGGACAGACCTGCTTCACCCTTCCGGGTGGATCTATAGTCGAGAATATTATCGCCAAAGGACCGGATCAGACTTTTCATCTCACCTTCACATACGAATGGCACCTGCCAGATATTGAACCTGGAACAAATGAGGCCAAAAAAGCAGAGGATGATCACTTGAAAATTGCAGTATCTTCAGTTCAGGGGACCATCAAAGCAATGAGAAGAATGGCACAGGAAAACATAATATAGGCGGAGCAAAAAGAACATGGGAGCAGAACCCGGCTCTAGATTTAAGATGTATTGATTTCTATCTGGGTATTTTGGGATTCATGAATCGATTTGTTCCAAATCCCTGTTAGTAATCCCCAAAGGAGTCAGATTCATTTTGCAAAGTCGACACAGTAATTCTGACAACCAAAATCACAAGCGGTCATGAGAATGAAGCTCCTTAGACATTGTTATTTCTAGCTCCGAAGTTGCACGAACTTCTCATGACCCCCAATTGGTGATTTTTCGGGCTGGCAGGGCGGCATCTGCACTTTCACGCTATTTGGGAGCTCGCATGTCACCTTCAGCCAGATCTCCAGGCACCTCTCAGCCAGTTATTGGGTCCTTGTAGTGAAGTGGAATACAGCATGTGTGTGTCTGTGTAATTCATTTACGCTGACCTCTCGTCGAAGTTTAAACCCTGGATTAAGGTACAAGTGTTATATTTGATCTATATTGAGAGGTTTAGCTATTTGTAGTTGCAGCAGCTCATTTCCCTGCTGCCTAGCGGAGTGTCTGCCTAACAGGCAGCCACTCCTATAGATCTATATACATCACGTGACCTGGGATCCAACTGTCGAAACGATATACAGGCTACTGGTGACGCGCGCTGCGCACGCTGTGGCCCTGAAACGATGAAATGGAAGGGCAGGGATGAGAAAATCAGGAAAATGGGAGGACGATTTGCGACACTGATATTGACAATGCAAATGAGCGCGTTGACCAACGAGAAAACATGCAGTATGACTAATACCCGCTGAAAACCAGAACTGTCCTAATCAAGCGTTGTGTTTCGATTGTGCAAGTATATCGGCGTATGAAGTTTTACGTTATCTTCGAGAACGCCTCTCAGGAGGCGGAGAGCTAGGCCCTGGCGAGGGTTCAGCTTCATCGGCAGTTTCTGGCCATGCAATTTGTGTGGTTTCGTCGTCGTCATTACCAGGAGCGTCCGCTTCAGAGGAATGCAGTCCCGGATAGGTGATTGGAAGTGGCCCAGTCTGCGAACTTGGCGCCAACCTAGTCGGGGTTTGGGGCCCGGCCCTTTGGGACCAACGGTCAACACGTTTCCGTTTACCAGTTGAGGAAGGCGTAGCGGGTAGATGACGATTGGGTGTTGGGAGGAAATGTATATCATCCGTGACGACCGCTAATTGGCGATGCTCTTTTGTGATGCCGAAAATGCGACCCGTCAAGAAAACATAGGTATCTGCTATCAGCGGTGGGAATTTCACCCATCGTTGACCATTTTTGAAGTACGCGGTGACTGGGAAGGTGTGATGCGTTCCTCGCTTCTTAACTGGATCCAGCGGGTGCACCCGCAAGCTAGAGAATCCACCTGCCGCTCGGATTTCAGCCAAAGCAAGAACGGGAATCAAGGCGTGGAGGAGAGAGATGTGCAAAGTTAGACTTGGCTCTCGTGCCTCTTGACTGGGTGCCACGAAACAATCTGTGCGCCACCGGCCGCTCTCGAGCGTATCACAGCTCCAGTCCCTAGTGCTGGATGGAGAGATCGTCTACTGGACCCTTCCCCATTCCAATGAGAAGAATTCTACAGGTGGTTTATGGCACACCTGGAGTTAGTGGAGGGGCGATCTGCGCTGGTATCCAGACAGCTGTGAGGCCCACGCGCCTGGGCCGTCGCTCTCCTTGTTTTTTAAACGAATAGTCGCACCAAGCATTCACCACTGGCTGTTGGAATTTCTTTCCCTAATTTTGGTCGGAATTGCACGGGATTATTTAATTACATTGTTCCAGCGTTCGGATATCTGTTCCTCGGCTTCCACCATTCCACCCTCGAGATGCCGACCGATGAGAAAATCGCAGTCGTAAGTGCTACACGAGCGGATTGACTTGGTACACTCGTCTGACTTTCACGGTCACTCTAGGATCCCGACATTTACCAGATCGACGACAAGTATGAGCCCAGCGACTTCCAATCGTATGTTCTCCCGCGATTTTGCCCAGGTGGTCTTGCCCGTGCATACAGGGGCTGACAAGTTGTCTCTTGGACGGTAGAGAGACCACATCTCTTGCTTCCTCCATCTATAAGGGAGTGATGGATAATGGTCGACGGTAAGCGATCTAGAAGTGGGTCATCAAAGTTTCTATTCTCATGATTATACCCAGGTACCAAACTCTCCGAGAAGGCAAATACTGGTACTTGCGACACCCTAAAAACTGCAACCATCAGCACGGTTTTCTAACCTTAACACAGGGGCCCTTCCGATGAGCAGCAATTCGAAGCACTTGAAGCAGGGTAGGTACCGCAACTCCCAGGGCCACGGTATGCGCACTGACGCCTCCAGATACCTAGTTGGCTTGGTCATGGATTCGGAAACAAATAACCCTCTGTTTCAAGCCCCGATCAAAAACCCTAAGGTATCAATCATCTTACATCATTTCATTGCGGTAGCTAAATCCTAATGCTCATGAAATTTAGCGCATTCTTGATGTCGGTACTGGCCGAGGAGGCTGGGCAGTGTCAGTCTCACCCCAATCATACTTATCCCACGGTGATAGTAAAGTCGGCTGACTGCATTCAAAATCTAGTGATGTGGCAGATATGTTTCCCGAGAGTAATCCTCCCTTGTAACTCTCTGCTCGAAAACGCATGCTAATGTACCCAGCCCAGGTTCGCGGCGTCGATCTCTACCCTCCACCCATTGATTGGATGCCCCCCAACTGCATTTTCGAAGTCGACGACGTTCTTCAGGAATGGACATGGCGCGACAAGTTCGATCTGATTCATATGAGTCTCATGCTAGGGTCTTTCACCGCGCCTGAGTGGAAATCTGTTTACAGGCAGTGCTACGAGTAGGTTAAGGTAACTTCTAGGCGGAAATAGGCTAATAACACCCGTTTCTCTAGTAATTTGGAACCGGGAGGTTGGTTCGGGCAATTTGAAGGGGGCTGTGACGTCGTTTCTGACGACGGCAGCTTGCCCAAGAACAGTTACTTGACAAGTTGGGGCCCAAACATCATCGGCGCAGCTGCGAGATCTGGACGTCCAGTCGACACGCTGGACACTATGCGTGGAGAAATTGAAAAGGCGGGATTTATTGATCTCCGCGAAAAAGTCTACAGATGGCCCATTGGCCCGTGGCCGAAGGACCCTGTCCTGAAGGAAGCTGGCCGTCTGAATTGGCATATGTGGAAGACCGGCATGGACGGATATGCCACATATTTACTCACCAAGTTCGGTCTTCCCGAGCCATGGAGCCTAGAGGAAGTCCAAGTCTTTGTTGCAAAAGCCCGGGCTGAGATCAACATCCCAAAGTACCATATCTACCACGTCTCGTGAGTACTCATTTGTGGAATTTGCGTGCTCCAGGTATAACGCTAATGTGTGGCTAGGCGACGAATCTGGGCCCGTAAGCCGACGGTTGAGGAAGCTGCTAGTATTGCTGCCGAGAAAGAGAAGGCGAAAGGGAAGGAGAAGAAGGAAGCTGGGAAGCGTAACACCAGTCAGACAACACCAGGTCTTACGTGAGGTGGTACACAGCAAAAGAATTGATGAGAGTGTTGGTTTGTTGCTGTTGTAGACCGGCTTGTTGTTGACGCTCGACATTCGAGATCGGAGGTTATTAACTGACTTCGGTAAAAAACGCTTCGAATTCATCCAGAAAGGAAATTTCCATCTCGTGAAGGTATAGATTCGGCTTTTCGAGTAAATAACCGCAAAGAGCTTCCATAACAGTCAGCGTGATGTTTCTAGGCTGTCCGGCTTTGATGAGAGGAGCTTTGATGCTACTGAAGAGCCGTAGGTTAGACCGCACCCTGATGATTTCACGCTTGCTGCAGCCAGCAGCGTGTTATGTATAACTTTGATGAGACTGGCTTTGCAATGGGCCTTATTGCAACTGCTAAAGCAGTAACACGTGCTGAACTACGGTCGGCGAGCAATTTTACCCTGGGAATCGTGAGTGGGTGACAGCAATTGAATCAATTAGTGCAAGTGGCTTTGTGCTACCTCCATGCATTATATTCAAAGGCAAAAACGATATCGAAAGCTGGTTTGATAACCTTCCAAAAGACTGACGATTTGAGGTCTCTCAAAATGGCTGGACTACAGATGAGATTGGCCTACGATGGCTTGAAAAGCTGTTTGTTCCAGCTACTTATACACGGACAAAAGGAAAATATCGTCTTCTTATTCTTGATGGCCATGGCAGCCATTTTACACCTCAATTTGATCGGGTTTGCACTGAAAACTTGATTATACCACTTTGCATGCCTGTCACGCCAGCCATACAAAGAGGTATAGGGAATGCGGAAGAGGTGCCTATGCACCACCAGAGCCCTGTGTTGATACATCACCTCGCTTACCTGCTTGCATACGCACGCAGGCATCACCTCAAAAGGAGGAGCTGGATCCACTTAGGAGGACCAGCGATTAGTCTGAATATCATCATACCAATATCAGGCACATCTCACATTCTTCACTCGTATTCTTATCGTATCCGGACGCCCTCAGGAGATTGTCCTAACACTCACAACACCGCTGTGCAATCCCCAATTCTGCACAAGTCTCAATTCTTCCCCAAAAGAAGGATCCAAGATTTCATGCCCAAGAGCTCCCATCGACGCGAAAACGCTTTCGTGGGGGGAGCTTGCTCGGATTTGCTGTCTGTTTTCGGATTGAAAAGGAGTCTTGGACCTGCTGCAGATAAGCAACAAAGACATGAAAATCGGCAAAGTCCTCCCAGTTTTTATGGGCCCTTGAACGGATTTCCGGGAGCACTCGGTCCCACAGATGCCGCAGACGGTTATGCGTTGCGCCGAAGTTAGGTGGAGCCCAACAGAGTAGCTCGAGCGCGAAGGTGCACACAGTTTGGTTGACTCTTTGGTAGGTATTAGTGTACTTGAAGTTTCCTGCGCCTTCGGAAGGAATTTGGTCAACGAGGAAAACGCAGAATGCGAACCAGGTTGCCGTTCTAACATGGGCGGCATGCTCGTCCCATTTATGAAGCAATGCACGCGAGAGATTGTCCCTGCCGATCTCGATTTTGAGCTTCCTTGCAGTGGTTTCCGCATTTGTCGAAGTAATCTTGCAATTTGGACATGAAAGTTTTGCATTCCCACCAGCTGCGTGCCGAGTAGAGCCCGAGGTCCCGAGGAGCCGGCACTTCTGTTGATTTTTGACGTATGAATTGACTACGCGGCTCGGTAGGCAGGTCTGACGGCAAAATTTCCTTGTGTTTCCGCGCAGCTTCATTCGTATTCATCGGGACGAAAAGCCCGTCGGTTGGGGCGGTACTATTATTCCGTTTTGCGAAAAATTTCGCTCGGGATGGAGTGGAGTTTTCGATTTCCTGCAAATACATAGCAAATGAATTATAATCCAAAAACTCCATGTACGACTTTTGCGCACGAGCGCGAATATCGGGGAGGACTCCTCTCAGCAGGTAGGCCCTAAATTCACTGTTGCTAACGTCGGGAGCGACAGGCTCCCACTGGATTAGCCAGAGAGCAAAATGAGTCACAGGTTGAGCAATTTTCTGGGAGGCGCTTGCAATTCCCATAAGGGCTTGCCTGTGGTCTGCGTATCGTGAGAGCTGCTGAGCCAGAAAGGTACAGTATGACATCCATGACGCGTTTTCTGACGACATTATGTGATCGTGCCACTTATCCATCAGCGCGGGCGAGATGTATTTTGCCCCGAGCTCCACTTTACGAGTCTCGGTGTAGTAATTAGGGTACCGGGAGAAGTGAGCTTCCATGGTATTGATGTAATGTACGCACTCAGCCCATCTTTTCCCTCTGTAGGTTCCGAATTCAAGAGCCGGCGGACTTGGCGGAGAAGCTAGGACTCGACGCCCAGGTGTAGATTGGATGGGTGTCCACGGCAGAGCGGGTTGGGTACCTGTCCCCGGTTGAGCAGGAATTGCATCTGTTGTCTCGGGTTTCCGTCCGATTTCCGAGAAAATATGCATCATTTCTTTATGGTTCTCCCCTTCATACGGGCCTCCGTAGAAAAGGTGTTCCAATGGGACAAATCCAGGGCCGGCGTCGTTCCTCCATATCGCTGGAGCTGATGACTCCCGTTTCACTTCCCCGTTGGCTATCCGCGTTTGAATAGGGGGAGTAGTCGCAGTCTCAGGGTCTGGGATATAAGGCTGGTGAGCTGCTGGAAGATCAGCCCCTAGTTGATCGCGTTCGTAGTTTATAGGCGCTTGACCATTGGGAAGTGCTTCGTTATGAGCAAATATTTGGTTGTTTTCAAACGTGTTGCTATTTCCCGGTGCCGTATTTTCACCGGAATCATTCAGAACAGATTCCATCAAAGCATCCACAGCGCTGCTGGTGTCTTGGCCGGGAGCAACAGAGAACGCTAGTGTGCTTGGTTCGAATCGTGACGTGACGTCGATTGGAAACGCGGCTCAGACAGAGGATGTAATATGCATTGGGCTAGCATGAAGCTGTGATCGGGAAGCAGGACCACGGCCCCGAGCTAGAGGTAATGAGAGTCAATGACACACGATGCAGCACGACAGGGAGGGTGCTGGAGTACCATCTCAGTACCTCCAACGTGTCTTTAGTTTGGCTGAAAGTAGTCACTTTTGACTCGCCCTGTAATCATATGGAAATTGTCAGGGTTCGTCTTTTCTATAAAGCTTGCGACTCACGTCAATATGCTTGTCTCTGGCGAAAAACACCCGGAGCGCAAAGAACAATCCTCTGTCAGTTTTTTTGGCGACCGGAAGGGCTTTCCAAGACTCACATGTTCTGGTAACCAAGAAAGTGCGTAGGCCTGAAGCTTGATTGTGGTCCAGCAGATGAGTTTGGTGGGCACATTGCGTTCAAAATATGTGTATTGTAGCCGGACCTAAATTTGACGAGACCCCAATATCAGCACAGGGTAGAATAGGTCAGGCAATCGAAGCACATAACTGTTACTTAAATTTGGATCAGGCCATTGGAGTAAAAATGGAGATGACAGGTCAACTCAATCAACCAAGGACGAAGAGGAATCATACCGGTAGAGAAGATTCTCAGACAGGTACATGCACGAGAAAAGATCGGGAGCCGGCAAATGCATGGTAACTGCCCTGCTCGTGTAAGATAGTAAAAGCCCTAGGACAGACGAGATGGAAGAGAGAGTCAGACCTATTCGATGAATGTAACTATGCCACTGTCCTGGCTGTCAAAGGCTAAGACGGGAGAGGGTATTTATAGACCTCATGGTTTTTGACTTTGCGAACGCCTGTTGGGAAGTGGTGAGCGTTGATAGATATTTGTGATGTGCGTTCTGAAATTGAGGCCTGCTCCCATCCGTGTTCAACTTCATGAGTGAACTTGCACTGAATGAAGCGATCCCTTCGTGGTCAGATGTCATTGATCACCAAACTCTCAGGCTTCTGAATACGGTGGGGCTAGGTTTACAGATTCATCACCAGCGATAAACTCTCTGGTGTACATATCTCAACGTTGGCTCACGGTTGCTGTTACAGCAATCAAGAATTAAGAGGCTGGCCTGAGGGTCCGTTGTGCTGAACTGACGAATTGTGGGAAAAGTCGTCTCGAATCCAAGAGCTGCGCCTATTCCCCAGGGTATTGACCAGGTATACTGGGCAACCCTTGCTCCATTAGGTGGAAGCCTCTTCCGTTTATGGCCTTGTCATTGATGGGAGGCCATGCCCTGATTCTGGCATTGAGACTGCTTCCAGGGCCTATGAATTTGATCCCAAAAATGGCTCATGGTGCTTCAGGATCGTGTTGCCTATTCCCCGAGCTGTTTTCACCATTCGGCCAGGACAGACTCCAGTCCCCAGCGAGCCACAGAGCGAACCAATAATAGAAACGGCACCCTCTTGTCCTTCCCTAGCTCTGCTCCAGAACTGGAGATATTATGAGCGATTGTACCCAAATCTCCTAGCACTCGGGATCGGTTTTCAGACACAGATCGATTCTGCAGCACAGCGGCTATCTTCTTCAGGGACGGGAAGTTTGTCAAAGGAATGCAGTCTTGAAACAGCGAAGCAGAAACACCATGGGAGTCAGTGGCCGGGCTATCGTGCGTCCTTGGTTTTGAGGACGACGGGGAAGTACGGTTCGGTAGTGGCGAGTACCATCTTGGCATTTGTCCTATGACAAGAAAGAGGCATCAGCAATCTTTTCTAATGGACAGAGAGCACGGCAAGATAATTTTCAAGTAAATACTATCCGCACTGAGATCCAAAAAGAAGCCCCGACCATGGGATTAGGCAGAGGCAACGCACCAGTCTTACAAGACATTGAGCGGCTCGTGATTGAAAGTTTGCCTTCCTATATAGTGAATCGTCAGCACATGATAACTTCTTTCAAAATTGTCGCAATGTTAAACTGACGTTATCAGCTATTGCTACCCGCTGCATTCTGTCGATCTATTATTAATCATCAGTAGGTATCTTATGAAGGTACTTTATAACTCACTGTATTCGTAGCTTCGATCATGTTTGAGCTCATCCAAGGTCCGTTTTGTTGTGATATGAGGCTGGTGCAGATCAGGAACAAAACCGAACCATCGGAATTAATCCCGAAGTGTCTCTATGAAGAGTCAAGTTGATTGGAAATCAACTTGCTCTCTTCTTTGTATATATATAGTCTCAGTCATTCCTCTCGAATAATCAATCAATTTATACCTCTGAACTACAACACGTTTAATGGTTTCCCGGTGGAGTGGCGGAGGCGGAACTGATCTTAAGCATCTTCCATGTCAGCATGATTCCAAATGACTGGGCAGCTACACTCACCTGCCGTTCACGGACTTCCGTATCGAGCGTAGACAAGCTAGGTATGATACAACAGGTCAGTTTAATCACAATTGCACGAAAATCCGGCGTCAGTCCATACCAAAGAGTAGCCGGCAGAGACAAAAAGCGTTGGATATTTTTTGACCCAGAATGACAAAGGAATGCTTGAGAACGACTGTTCTGCTGGCGAGGGATCGGGTATTTATAGCATTGCAGCCAGTCATTCTGCTTGCGTCGATGCAATGATCATTGTGAATTGTGAGGGCACAAACACAGAGGACCCTCTCTAACTGGTTCAACATTTCATCATTGATTTAACGCAGCACTTGGAGACATTGCATTTTTTTTTCTGGTGATCCAGTAATTGAAAAAGCTTTTCTCACTGTTGGCCTCGTTTAAACCGTCGTGGGGATGCCGCAGAAAAGCATCGATGATGCGTTTCAAAATTCACCGCCATGGGCCCGTACGTTATTGCGACGGGTGGGGCGGCAGCTGTTCATGCCATTTCATTTCACTAACCGATGATGAGCGCGTTCTTTCACTCGAAAATCTCCCCAAAGAAATTATACAAGCATCAAGCCATGTTGCACCCTTGGCTACCTACTAGCCCAACCGCAGAATTGTTCATGTTCATTCACTGTTGGAGTCTACCTCATAATATCAGAGTAAACTTATCACACCTCCTACAAAATATTAAGCAGACAAAAGCTATGGTGCAGCGTGGTACTGTAATGATCCGCACAGCTCCTATCTCACAACAGAGTTCCTTGCTCTCCCATCTGATCTTGCAAAAACTCTTTTCTCACGCTTTCAGAAACTTCGAAGAATTGACAGATAGCTTCAGTACGGATGGAATTGCTGCTTGAATATGTTGTGAGATTGAGATAAATCAAACTTCCACCCTTCATTATTATTATTCGACGAGAGAATGGAAGCAAGCGAGCTGTTATTGTACATGGAGTAGCAGTTTCATACGCCTTTTATCTTGAATCCCACAAAGCCTCGATCCTCAAATCATTAATTGGAAAATAACATATGTGGTCCGTTCAGCCAAGGTTGACCCAAGCCTTACAATCATTTAGCACACATGCTTCCCCCCCCTACGAGCCCCTCGTCATTGGGACCTACAGTATAAGTGATTCGGGATTGACTATTTGAAATAATTATCATCTAACATGATTCCAAGGATGTACATGGAACTCTTCATTGCCCATTAGGCAATGGGATTCAATTGGCAAGCCTTGGAGATACACCAAGGAGAAGGTCATCAATTGATTTTCCTAGCGAGTTATCATGTCAATTACGTTTCTGTAGAACAATTGTTTCTGCCATCAGCCTCGTCTTTGCGCATGGCAATACCCACATCTATCTCCTGGGAACTAAGTGGGCACGGGAAGGTGGGTACTACTACAAGGAAATATGAGCCAATTAGTGCCATGAATGGCCCACATGCGCACAAGTCTTCAGCGAAATAATTAGTTGATATCTGGCCGTGGCTCCCAGGAGCCTGTGGGTCGTCAATATTAATGCTATCATTGGATACTACTAATACAATGATAATATCTGTCAAGGAATAATGAGCCAATCGGTGCCATGAATGACCCACATGCTATCGCGACTGGTTACATGCTGCGTCAACCCATCTTGGGTTACCACTAATAGCTTAGTCGGGTGTATTCAACAGCAAATTGCCTTTGCCGTGTCCTAATGCAAATGGCCATTCAAAGTTGCCACCATGACCTATTTCATGAAGGAAGCTGGCCAGTACGTCCTCGTCACTATATCATTCTCGAAACCAACTAAGAATGCTGTCCAGTCCCCACAAAGAAGTTGGCCATTTGCCCCCGCTGCTATGCTCAACGCAAGCGGAAGCCGACCGAACGAACGCTTCCTCGGTTTCACCACCTGTTGTACAGTAGTTCAGAGGTATGAATTGTCTTTTTGTTCAAAGGCAAACATTAGGCTATATATGTACAACGAGAAGAACAAGTTGGTTTCCAATTAACTTGGTTCTTCGTATAGATATCTCGGGATTAATTCTGATGGTTCGGCTTGGTTCCTGATCTGCACCAGCCTTATATCACAACAAGTCTGAATACAACTCATACCCATTATCATGTGGGACAGGCATCTCTCGCATCCATCACTCGTATCCCACAATACCCCCGGAGTACCCTAGCAGGTAGTCCTAACAGTATAGTTCTACATAAATGCACCGCATTGTAAAACCAACTCTGCCAGTCCAATCTCCACGCGTCTTGCTCCACTGCACCATTTTAGCCTTTCCCCACTCAAGACAGCCAATCGTAGGTGTCTTGGCATACATCTCAGCGGGATTCCCGCCGCAGTCGCAGGGTTGCCGATACCGCCATTATATCTTGAAAAGGATCTATTATTAATAACAAAATATATAACATATAACTATAAAGATAGAGGTCTCCTATCTCAGGAGACCCAGAAAAACATAACATATTACAACTCCCTAATAGCCAAAAAAGACAGTAGTTGAATTAAATATATGGTAGTAAACTATATATTAGTCAACAATAATGGTCTTGAGCACATTATCTCTGTAATACATTTTTTGTAAGGTTTTATACCGTATCACATACCAACGCCCCGCAGCTGCAAGCATGAATGGATCACTACTAGTCTGGATTCAGGGCGAACACGTACCCCTCAGCTCAGCTCAGCTCAGCCATGTGTGGGTATAAATCCCTCACACCCATGTCCAGCTGAAGAAGGTAACCTGCCAGTAGGATCTGCAGACCCGTTCCAGTGTTGAAGCAAGGGATATTGACACATAGTTTGATAATCGATTGGAGGATGATTCTCTCCCGCGATCTCAGCCCGCCAGCTGCGCAGTCCATACACCTACAACTGGGAGGTTCAACTCAGCCACAGCATTATAAAATCCACCTGTACAGGACAAGTTCATTGCAACATACCCAGGATCATAAATAGCCTACCCCGCCTCTCTATAGACTCTTCCCAGCGCTGTGCGCTCCGATGTGTCTTGTAAGCAAATCCTTCACTTTTTTCTCTGCCAATCGGAGGCACTGGAATGATAGCTCCTCAGTCCGGTCCCCTGAGTCCATGATGCAGGATAATCCTTTTGATATTGATCTACCTCGTGACCGATATCTTTACAGAGAAGCATAGAAGGCAAGCAAGGTTGCAAGTGTCAAGGAACTCATACTGCATGCCTGGAAGACATGGCATGAGGAACCTGCCAAGAGTGTTTACTGCATGCCTGGAAGACCTGGCATGGAGGAACCTGCCAAGAGTGTATATACCACATGAGTAATGAGCGGTGTACTCAGGAGTACTTAATACGACTCACGCAGGAGGAACCTTCGTTCCTCAAGCGTTAGTCTCTGTTACATGAGAACACACTATCCTCCTTCCATCCCAAGCCCATCTTGTACCCTTCACCTAATCACCCGGCGCCATCCAACCTGGTATTCTCTTACAGCAAGCGCCGAATCCCCGTCTATAAAGTCCACGTGGGTTCTCGTTTCTGGAAAGAAAATTCTCCACTCCAAACCACCCTTGAACTGGACGAATATCCTGCCTCGTCAATCACACAACATGGCGGATACCAGGGAGCGTCTTACTATCCCACCATACCCTGAGAGCCCCGAAACTAGGGAAGGCAAGCGCTTAAGCCCAGAGAAAATCCAGTCCTTGAAGACCCAGTACCCAATCGATATCGACCATCGGAGTACCACCTCCGGTCTAGCCGCCCCCGAGGACACTTATCCCAAGTATACTCCCCCGCTGCTAAAACTTCACACGGCTTTCTCCAGCTAACATATGGACCCAACTCACAGCGATGGATGGCAACGTCGACACGAGGCCCTCAACATCCACTCAGGCTGGTTCGCATTCCCCGGGGCAATCATCGAAAACCAGAGTTTCGCTGGCGTAATCCTCAAGAACTACCCGACCTCCAAAGCAGGACTTCCAAAAGACCGATGCTGGTTCGACTTCTTCGAAGGCGACCGCTGCTGCCTGCGCATCGGAATCTTTCGAAACAAGACAGCGATAACATATAATCAGGTGGTGAATAACGCATGGACAACGGAGGTCTATTACGATTACCCGGATGTGCTCAGTGAGGGGCGCGATGTAGGTCTGAGGGTGTTTCTTGACCAGGGTAAGTTCTCTGTTTGTTGGAATGATGAGGGGGCAGATTTGGATTGGGGCGCCGCTGCGAATTCCATGGAGTACCGGGCTGATCCGGCGAGTGCGGCGCGTTTTGGGGAGTCTGTGACTGGCTCATTTGTTTGGAAGGGTTGATAATTGGATATTGCTTCTCCTTACCTGCTTATCCTGGAGTACTTGATTATTTTATTGTTGTTGTTCGGGTTGTGCTCGTGGGGCTGAGAAGCTGTTGACAATAGTGGAGCAGTTACAGCTGTCTCCTATTGGTTTCTTCTTTACCCCGCTTTCCTTTGTCTTTTGTATATACTGTTGGGACTCCGAGACAACACAAAGTCACTCTCGAGTATCCAATGGGTCCTACGAGACATGGAGAAATTGGTTCCCTCCACATATCAACTATGGACCAATTCTGCAGATGGGTATTTAACATACCCTCTGCTTGCCATTCTTTTGATCTTGTTGTTCAGAGGTATGAATTGATTAAGATTTGTACCAAGGGAATAACTGAGGCTATATATACAATGAGAAGAACAAGCTGATTGGAAATCAACTTGTTCTTCGTATAGACACCTCGGGATTAATTCCGAGGTTGCGGTTAGGTTCCTGATCTGCACCAGCCTTATATCACAACACTAACTATTTGAAATCTAAACAAACAGAACAAGCCGAGGACGTGCTGCCTCGGGCAACAATTTATAGTTAACTAGTTAACTAGTTGGAAGGCGGTCGAAGATGCATAAATAGGGTAGCCAATGGATGATGGAAAAGATGTCTGATTTCGAGTACTACCCCTGAGCTAACAATTTATAAGGGGAAAAAAATAGTTACTAATCTATGACGTTTAACCAGAACCACCCACTAATATCCTGTTGAAGCACCGACTGCTCGAATTGATATCCGACTAGGCGATGTTGTTGTGAGTCAGCCAAGAGATGGATTCGGTGGTGTGATACAGCATGACCTGGGCAAGAAGTTACCGGACGGTGGGTTTCAAAGGACAGGTCAACTGAACGCCCCACCTGAAAAGCTGCTAGGAGTCATCCCTAAGATGCGTAGGTTGTACAATGACAAAAAGAAGCCAGAGCGACTTGCAGAGCACCTTTAGCGTCTTCATGACATGGAAGATTATCAACAACCTGCAGTCGACCGGCTATACGCGGTAGACTACCTTCATGCGGACGGGCAAAATTGCGGATAGGGACCCACATGGTACATCTGGGTTCCCCTGAACGCGAGGAAGCTATCTTCTTTTGCTTCCTCGCGCTACGTCTTGTATCTAGAGTCGACTATAGCTTTCGTTAATATTGATCATCCATCGGAAAGACACGCTCCTCATCAACAGATACGTGACACCCTCACAGCTATAGTTGGAGCTCCTGGGGCCGTTCGCCTTCGTTCCCAGGGCCCCTCGCATTAGTTCCTAGGGCCCGTTTGTCCCTAGGAGTGTTGTACATTGTTCCTCGGAATGCTATCACTAGCCCCTAGGAGACATAAATGCTGCGTAGACTTCTCCATGCTTCATTGCTCCTGGGAGGCACCTCATTAATCTGCCGCTGGATTCTCTTTCCCTGGCCCAATAACATTGAGCGCTTTACGGAGACGCAAAAGCACCGGCTTAATAGAGTGCGATTTTTACGTGGTCTACTATATGGCATTAGCTCTTAAAAGCTCGCAATTTGCTTTTTTGACATAACTTAGGAGAAGTGCTTAAGCGGCCCACCCGCAGAAAGAGCCTCCAAAGTTGTCTGCACTTGACCTAGAGTATCTAAAGTGGATATGCTCCTCAGAACTATTTAGATCATTGCTTTTTCAGTCCGCGAAATGGATATAGCCTTTTCGATAAATAATGATAAATGCAGTTACACAAAAAGCCACTGTTTGATCTGCAGTGGGAAATGCTAAAAAAAGCAAAGAGGTGATTCGGTAGGTCGTGCCAAACATCCACCTAGTCAGAAGCCGTATGCAATGTATGCTTCGAATAATGTGGAGAGCTGAGCCTGGATATAAAAAAAGCAAAAGAAGATTATTGATCCGCGTTTGGCTGCCTTGCTATGTCTGAGTACTAATGCTACTTCATGCATTTTTGATTGAACATCTTGCTGCTCTATTACCTTCCAGCATTCCCCGGCTCATACATAAAGTCGCGCGGACCCTGTAAAGAGCGTCGGACAACAGTGTTTCCTATTCCTTAGGTTTATCCAGTTTTTCATCAATTCTCAAATCCAAAGCGATTGATTTAGGTACTGATATCCAGCGCCTTCGTTTCCCATTCCAGCAATGTTATCCCTACGGAATAAATGCTTTTTCAAGAGGTCTCGCACAATCTTGGACCGTCCAGAAATCTGCAGAATGATCATCCAAAGTTCCCATCTGCAGTACGCTTGGATGAGAAGTAATAGCTTTTTCAATAGTTCAAATGTTTACGGTACCTTTGCGGTGTAACGTTGCATGGCATTTTGATCTGGCCCCGACTCTGAAAGCTGAGAAAAAGTAATTTGTGGGCCATCATATGATATGTCACTCACTTCCAGAGGCCATTTCAGCTCAAGATCAGCAGAAGATAGACCAGGGAGTCGACCAATGAGTGAGCAGGTTCATGATTTGAGTTTTCAAGTCCTCTGGGAGATGAGCGGGAGATCTGAATAATTCAACATCACTTCCAAGATTAATTGATATGTCCCACGTGGAGTTTCATATTTCAACGGGCGACTTGGTCCAATGTTGGCTCGCCACTGTCCGTTTAGGGGCTACTAGTACAGCAGATTCCAACTGATCGGTGTTATGCGCCAGTACCTGGCTCCTTTTCAAACGTTCTTGTCTACTAGTAGTTCTCTTTCTTTCTTTGCTTTGCTTTTTGCGTTGGTTTTTATTACTTCATTTTCTCTTTTCTCGTGCATGCCTACCTAGGGAAGGATCCCCAACGCAAGTGCAGTGGCTCGGACAATCACATACTGGCACCTGCAGGGCCTGCACACATGCATGTGTTCCGAGTCATTATTGGGAATGCCTGTGTGCTCTGGTTACACCATAGTGGCCTGGGTTTAGGGTATAAAGTTTCTCTCCATCCTGTCTCGGGCGCTACGAAGACATCACTGAAATCCGATACGAAATACTGTACACTTTCTGGTATATGCACCTGCCTGGTCAATTCGAAGGCTTGAACCTACTCTGATTTCAAATATTGCTTTATTTTTAGAGACTCGATCAACATGCTTCTTACAACCAAGGTGCTTCTTCCGTTGGCGCTCAGCGCGACGGTCCTCGCGAGTAACTTTTGCCAGTGTGAGCATCAGGATAGCTCAGGAATCCCGATCAAACTCTCAGGCATTCAACAAGTCTGTGACATATTGGACAGTGACGCCTGGTGTGCCACGAATTGCAACTTTGTCGGGACCAACTGTGACTACTGTCAATGGAAATGGGGTGGAAATGGTCCTGATAAGGATTACCAGGCCCTGAAATCCTGGTGTTTCCAGCAAAGCACATACGATCCTGCAAGCAAGAAATGGCTTAAAGGAAACAGCGTGAGCTGCTACGCCGCCGGCAAAGAAGCGCCCCAACAAACTTTTGGGAGGGGCTGCTACCACGAGAACAACAATACCCCACGGCCGGCTTTACCAGGAAGATTTGTGGCAATTTTCTACACTAGCCAACGCAATGAATATACCATCGGTTGCTATGGGATCACATCAACAGCTCGAGATGAAATTACTAAGAATTATCTGGCCTATAATGGCCAATGCAGGGATCTCGGCCTGTATGATGGCGACACTCATTATGTATCCTGTCCTTATGTCTCGCAAAATGGTGCCCACGACGGAGCTGTTGAATTCATTAAGAATGCCTGTGCGACCTCCAAGGGTGGCAGAGATGACGCGCCCGGTATATTCAACGTCACGAAAGCGACCTCTTAAGCTCGTCATGAGTTCAAACGAGGCGGCCAGCTAGTAAATTGTGGAATGGTGTCATAACAACGATACCGGGTGGTGATTTCAACATTCCCTAAATCAGTCGTTTTCGTTCATATCGTCAAGGAAATTGAATTTGTCTGTTTACGCTAAACTCAATTCTCTCAGTATGATTCGGGTTTGATCCATATTAGTTCAAATATTTCTTCAATGTTCTTCAATGGGGGCAAAAATGAGAATAATTAGCCGTCTCGATTTTGGCTAAGAGATAGAAAACAATACTCCGGTCCATCACAGGTTCAGGGCTAGCTGTCTAGTACTATGTTCGTGGTGCATCGTCAAGCTCTTTGAACAAAATTTATCTTATACCCACCGGAAAAGGCCGTCACCCTGTCAGATGAACGGAGAAGTCGGGTTAGAGATATGATTCTTGAGACTAATACACACAGATCCGCTATATTCTACATTTGTTCCGTCCTTAAGTCTTATTGAAGAACTAATTCGTTGACTAGAAGGTAAATTGTTGCAATCAGCAATTACACGTGGCATATTTACGTTGGTTTGTACAATTTAACAGTCTCATGTGTACTGAAGAAGACTCATGTAAAGCAAATCAGGGCCAAGCGCCCAAAGAAGGGTTCAAAAGCGTCAAAAGCAATGAAGCAGACAGAAAGCTGAGATCATTACAACCAGAGTATATTTACCGGTCTATCTCGAGGATTAAAGTCTCAATAGATAGCCCGCAACAATGCTTTCAGAAAACCATCGTACTTTTTTCTTGTCATTGATTCATTCCCGTTGTACATACTGATGCGCCCGCCCATCTGTTGAAATTGATTTCCTCAGCTTGACATGGTGAAGGTGGTGAAGCACTGTGTAAAAGTGAGTCCTCAGAAAAATGTACCTGGTGAAATACTGGTATCATTTGCGAAATGGCAAGAAACCTGATCTCCTAGTAGCGTAAGATGATCGTATGCATTATAATCAGCAAGAAATGACTGACTGTATCACAAATACCTAAGCTAGCAAAGTGTAGCGAGCGTTCTATCACTGACGTACTTAAGAACAGATGTTTGGCAATCCCACTTCTCCAACAATTCCTCCTAGTCCGTGACCAAGCCTAAACACCTATGATGCTGGAAGCCCTTTGTCATCCTCAATAAGAATAAAGGGGATGAGATTGATGTGAAATTATTGGGTAACACATTTAGTGGCGTCAGAATTGACGTAGATGGCGCCTTCGTATATGCAGTACACGTGGTGATATAGATGACGAATGAGCTTCGCTGAAGCTTTATGGAAGATACAAAAGGCAGGAGTGCTCTTTTTCCCATCAGAGCGAGAAGGCAGTATAACCCCTCTTAGTGATCTATTTCACGAGGTCCGTCAAAGTGCACAGCACGCAAGACTAGTCAGACAAAGTCTGTGTATTCGTCCGGTTCTATATCGAAAAAAGCACTTTATGAGGTGTCACCCTGGTGGATGTTCTTGTGTCGGCGAAAGTTTGAGTGCACGGAAAAGCGTCGCCCGCAACCATCCACGTCACACATAAATGCTGGAATTGCGTCAACCTTGAATTTTCCACTGCCTGATTTAGCGCTTTACTCACGCTTCTCGCCGGTGTGTCTGTAAGAGTGCATCTGCAGTGAAGACGGACGCCGAAAATCCTTGTGGCAGACCCTACACTTGTGGTTCTTTTCCAATTTGAAGGGTGTCTTGAAGGGCGTCTTAAAGGGCGTCTTGAAGCTAAACCGGTTCATCATGCACTGGGGTATTGACGGCCCTTTACCAGCAAGGGGCAAGAGGCCATTAGGCTGGGGAGAAACATAGAACTCGAATGTTGTGAAGTTAAAGTCTTTCACGGAGGATTCGATGTTGCCTACAGAGGGGTTGTAGAGATCGGCCGATTTTCGCGCGCCGCAGGGGCCGTAGATGTTTCGGGGAGTCATATCCTGGCTGAGCGCCACCAGGCCGCGGCTGGCATCGAGCTCTTCACTGAAGGTTGCAGTGAGCTTGGCTGGTAGGGAGGAGCCGACGCGAGTGTCTCTGGAACTGGGGGTCAGAATTGTGGTTCTTCACGGGTGCTTTGATTGTGACGCTGGTACTCACGAACGCAAAGTGCGGCGAGCGTCCTGTGACTGAGACGGGTGAGTTGAGGCGTAGCTGACCGGCCCATAGCTGGATGGCGCGAAGCTGCTCATTCGTGGCACCTTGGTGTAGGCCAAATCCTGCTCAAAGGGAGTGTGAGACGCATCGTGTTACAGACCGATCACGTCGTCATAACCGGCTTTTGTGTAGCTGCTGCCTGGCACAAGGGAGGACGTGGAGATGAGGACGCTACGACCAGGCAGCGACGTGGTAGTGGTAGGGCGGCCGAGTCGCAATTGCGGGGAGCTGCGATGGTAGATATTGCCTCCTATTTCCATCGTCGAGTGGTATGCGTGTGTCGCGGGTTGCGAAAGATGAGCCCGAGAATTCTTTAAATATGAATAGGGATGTGTTGTTTTTTTTTCGCCTTTGTCGCGAGGGCTTCAAGGGAGCAGAGGAAGATCGACTCTCCGGATAATGATTGGCTCGATGTTTAACTAGTTATTCTATTCTCCACCTTACATTTCAGGCACAATATTGAACTTGGAAGGCTGTGGATCCGCATATGTGATGGTACCAGTGGATTACAATGAACATGTCTTCTTTCTAGTACATCCCCTGAGCTAACAATTTATAAGGGGTAAAACTAATTACTTAATCAATCACGTTTAACAGAAGTACCCATTGATATCCTGTTGAAGTAGGGATGTTCTGATAGTGATATTCAGGAGTTGCCGATCAGGTTGAACTGTTGATCATGTGACCCATGAAGTCGAATTGGCCACCGACTATTGACTAGTGTAAGATGGGAATGCTCGCTGTGGCAGTCTGCGTTGGCAGACGGGTCGATCGCAAGAGGAGACAACACCACCACACTCGCAGAGTGCCGGAGAGAGAGAAGTAGACAGTGCGTGACGCTATAGAGATGCGACTAATAAGACATTCGAGTCTTCATGGACATGCGATATACCGATACCGCAACCTCAGCCTCAGTAACCTCCGCAGGAAGAATAATTCATAAGGGGGAACATGCATGTTGAATTGATAATCTAGAACGAAACTATTTATCCTCCTTGAACTAAACAGCAGCCTTGTTGCTAAGGCCCTAATCACATGACTCTGAGATACCGATGTTGAGAGCAGGAATCCCCACTACACTAGTTAATTACCTAAAGTGGTTAGCGTTTATCTTGACTCTGCTCCGAGTCTCGAGGGCAGCACTTCCCAAATTATTTCTCTATATTGTACAGTATTGTTGTGTCTCCTGGAGTGGTTTTGTTCGTGCCTGGGAACAGTGCAAGGGATCACATGGTGGATGATGCACCCAGGACCTATCCAAAACAGTATGAAATCTGTCAAGGAAAGCAAGCAGACACCCAAGTTCATAGTGTCAAGCTGAGAGGTGGTATTTTACCACTAAGAACTAGCTGATTCAGCGACTACCCGCTCCTCCATATGTTTTTGTATGGTAAACCGGGTCAACTCGGAATACCAGGGTTGTAACACGCTAATACTAGCTTCTGAGAGTATGAACAGCTTTCAACAGCGATCTCCTGAATAGTTCTTCAATCAACTCATTCAATTGGTTCCCTGAGTACTAGCATGTACGGAAATCCTACAAACCGTTACATAATACGATCGTTTGTTACTCTGTACTCCGTGGTGTAAAAAGATACAGTACTACACCCCCCCCCCCCCACCCCCAAAATAAGTGACGGTAAATTGATAAAGCAATTACCCCACTCCTACGATCGAGATCCTTTGACGCATTGACCTCGTTTCAGCTACGCCACCTACTCGATTCACGCATGATTACTAGGATAAATGACTTTGCGTGAATGCCCCTTTACTCTTGAAGAAACTTGAAGAATAAAGAGTTATTTATACAAAGTTAGTTATCATAGTCCTTATTTATCAATCCGGTAGTGAAAGAGGGGATGTCTAAGGAGAACCCGACCAGTGCGAATCTGCGAACCAGCCATGGCCACTATGGGTAGTAAGTAAATAGAGAGAGAACGCCTGGAGGTTGTTATTTGAGGAGAAATAGGTGCTTGAATTGCTTTCTCGCATAGGCCAGGCCTTATATTATACCGCTATTTGACAAAACCCCCATTACATTAGCTATGATATGGACAGACAAGATAATTTCTTGATGACCCGGCCACATATATACCCTTTTAAAGAATCTCAAGCAGAATAGTTTCCTGGATCCAGGCCGCGTAAGCTGCAGTGCTAGTATAAACGCCAGGGTATGCATGTTGTCCACACCCACGACTCCAAGAAACAATTCCGACCTGCTTTTTGGAGCTTTGATCAACAAGCGGGCCACCAGTATCCTCCTGACAAGCGCCCTTCCCTCCACCGGGCACACCGGCACAAACCATCATGTCATTAACCTTGGGATGATATGAGTCGTAGGCTTTGACGCAGCTCTCATGGTCAATAATATTGAGGTAGGCGAATAGAAGATTGGCGGGAAGACGCTCTCCACCATGACTAGTAGTTCCCCAGCCGGTGACCGAGCACTTGGCTCCTGTCGCTGAAGTGTCTAGCTCAGAAGAGGGAAGCTCTACAGCAGCGATGTTGGATCCAAATTCGAGATTGTCCTGTAATCGAAGGACGGCAATGTCGTTTTCAAGAGTGTTGGCATTGTAATCACTATGCTGGGTGATCTTTGCCACTTGAAATAACTTCCCACCGGAGGCGTGCTGCGCTGAGCCAACTCTGACCCTTAAATGACTCGCCTCCCGATCATTCACACACTGGGCAGCAGTGAGAATGTTCTGGGAATCGATAATACTTCCTCCACATGCATGCGAAGAGGTTTGAATGGAAACTTGATAGGGGAATTGTCCAGTGGCGGCGGTCGATCCGCCGACGATTCTCTTCTCGAATTGAGCCGAAACAGAAGCGGTCAGAAGCGCGAATAGAGAGAGTTTCATGTTGAAGAGGAATGAATGAAAATTGCTTTGTTAGAAAAAGAAATCTGCAAGCCTTGCTTACTTAAATACTTCACTCTCCTGCCCCTCTTCATGCTGCACAACCATTGGATCATGAGGACTCAATACAAATGTACTCCATAGCTGATCATGCATTCTCGATCGAGAAGCATGCTCCATCGACGATCATTTTACGGATAAGAATGCGCAGATCATTTCAAGAAAAGACCCACCCCGAGCAGGACCGGGCTATTTCTGAGACATACACACTGAGATCTGCACAGCTATCGTTTATACGGCACATTATCTGTCCACAGGTGCAAAGGCCAGGCAATTAGGAATAATTAGGAGCAAAACGCGTGTATTCTGCTATCGCTCTCTTTTTGACTCGGGTCGATGCTATCGGCTTATACGATGGAACAAATCTCAATTGCCTGTATTAGACCTGGACAAAGCCGTGTGTATGGGTGGGTGCCGCATGAATCCGCATGAATCCGTGACCCACTATTCACATTAGTGTAACGTACTGTATTGAAACCTTAAGCCTCAATTACTAGATCATAGTACTACAATAATTTTGTTCGAAAGTGTTATATCTTACCACTACAGTCAAAATGGGGCAGTGGGTGACAAGCTCATGCGGCAGGCCTAAGCAGCTCCAGGATCGCTCACGGTCGCTTAGGGAGCAGCTCAGGGCGGCCGGGGAACTAACTCAGGCTAGGCTATAGGAGCCGATCGCTTTCTAAGGCGGCAGTTTTACCGTCACCTTTTTTACCGAGTTACCCGAACATTCCTGTCGGATGATGTAAATACCCTTGCTTCCAAGGCTTTTAGAGCTGCCGAATCGTTCATAGCGGTGCGCCGATCATAACCAGTGTCGATCGTGTGTTCATGCGTCTTGCAAAGACCGATCGTCGCTCAGCTGAGAGTGTGCAAAAATATATTGCGATATATTTGAATGGTGATTTTCCAATCTTTGCTTTTATCCTCCCTTTCTCTTTCTCTCTCTTTACCAAACCAATTGTGCGTCACATTTTTGGGTCATCTCCTATCAAAATGAAACTCCTTTCCACACTCGGCTGCATTGCCATTTGTCTCCGGTCGACATTGGCATTGGCAACAGAAGAGACATGTGGAACTGTTAAGTGGTACAATTCAGAGAAAGGATTTGGTTTCATTACACCTGATAACGACGGGAATGATGTTTTTGTCCATTATTCGGGAGTGAAGGTACGACGCGGCAACTCAAGAGAAATTCTATTGTCTACATACTAAGAATCGTTACACCAGGAGGATGGCTTCAAAGTACTTGGAGAAGGCCAACATGTCTGCTATCAACTTCAGAATGGCCTCAAGGGACCATCTGCAACGGACGTTCACCCAGCACCTAAGGAGGAATAGGGGAATCGGCAGCAATGGGCTGACCAATATCTTAACTCTTTACTTCACGTGACATAAGTATATTGAACCTTGGTGTCATATCATTTTTTATATGCAAAGGGTAGCCATAAAGATGCGCTGTTCTTTGAATTTTCATACCGTCAGATCGGTACGTTCGTCCGAAAACCGATCTTGGCACTCGCCCTGTGGTGGTATAATCCAATATTCATTCAAAAAAATCTCGAATTTATTATAGCGATATCATCAGCGTAGCTGGTCCGGTTCAGTTATATCATATTAAATGTCCGTCAGCTCTCATCGAAACCTGGGCCACACGGAAGTTGGAAGCAGTGTTCTGATCAGTCCGACATTAGCCTGTGGGTCCCGCAGTACGAAGACCTCAGGCCACCAAGGATGCGACATACACTCAGTTGGAAGTTCCGGCAATATTGCATAGATATGTGGGTCAGCCAGCCATTGCCAATAGCCGCAGCGAGCCCAGTGTCCACCCTGCTCATTACTAATATCTATTATTCCCAGTCTGCTCTGTCAAGACGTGCTACGTGTCTAAATTTCTGACTGTGAGCCCCTTTTTGTCTTGGTATAGGTTTTCCCTATTAAGTTAGGTTTCACTGTAATATTATGCAAATGCAGAGACTTGGAAATTTTTTTCATTTATTTCCTTTTTCTAGTAAGGGGAAAAAAGAGCAAGCCAGTAATGCTTTCGATTCATTCTCCAACCCTAATGCCAAGCCTGAATAGTACAGTAAAACCTGGTTCTATTCCAACCATTGCTACACTGCTACAAATGGAGACGAGTGAGATATTTTTGGCCCGTACGGGGCACCTGCAGTCTGAGCATGGTGATGTAGGTCTCCTTGACAGAAGGCTACAGCGCCGTGAGGGCTGCAGGCGGGCCCGTAGCACTCCGTATATTCTTGGGAGGAAGCAAAGCTATGCGGAAGCATACTTAGTACAAACATGAGGGGTTCTGCGGTGGGGGGGGAAGAAAACCGTTGCGAAGAGAGCCCAACTCTCCCTCGAAAAGGCGATGTTCCTTTCGAAGGAGAGGATATAGGAGCGATATCTGTGTGCGATTATAAGCACGGAATATCGTGAACCCGACGCAAGGGGGGAGGGGCTCTCCGCAATAATCCCGAATAGAAAATATCATTTATGCCATTTCGAGTACGTTATCCGGCAGCGACCATTTACGTACATCGTGCCGGTGAGGACAATCTCCGAAGGGCGTCCTGATACGATGAGGATACGAGTGAAGAATGTGAGATATGCCTGATATGGGTATGATGATATTCAGACTAATCGCTGGTCCTCCTAAGAGGATCCAGCTCCTCCTTTTTAGGGGATGCCTGCGTGCGTATGCAAGCAGGTAAGCGAGGTGATGTATCAACAGGCGGCTCCGGTGGTGGATAGGCACCTCCCCCGCATTTCCTATACCTCATTGTATGGTTGGCGTAACAAGTTCTATGGATTTTTGATACACGAAATTATCATCTTGTTCAGAAAGGGCCAGAAAAACCATCTTTGAAGGGGATTCTGTGGATTATCAGCGAAATGGAAACGTTCGAAGGATCAGGTGCCTCAAGGGTTAAGCTCAGATGAATTTGAAAAGTGGCTGTGGAGACAGGGCAAATAGACAAGCTAAAATGTATTACATTATCGGTAGGCGGGCTCATCTCTAGAAGAAGTAAACTCGATACCCAGAAAGCCCATATTATCATGTAACGGATCATCTCAACCTTATAGTTGATGTGGTCTGGCCCTAGGCAGATCATAGGTATTTCGATGGAAAGAAACCATGTGTTATGTACGGGCCCTGCGACACGAGGGCCGCAACCTACCGAGGGCCACTGAGAGCGAACCATTCTCAGGAGTTATGCGCAGCATACAGTCACGTGCACAAACAGGCAATAAAGCAGGGGGAGCAGGAAACCGGCCTCCTCCTTGCCATCGCAAGGTATAGTTACTATTTAACAACATGTTACGCTTACAAAGCGTATTACTTAATAATGCCAAGCAATCGGACGGTGTAATCGACTAGTAATGGTATACTTGGTCGCGATAAGCTATGGGCCTCAGGTTGCATGCACGAATGAGAGATAGCAAGTAGTCTGAATTGGAAATGTCCCCCCCTGACCATGCAGTTTTATAGGTCAGGATGGACTGACTAAGCTAGCAAATATTAACGTAATCCACGGCCGGTCGGGACACACGGCCGGTCGGGACACCCACCCCCATGATAAAAATTTTAAACATGATAAATCAACCAAAACGCATCAATTCAACTAGATAATACGTTTTTTACATGAAGTAATCCTATGGCCACTTTTGCCACATCCACTACAGGTAGGCGGAGCCCTCCTGGCCGGTTGAATCGGCTGATTAGGCAGATCGACCTGTTCTTGCGATACTACCTCATCAGCTTCTATAGGCTTATTTAGCTGTTGAACTAGCTGTAGGCCCTCTTCGATCGATAGGCCCTCTTTATGAGCGATCTGCGTAGTCCAACGAGTGCGCTTTTGGCGTTTCTTTTCATTCGCTGCGCGAAGGTTCGTATTATCCTGTGCTAGTAACGCAGCGCCATGTAACGATAGATAGGCGCCCTGATAATCTGATTTACCACACTGTTGATTGGGCTCGGAGGGGTGTTTGACCGTCGGTGTAGTAGATCCTTCAGTAAGGAAGCTTGCTTTTGTAGCTGAACAACGGTTCTAGGTGTTTTTGGTGTGAATTGGCTTGATCTGCTGCTTGGTCGGCTTGATGGTGGTGAAGGTGTTCGGAGAGAGATATTAAGCTTAGAAAGCACTCTATTAGCATTAACTGGTACGATACCAGTAGCTGCAAAGCTGTTTTGAACGATATTCGGCTGAAAAGCTTCTATCCATGCGCGTGGATAGTCTGCAAAGAAAATCAAGCTTATCGATGTGATTATAGCCAGTACGGGCTAAATTACTCACAAAGCGACCGTAGGCACGCTTTAGCACTGCAAAGCACCCAACATTAAGCGGTTGAAGTAAGTGAGACGAATGTAAAGGCATACAGAGTGGTATAATATCATTTTCAGCACAGATTCGATCGAATTGAGGTGTAAGATGGCTACCGTGTCCGTTAAGAATCAATAGCCGAAATCGCCCTCGTACACGCGAATTAGTATATGGAATAAAGATCTTTTGGAGCCAGCGAAGGCCGATTTCATCGGTAGTCCAGCTATTATTCGATACTTCGATTCGCCAATCCCTAGGGAGATTTGATTCAAACCAACCAGCGATATAAACCTGGCCTTTGAATATGATGCAGGGCGGCAGCGAATAGCCATCAGCGCATATTGTTTCAATCGCAGTAACCTATTCACGATTACCCGGCTAGAGGATTGTTCGCCGACCGTAGTATTCTGCTCGTGTAACCACCTTTTGTGATGATATAAGGCCCATTGCAAATCCAGTCTCATCAAAGTTATAGATATCCTCTGGTTGGATACCATTCTCCTCAATCGCGCGTTGTACTATCAAAAACCACTCTTTTATAGCCTTTGGATCCTTATTAAGAGCGCGCTGATAATCATATCGCTTAGAGAAGCGCGATCGAAGCTTATCACGCCGTTTAACGAATATTGATGCCCAATTAACGCCAACAGTTAATGAGGGTATAGTTCCCCGCGCCGCAAGAAGAATATTGGCCATCTCTCGAACAGTAGAGGGCCTAGGCGCTGCTCCACGCGAATCCATAGAGAGGATCCATTCAGTAAGCGAATCCTCTTCGTATTGTGTCAGTTTATGACCTGATGGGCGTTTATCGACGTGTGAGGATCTTCCATGCGCGCGCGCGTGTAGTGTGGAACGAGGTAGATCGTATAGCTTTGCTGCTGCGCGAATAGATTTGATACGGCCATTTTTAATATCGTCAAGGGCTAATAGGACCTTGCCCTCCTGATTGGCCAATTTCTGCGAAGATTCAGTGCGAATTGGTGGCATAGTAGGCGGTTGAATTAGGTAGGGTGGTAGGAATACGCGATTTTGGAGTGGGTGTCCCGACCGGCCGTGGATTACGTTAACTAGTTACATAACACAAGTAATGCTCCACACATTCCGACATTCCGTCTCCACTTTGACGACAGTCAAAGTTATTTAGTTATTGTGTTTGGTCTTCTACCTGAAAATCAAAGGGGCTTTTTCACTTGATCCTGCAAGGCGGTCGCAAATATAAATTTGCTTGGTTTGCGCATGCCAAAGATTGACAATAGAGAACTCTATTTAGCGGAGGCTGGTGGGCTTTGGGCGGGAGAGTCTTATTCTTGGTTTAACTTAAAGCGGCTAGCGCATCTCCATATATTGCTCAGAGTAACGTTAGCTTCGAAAGCACAGGAAAATAATTTGTGGATGATTAATGAAGTACGCCAGAGAATGTGGCTTGGTTGGTAAAGTGATGAGGATATCCAATTGGTGAGACGATATCGGAATTAGGAGTAAGGGCATACATGGAGATGTAGTTGAGTAGATTTGTCCCATTGCATGAATCAAAGACCGGCAATTTCCCGCACCTAGTTTATCCCACGCGCCGTCAATTGGATCGAATCCGGTCGAGGGGGAAACGGAAAATGTTTGGCAGCGAACTGGGGAGTAGCTGGGGAATAAGTAACTGCACGTGATATAGGACATTCCCAGGCTCCAGCCAATTGATTTTGATTGGATGCCACTTGCGATATGACTCCAAATCTTGCGCTGTCCGTTTAAACACACTTAAATTATTGCTCGCCCACCACTTCTTGATGCCTCAACGGTTGTACTTTCACTCCAGCCACCGGATAAAAATCTGTCGATAGAAACTACCATGCAACTTTTTGGATGGATATTCACCACCGCATGTGAACCTCCATAAACGCCCTTTCCTCGAGACTCACGAATAGGTATTGAGGTAGTGTTGAGACTGGCCCGGCGATATCAGAAAGCTTTGGATTCTGAGGCAATAAAGGCTCACCAGCAAGTTATGTGGTGAATGCTTTCAAGGCAACCTCGGACAGGGAGATCTGTTATTAGCCCAAGAACGGTCAAGAACGCCTCCATTTTCTGCGGCCCATTTACATCTATATTTCAATGGCTAAAGTAATAATAAATATAAGCCTCCAAAATTACTCCGGGCCTTCTCATTTGTTCTAAAATTTCAGGATTCTCTTTGGCCGTTCCTCCAAGCGCACCATGCAAAAAGGAATTAGGACCGTAAGAAGGATTCATTTTATCCTGACTGGAGGAAAGTAGAAAAGGACCCAGTGATTGACCATCCGAATTGTGCGATAACTATTGATCGAATGTCTATTAATCAATGACCGATCTAGAGTAATAGATATGAAGCGCATATCCATTACAACTGACCAGTTGGTGGCGTTTTATTAGGCTCGTAATTGAATCCAAGCCTGATCGACGCAGTATTGTCCTGCGTTACACGTCGCGACGAACAGAAAAGAAATGTGACATGGCGAGATTTAGATCAATAGGACCATAGCCACTTTTTCATGGGGCATTAGGCACAGAATTTGTTCTGACAATGCTTGTTTGACACAGCATCCCATTGCGTGTTTCTGCCCAGGGTAAATAATGTCCAGGCTATAACACTCCATTCCTAAGGGGCCGGTGTTTTCTGACATCATTTTCCATACTTTCTGTTGAGAAGTAGCATGTCTTCAAAAATCCTAGTAGCAAAGACGAGTTAATTGACGAAGCGACCCATTTGCAAGAATGGAGAAGGAATAGAATAGTGCGTACTGTTTCTTGATGAGACTTGAGCCAGCACATTTTACCATGTACATCAGATTGAACTTCAAGCTGTAAAGGACGAGGCGATCCTGCCACTGAGTGGCTGGTTGGCAGGGTGGGAATTCTTTGAAATACTGGCTGAAAAATGACGAATCAAATCGAACGGTTGGCACGCACCACATTCCGAGCTCATACTCATTGTGGGCATAGAGAGCCGATGCACCAAGGAGCAGCGTCTTTCCAGTTTGTAGGTCAGTGGCTGTGTTACCGTCACTGAGGTTGCCATGCACTAATGTCGGTCGCAAGATGCGACCGTGTGCTTGCAGTGGACCAAGAAGTTGTGGTATGACATTCGTGATGATGCCTTGGAACTGTTTCTCATACTCCGGACCGTAGCTGCAGGTTTCCATGGAGTGATCAAACACGGCAGACAGCAATGTGGAAAAAAAAGATGCCCAATTTTCCTGCCAGCGGGCTGGAAGAATGACACCCCCCTTCACACATATCTGCGTAGAAGCCAAACAAGTTTTGCGCCCCAAGGCTCCTTCGATGCAAGGAAGCAACATTCGAGCAGAATGAAAATTTTGCTGGTATATCCCTGCGAAGGGGTTTGAAATCGAAAATAGCAAAATATAATTGCTGAATGGGCCCTACGGGAAACCCGGCGTGCTTTAAATTGGCGTATTGCTCACTCTCTTCTTTCTGCATTGCTTGTTTTTCTTTCTCTCTTTCTCTATTTTGACTCTTGACTCTTGACTCTTGACTCTTGACTCTTGACTCTTGACTCTTGACTCTTGACTCTTGACTCTTGACTCTTGACTCTTGACTGGAGACTGGAGACTGGAGCCTGGCCGAGTCGATGTGGTTTAGGAACAAAGGACGGATCGAATTTGTGAATTTCGGCTATTGATGCAAAGAAATGATGGATTTTTGCATATTGATATTGCGGGGCCCACTAGAATTGAATCATGAGCAGTGCCCGGATGAGAAAGACGTGTGCCATGCCATACCACGATGAAATAATCGCAATAGTGATCATGCGGATGCTGAACGGTTACCCGAGCAGCCTCGGCAGACCAGGTGGGCGCTCGAGACTGCTCAGTATGCACAAGCATAGAACCTGGAAAGCCTGGTGATATGAGTCCTCTGAGTAATAAACGGAATTTCCGACGCTGGCTTACCGAGATCGTGGGAGGTAAAAGGAAAGGAATCCATTGGTGCGGATGCATTCAGAGAAGGGAACGAACTTGAGTATTGAAACGATGGATTCGATATGGGAATGCACCCCGATTATAAATTCAGCGAGCAAGGTACATCTACGGAAATTGGAGCGGCGCGCGTATGAAACCTTATCAACCTGAAGGGAGCCATTATTAGAAAGTCCGCCCCACTTGAGCGACAAATACGAACTGTGGATTGGCCAGCCAAGTGATTATGCAGGCTCGTGTCACACAACTGGCGGCGCTAACGACGGCGGGTACACAATCACATGAACTAAACCCGAAAAGACCGATTATCACTCACCCACCATCCTCCTCGCAGGTTTAAATCGGTCCACCGCCATCTGGTTGCGAAGCAGACATAGTAAAGCCGCCCCCCCCCCCCTTCCATTTTTCTTTTATCAATTCAGAATCTTTGTCACTGGACTTCTGGATTTTTTCGGATTGGGGCTTGCGCAATATGAGTGCCAGTGACCGATATACACAGCCGTTGCAAAGGCAGATGCGAAAAATCGATATAAAGCAAGATAAAACGACAAGGTACCCCAACGGTTTTAGATCATTTCCAGAGACAGTTCCTGGAACCAAATCAACACTAGAAGCTCGGGAATGCTCTTCGCCGTGGGGTCTCACCATGGTCTACAGCCCCCAAGAGGTCATTCCACGCGCGGACTTTGTGTTTATTCACGGACTTCGGGGTGATCAAGTGAAGACATGGTGCTATAAAGGATCAGACAAATATTTCTGGTTGCGTGATTGGCTGCCCAAACACCCGGAACTAAAAAGTGCTCGCATATGGACATTTGGATACGATTCAGATTTCCTTTCAATCGGACCGGGGAATGTGTCCGATTTATCTGACTTCGCACGTTCCCTTTTGGTTAGCATGAAGCTATCAACCCATGGAATTCTTACAGAGTACCAAGTTCCCATTGGGAAAGTGAGTTTGCCATTTACTAGTAATCTTGAATATTCCCGTGACGTCGTGCAGTCGAACAGCCCCAAAACCCACTATTCCATCTAGCCATTGCATTAAAATATTTCCATATCTAATTTATATCCAGATACCGTTGATAATCGTTGCGCATTCGATGGGAGGCCTTGTGGCGAAAAACGTTAGTTGATCAGAAAACATGTTGAATGCAGTTATTAACAGAACAGGCTTTTATTTTCGGGCAGGAAAAAGAAATATATTCTGATATTGCGACGGCAACATGCGCTATTGTGTTTATGGCGACACCAGATGGAGGCTCGAAACTTGCGCTTGTCTTGCAAAAGATAACCAAGGCCTTAGGGATTGTCATTCCTCACAAGGCCTACGTCGATGAATTGATTCCTAGTTCTGAGACATTGAAATGCATGAGTACTCGTTTCCGCGACTGTGCTGAGGGCCTCGATATCTACTCATTGTACGAAACAATCCGTACTAGGATTGCACCTTTCTGGAAGGTATAGTCTCGAAAGGCCTCTCTCCACTTCTTAAGCAGCTAATAATGAAAATACGATTATTGTGGATAGAGCTGCCTCAACTTTGGGGTTTTCAAAGGAAATTCTAGTTCCAGTGAAAGCTGATCACCGCGATATCTGCAGATTTCCGGATGAAAATCATTCTAGGTATCTCGGAGTGCACGGTATTCTTTTGACTCTTTTCAGGAATCACAGCCAGGAAAATTCAAATACAAAAGACAGGTCTGCACAAAATGCCTTACCCTCTATTCAAAAGATGCTCGACACGAAAGGTGCTTTTTTGGAGGATCACGTACGAATCAGTAAATGCCGTACTTTGTCCTCCTGTCGATGGATTATTTGGAATGATAGCTACAGCGCTTGGATAAATGATAAGTCACCGGGAACCAGAATACTCTGGGTGGAAGGTGAACCCGCCTCTGGAAAATCGGTGCTAGCGTCTTTTTTGATTGATCACCTCAAAGAAACCCTTCGAGAGAAGTGCCACTTCTTCTATTTCCGAAAGGGCAAAGAAGGAAAAGAAAACATAGCATCTCTGTTTCGCTCAATTGCCTACCAAGTAGCCTGCGAAGTACATTGTTTCAGAGATGGCCTTCAGGGAATGGGGAAAGATGGGGTCGACTTTTCAAAAGCAACGGCGGAGGATTTGTGGTCCATGTTATTTTTGGATTTTTTATTCCAGCTTCCTTTGCGGGAGCCCATATATTGGATCGTCGATGGAATTGACGAATCGAGTGCTTCCCTCGAACTGTTGACACTACTTTCCTCGAGTCGCCAGCAAAAAGTTCCTCTTCGCATCGCCGCGCTTGGTCGCCCATTTCTTTCCAAAAGCTTCAAAGACCTGAGACCAATTATTCAGATTGATGAAATTTCGCTGGGGCCAAAATCTCAGGATTTTCGGACTTTTGTCCATGAAAGTATTGGGCAGTTTCAGTCGGAAGACAAAGATTTTCTTTCTGAATTATTAGAAGTCCTCATGCTGTATGGGAACGGAAACTTTCTATGGGTCCGACAGAAGCTAGCGAATATGAGACATCTAAATTCAGACTATTGTCTGGGTATCTCTGCTCCTTCTTTTGATCTTGAATAATTATATCACCAGATGACCCGCCAACTATCGATGAGCTGGCAAGGAAATGATGAAAATCTTGCAAGAGCTGTTTTGACGTGGGCAGCTTTTTCACTGCGTCCGATTTCTCTCCTTGAGATTCAAGAGATTTATGATCTGGCACCTATGAGCATTCGTGAGCTGAAGAATGCCATCCCTCGAGTATGTGGAGAATTTGTGGAGATAGACACCAAATTCTGTGTGGATCTTGTCCATGAAACCGCCCACCATTTCCTTACCGAAGTTCGAAACCATCGACTACATCTTGATCACGATCATGCACATTTTGAGATATTTTTGCGATGCATGACTACACTGAACGCGATACAAAGACAGTCACAAGTTGAAAAGCCTGCTATCGGATCTTTTGTTTCTTATGCGATGGCCTCGTGGCATATACATCTTGGCAAAATGAGAAACCCAACCGACGAAAGAACTTTTCAGTCATTACTGGAATTTTTGTGTAGTCAATCGGTTATAAACTGGATCAACTTGGTTGCACTCCACGGCCAACTCCACCTGTTAGTGGATGCATCTCATGGGGTAATACAATATCTCCAACACCTGGAAAAGACTAGACCTGGAAATTTCCACGATTCGGAGCAACAAGTGCGAGTCGGTGACGTACTGCAATGGACATTGGATTTAGAGAATCTGGTTGGTCATTATGGGGCAATCCTCGCGCAATTTCCACACGCAATTTATGAATTGATACCACCATTTTGTCCAAGAAAGAGTTCAATTCGAAAATATGCGGACATGGACGACAAGACAGGTCTGAGGGTGATGGGTTTGACGAACAACCAGTGGACCAATCTTGGAGCTCAATTCCCAGTCACAAGGGGTGAAAATGTCCGAGAAGTGATTTGCGGCGGTCGATTCGTGATTGTCACGTCGGCTGCTATGGACGGTCGATTCTACGTTTTTGATATCACTACCAACCGCAAGTTACAGGAGATAGAGCATGGAGATCCAATTTTGGCGACTTCCTTGAGCCACAATGGGGGCAGTATTGCAATATACAGCCCCCGCCAGACAAAAGTTTGGGATGTTTGTCAAGCCCGCTATATTACAGAAACCTCAAATCCCCTGGGTTCCACTGTGCTAGATATTGGATTTTCCATTGATGATAAAACGCTTTTTGTGTGTTTGGACAATGGAATGGTGCGGAAATTGTCCTTAGCCCTGTTCCCTCAGTGCTGGGAGCATGTCATTGGGCCAGTGAAACACTCCTCAGAATCAGGGATCCGAAGGCTCCCTTATTGTGCTGCTTTCAGCCCCGGCTGTAATATGCTTGCTGTTGGATACCACGGGGCTCCACTTTCTGTTTGGGTTATCGAATCAGCGACGGGGCCCGTGAGAACGTCGGCAAAGACTTTGAATACCGATAGACTCATCTGGAATCCAGTTTCAAGGTCCCTCCTTGGTATTCTTCATGGAGGTTTCTTATTTAAAGAGTTGCCTTCAAACGGCGAAGTTCGAATTTTGGATGACATTAGCGTCGACGCCGTTTGCAGCCCAGACGGGCGTTTTGTGGCAACAACCCATAGCGATGGTTTTTTGAAGCTGAGACGGTTCGATGATCTTTCCGTGATACACTTGTTCTTTGAGAGCTCCATTTGTGCTGGGTTGACGATCAGCCTCTGTGGTGGAAAGATCTACGACATTCGTGATTCGTTTTGCTATGCTTGGCAGGTGTTCTCGTGGGACCGACAAGCAGAATCTCCTGAAAATTTCCTCAGGTGCTCTACTGAAACACCACCCTCTACAATTTCCAAGATGACCTCTAGCAAGAAAATGGTCAGTGCTCTGAGCGTCTGCCAGATAACAGGAAATGCCGTTGTCGGATTTACCTCGGGAGAACTGCAAATCTTGGGAGAAAACAGCAAGCTCCTAGCATCACTAAAACCTAGTGGGTTGCATATAACACACGCAATTTGGAGCGAGAACACCTGTTATCTGGCCACTGCAGACATAAGCGCATCCGTTTCTGTGCGCCGATTTAATAGAGCTTTGAATCAACTGGAAACCGTTTTCGAGCACTTGGTTGAAACGAAGATCCTTCAACTTCTATTCAACAAGACCAGCACTTTGCTTTTGATCGTGGATAATCTTTTTCTTACGATTCTCTCGTCACATTCTGGGTCATTAATCTCAAGGAAGCCGATATCAAGCACAGGGTATCTTGGGGTTAATCACCCACGAGATAATAATCTTCTCCTCTTTTTCAGTCCAAAGAAGATGCGATCCTTTTTATGGAAAAATCTTGAAGAGCTAGAACCCCGAAGTCTTGAACACCAGTCCCCTTTGTATCAGTCTGATGAGACCTCACGTTGGACAACAAAACCTGAAGTCAAAAAGATTTGGACTTCCTCGAGTACGTCCCTCATCGTCGTTCAGTTTACCGCTTATGGAGAACATGGCCTTGAAAGGGCCGAGCTTTTCTTCGTTGATTCCCAGAGCATAGCTTCTGTTACTAAAGAAAGCCTTCTCTGAGGATATTCATCCGTAATTAATGAACATGTTCAATTTCCCCTTGGAATAGTCACGGGCAGATGCAAAAAGGATCCCAAGAGAAGAGTGGACCTATTCCTAAAGGAATCACAAGATCGCCTCGCCTTTATCGACTGGGATGGGTGGATCTGCAGTATTCCGTTGGAAGGGTGTTTGGGAAAATCTGATTTTAGAAGGCATTTTGTCATCCCGCGAGCGTGGATGAATCGAGAATCCCTGGCGATGTCACATATACTGTCAAATGGAGCTTACTTTTGCCCAATCGATGGGGAGGTAGCGATAATCCATGGTGGGTTCCAAGAGGAACCTAGTAGGTGAGCTTCACTGCGATTTGTCTTCAAGCGGTAGTCCTGCCAGGAGAGGGCCTTGGCGATTGTCTCCAACAATTTAGATTGTGGTTTTTTATTCTTTTGTAAGTCATCTTCGAGCACTTTAACATATAAAAGGCTGACAATAGTATAAAAGGGCTTTAGTTCCACCTCCAGATATTGAGTGACAAGTCTGCGCTATTTCGATCATATACTTGAAGAAGGCCGTTTGCAAAATTTTAAGTGTTCAAGTATTCTTTGAAGGGACTGACTGCGAAGGCTATAAGAGGTACTGTAGTATAGGATGTCGTCCTAGGCTTGGTCGGTCGGCCCTCGTTAGTAAGCAGAAAACAAAGTCCTGGGTGAGCTGAGGGTGAGGATGAGACGAAAGAGCGAATGCAGGATTCGAGCACCGTCCCTTTTTCTTGTTCACTCTGGCGGTAGAAGATACTAGCTAATAAATTACTGAATTATCAACGCCGCAAGAAGCAACTACCTTCAGTATGATCCTCGATAACCATTAGTGAATTAGATTGGATATGTCTCTCCTCTTGCGACTGATACGTCTATAAAAGAGAGATTGACAGAAAAAAGTTCTCCAGATCATCCGCGAGATTTACTTTTCTTCATCGCCGGCATGGATATCACAGAATACATTCAAATCGGGCAAGATGCGGAAACGCCAGACTGCGGCGATCCTATCAGCCTGGACCCCAAGCCCGAGCAAGGACCCCCCTGTGGTAAGTAACTATGGCTTCCCGGTTGTGTCCACTATTCTGGCTAATAACCGTATTTCACACTCGCTGCAGAAAACAGACGAGCGAGTCACGTTGGTGAACGAACCTTTTCAGCACGTTCGGAGCGTCTTGGAAGACCTTTAGCGGGACGATCCAAAGTTAGCCTTCCAAGGAGCGCGACTTTTGCCAACGCCTATGGGAGTCGTGCGTGTCCAAGCACCTCGATGGCGAGAGCCTCGAAAAGAACAACGAAACATTACGAGAAACTAATATGCATCTGAACAACGAAAGAGATGGGCTTTAACTCCACCATGACGAGCAGCTGTCCCGGTTACGGCTTTTGGACCAAGAGTTGGAATTGTCTTGACAGCGATTGATCAGTATTCTCAATGACTGGAGCCAGTACTCTCGTGGTGAGCTGACTGGGCTGGCGGGTCTTGATTAACAATGAGGGATTAGGGCATTCTTTGGGAATCGCCACTCGACCGACACTAGTGATGTTCATTAGGTACAGGTGGAGCATAGTGCTAGTTCCGAGTCAGCGAAGAATTGCTACCTCCAAATAGAACTACTGGAACATATATCAAGTTACTGGAGACTCGCCACTCGGGTATGGAACTAAAGCATTTCATCTTTTCTGTACAATGTTGTCATAGGCTGTCCATCGAAAGTAACCGATTTACTGCAATGCGGGCGTTTTGAGCATCCACCAACTGTTCAGGGCACCCATCATACAGTAAGAGAAGAAATAACATCCTGGCATAAAGCTGAATGTACAAGCTGTTGGTAGCAAAAATACCTATTCGTTCTAGGCATTGCCATTTCAGTAATAACTCCTAGAAAGTTACGTCCGATTCCTGGGAGCAATAATGGTTCTGGGGAATGCTAAAGTTATCTATTCAACGGATAGTCTCAGTAGCCGGGGTTGAATGGTATCCCTTATCTGCTCCTAGGATATCTGGTGCTACATCGGGTATGGATTGACGAGCTGGATCAAAAAACGAATCGTAGGCAACCAATCTATTGTGGCTTGTGAGCTTGCAATGATGATGCATTTGCAAATACCTCTAGAATCTAAAAATTATTGATACGCTGGTTCCCGGATGATTGTCTTATTGTCCCAATTCTTTTGTTACCTACTCATTCTGAGCTTTACTCGAAACCCTGAAATCGTGCAGCCTAAGCTTCTGGCTAATTTCCATCCCCATTCCCCCGCTTCTCATTGTACCATATCTCAATATACTGATGCATCCCGTATCCTTGTACGCCTCGGTGTCATTTTTCTCACCACGATTTGGCTACTCGTCGCTGTGTTCAATTCGGCCACTGCTCGCATTGCAGATACTTTGCGAGACCAAGCAACAGCTGGACTCATTGAATCCGACAACCCCATCCTGTAAGTCACATTCCAAAAGCTCATGAGTGACTATCGCAAGGCAATGATCATTGTCGCACTTTCCTCAGCCCTGTTTTCCGTGTTTGGCGCTACACTTTTCGCCCACCCAAGGTGGATACGAGAAGGGAGAAGTGCCCTTGATAACTTCTTTTTCATCCAGTTCCTCTTCGGGGTGGCTGTATTGTCTTTGGGTGGGTATATTATGGACCAGATACATGGATTTCTTGATGTCTTTGCAACATTGGACGACCGAGGCGTCTTCCATCGTTGCAGCATTATATACCATGGAGCTATTGGACAGATTGTACTTGGTGGCCTTGTGATTTTGACCAGCCTCATCAGCTTCGGATTTATTTTTCGTGTCCGTTAGCAGGGAATATTGCGGAGTCTAAGCAGGCAGAACGCAGACAAGAGGCACGCAAGAAACAGGTCCTCAGATGTCAACTTACTTCTCTGCCCTTGTAATGGAATAGGGAATGAGAAATAAAGGGGCATTTGATAAACGGAGAGCCGAAATCAACTATATGAGACAGAAGCAATGGGATTGTGTTTCATTGACGCACCAAATGTGGAGTCCTAGTGACAAGGGTCCTAAAGAATAGAGCGCATCAACTAATTTGCTCGTGGCGGTCTTTCTCGACACTATTTGGCTTCATCTTTAGTATTAGAATTCAAACAGTCCATCTGGCAAGGTGAGAAGCTCGGCACTAGTATCTGTAACGTAGTACTTGCCTGAAAAGACACGTTGCATTTCCGATTCTGCATCTCCAATTCAGCTTCCAGGTCTACCTGAAATTCCCGCGGAGGTTATTGACGAAAAACCCCGGATCGAGGCAGGGCAAGGTAGGCAGAGTGGACTGCGTTGACATCATGAAGTGCTGAGAGTAGGGAAGGGGTTCCAAGCGGGGCCACATGGACAGTCGGAAGCGGGCAGTCTGCGCTGCAGAGCATACTTGGGAGATAATGTCGAGAATCTGCTTGCGCACCCGAGACAGATTCCCCATCGCTGTCTCGATTCGTGGCAGGAAAAAGAGGTGCTCACCGATCAACTCATCGCTGAGCGAGTCAAATTTTGAAAGACGAAATTCCACCCAGTAGACTTCCTCTGATAGCAAGAAGGCGGAAAAGTACCAAAAAATTTCCTCCGCCTTGGTAGATGGAGACAGAGGATCCGGACCTGTCCACGGAAAGCTTCGCTGGCTTTCGTGATTCGGATAAAATACACAGTCCACCAAAGATAGCCCGTAAAGACCAGAGCTGGAGGCATCTGATAAGTTTATAGAAGCCTGCCTCGCATGGCTGCGGTCGGTAGCAAGGCAGGGGGGTACAGCGGGTACGTTGGAAGACTCCTGCCAGGCTGCGTGGATGTCGATTCTCGACCAGTCCAGCCAGCCTTTGAACGACATCCTCATGCCCTTCATCCAAAGCGAGCATGAGTGGAATCAACCCATCGTGGTCCCTCGAATTCAGGTCGATTTCTTGCCGTTCCATCAAAGCCCCCACAATGGCACCGTGGCCTCTCCGTGCCGCCCACGCCAAAGGTGTATACCCGTCCTTATCCCTGGAATTGATCGCGACATCCACTCGGTCAAGAAGCACGCGAACGATTGCTTCGTGGCCCATTGCAGCTGCCCGTGCGAGGGGAGTGCATCCTTCATCGTCCATCGAGTCGGCGTCAGTATCTTTGCGACCAAGCAGGAATTTCACTATTTCATTATGTCCTCCTTCTGCTGCCAACGCCAGAGGTGTGGCGTTGAACGAATTTCTTGAGTCGATTTTGGTGTCTCGATGCTCCAGCAGGACTTCCACCACTTCTCTGTAACCTTCTTCTGCGGCTCGGGCCAGCGGTGTATTTCCATAACTGTCTGTGGCATTCACGTTGGCGTCTGGTTCATGGAGAAGCAGCTGTAGGATAGAAGTACGCCCCCGGGCCGCGGCGTGAGTAATCGGAGTTTCACCATGACGGTCGGGCAGGTTCACATTGAAGTCGGGGTGGCCGAGGGTGAGAGCTGTTGTCGCAATGTCATTTCTTTCAATCGCCCACCACAGCATTCGGCTGCAACGACGAGCCTGCACATCAGTCTTCGAGCTAAAGCTCGTAGGCAGATCCGTCGCGATCCTCCCCAGGGACATCGTGCCACAAGGTGGCCAGGAGCCCATATTCGCGATGGGTCAGATGAGTTCAGAGTTCCGGGATATCAGCCTAACCCCTTCAACAAGCCCGCCGTTCCCCTCCTGGAGGCTCTACAGTAACATTTCTCTCGTGTGGCACCTGCGTTCCACGGTACCGATGAGCCGCTAATGCAGGAAGATTGGGGGCCATCGTACATGAGGGGGGGTAGTTCGGCGTGTAAGCGCCTTATTCGACGAGATCGGCGTGCACAGGCCGTCGGAAAAACAGCAGTGGCGCGATTCTTTGGTAGGCAGAGGGTTCTGCGTGGGCCATTGCCTTTAGGGGCGCACCGACCCAAACGCCGGCCCGCAATTGCCACCCTTGGAAGCGCCTCCTGACTCGCCAGTAAGATGCCATCCATAGCAGAACCCGTTTCATCGTTGCAGAGAGGATTTGGTGCGTTTATGTGGGCGGTCTCCTGTGCTCCTTCAGGATTAAGAATCTGGGATATACAGGGAGATATAGAGATTATACGCACACATGGAGGATTTCGAAAACAGATTACCCCCGAGAAACACACCCTTTGTTTCCGAGCACCCGACTCCAGCTGTGCTAAGCCATCTTTGGCGAGAAAGGTTCCTCCTGTGGGGCTCGCAGCGGTATGATTGGCTGCAAGGCTGCAAGAGACCCTGAACCCGGGCGATCTGGACCACTCTCTCAGTTCGTTAGTAAGCCCTGGATCTCTCAAAGTGGGTCGACCTGGCATAGAGCATCCGTGGCGAATGAATCAAGTTCAGCGAAAACTTCGTTGTTTTTGAATAGTGTAGGTAACTTAATTATCGAAGCTACATGGTCATCGAGGGCATTGGTCGTTCCTGATCAAGTTGCCGCTTCGTATTGACCTGTCGGGAGTTTATGTTAATTGTGCAGCTTTGCTCTGCGTCGGCTCCATACTACGACAGGCCACTGCAGTACCTCCTAGAGTACATTTTTCAAACAAAACATTCCCGAAAGTTTGTAAATGCTGGCTTTAATGGCCCAGCTTTATATCATGTCATTTGAAGTTTGCGATTACCAGACTATACCATGTCGTGCTTGGACACCCCACGATAGCCGGCACGTGCAGCAATGCTCTGCAGAAGCGCAACTATCTCGATGTTTCCTCTTTTCCTAGCTTGGCCTGAGAGGAGACACACCAGCATTGTCGGGAATCCCGGGCTCTAGATCCGGCAGCTGCGCCAGTTGAAAGATCAGTCTTTTGTTGCCAGTGTTTGCTGCATGCCAGAGTACCGAGCGGCCTCTTTGACCTCGCTCATTCACCGAAGTCTTCCAATTTGAAAGTAGAAGATCTAAGATCTTGTTTCTCTTAGGGTCCAGGCCGTCGTAGGCCGTGGCAGCTAGAAGGAGTGCGCTATCCCCGCGGAATCGAGATGGTTGACGTCAATTCGCGTGTTATCGAAGAGGATTTGTACTGCAACCGGGTCATCGTATATGACAGCCAGATGAAGTGCGGTGTATCCTCGGTCATCTTGAAGGGCAGTATTGAGTCGCGGATCTTTCAGAAGGATCCTCAAGATCTCGTATTGTTGATATTCTAAGGCTACCAGAATCGGAGGCTGGACTTTCGGACTCCGGCCGTTGACATCAATATCGTGTCGACGAAGTAGCTTTCGAACGATTGGCAGTTTTCCTTGAATGATAGCAAACGACAGGGCAGTCTGCGCACATTGGTTGTAGTAAGAGACATCTAGAAACTTGTCGCATTGCAATCGATCAACTGGACCAGAAGCTCCCTGGAGGGCTAACTGCATCAGATGGGTTAGCTGCCTTGAGTCGTACTGATGCTTGTATATGTGGGGGTGACTCACGAATGACAGATGGGAGGTAAGCCATGTTTTCCGGAGAGAATGGGGATATCTCGCTATTTTGGTACCTCGTGTGAAAAAAAGAGGGCTCTGTGCTGTATTATGGAATTATTGATTCATCACGGAGACATGCAGGGCAGTATTTATAGCGAGACGTTGTCACGAGCAACTTCTGATCTGCATTCACATATTTGTAGGCGTGAGCTCCCATAATTGGGCTGATTCGATTGCTAACCTTTCTTCGAGTTCATCACATACTTTTATGAATACGCTAAAGTCCACAGAATCAATTGGTCCCGCAGAGCAAGAATTTTGCTCCTAGGAGTATAAAAGCTCTCTGTCATGGTCTCATATATCTGTATATGAGTATCATGCTGTTCAGGACATTAACAATCAATCTTAGGGAATCTATAGTCAAGTTTAGACACAAGAAGTGGCGCGAGGAGGCAAAAGAAAGATAGCTTCCTTGCGTTTAGGGTAGCCCAGATGAGCCATATGGGACCGTACCCTACACATATCGTGTTCATGTATACTCCTTGTCTGTCCCTGGCGCATATTTAACGAAGTTCCCAGGAGGTCGAGGTGGATCTCGCCTTACGCAAGCTCAAAGCTGATGGCAGAGGCAAATATTCTATGGAAACAAGACCAACATAATGATTCGCCTACTCCTGGGATATCCCAAGGCTCGCCTGGCATTCAACGAAGCGTCGCCGTATTTATGAGCCTATGTTTCGCTATCTGCGCCTTCTTCCCGCCGCGACACATTTATGTCAATTTTCCTTTACCATGGCTTCCGAACTTTGTATACAATCACTGCTCATCACAATGCTTCTATTCGCCTTGATTGCGAGGTTAATTTTTCTGTGTGTCTTCGAAGACGATTGGCCGTTTTATAAGATAGACTTGGCTCTATACGTCTTATCTTTTCTTCTGTCCGCTGTTTGACAGGATTGTTATGGAGCAAGAAGCCATCGATATGGATCCAAATCCTTTTTGGAATTCTTTCAATAATCCCGACCATACAAACCGTACGTCTCAGATTACTATATAGACTATTATAAGCTAATGATGGCCCAGTTTCTCCGCATTGGTTGTCAGCAGCTCAATAGTCCATCATAAAACGATCAACACGTGTCGTATTCCGAGTATATGCTTTGACGTCTACGGTCTCAAGGATAATAATTACATTCATTGGGACATTCATGTTGGATGGCATTCATTGCATCATTCCCTTCCTGCTCTTTTTGGATCATCTCAGTGAAATGGCATGGTACCTGTGGTTAATCAAAGGCGCCACGCAGGCCCGGAAAAAGCTGCATGTTATCTTAGCTCATTTATCAAACATGGGTCTTATATTGCTAGGAGCCGCTATTCTTGGCGTGAATTCAAGGAAATGGGACATTGCACTTGAGGTATTTTCCATAATTTAAGCCTACGTGATGGGAGAGCTGACACAAGTTAAATCCAGCTCATCATTTGTATTATGTGGGCGATATACAACCAGTCCATTGCGTAAAGTGCAATGAATGGCTCTATGTACATTGTTTGAATCAAATTAGGTCATTCCGAAAGATCAGCCAATTCAAATTATCAATGCTGAATCAATCATACCGTTGGTTCCAATGACAAGGGCTTGTAAGTGGAGAAGGAGGGTGAAATGGCTGTAAAGCTTGGTTATAGCTCTCTCGTGTGAGTGAAATTTGCATTTACCAAATGATAATTGTATATTTCGGGTCCCAAGCCAAAGACAAGCCGTGGAGAGCTTCTATCCTACAATATGAGCCCGCTTACTTCCATTCTCTGTTGAAGGCTTGACACGGAGGGATGGATGTAAATTCAGATGACTACAATGTCACGGCCGACCAAAGCAGCAATTCCACAGCTACTGTGCTGAAGCTGTCTGTCAATTTTTCAAAGTTTCTGAAAGCGTAAGAAAGGAAGGTTGGCAAGAGCAGGCGGGAGAACAAGGGGATCTGTTGTGAGATGGGACTGTGCGGATCAGTACCACGCTGCATCATAGCTTGTTTCCTTTTGATATTGTGTAGGTGTGATAAACTTACTTTGATATTATGAGGTAGGCACCAACACTGAATGAACATGAACAATTCTGCGGTTGGGCTAGTAGGTAGCCAAGGATGCAACATGGCTTGATGCTTCTATAATTTGGATGGGACTTTCTTTGAGTAAAAGAACGCGCTCATCATCGGTGAGTGAAATGAAATGGCATGATCAGTTGCCGCCCCACCCGTCGCAATAACGTACGGGCCCGTGGTGGTGAATGTTGAAACGCATCATCGATGCCTTTCTGCGGCAGCCCCACGACTGTTTAAACGAGGCCAATAATGAGAAGGGTTTTTTCATATACTGGATCACCAGGGAAAAATGCAATGCCTCCGAGCGCTGCGTTAAATCAATGAATTGTTGAACCAGTTAGAGTTAGAGGGTGGTCTGTGTTTGTGCCCTCACAATTCACAATAATCATTGCATCGATGCAAGCAGAATGACTGGCTGTAATGCTATAAATACCCGATCCCTCGCCAGCAGAACAGTCGTTCTCAAGCATTCCTTTTTCACTCTGGGTCAAAGAATATTGAACGCTTTTCGTCTCTTCCGGCTACTCTTTGGTATGGAATGCCCCGGATTGTCATGTAATTGTGATTAGACTGACCTGTTGTGTCACACCCAGCTTGTCTACGCTCGATGTGAAAGTCTGTGAACGGCAAGTGAGTGTAGCTGTCCAGTCATTCGGAATCATGCTGACATGGAAGATGCTTAATATCAGTCCCACCTCCGCCACTTCTCTGGGAAACCATTAGACGCACTTTGGATGACCTCAAAAATGATCGAAGCTGCGGGCACAGTGAGTTATGAAGTGCCCTCATAGGCTACCTACTGATGATTAATATAGATCAAAGCCATCCCTTATGCAGCCGCTTTGACCTTGCCAGAGCAGTGGACAGCAATAGCTGACAACGTAATTTTTATCCTCGCGGCAATTTGGAGAGTAATTATCCTGTGCCGACACTCCCTGTATAGGAAGGCAAACTTTCTATCACGAGCCGCTCAATATCTTTTAAGTCACCCTGGTGCGTTGCCTCTGTCTATTCCCATAGCCGGGCTGCATTTTTGATCTCAGTGCTGATGTTATTTACTTGAGGTTTTATCTTGTCGTGCTCCTTGTCCATCGTAAAAGATTGATGATGCTTCTTTCTAGTCATAGGACATATGCCAATATGGTACTCGCCACGACCGAGCCGCACTTCCCCATCGTCCTCAAAACCAAGGATGCACGACAGGCCGGGCCACTGACTCCCAATGTGTTTCTGCTTCGCTGTTTCAAGAATCATACTTGAAACGTCCAGTTCGCTCGTGTTGACAAAACAAATCTAGGAAGGCTCAGTGACCTTTGATTAGCCATATGGTAGAGTTCCAAAATGTTTTCACCTCTCCCAGCTTCATCCTATCCGGCCAAAGCTTAACTGGCACTTCATTAGAAACTTCCGTATTCCGACAGGCATGATCCGGTCCGATGCTAGACCGACTGAGCTATCGCGGCATCCGACGACAACGAAGAGAAGCCTAGCATCGACGAGTATCGAGAAAGTCCACGATTTCTCCGGGAATAGCATCAATCAGTAACGAATCAAGCTTTTGGTCACAGTCTGAGGGCCAGCGCTGTCAAGCCTGGTTGTAGCCGAGCAAGCGACAAGCCAGGCTGCAGCACTGGATCTACCCCAGATCTCTCGCCATGAGAGCAGTCTCTTTCAGGTCAGTTACTAGTTTACCCTGGACCAAATACCATGAATCTGTCCTTCAGTGGTACTTTGTCCTGACACGGTTGAAGATTTACCTGGCGCACGGACAGCAAATACGAAACAGCTATGCATTGGCAGATATGGCTCACATCCATTCCCCGCGGTACGGAGTGATCCCGGGCCCTCTGCACGTGTAATCGAGCTGAGCCCGCTACCTCGTCTCTGGTTTGCATATGCTGATGCCAGACTACATTGACGGCAAGTCTGTACCACCCTCGGTCACCTGAAATCATGTATCAGCACTTGCTAAAAGCGTATGGACTAGTATGCATTCAGGACGAATGAGATCAAGCGGAACCAATTCAGGATAAAAATGATTGACTGATTGAATCGAAATAAGCGTGCGATCGAGGGCAGGTTGAAATACCCCCGTATGTGCGTATACTCGGTGGTTATTACACCGAGGTTGCTAGTTGAACCAATTTACCATACAAAACACAAAGAAATGTGGGTTCCTGGGTAATCAATCGCTTGCTAGTGGTAAAATACCACTCGATGCGCTGACACAATCCAATAAGGACTTTGTTGCTTTAGGGTGGAGAAAGGAGTAACTAAAAGCCAATTATATTCCTGTTACGATGTCATCATGTCATTGGCCAGCTGTTACTCCTTTCTCCACCTTGGGGTAACGGACTCTCCAGTCGTCGAAAAAAGAGCGGGGCTGTAGGAAAAAATATCCAGCATGACACTTAATACCTCTTCTCGTATTTGGTCAGGTCATGCCATGCAGATTGATACTCCCGGTCGAAAGGGCCAGCAAGTATCGTGCACAAAACCGGACCAGTGGGACTATACCCATTGGTCCATTTCAGTCAAGAAGTTTGCGGCATTTGATTGGAGAGTTCTGGCTTCCTTTAGTCTTGCCGGACCCTCTAGTCTTGCTGGACTCTCACTGTAAGCTATAAACCATGTCGTGCCCCAGAAACAAGGCGCGGAGCCACACCGGTTGCACATCAAGGGACCGAAGGCCACCGGCAAAGGTTTCTGTACACCTCATTGACGGCCCACTGTAGCCCGGTTCCACAGTTGTCGTCAGCTTGGCCTCCAATCGCTCAGGTATGCGCATGATCAGGGGCCATCGGACCATCGTCGGCCTCGTGATGCAGTCAGTACATTGCACCGATTGAGACCAGGCAAGAATGCGTCAATGTTGCCATTGGCCCGTATCACGACATCGTCGTCCGATATCTCGTCGGCTAGGTAACAGAGGTCAGGCGAAACCGACTATGACGACGATCTTGTCCCGAGGCGCTCTCAAACAAGCGGAGTAGGGGGCACCTACAACTGTACAATGCAACCTCTAACGGACCGTGGCAAATCGGGATGGGCGTGTCAAGGACTTCCGAGACATTGTTCTCCGGCCGCGCGGAATACTGCCAGCGCAATGAGCGAGGCGCTTAGCGAAAGGATCGCGAACAGGATATGCGCTCGATAGCTTCATAGTATTCAACCGTTTGCGGTAATGCTAGCCACGTATCGCGTGGTATCGCGTGGTATTGCCGAAGGCTTCATGATCTCGACGCATCAACTTGTAAGCAATCAGTTGGCGTTTCAGGCAACGCCGGGCAGGACGGGCTGAGCGGTGGATCGAGCAGCATCTGCGACGGAAATGAAAAGGGCCGATGCATCAAGTGGCCAGCCAGTCCATTGGAGGTTGTGGGTACTCAAGGAAAAGGGCTTCGGGTAGGAAAAAGAACAGAAAGTGCGTCGACAAAGCTGCGAGGAGGACGAGCGGTGTTTTATAGATGGAGGTGCCGGTTGGGGGGGCGGTAAAAGCGGCCAGAGGGGGCACTAAACCCGAACTGGGGCGCGGACGAGGGCACCAAACCCGAAGTGGCAAGGGGATGGCGCAGACGGGCAGGCGGTCGTGGGCGGCAGGACGACGGTGCAATGGGAGCCGTTTCTGGCCCCCCCGCTTGCCGTCGTGTGGAATACTAATAAGAGCCGATCCTAGATTTTATATACGTTTTTCTAACTTTACTATTATATCGTAGTTGCTCAATCTGTTTAAACGGATTTTAAGCACCCCTTTAATCTTAGGACTAAAACTTCTACCGCACGAAGGTAGAAGGATTAATATGATAGTAAGAAAGGGGCTACGATTTAAACTTATATCTTTATATTTCTTCCTATATAGATGTCAGTCCCCTAGTCGAAGGGTGACTCCCCTTTAGCTTTCGTTAAAAAACCCCCGGCAAGGAACCCTAAGTGTTAACCAAAATCGGGAGGGGGAGGGTTGAGAAAAAGAATAATTCGCAAAGGGAATGAACGAAAAGCTTCTCAGTAATCTGTGTGCTGGCATAGGATGAGATTGTAGGCACTTATGGCGAGTCAAAGTGACTCTGAATTCAATATTAGGATGTCTTTCCGCTAGGCTTTATATTGCCGATGTACCTTCGATGCGCTGGCGTAAAAAAACGTAGTCATCCTATTTTTTTTTGGCAAACTCGAAGTTCTTGTAGTATCCGAGATTAGATTTACCTCTAGTTTCTCACGAATTGATTTGTGGAGTCTAAATTCGTACAAGCTTAGCTAATTCGAGTTCCTTCCTAGCGAATTCATGCTAGATTGCACTGTACTGGGAGACGAGTGCATCGCGCGCTGTGGCCCTGAAATGATGGAAAGGGGGATTTGAAGGAGTCGTATGGACTTTATGTAAATGCTCATCTAATATCGACGTAGGGCCAAGAACTTGCTATGTTTCCTTTACTACATACCCAGATTGATTAAAAGGGTGTAATGTATGCTAGGGAACGCTCTAGAGCTATGGCACGGGATCTGCCTCAAGCGTGTTATCACGAGCCTAACCTCAGGCTTTTTACGTTGTTACTGTAATCTATAAACTCCTGGTATTTTTGCTTGGGTTTCTATGAGTTTAGACCTTAAAAGCCTTGCAACGCCCAACCGAGGATATGTCTTATGTTTGAATCCTTCTAATTTTTACCAATTGAAGGCACTAAATCAAATATGGGTGGACGGCTCTCGAAAGGACGACCATAGCAGATTTCTGTGTCCCTAATCACTCGGCCGCTTTGACAATGTATAGGCTTGCCACGATGAACCTCCTTTACCCCGTGGACATTGCGTATGACTCGAGTGACATAGTAATTTCCTGGAGGAGGTCTGGAACGCTCATAAGAAGCTGGCCGCGGTCGCTTCGATTTAGCCCCTTCGATCCTGTAGCTTATGCATTTCAGACAAAAGCATATATGGTAAAATGGGTGGATAACACACATCATATCTTGAATGATTATTTGATACTCTAAATGTGCCCTTTCGGCTTTTAATTTATTGGTATTTGATACTAAGATTTGCCAGCTAATCGTAAACAATGTGTATCTCATACAACCCAGCGACATCTATCTAGTTCATATTCTTGAATAAATTTGAGGCCCATCAGCAAGATAATAACCGACGCCGTTTGCCGATAACTCAGTCGTTCTTAGGAGAATCCATCTCCAACGGTCTCGTCTCGGCTAGATCGACATGTGTCTTGGCGAAACTCCGAGCTGAGACGTTTCGCTGGAACAGGATGCTTAGCTCTGCATAGGTCCGACCACTGGGTTCAGGAATACAGAAATAGGTATAGACCAAAGATAAAACACAAGTGCCACCATAGAAAAAGCCTGCTTTCGCACCCCAATTCCATGCCGACGGGTTCAGCATGTAGGGCGTGATGATGTTGCTGATAATATTAAGGATATTATATGTCATACGTGCAAGCACGATCGACTTGCTGCGGAGACGGACGGAAGGGATCTCCGCCACAAGTGAGTAGCAGACTGGGCCGACCGTGACGTCGTAGAAGAACGTGTATACAATCAGCATAGATCCGATGGACCAGGCAAGCCGGCTGCTACCGCTGCTGTCCGCTCGGAGCGGGGATCGAGACTCGGCGACACCTAGACCGCCAATCACCAGCAAGACCACTGCCAAAATGGCTAAGCCCCAGAGGTAAATGGTTCGTCGGCCAAACCGTGGTAGCGAAATCCAGGCTACAAACACGCCGACGATGCCGAGGGCATACTGTACGATAGACATGGTGAAGGCCTGCTCCGTCGGGAGTCCTGCTTGCTGGTAGAAGTAGGTGGAGTAGATGCGTAGACCCGTGCCGGATAAGATTTGAATACCCCAGCAGCAACAGGAAATCGAGGTGCGGCGTAGATCCACGCCGCGGAAGCAATCGATATAGCGAGTGCCTGTCCCAGATTCCCGCTCGTTCTCTGTCGTCACTACCATTAGTGTAATGGCTTGGTCGGCGTCAAACTCAATACGGCCGGGCGATGTTAATCGGAGGAGAGCCGCTTTGGCTTCCTCCAAGCGATTCTTGCGAACAAGCCACCATGGCGATTCAGGAGCGAAGACTATTCCGATCATCAAGGGAATTGGCCATACCCATTGCAGGGCAAAGGGGATGCGATAAGACCATTGGTCAGATCGTGTGAGTACTCCTCGCAGAACACCGGCGGAGAGTAGCTGCCCAAAACCCTGTTAATATTCAGATGGTTAGCTTTATCATTTCATGCTTTTCATCTTACTCCTTCACCAACCGACAGAGAGAAAATTGGAGGGGGGAGCTTTACCCAGCAGAGGTTCACGTAGGTGGTGAGATAAGCACGAAGATGGGTCGGAGTCACTTCGGCCGCGTATGAAGTAGTCAAGGTCTGAAAGATGCCCCAAGGAATGCCCATTAAAACCTGGCCAACTTGCAATACCTCGATACTTGGAGCAAAGAAGGGGATGAATATTGTAGCAGTAATGAAAGCCAACGAGACCAGCATCGTCTTGCGAAATCCAAATCGTTCCGACAGATAACCGTTGATGAGAAGGCCCATGAGCGACCCAACCGAAGCACCATTGGATAGGCCAGCTTGCCAAGCAGCGCTGATTCCATACGTGCCATCCGGCAACTGCTGGCCGTATTTTCTCTGGAAAGCAGGTTGAGCAAAGAGGGCACCCACGAGCTTCATGTCGTAGCCTTCCATAATGATGGCTAGAGACAGAAACATGGACCATGCGACTGCCTTGGGATATAGCCGGAGAGCCCGCAGAAAGGTGAGCTCATGTTCGCTGTGGGTGGCACAACGAGCTTCATCCAAAAGGGTGTCTCGGTGTTTCGGGAACGTAGCCGTATTGTTAATATGAGTCGTCGCCATTTTCGGAAACAATCTATTTCAGTTCAATTTTTCTCAATTCTTTGGCCTCTGAACGATGACTCCACCTGTGGTATTTATGTACGACGCAGATCTAGGTCCCCCGGTGGCCTGGCGCAAAAATCCGGGGAAAGGCAGAGTTCCCAGGCAAATCGGATGCGGAGAAAAAACACCGAGGGTTGTGAGTTCTATCTGACGGCTAAAACAACCAATCAGATGAACCAGGTTAGATGACTACACTACCGCCAAGGCCAATGCACGCAACTTAAATTTTTTACCAACTTGAAAGATAGCGAGCCGATCGGCGACGGGTTAGAAAAATCTAAAATATCCCATCGGCGATCGCTCGCTAGTTCCCAGTAGCCACTAAATCCCAAGGACCTCTTAGGCATTTAAATGAACGTGAGTAGTAACGTTGGATTGCGAGATACTTACAGTTCAAACCCACCCAATCAATAAAGAAAACACCAAACTTTACGACTATGCCGCACCAGGTGCGATATCACGAGCCCAAGTGGTGGAAAGAAAGTGTTGTGTATGAAATCTATGTTTCCAGCTTCAAAGATTCCAACAATGACGGAATCGGTGATATCCCTGGCATCATCTCCAAGCTGGGTTACCTTCGGGACCTAGGAGTGGACATCATCTGGGTCAGTCCTCACTACAAGAGTCCGCAAGTCGATATGGGGTACGATGTCGCCGATTACCAGAAGATTCACGAACCTTACGGGTCAATGAAAGACGTTGATACCCTCATAGAGCGAACTCATGCCCTGGGAATGAAAATCATCTTCGACCTCGTTATCAATCACTCGTCGGATCTCCACCCCTGGTTTGAGGAGTCGCGGTCATCAGTCGACTCCCCCAAGCGAGATTGGTACATCTGGCGCCCTGCCCGATATGATGCGGCAGGAAAGCGCCATGCTCCAACCAACTGGCGAAGCAATTTCGGAGGCCCGACCTGGACCTGGGACGAAAAGACCCAACAGTATTACTTCCATATCTATGCGCCCGAGCAGCCCGATCTCAATTGGGAGAATCCGGACTGTCGACGCGCCCTCTACGACACAACAATCAGATTCTGGCTCGATAAGGGCATCGATGGCTTTCGCGTTGACACTGTGAATCGCTATTCCAAGCGTATGGACTTTGTGGATGCTCCCGTTACCGACCCTGCCGATGAGACCCAGCTGGCCTTCCACAATTTCACAAACGGGCCCCGCATTCACGAATATATTTCGGAAATGCGAGCGGTACTCGATGAGTACGACGTCTTCACTGTAGGAGAGCTTCCCAATACTCCGGATGAATCCGACGTGATGCGATTTATCTCGGCTCAAGCAAAGCAAGTCGACATGGTTTTCAACTTTGATACAGTATATCTTGGTCAAACCCCAGGTGATCGCTTCAGACAGCAGGATTTTACCAAGAAAGACTTCAAGCGGGAGCTGACCAAGTGGCAAAATGTGATTCGGGACACGGATGCCTGGACGACGGTTTTTCTTGAGAACCATGACCAAGGCCGATCTGTTTCTCGTTTTCTATCAGATGACCCGGCCTATCGCATCCAAGCAGCCAAGATGTTGGCCTTGGTGCTTGGAACGATGACGGGCACCCTCTTTCTATACCAAGGTCAGGAAATTGGTATGGTTAACGCACCGTCTTCCTACCCTGTTGAAGAGTACAAATGTATTCGCTCGGTCAACCATTACAACAAAATTCGGCGGCAGACTGGTGGTGACCCTGCGGCTTTGGAACAAGCGTTAAATGCACTTCAAAAGGTTGCCCGAGACCATGCCAGAGTGCCAATGCAATGGGACGACTCCGCCAACGCAGGTTTTTGCGCTGCTTCCGTCACTCCATGGATGCGCGTGCTGGACACTTATCGTGAAATCAATGTTACCAGTCAGATAGGCAACAAAGGAAGTGTCCTCGAGTTCTGGAAGACCGTGATTCGATTCAGGAAGCAGTACAAGGGTCTCGCAATTTATGGGCGATTCCGGCCGATTGATCAAAATGAAGATGTGCTGACCTTCATCAAGGAAGACACCGATGGCAAAGTCTTACTCACGGTCGCGAACCTGAGCGACCAGCCACAACTGTGGTCGCTTCCATCGTCTTATCCCAGGTTGAAGCCATCTAACCTCGCACTAAGTACTCTTTCACAAGTGGTTGGCCACTCTAGCCTGGCCGCCTTTGAAGGAAGAGTTTATGTCTCAGACGTCCTCTGACAAGAATTCAAGCGGCTACAACCGAAGGTGCACTTATGAGCCAATGTCATTAAAAATAGAGTACATCATGAATTCTCCTTTTCGTCTCTCCTCCCGAACCATCCTTTTCTTTGGTTGGTCTTATAATGCCACATATGTGTATATAGTCTAGATAAATGGTGGCGGGGTGCTGAAGTGCTTGAGACAGAAGTATCTAGTATCCACCCTCTCGGCCTGCTTAAACTGCTCCTCACTTATGCCCTGGGCAAGGTCTGACACGAGCTCACTGTGCCAGACTGGATTTTTGACCTTGCGCAAAGTCCTGACCGCCCACCCACTTCGCTCGGGATCTGGATGCTCGACAGCATAAATGAATAACGGCCATATGAAACCGGGATCCACTGCAGAATGTTCATCAGAGTGGGAGTCCACTATGTGGTGTATTTGTCTCATGGCTTCCAAAGACTCCGCCGATGCGGTACGGCTTTTTCCGTAGGCACGGCCCAGATATATGACCTCGGCGGAAAATGCCACACTGCACAGGTCAACGAGTCGACCAATCGAACTTCTCAATCCCGGCCATATTTTCTCTTGCAACTGGTCCCTGTCTACCCGTAGCAATGACGGCCGCCTTTGCCACAAGTGAAGAAGAATTTCTTGAAGCTCCTCTGCCACATTTTGAACTTCCCTCTCGTCTGCTTGAAACCCTCGCGAGCGATGATGGCGATTCAGACTCGCAATCTGAGTACTGACCATCGATATCTCCAAGTAGAACTCAAACAATTTGTTGGTGAGATCGCCTAGAATTGCTTGTTCAGGGCAGAGAGCTTGGTTTCCAAGTTGACCAAGGCCAGGCGTCGGACCTCGGCACTCACATTTCAAAAGCCTGCCCACCTTCGGAGACAAAAGTCCAGGTCCACCAAGATGCATCGTCCTTGTGTGGAGAATTTGGAACCAGGCTTGAAGACGGCGAAGCACTGGAGACCACACATATGTTGTGTTGTCCGCCCAGGCTTCCAGCTTGTCCACTAGAGGGCCTTCGGGCTTTAGAGTAATTGGCACGGTCTCGTGTTGCGCCACAATTTCGAAACAGCATAGCAGGAAGGTCACGACCAAGACAATCTCGGGCCCATCACTATCCCGCTCTAGCATGCTGGCATAGCCACTTTTTGCGACATAATAAGATGCCATTGAACTCGTAGGATCTTTGCAGTTCATCTTCGTCTCATAGAGCGACTCGACAGCAGATATTGCCCGCGAAAGGGTGGCATTATGGCAGCCGAGTTCTATCATGTATCGTTTCATTGTTTTCCAGTTCATATCATCAAAGTTGGCAATGAACGGTGGGTCTACCTGCTCTAGGAAGTACGAAAACGGCGTGGTATCGTTCATAACAGGGGTTAAAGATGGCGCTGGGCGTAGTGAAGCTTCGTCGAACAGTGACATGTGCGACCATGGCAGCGTGGGACTGGCTGAGCTTCCGAGTAACCCGAAAGCCCCCGACTGATCTTGGACTGAGAAATCTCCGTCTGTGCCGAATCCAAGCAGGTGCAAAGGCGTTGTCCATGTTTCAGTCCCTACAAGAGCTAGAGATGATGGTGATTGCAGCGACAAGCCGCCAGATGGTGTACTTGGCATCACAGTACCTTCCGCAGCGATATTAGTTGTCTCTTTCCTTATCAAATCATCGGGGCCGCCTCGGTAATCTGCGCCTCGGCCGGGCGAATTTGAGATCACATAGATGCAGGTCCGCCTTAGTCGGGTGCAGTTGTGACAGTGAGGCCGCTGCTCGTCACACTTGACCTTTCTTCTGCGACAAGTCAGACAGCCACTTCGAACACGAGGGCGTGGTCTGGTTAGCATCTCAATATCGTCTGGGGCTGGTTCCCTGCTAGTATCAAATGACATGATGCAGGCTATGCATTCCGCTACCAAATGTCCTTGAATTGTCCTTGAATAGAAGTAGGTTCGACTCCGCACCCAAGCAATGGTAGACTTTTCACCTCTCCGAGAGTTGACTAACACGTGATAATAATGTCTTGGCGCACCCATCAATATGGCAACACTTATGAACTCCGCCTCGACTATCTTGTAAAAAAAAGACGGTAACAAACTGGAACTTATATTTGAAAAGGTTGTGCGATATTCTGTCTGGAAACAAAAGCTGAGCACAAACCCAAGGGTACAGATGGATGTACTCGGCAACAGATCAAAGGGGTGGTGGAGTGTGTTGTAGTTCAGAGGTATGAATTGTGTTTTTGTTCAGAGGGAAACATTAGGCTATATATATACAACGAGAAGAACCAAGTTGATTTCCAATCAACTTGGTTCTTCGTATAGATATCTCGGGATTAATTCCGATGGTTCGGCTTGGTTCCTGATCTGCGCCAGCCTCATATCACAACATTCCCCCTCAGGATCGCTTTGCTGGCAGAGCGATACTGGAATTGCCCAGAGCAGTCAGGCCTCGGTAAAACCACTCAAAAAACCTTCGTGGGAAAATAAGGTGGAAAGAGCGCCTATGCTGTCATGCATGTAGCCTTTGAGTTTCTGAGGCGTCAATTCCTAAGAGACTACAAAACTTGGCAAAGGACGTTGGCCCCAATGGCTTGGTAAGACCATCTGCGGCCTGTTCCTCAGTTGGAACATATTGAAGCCCAATCTCGCCTGCATCCAGGACGGCTCGCTGATAGTGAAATTTCACATTGAAATGCTTCATCCGTTTGTGGAATTCAGGGTTGCGAGAAAGCGCAATGGCGGACTGGTTGTCAGCCATGATGTTAGTGACCGGAGACCGATACAGCTGCGTTCCGGCTAGAAAGGTGCGGAGCCACTGCAGATGCAGAATGGCATTGTATTGTCCGATGTATTCGGCATGTGTCGTAGACGTGGCCACTTCCCCTGTCTCTTGGACGACCAGGAAACTGGTACCCCTGCAAGCTGGAATACATAGCCAGACGTCGAGTATGCACCGTCAGTAACGACAGAGCCCCCGAAGTCGGCGTCGCTCACAGATGCAGTATTCAATGCGCCTGCCGTATACACCTTGCCGAGTGATTCCAGCAACCTTCGCGAAGGCCTTCTTCTGCGGCCATACAACGAATATCCAAGATCCTGTGGCATGTCAGTTCCCTGTTGGCTTGGATTAACTACTGGAGGTGTCTTTTCTTCACGCTCAGATGGCGTTTTCTCTCGCTCGTTCGAGGAGAGCAACGGCGATGTGGGTGGTGTTGGCAGCCCGCTAGCTGACCTTGGCATTGACGGAAAGACGGGCGATGGAGGAGCGTTGTCCGGGAGGTCGTTGCCTGTTTCCCCCTCGACGAGTGGCGCCACTGGGGTCCTCTCATCGAACTCGACATCACGGGAAAAGACCGTCCTTTCAGAATGGATCTCATAGAGCTTATACTGATTCGGTTCGCAATAACCTAGTAGTCGGCACTCGGATGATCTCGGTCCGAGTTTTGCTCGATGCTCTTTTGGAATTAAGACCCATGCACGGGAGTCGATCCGTCGTAGATGTAACAGCGATGGCGGCTTCCCATAAATAATTTCGTACTGGGTCTTTTTCTGAAGGATTGAAGCTGGAGCGCGCAGCTTCAGATAGACTACTGTGTCTACTAGCTCGACCCACCAGGAAGGAGGAAGGTTTGCATCGGACAGGAGCGTGTTGATCCGCTCCCGGATAGTGCGATTGGTACGCTCAGCCAGTCCATTCTGCCCTTTGCAGTAGGGCGGCGAGGTGTCAAACTCAACTCCCTGGGATTCGAGATGTGTTCCAATGGGCAAATATTCTCTCCCGTTGTCGGTGAGGAACCTTTTGATCTGGGCGCCGAAATGTCGGCGCATCCAGGCCTCAAACTGTTGGAACTTCTGGAGCGCTTCATGCTTCCACCTCATGGCATAGGCCCACGAGCCACGGGAATAATCGTCAGTAAAGGTGATCACGTACCTGGAGCCATCTTTGGCCATCGGCATCTCCATGATGTCCGAATGAATCAATTCGAAAATTCTCGTTGAATGCAGACGTGGCCGTCGTGCACGGGAGTTCCTCTTCTGATGCTGCTTACCCGACATGCACGCCGGGCACTGCGGCGTTGCCTGCAGCTGCGCCTGCGTCAACGGTCGGTACGGAGTGCCGGTCTGCCGGAGGACCACCCGCAAGTCACCCCGGTTCAGATGTCCCATCCGAGCGTGCCACAGCGCTTCGGAGGCCTGGTCCACTCCTTTGCCCGCATCTTCTTCGAGTATCCGAGCTTCACCACCGAGTTCAGAGGTTGACGCTGTACATTCTACGTCACTTGACTCTCGAGGGTCGTCAACGTCCATGGCCACCGTCTGCGGTTCCAGGGAATCTGCATGGTCATGGGTCGCCGGCGCCCTCGCCAGTTGGACTCGCTCTCCGGATCTCTTGCTCACATGGCACCGCAGGATCAGTAGATCCTCCTCCGCGTGGTAGGCGGTCCCCACAGTCCGTCCTCGGCGTTGCACAAAGACGTTCTGCGGGTGCGCCACCACCGAGTAGCGGTCTCGCAACAGCTTCGGCACACTGATCAGGTTCATCCCGACGCGTGGCGCGAAGTACACATTTTTCAGCACCAGGGGTTGGTTGAACTTCCCCCGGAGCGTGAGCTTCACCGTACCAATCCCTTCGGCTTCCACTGGATCACCCGCCGTGTCCAACATCTCGCGATGGGGCCGAAGACTGCTGAAGCAGCTGCGGTCCCAGCAGATGTGGCTGGTGGCGGCCGAGTCCAGGATCCACCGGGGTGACGGTGCGTGGGTATAAAGGGTCGTCACCCTCGCCCTCACGATATTGATCCGCGGTCTCTTGGAAGTCGGCGGGCCCTGCCGATCTTCCATCTGGCTTGATGGTATGTTTTGTAGATTGTTCCTTGGTGAGCCGGAAACACTCCGTTCCGCCTTCAGGGCATGGTCCCTGGGCGGCTGTTGTTCGCGCTGCTTCTTCCAGCACTCCGCAACTACATGGCCGCGCTTCTTGCAGTAGTTGCATTTCTTAGTGTTCTTCTGCACCACGTTGATGGAAGGATTGCTCGTTCCACCGGGAACTCTTTGCGGGAACGTCGCGGTATCCTTTCGCTGCACCGTCTGCTCAGCATTCGCTAGACGGTTGCCAATATTGGCCGGGTTGACAGGATCCTTATCATTCTGGATCGCATCCACAATCAGGATATATTCTGGTCCAATCTGCGTCAGTAGGATTGCAATGTGCGCTTTGTCGCCGATGGATCCAGGGGCGATCGCATTTAATCGATGGACTAGCATCCGTACACGATCGACGAATTCACGTGCACTGCCGCAACGCTCGCCAGTGATCTCATGCAGCTGGGCGAACAGCTCGCAGAACGTGGCGAGCTCCATCCGCCGATACCGTTCTTCAAGTTCATTCCAGAGGTCGCGGGATGTCTCTAGCCCCGCGACATGGATACTGATATGGGGGGACAGATATCGGAAGATGGTGTGGTAGGCTTCGGCCTCGCGGCGCGACCATTCACGATGGCGCTCGAATGCCTGGACCTCCACTTCGAGGCGCGCCTCAATCGCGCGTTGCCTCACCGCCCCGTTGAGGTGCGGTTCCACCAACGGGTGGATGTCCGCCGTAATGGGTTTGGCGTACTTGAATGAGCAGTTAGGACGCTCAAGATCGCCCGATACGACATCCCAGACCTGCCTCGCTTTGAGGTAGGAGGTCATGAGACGTTTCCAGGTCGCGAAGTTGTCACTTCCTGTCAGAGGCTCGATGGCTGTGACGGCTCGGTCGGGCGAGTCGTGAACCAGAGCAGACATGGTGATGGCTGTGAAAGCGGGGTAGATATATAGTTAAGATAATCAAGATGATTCTCAGATGAGTAGAGACGGTACCTGAGAGTTGCTGCCGGGCTCATAACCTGTTGTAGTTCAGAGGTATGAATTGTCTTATTGTTCAAAGGGAAACATTAGGCTATATATACAACGAGAAGACCAAGTTGATTGGAAATCAACTTGATTCTTCGTATAGATACATCGGGATTAATTCCGATGGTTCGGCTTGGTTCCTGATCTGCACCAGCCTCATATCACAACAATACTTAACTCAAGCTCCTAGTATTTTATGATATCTTCCACCCAAGCCAAAGGGCTGATGTGAGGAAACATAACAGCTCCACCCCATCAACGCTGAATGCAATTCACGATCCAAATCTGCTCCATCACTCAAGACCCTGATTTTGGCCGGGGAACCAATGGGCCGGCACCACATGCAGATATGGGTGGATCGGGTTGAGTTGTACGAACTATACGGGCTCAGCGAGTATACCGGATTCGTTGCTATTTCGCCCCGGGTCACTGTGCAATGTGCAGATTCCAGTGCTACTCGAAGTTTTGGCCTCTCCTCGCCGACGGCCACGGTGTGGCTGGCCGACCCTGTCGACCATAACCGACTAATGCCCGTTGGGGCGGTTGCTGAGCTTCTTCTCGAGGGACCAGGTCTAGCACGAGAATATCTCAATGATTCCACTAAGACGGCAGGGCGATTTATCACGTCTCCTGCATGGCTTCGTGGCGACGGGCGCCGGGTGTATACAACAGGCGACCTCGTCCAATATCTCGCGGACGGAAGCTTTCGCTATATTGGGCGTAAAGACTTCCAGACGAAGATTCGTGGAATGAAGGTTGACTTGGCAGATATGGAATACCAAATTTCTCAGCATTGTCCCTCCGTCACCCGTGCGATTGCCGAGGCGGTTTTACCCAATGACTCGGACGCGGCATCGGTCCTGGCGGTCTTTTTGCATTATGGAAATCTATTACCAGTCACCAGTGGAGTGAAAGAGGAGAACTTGTTTGAGGCGCCGAGCAGCTGGTACACACAGTTTAAACTAGACGTCAGCCGCTTGAAGGCGGAGCTGCCGGGGTCTTTGCCTCAGCCTATCATACCGAGTATATATCTTCCCCTCATAAACATACCACTAACCATGACGGGGAAGATTGACCGGCGTCGTATTAGAGAGGTTATTCGTAAGACTAGCTGGTTCCAGCTACAAAAATATGCCGACCAAAGAGTTGAACATGTCCGACCGCAGACTGCCGCGGAGGCCACTCTGCACAATTTACTCACACAGGTGCTTCAGATTCAACCAGATACATTCGGCGTGCATGATAGTTTTCTGCATCATGGAGGAGACTCAGTCAAGGCAATGCATCTTGCACGCCTATGTCGGCAGCAGGGCCTGTCATCAGTCACATTTAAGGACATCATGGAATTCCCAACCATCAGACAACTTTTGTCGAAGCCAAACAAGGAACTAAACGTGAAATCTACACCCTCGACGGTCGAACCGAGATCTAATGTATTAATTCAACCAAATGATTCTCTACAGCAGCTCATCGCAAAGAGACTCCGTGCGTTGGAACTTCCGGAGGACACCAGGGTCGAGGCTATATACCCATGCTCTCATGTCCAAGAGGGAATTCTCATGAGTCAGATCCATCGTCCGTCTCTTTATCTAATCCGAACGACCTACAATGTGGTGGCAAAGGCACATAACGGTCAGCCAATTGATACTGATCGACTCAAGAACGCCTGGAAAGAGCTGATTAGAATGCACCCAATGCTACGCACCATATTTATCAATAGCACGGTACCAGATTTATTTGCACTGCAGGCTGTCCTCGCCGAAGAAGTGTGTGAACTGTCGATTGTGCAATGTGACAATTTGCCTTGCGAACCAACTCTCTGCAATGAAAAACCAGAGCCAGTCAAATCCATCTGGTCATCAATTCCGCAGATGACTATCAAGCAAGATGGATTAGGTCGGGTTTCTCTAGGGCTCGACATCAATCATGCAATTACTGACGCAACCTCTATGTCAATCATGATGCGGGACCTGATCCGACTGTATTGTCAAGGGGAGGAGATGGACTCCGGCAGTCTTCCTCCTAGACTACTCTATTCGGACTATATCGATCGTCTGAGACAGGAATCGACTCCATCTACACTGGAATTCTGGAAATCTTACTTGCTTGATGTAGAGCCTTGCCTATTTCCACAGCTGAACAGGCATTCTTACGGCATGAATGATGATTCACGCTGGCAGAATTTATCGATTAATCTTGACTATGAGAGCAGATACCATGAATTCTGCTCAGCCACCGGAATGACAATTGCTAGTATCTTCAAGCTGGCATGGGGCCTTGTGCTATCCAGCTTTACGGCATCCCGCACTGTGTGCTTTGGATATATGACTTCCGGTCGGGATCTGCCTCTGGCTGGGATTGAGCATGCAGTCGGACCGTTCATCAATGCACTTCCTTGTGCTTTCAAAATACCATTAGAGAAATCTATATTGGAGATACTTCAGGCCTTGCAGGAAGACTTTACCAATGCTCTTCCCCATCAAAGGATGTCGTTAGTTACCGTTCAACATTCTGTTGGCCTCGCCGGGGGTAACCCTCTCTTCAATACTTCGCTCACTTTCCCACCTCAGATAGACTCCGATGATGAGCGCGAGATCCAACTTACTGAAATAGACCGTTGCGATCCGACCGAGAATGAGATCGTCGTGGAGGTCACGGTCCGAAACAAAAAAATCGGGGCGGACTTCAAGTATTGGGCTCGCAGTCTTTCTGAAAAGCAGGCCAAGAATGTCATCAATACGTTGCGACGTGCTATCTCGCAGATTATAAATAATCCCCAGAAAAGGCCATCCGAGATACAGCTCATCAGCTTAGAGGATGAAGCGTTGCTTCACAGTCTGAACTCGACTCTACCACCATCCCCCAATGTTTGCATCCATACCCTTATCGAGCAGCAATGCATCAATCATCCAGAAGCGGAGGCCATCGCTAGCTGGGATCGGACTATTTCCTATGGCCAGCTACTGGAGCTTTCAGGAAGCTTAGCGTTCCAACTGATTAAGAGAGGCGTCAGACGAGGCACCTACGTACCACTATGTCTATCGAGAAGCTACCTGACACCCGTTGCAATGCTTGCTGTCATGAGGGCAGGTGCTTCCTTTTGTCTGCTTGATGTGTCCCACCCCCTGCCCCGGCTGCAATTCATTTGTGGAATGCTACAGCCGTCGATCATTATTACTTCTACCGCGCACCGTGGCCTGGCTGAGAATCTCGGTGGGAAAGAAGTCTTCTTGGTTGACAACGAGATAGACGATAACATGAACCTGGCTGTTGGCTTGGATCGAGGTAATATCGCGGATCCTAATGACCCTCTCTTTGTCGCATTCACCTCCGGGTCGACGGGTGAGCCCAAAGGCATAATTATTGAGCATCTTTCTTATGCCTCGAGTGCCTCTGAGCATGCTGAAAGACTCGGGCTATCTCAAAATTCTCGGATGCTTCGAAAGGGGGTCCACATTGCGGTTAGAAGGGTTCATCAAATCAAAATTTCACTCAATATTCTATTAGTTTTTGATTGCGAGGCAAACTGCGGCCTTCATGAAGGCAACAATTTATCCGGATTGAGATAGCAAACGATTCCAGATTTATAATTACCGAGATGAATCAATTGGAAGATGACAGTTGTTGAACTGCTTTATATAGCACAAGCTGCTCCATTGAGAGCCGTCAATTATGCTTCCACTTTGCTCCCGATATTCCCGCATAATAAGCGGCATATTGGTACCAGTCGCGCTTGCAAAATACGTCTCATGGGATTTTGTAGTTGCTCATCCCGATCTTGTATTGACTGGAAGAGGCTTGGAAAGGGACTAGAAGCTTTATATGGAGTGAAATTCTGGGTTTCCCGTGAAAACCCCTGATACTTTATTCTTAGAATGCCCTAATTGTAAATTTTTCGGACCCATGGAACGCTGGCTTTGCGCAATTTATTCCTGTCTTTTGCCGGAAAGGGTTCACCGCAGAAACTCTTTGGGCGGGAGGGGATACAGTCTCAACTAGCAGACAAGCATGCTATATCACTTTATCACCGTTGATTTAGTGAGTGAGGTGAGTGAGGTGCTGATTTGTGTTGATGAGTGGAAGTTTTCGTAGGTACAATTCATACGCAGAGGATCATTCACTGGCGACGGCCTAACGTTGACATTTGCAAGCCTCTCCAGTTGACGACACTCCACTTAAACTCAGACCACCGCCTTCCACCATTCTCAGGGAATGTTAAACTGCTGGAGTTCGTGACAAACTATATATTTTTCTGACCACACGTTTTCAAGCTGCAAATTTGTCCTTCGCTTCAATTCAATTCAATTTTGAGGACCCTCTTTTTTGACAGCCCCTCATCTTCGACCGCGTCAGACTTCCTTCGCCGAAGATGATACCGGACAAGAAAGCCTCTGAACATTGCTCCAGCGAGATTTTGAGACATGACAATGAATGGTATGATATCTTGGAGGGAGGGAACTGCACTTCAGAACACGCCGACTCATCGAAGCCTAAGGGCTCATCTCGTACGAATACCCCGACACAGTACGATCACGCATTGTCTCCAGCTGCAAAGCCCGAGAGCAGACCCAGTCGAAGAGTTCAGTTTGAGCCCATTGAAAGGAGCCAGTCGTCAGAGCCAAAGCAATCTAGTTGGAATGATGAGGCCGAAGCTGTAAGCCCACAGTATGTTGCAACACCACGTTCTTGGCCAGTACGGTTTCTAACTAAAATAGCAGACCGATCACAGGGAAGCAGAAGGGAAACATCTGGCCGACTAGATGACAGAGGTAAGTATCCGAAGCCTTTGTCATTATTTCGGGGCCGTACAAGCCATTGTGATCGTGTGACTGATGTAAGACACAGATCGATGTCAAGAAAGCGCAAGGAACGCCGTCGGCAAAGTGGTGATGGTAGTTCCACCCTCACCACACCATGCAAATCCTGCATGAGGTAGAATTTTCCTAGAAGAGAAATCAATGAATCGATCTACAAACGGGACATACTGGGATACAATTTGAGAAGACTCATTTGAAAATGGTACTCTATGACCATATGTATTTTGATTGTCGCTAGCAATTCTCCAATCCCGCCCAAGCGAGTTCCAGCCATTGTGGAAAACTTTCTCTCGCTTTTGGGTAGGATGCGGTCAGCTGGTATCCTAACAGAACCAAATTTGCACGGTCGGCGGGTATCGGGTCGCGAGTTTGATTTACGTTTCACATAATGATTTTTACATTCTTGATCGTGGTTTGTGTTCTTGAATCTCTACCAGATTTGAATTGTGTTTCAATATTGGCTGTCAGGACGCAGAAGATCGCGCAACACGATGTCCCAGACTCGCCTGGCTTTGTATTAGAACATCATGAAGTGTTACCAGGTCGGTTCTTCAGTCTAAATATAGATATGGGCTTCGGTGACTTCCATAGTAGCGGATTTTGTCATTGTCTATTTGATGTTCTTGAGAGACTACGATTTAGCAGGACTTCTAGGGTACAGCCTACTGGTCTGCGGATACCAAGGGTGAGGAGGCTTGGTAGGGAACTCGGTAACACAAAATTCAGGCCTATGCGTCCTCATAGAGCAGGTAGGAAAAATAGATGGTCTAATAAGGCAAGAGCCCATCGCGATCGCTGTACCGACGGAACTGGGAAACAGGTTGAGGAACATAGGATCAATGACATTTTCGAACATCGCTGCTGCAATCGCGGTCATAGTTTAGAATTATTACCCAGTGGAAGGCGGGAAGAGCATGGATATATTATTCACTCACAAACGGAGCAAGGACAAGGTATGATCCTGGGAACTATTTTGAAGATCGTTTTACCTCCTGATATTTTTCACGTTCTGATTCACACGTCAATTCAACAGTATTTCTGATAAAAAATGAAGTCCCATAAACCACGTCTCACGGGAATTCAACCTGCAAGAATCGCTCCACTTCTGTCATGAAGTCTATTTCGACGCATCTCACGAGTCTTCTTATCACACCCGGAGATTCAATCAATCGGTCGTTCCAACGTCCGCATGGGGAGGACTTGGGCAAAGAAGGATGAGAGGAGCAGTCTGCTGGTCTGCATTTGCGCAATGCTTGACTTCGGTGGGGTTTTCTTTAGGCATCGGAAGAGACGACAGAGTCTCCGTGCCAGGGCCTTCGCCGACGCAAAGACAAAATTCGATAGCAGCATGATTCATCTGAAGTAGACTATCTCTGTCTGGGGCCAACCGATGAACAGCGGCGGGGCGGATACTGGCGATTGAATGGTCCAATTTCAGAACAGTGGTGATATTTTCATGGTATTGCTCAGACGAGATCTTCGATCGGTTTCTAGCTAAGAACTTCAAGAACTTATGCAGCTCCAGCGCCTCGGGGCATGTCCAGCCAACAGCCAAAGACTGTGGTAGAAGCCATTTTTGGACAAATTGGAAGGCGGAATGCTCGAGGTGACGTTGCAGAGTTTGGAGGATCAGATATTGGGCTCGAAAAGGAATGTGTGTCATAGGCAGTCCGAGCATGGGATAAAGAGTTTCTATGAACTCTATCAAGAGAATTAGCGGAGTGACTCCAACCCCCGGTTTGGACTTACCCGTGGCGTTCCTTGCCCGGCAATGTTCCAGGAAGGGTTTCAAAGACCTGCGAAAAATCAATTAGAGAAAAGGTCGACCACCAGAGGACCCATGGAGGTGATTTACAGATGGCTGATCAGTTGCGGGGACCATGTATATTGGGCAGCAGCGGAGTCTCGATCGGGTCTCGACGAAACCATGTTCCGACGACGGAGTCGGCGTCAACATTTCTTCATCGATGGTACCTTCTCGACTGGTTTCTGGATACTGACCCACGAGGCACCCCGGTCCACATGCACTGGTTGATGTAATAGAGATGTGGGCGGCATGATGTCTCGCAGTGCTTGTAACTCGCGACGGAATAGATAACAGTCAAGCTAACGGAGAGGATGGAGGGGGGAAAGCATTTATTCCAGGAGGCGAGGGCAAAAGGCCTACAGACAAAAAATCGAGTGTGCAGGCAAGCGATCCGCCAAGACGAGTTGTCCATGGAACGCTTCTTCAGCCTAAACCTACATAGTGGCATAGTGGCTGCGTGGAAGCCGTTTCACCATGTGCGGAAACGTTGAGGCCAATGATTTGCAAATCGACTCGTTACAGTACGAGGCAACATTTGCAGACTTCTGAAGCTACAGAAAATTAAGCTGCCAAGGCGAGTGCTCCATGGAACGCCACTTCGATCTACACCCCGTGCCAGCTGCGTTGAAGACCTTTCACCTAGGTCAATCAACGTTGAGGAGGCAAATTATTTCTCAAGCGGAGCCTGGTTCCATCCAGTCGGACGAGCCACGTCCTCGCCCGCTACCCCCGAACGCTTTGCCATGCTTATTTCAACGTTGAAACGAATGCCTCATTGCCCAGCAAAGAAGCGCTCGCGCGGCACGAATGCCGGATGAGAAACTCTCATTCAGGCGAGATATGCGCAATTGGTGCCTCCGCAATACCCGACGCGAACTCCGGACGACTTCAATTGCTTGCTAACTGAGTTGAGGGCCGCTTCACCTTTGCCAACAACGTTGATGGGGCAAATGATATGTCAGGCCTAGCCCCAGGACAACCACGGCTCCAGGTGGATCCATCCACTCCACCAGCCCTCCACTCCAAACTCTTGAAAATTCTTATTTCAACGTTGGATCAACCGCCTCAACGCCCAGCAAGAATGAGGTCGCCCGGTGCGAATGTCGAGTGAAATCTCTGGGTCCGGCATAATGTATGCAAGTGGTCGCTGCCGAAAAACGTACCCGAAATGGCATAAAAGACGCTCTTTTCCCGTCGAAAAGAAAAACAGGACTTTCCTCCTCACACTCCCGAGCCACTCGGGTGTTCTTCGCAGGATAAGATCTGCGTTACCAAGTGTTCTTCGCAGGATAAGCTCTGCGTCACCAAGTGTGCCTCGCAGGGGGGCGCTGCGTCATGAAGTGAACTCCACAGTCGGCATCTGTGATGACAAAATACCCGCAGGGGGACGCTGCGTTACCAATTGAGACCCGCAGGAGAGTGCTGCGTCAACAAGTTCTCCCTGACAGCCAATGAGCCCTGTGATTGTAAAAGTGTGCTCCTCACAGCCAATGAGCCCTGTGATTGTAAAAACGCGCTCCCTCACAGCCCATGAGCCCTGTGACTGTAAAAATGCGCTCCCTCACAGCCCATGAGCCCTGTGACTGTAAAAACGCGCTCCCTCACAGCCCATGAGCCCTGTCGTTGTAAAAATGCGCTCCCTCACAGACGATGAGCCCTGTGGTTGTAAAAACATGCTCCCTCACAGCCCATGAGCCCTGTGACTGTAAAAACGCGCTCCCTCGTAGCAATGAGCCCTGCGTTGTAAAAATGTGCTCCGCAGGAGACCGCTGCGACACCAAGTTCTCCCTCACAGCCTTGAGCCCTGTGATTTTATAATCTTGAGCTTCCATGCAGCCTTGAGCCCTGCGTTATCAAATTTGTGCTTGTTTAGGCGACCCCTGCGCCGCGGTGCTCGTCCTGATCCTCTGGCGATTGCAGGCACCTCTTCGTGGTGTCAGAGACTAGTATTCGAGGGAGTTACTCGAAGAAGCCAAGACCTGCTCCGAATCGATAGAAATCAAGATTACCCCAAGGGGCGATGTTTGTTATGCCATTTAGCCTGTTTGTAGAGTCCACTATTCAGGTTCCTTGTTCGCGTAAAGTATTTTGTAGCCTAGATCACGCCCTGAGCTTCAAAACTGTGCATTTCTTTCACGTAGTGTGAAGTAGAGCATCGCGTCGTGGGGCGGCTACAACCCCGGTGTAGGGCAGCGTGGTGGCCAATCTGGGTGGCGGCTGAAATCCCAAGTTTCCCGTGGTGTGAATGCTTGTCTCTGCTGGCTAGCAGTGTCGGCAGAATTTGTCTTGACGTAGTGAGATGCGAGTTTTCGACACTGAGTAGGTGGTGTGTTGGCGTGCTGAGGGTGTTGGCGTGCTAAGGGTGTTGGCGTGCTGATGGTGAGGACGTGTTGATGGGGACCGGACCAGTGAATCGTGAATCAACATGTTGATGTGCGGGTGACTCCCGGGAGGTGAAGTGGCGGCCAACGGTAAATACCCATCCCCGCCATAGTGGGGATCTTTGATCCCTCGCGAATGCAAAGGTTGATAAACAGTGCGAAATGATGATTTCTAAATATTAGGTCCGATATGGTAGTACATACTCCGGTCGCTCTTCTGTATGACATTCTCTCGGCGCGAGCTTCATCGCGTACTCTTTGGCGATATTCTGTGTCTGAGGTAGTGTCGCTATATGTCAGCTTGATATCTGATATATATATCCCTAAACTAATGCTATTATGTACATTATCGGCGGTAAAATCGAAAACGAACCACCAGAATAACAGCGATAGAAAGCTTGATTCTTCCAAACATATTTCAGTTATCACTTTGTGTCGGCCTGATCAAATGAAAGACACTTGTGGAGCTCAAAACGCTGATCTTGCTGGAAATGTGCCAGGAGGAACGGCGGGTATGATTATTTGGAAAATCTTGGGTATAATTAAGCAAAATTCGCGCGCGCAACACCTCTCATATTGTGGTCTAATGGAATTTGCTGCATTGGCTTTCTAATAACGGCCCGGGTTCGATTCCTGCGGGATACATTCAGATGACCCTTCATCAGAAAGACGGATTTAATTAAACCTGCTTGATTTTCCGTGTCATTTCGCGTTTTCTACGGTTGATTTTACCTCTTGGCCATTTCGTGATTATAGTGAAACCACGTTTCATAGTCGAGCATGCCGGATCAAGGCAGCATCCGCCGGTGCTCAGACGTGTGCCACGGGCGACTGAGTGCACTGACGCGTCGCAGCGTCTCGCGTCGGGCAAATGTGACATGTCCGCACTGACAGAAACATGACGGCTACGTTTGAAGTCAACAAAAAAGTCTTATCTACGAGTTATCACAAACCCACCTGGCATCTTTCGAGTAATGATTAAGCAGTTGTAACCGTCGCGGCAACCGACTGGTCGTACTTTGCGAGGCTACTTCTGCTGATGAGTTCGTGGCGTTCGGTGATGACATCGAGGGGGGAGCATTCGATCTAGCACCTATTATCAGCAGCTGGCGCAAGGTGGTCGTTCGCTGACGAGAACGTACTGATCAGCTTTGAATCGCCGCCTGCATTGGGACACAGCCAAAGCAATTTGCTGTAGGATACATTCGATCTAGCACCGGTTATCAGCAGCTGGCGCAATATGGTCATTTGCAACTCACCGTGCTCGTCGCCTCGGTGAGATCCCTTTATACCAGCCACAATACACTATTCCGATCGAACTCGTGGAAACGGCCGAACCAGGGCTGTGTTCCACTGCCTCCCTATGTCAGCATGGTTTCCGGTGACTGAGGGTGGTACAGACTTGCCATCAATGTAGTCTGTCATCAGCACAGGCAAAACAGTGACGAGGTAGCATGCGTCAGCTTGAGCACACGTGCACGAGGGCCTGGGATCACTTTGTACCGCGGGGAAATGGATGTGGGCAATATCTTCCAATGCGTAGCTGTTTCTCTTTTTTGTTCATGCGCCAGGCACGTCTTCAACCGGGTCAGGGCAAAGTACCACTGGACGAGAGATTCATGGTATTTTGTTTGCGACAAACTTCGCCCCGACCTGAAAATGACTGCTCTCGCGGCGAGGGATCTAGGGTAGATCTAAGCCACGGCCTGTCTTATCGCTTGCTCAGCTGCAATCAGGGGTTGAAAGAACTGGCCTTTAGAATATTGCCAAAAGCTCGTTTCAATTTGCCGATTGATGCTCCTCGGGGAAATAGTTGTCTTTTTCTGTGGCCGTCGATTCTCGGCTTCTCTTCGTTGTCGCGGATGCTCCGGTGGCTCGCTCGGTCAACAGTGAGGCCGGCTCATGGCCACCGACAAGCCTTCGGATCGGACGTGGGCAGGAGGTTCATAGCCGTCAGAATATTACGAGGTACTAATGCATTGACTTTTAACCTTTGTCCGGGCAGGGTAAAGCTGAAGAGACGAATGAAAACACTTTGGAATTTTACCGTATGGCTAAGCAGAGGGCATCAAGCCTTCCTGAATTGGCCCGCTAATAAGCCAGGTGAAGAGGCCATTTCAACCACGTCTTCAGAAGCAACAAAGGCGCAAGCGTAGTGAGATTCAGTGGCTTGTCCCATCAGGTTGTTGAAGCTGGTTCAGTTTCGAAGACGAGGGGGGAACCTAGCTCTGTCAGGTCGAGGGTAATATTGACACGCGCCCTATGAAGAGAAAGAATCATCAGCGATAGTTCCTGAGAAACAGAAAGCCACGAACAGATAGCATTTTTGCGGAGATTTAAATGCAGTACCGGGTGTTGGAAATGGACAGGGGCAAAGCACCAGCGGGACTTACAAGATATTGAGCGACTCGCGATAGGAAGTTTTCCATCCTACAGAGAGGGTCGTCAGCACATTGTGTCTGCCTTTGAAATTGCTGCAGTCTTTAAACTTACGTTGTCAGTTATTGCTGTCCACTGCAGGGGATCGTATAAAGGATGGCACCTAATTGTCTTCAATCATTAGCAAGTAGCTTATAAAGACAACTTGTAACTCACCGTGCTCGCAGCTTGGACCATTCCAGATCATCCTGAAAGTTTCGTTCAATGGCTTCTCAGAGGAATAGTGGCGGCGGGGCTGATATCGAGCGTTTTTCTCATGTTAGCATGATTCAAAATGACTGTGCAGCTACACTCACTTGCTGTTGTTCGAAGTCCTCTTGTGTCGAGAAAAGCCAGGCTGGTGGGACGCAACAAGTCAATCAATCTCGTTGCACAATTGTAAAGTCAACATACCAAATAGTAGCCACGTAAACGAGAATTGATCGATATTCTTTTAACCGAAGTGACAAAGGAATGCTTGCGAACGACTATTCTGCTGGCGAGGGACCGGGTATTTATAGCAATCCAGCGAGGCATTCGGTCTGCGTCAATGAGATCATGATTGTGAATTGTGAGGGCTCAAACACAAAATTCTCTTCAATGATAACTGGTTCAACATTTCATCATTGGTTTAATGCAATTCTGAGAGAAATTGAATTTTGCGCCTGGTGATCCAGACAGAAAATAGAAAACTTTTCTGACTGTTGGCATTGTTTAAACAGTCATGAGGATACCGCAGATAAAAACCGATGACGGGTATCAACATTCACCACCGTCAGTCCGCCCTTTACTGCGACGGGCAAGGTGACGAGATCATGCGATTTCCTTTCACTCACCGGCGATGAGCCCGCTACTCCACGCAACAGCAACTCACCAAAGGCAGGCAGACCACAGGGTTCTTCGTTGCCTACCTCGCTTATCGGAGAACATCCATCACACCTACACAATATCAAGTAGATACAAGCTATGGTACGGCGCGGGGCTGATTCGCACAGCCCTATCTCACAACAGAGTTTCTTGTACAGTGAGCCAGTCATTAGTTTGATTACGTGTTTGAGAAAACAAACCTCTGCGGTCAGCCGCGTCTTTGCAAAGGCATTACCCACATCAATCTCCTCGGAACGAAGCGGATCCGGGTGGGTACTACTACTCGGGAATATAAGCCAATTAGTGCCATCAATGGCCCACATGCTCACAAGTCGTCTTTGAAGTTATTGGTTAATAATTGGCCTTGCTCCCAGGAGCCTGTGGGTCCTGAAAACTGATGCGATCATTGGATACCACTAATAGAGCAGAGGAATAATGAGCCAATCGGTGCCATAAATAATCCATATCTGCCACAACGCCTGTATAGAAATAATTGGTCCGAAATGGCTATGAGCTCCTGGAGCCTGAGCCTACCATTACACCTACCATAATTGAATGATCAGAACTGAAAGCCGAATTTGGAAGCAGTGCGAGCCACAATACGATTTGCAATCGCCACGGGCCGACTCGACGCCGCTTAACCGTGTCAACCAACACAAATCAACCCTACCCCGCCCCAACCCCAATCTAACCCCACCAACTACCTTGTGCCAGAGACGGTAGACGCGCTTCAATTGCCGATTATAGGATGTTGAACACTTAAAGAAGCGCTTTCAAGCCAGTCTACTAACTGATACTAACCCACAAGGACCCGCTAAGATAATGACATTCGAGATGACACATACTGAAAGCAATCTTGTATGGGCTTCCAGGAGGCACAGCATTAGCTAAGGTATGTAAATTTAGATCAGTGATAGTTGCCCTTTCGGTTCAGCCGCCGGGCGTTAATGAATTGTGTGTGTGTGTGTGTGTATCACAAAAATGAAAAATCATTACTACACAAAGTCGTCCCTGGCAGAATTCACTATCAATCCACTAGGGTAGCATAGGCTGTAATTTCAATCCTCGCCTCCCCATATAGCTCGTTCACCCCAATCCCGGTCCAAGCAGGACGATTTTTGCCAAAGTACTTCTCCACCACGAACTCCATAGCCTCGTCCACCTCGCCGCCGCTCAAACCTCCAGCATGATACGAGGTCATCTGGTAAACAGCGTGAAGCCCACCCTGCACACCCGCAGCAGCGAGAGACGCCTCCACATTTGCGAAAGCTAGGTCAAACTGCTCGACCAGCGATGACGGGTAGCTGAGGTCTTCGCGCATTCCGGTCTGCCCAGACGTGACAACCTGGCGGGCATTTGGTGGAAGGACGACAGCGGAGGAAATATGCAAGAGGGATGAAAGCTTTGCGCCCATGCCGGCTGAATTGAAGCACATAATGCCGTGCGCATTGAGGGGGGGATTTGTATTCCTCGGACATTCTGTTGGTTGAGAGAGGGAAGATTTATTGAGGCACGATGGTTGAAGTTTTGGTGAGGGAAATAGTATGTGATCCTCGTGATGATTTTATGGTTTTATGGTCTAGCTTTCGATTCTACATATTTAACGGTCTATGCAGGAGCTTTTATACGGGCTGAAGCCCTGTGTTGTGGAGGTTTAGCCCGAGAGGAGATAAGGCCTGGGAAAGCCATAGCGAGCTACCGGAAACCCTTCCTTGGGTTTTAATTTAGCTATACGAAGCTAGATTGCTAATCCTCCGCCTTATCAACTCAGCTTTGGCCCAGGTTATTCCAGAGTTGGATTTTGTAGATGTAAAAGACAGCCTTATCGTGAATAAGTGGAAGACCCCGGACCCCCCTAGTACTTATCGAGTAGATTATTATGCAAAATCTTCTAGGGCGAGGTGTTGAACCACCATCCTCTCCGTTCGCTATACGCATTTACAAGAATGTTGCTTACTTTGCCATGTCTATGGAGTTGCATGTTCGCACGCAGAATTATGTTGGTACTGCTTTATTACGAGATGATCAGATGGAGATACCAATTTGGAACAAGTACCCAAATTTTACCTTTAATGATACATAAATTGCTTGATTGAACTTAGGTATGGATCGCCTGAAAGTTCTATAGATTCAATTATATATGGTTCCGAGTCTCACTGCAATGAAATCGTACATTTTTAGACGATAGCCACCGGGTTATTTTCCGCGTCCTGTAAAAATTCCTCCAGTGATCGAATCTTCAGGCCCTTGAAATATTGCTCCTTCTGACGTTCTAATTTTTCCTGGGTAGGATAGCTCCACCAGTCAAAGAGAACTCAGCATATTGCGCCGCAGTGACATCATCGTCACCCAGTTGGCCCTGTTTGATGGTGTCCCGCAGACTCTCAAGGGATACATAACGGACCTCCATGTCCCTCCCATGATCCGCCAGCAACTTTGCAACTCTGTTCCAGGTGGTCGTTTCACCGCATACAAAAGTTGTGGCCTCCCAATCATCTTGATCAATGAGGCGCGCTATAGCTGCCGCCGTATCACGCGCAGCAGTGAACGAAATCAACTCCTCACCTGTCCCCGGGATAGTGATCACGCCCGCCTCGAAGTCGACGGGGTGGAAATCACCAATATCCTTGATATACCGCGATCCCGGCGACACAAAATAGTCAGCCAACCAGCCCATATTGAAAAGAGTCCACATGACATCCTTCTGGGCGCGCAACGCCTCTCGCACGGGCTCGTGGTTTGCGTAGTAGAACTCGGGTGACTCGGGATAAAGATCAACGTTTCCACCGTATTCGGAAGGCATGAAGCGCTTGCATTTTGGGCTTTTCTGACAAGCCTCCAAGAGAGCTAGGTGTGAAGTGACGCTGCCGAGCGTATAGTCGAGTAGGGCGGAGACCAAACCGTCGCAGTCTTCCAGGGCTGCAGCCAACGATGGGACGGAGTAGTCGGTTGGGCGGAACGAGATGTCAGGGCGCTCGAACCAGGGCTTTAAGCTTCGGCTTAGCACAACGACTTCATGGGAGGCGGCAAGAAGTTCTTCCACGAGGTATTTGGCTAGGTCGCCGGCACCAGCAATTGCGATACGCATGGTGGTTATGGAAGGGAGTCGGGCGAGGGGACGATTTTCAAAAAGAACAATGTCAAAATTTTGATTGATTATGAAGAGTATTGGTGGACATATGTTGATTTTGTTGTTTTTTCCAGCTGATAAATCTTGAAATCGGATTTCAAATCACATTCTGTGAATGATCAAGCCACGTGAAGTATACAATCTAGATGGATCTACTTGGGGCTCGCCATCACTTTCCATCCGGGTGGGTCCTATCGGGATTTCTCGGGAGCCAATCAACACCTTGTGATTCTTATCCATGTTCAATCGCCTCACTGTGTTCACGTTCAATAGTACATCTTAGGAAAATCAAACAGTTCGTTAGTTGACAGCGACGTAGTAGCTCCATCTGAAGAGAAAAGACGATCCTCGCTGTCAATTGCTATGTACTTATCTCTAGTGAAACGTATGATAAAAGGACAAACGCGTCCGTTTCCTGAAACGAAAACAACCTCGAGATTTTATTCCCGTATTCACATTCCCAGCTCTTCATAGAACATATTCACAATGTCGAAAACCAGCCAACCCCCTTCATTGCGATGAGTACCAAACACAAGCAGCTCTGAACAAATATTAGCGATTGTCAAAGCGGACGGTAGAGTCATTACTTGAAAACTTCATGACCCTGGGTCAAGTCCAGGACCTCAACAACGAAATAGATGCCTCGGTGGTAGAAGCGAACTTTGGTTCAACACACAGTGATGAATTCATCTCAAAATTCCACGGCGCCAAGACCAAACGAATCACCAATATTGTGACGATACGACAAAACTTCCGCGACACGCTACTAGATAGTGACTCGGTGCATGTCATTGCCGAGCGAGCCTTCCAGGAGGAGGCCCAAAGCTACTGGATGAGCACCGCGCAGGTGATTGAGATCAGTCCAGGAAATGACGCGCAGCCTCTTCATCTCGATCTGGAAAACACTCACCCCTTCATTCCCATGGGACCTAAAGGGTCCGGAGGTCTCCCTCAACTTTTTGATTGCGCTTTCGGATTTCACCGAAGAGAACGGGGCTACGAGGGTCATACCTGGCAGCAACCACTGGTCGGACTTCAACGACCCCGGAACGCCCGAGATGACTACCCCAGCAGAGATGAAGGCGGGCGATGTGCTTTTGATCTCTGGGAAAGTGGTTCATGGTGGTGGTGCCAATCAGTCGGGGGATGTCAAGCGTCGAGGTCTTGCTTTCACTTTTCAACCGGGGTATTTGACACCTGAGGAGGCTTATCCGTTTTTTGGTTCAGATGGAACTGGTAAGGAAAATGAGTCCACGAGCACAGAAGATGATCGGGTTTCGAAGTCAATATCCTAAAGGAAGTCCGGGGCTGTGGCAGATTGATTATAAGGAGATAGGTGACTATATAGGGCTGTAAAATTGAGCCAAACCTTTTTTGAAATAGTCGAGTTTGATCGAAATGGACAGTATTCTTTAGTGGAATGCGTGTTATAAATATATTTATTGGAATGAAACTTTGGAACATCAGGATATAGTGAATCACTAGATAATGAACAAATCCAATCCCATTTCCGCCATGACTTCCCCCCCAGCTCACAAAGCAGCTGCCATTATCACGGACCCTTGCGGCATCCCTCCTGCGCCAAACTTCAACAACCACAGACAAAGCCGAGGGCATACTTCCAATGCCCAGTCTTGCCTTCGTAGAAAACCATCTGAGGAATGCGTTTCGTGACGTGCGTTCGTCAGATTCGCATGCGACCACAAAAATTGGCCATAGTATCCCACAGCATCCAAAGGTCATTTCATGGATTTCGATATTTCGTAGATGTAAGAGAGTGTGACGTACTACCCCTTGAAGGTCCACTGACGCTGTGTGCAGTAGGTTGTGTTTGAAATGAATATAACAGGCATAATAGAACATCATTTTGTAATCCATAAGTGCCTGGCTTTCGGGATCAAAATTCGCTTTTCTGGTCAATACAGGAATCGGTCTGTTGAGCCGAATTTTAATCTCAAGCCCTTCCAATTCAGTCTTGGAAGGAAGGTAGGGAGAACCAATAATATGATTGATATGTGTGATGGCCTCCAATATGGGTTTCGTGATACCGAAGTATTGATCAAGAACATAGTCTGTGCCTAGAGAAATGCTTGTAACACCAAAAGTTGAATCTTGGACGTAGTCTGAGTCGCAAACGATACGAGCATGGGTGTTCCCCAAGGATTTATTCCCAGCAGCCCTTCGGAGGACGGATCCAATAGCTTCAGCACATAAGAAGAACTGATAAGTCACCGACTTTTGCAAATGAGTCCATTTACCTCGCTCAATGGACTGTAGCCATGCACGACCGCCTCTTAAATGGTTGCGCCAGGATGAGAAGTTGCCATTGATAACCTCTGTGAGCGATAGAGCACTGATTGTAGCCAGAACAACTTCTAGCTGCGCTTCGCGTTGCTGCATTGATGCCTGTCGGAGATACTCGAGACTCAATTGGTAGTGTTTGATGGCGCTAATGGAGTAAGGAAGGCCATTTGAGTCTATGCGCTGGGATTTGTTGAAAGCCGACAACGCATAGATCGCATGAAGCAGAGCGGAGTTTTCAAGTAATAAATCTTTGCCTATCGAGGATTCCAGAGCCATGGGAATCCAAACGGTACGGTAAGGATTCTCTACCAAGCTGACCGATATCATCAGGTCGCTCAGATGCGTCACCCAGTAATGCATTAATTCTCGTTCTTCTCGGGGTCCCGGCTGATCGAGAGGTGTGAAATATTCGAGCGGCCCAAGAGGATCGATAGCGTCTTCCATCCAGGACTCCCAATGGAATGCCACTTTGTGATGCGAACGGGGTTGAGAACGGCATATTTCAGACGAAATATGAAAATCTTTGTCTTCATTATAGTGCAAAACCCCATATTCACCCAATCTCTTCAATGTGGTTGAGATACAGGACTCTTTGGAAGACGAGGTTGTAAAGAGCGAGTTCCCATCTCCTCCGATGGACTGATTTGAGGACTCCACATCAACACAATAGCGTGAGTTTTCACTGTCTGAGATCAAAATCCCGGGGGAAATTTCTGCTTCAGAGGATGGCAGCCTAAAGACCGAAAAGGGGCCATCTTGCTCTTGATCGAGGACGATCGCTGCATCCAAAGTCTCGAGAGAGATATCAAGTTGCAGTTCACTGAGTGTGGGTCCATTGCTCTTCTGCAGCTGGGAAAACAAGCGCCTCTGGGCGCCCGTGTGATTATTGTTGTATTCATCTGGCCAAACCAGCTTAACTCCGTAGCCCTCACAATGGAAGGACCCTTTGCTGCATCTGACACAGACCGGTTTCTCTTCACCGCATTTGACTCCTCGGGATCGGCAAGTCCAGCAGCCTGTGAAAGTCTTTGATCGCTTCACAGCTTCCCTAGGCCTTCGTCGGGGCATGGTGATATTGAATTTTCAAATGGCAAGTGACAAAGAGACAATCAAATGGCGAAGGCTTCCCAATGGTGGAGACTAGTGGAGCCTTATCGTTGAGAGGGAATTGCCAGAGAACTAAACCATAAGCGGTCCGTGAGCTTAACTAAAACTAAAGCGGTTAGCAATGCCTATGCGAATATCAAAGTCTGCGATGATTCATCACCGCCCCACATCTCGCTGTGAGTTTCCTGAATTCTGTCCATGCTCCACGTTATTGGTGGTTTCAATTGGTCGCCATTCCTAGGGTTGTCAGCTTCCCATGACGTCCCTTATCTGCTATCCAAAGATAAGGAAGATCTTCCTCGACAGGGAGGCAAGATTGAACACCACTTACCCTATGCATATCTTCGTATTTCATATCGGTGGCTACTGTCGTATCTTCAAGTTCATGTCCGTCACAGATAGGTGCAAACCTAGTGGAATTAAAGTCTTCCGAATTCTCCAATTCTAGGCCCCATAGGAGAACTCTAGGCTGTATATAACTGTTGTTCGGGTCGAATAATACGATGATTCAAGTTTTAGTTTTCCAAAGCTGATGTTCCCACCCGTCAGGGCCCTGTTTAGTTTGTTATTGATCGTTTTCATTATGTCCGACACCACTACTAGTATGAAAGGAAAACAAGATATGAAGACTTTAAGCACCAATGAAGACGATTCTAGCCATGAAATCGGCATCGGCGATGTCCAGGTCGTCGGACTCGACAAACCGTTCCGTCTCTGGAGCGCACTAGGAATCTCGTTTTCCGTCACTTCAGTGCCCTTGGCAATTGGTACATATCTTTCAGTCAGTGTTGGCGTTGGTGGCAGTCCAGTATACTTCTTTGGATACATCGTTTCTGTTATCTTCAACCTGTGCATCTGTGCTTCCTTGGCAGAACTAGCTGCTGTTTTCCCACATTCCTCAGGTAAATAGATACTCATCCTTTTCTACACTCTTTTCTCCTGCTAACGGATAATTTGAAGGCCAGGTATACTGGACATCCCAATTAGCACCTCAGCGATATGCTCGTGGACTCAGCTACCTCGTTGGCTGGCTGTCAGCGGCTGGATACTTCTTCTGGACAGCAGCCACCTTCCTCATCACCTCCGAGTTGATATTTGCCTTGGTCCAAATCTGCCATTCCCACTTTACTCCTCTAGCATGGCACTACTATTTGGCCTATTTTGCGATCGGTCTATGGGCACTGTTGCCAAACACCGTTTTCTTCAAATGGTATCCTCTATTTCTGCAAGGCCTGGTGGTCTACATCAATCTCGGCGGCCTGTTTATCCTCATCGTGCTACTTGTTCGGTCAAGCCCCAAACAAACGAGCGACTACGTATTCAAGGACTTCGTGAACCAAACTGGTTGGTCATCGAATGCAGTCGTGTTCTTCATCGGTCTGCTACCGGGCCTCACAGCCGTTAACGGATTCGATAGTGCCGCGCACATGGCAGAAGAAATGTCGGAACCTTCACGACAGGTTCCCCAAGTCATGTTCATCAGCGCAGTAGTAAGTGCTATTTCAGGACTACCAATGATCTTGGTTTATATGTTCTGCATCACAAACCCCGAAAATCTCCTGGACCCCGTGGGTGGACAGCCGATCATCCAGCTGATGGTTGACTCTCTCCGCTCGCTTCCACTTTCGATCATCGGAAGCTTGATTTTCATTATTTGTTTTGGCTGTGCCAGCGTAACGTTGTTGACGACTTTCACCCGGATTTGGTGGTCTCTGGCACGCGAAGGCGGTGTTCCTTTCTCCAAATTTATGGCCAGGATCAGCCACTCCTCACAGCTACCGATCAACAGCATAATTTTCTCTGTGATTGCCTGCTCTCTCATTGGTCTTCTTGAACTCGGCTCTGCAACAGCACTCAATGCGATTCTGGGCTCCGCCGTTCTCTGCATCTTTTCCTCCTACGCCATTCCAATTACTTGTTCTCTCTTGAGCAAGCGATCTGCCGTTGCAAGGCCCCATTATTTTAGTTTGGGCAGGGGACTTGGCACAGCGTTAAATCTGGTCTCGGTGGTGTGGATCGTTTTTGTGTTCGTCTGGTTATGCTTTCCTTTGTATCTCCCAGTGACGATGGATAGCATGAATTGGGCGGTCCTAGTTTGTGCTGTTGTCATTTTGATCAGCGGAATCAATTGGCTGATACATGCGAAAACTGGGTTCCATGTTCCTAGCGCCATATGAAGAAGCTGAAACTTATGTCTTCGGTATACCCGAACCCATAAGAGCCATCGGACGATAATTCAAACGTAAAATTAATATCACGTGAAAACGATCCAATTAGATGATCAAAACTACGATGTATTGACTCCATTTATTATTATCCCTACTTTTGGTGGGTGGACTTAGAACTATATTCCGTGATTTTAGTATAGTACCTTCTATGCATGAAATGATGTATCCCAGGAACTTATTGATCGGGGTAGCCATTTGAACCTTGGAGGGGCACATTTCCATCCTGTGTGAAACTTGACAAAAAGCGTGCTAGTACTATGTTCTCACTTCAGGGCTGTCATGTGAAAAGAAAACAGAAATTTAGATTGATGAGTGAACCTTGGAACTGTAAAATCGGGAGATAGGAAATTCACTGAATCAAAATAACGAGAGCAAGAAACACATTTAAATCCTTTGTACCTAATAGAGCGAAAACTACACAGTAAGCTGCAACTAGACCCAAGGATCAGCCGGCTCCTCCGCTCCGGTCCACATATCAGTGTTGTCGGGGATAGTGGGATCCAGCAATTTTCTGGGATCAGTCGAGTCCACCCATCCCAAGAAAGGCTCGCTCAGGCTATATCCAGCAATCTTCTGAATATCGGCCGGATATTTCCTCATGACATCCATATCTACAGAAAGATACATGTTCTCCTCCTGTCGCAAATATCCCTTTGTCATGAAACTGGAGAAAATAAGCCTCTCCTCATCAGTGGTGGTATTCGCCGACCCGCCATGGAAGCAAGAGGCAAGCATCATGAACGCATCTCCGCGCTCCATCTCAACAAACTCGCAAATTTCTTCGTTTGGCGGGGTGTTCTGATCCCACAGGTGACTACCAGGGATGAAGCGGGTGGCGCCATTGGCTTTGGTGGCCTTTTTACCAGCAACGAAAAAACCAATGCTGCTGTCCCGCTGATTGCCTTCACGACCGGACGGATACACATCTGCGAAATGGGCATATCGCTGGTGAATTGAATCGTCACGATGCAGAGGTTGCGCCGATGCACCGGGCCCGATGCTGAAGACGATGGTGTTGGAGAGCTGGGGGCAGGAGACGGTCCATTGCTTTTCGTTTCCAGACCAGAACCATTGCTTTTCCGTCAGCATTCGTTTCGATACACCTTGGAACAGTGGGTGCATGACAATATCGCGCCCGTAGGTAGGGGACTTCTGAAGCGCCGCGGTTGTGCGTCGGGTTTGTGATGGGAAGAATGAGCCACTCCATGCTGTGTCCTGCTCAAGTCCGGGGCGTACGTCAACCCTTCGATAGGTTAGTTTGTGTTCTGAATGAATTTGGGTAAGGGTCTTGCTTACTCAATCTGGTCGAGTGCTGCCTGTCCCACTGCATTGCGAATAATCACACCTCCGGCCAGTTTGAGGGCAGCGACGATCTCGTCAACTGATGCCGTGGCCTTCACCACGGGAACTGATAATCTGGTCTCGACAGTCATGGTTGATGCGCAAATAAATATGCTTGGTGATTTGTGGAAGATGAGCAAAGTAGACTCAAATTTCTGAGAGTGATTAAATTATTGCAATGTCGAACTGGGTCCATGAGCCTCCTTATATCTTGATGGTTCTATCCAGGGTCTAACATGTCGCTAATATATCAAACAAGCTCAAACCTTAGAAGACTCAAGCGGCATCGAATCATTTGGCGCATATTGTGCATTGGAAATTGATAGCGACCTAGACTTGGATGCAATCTCTGAGATTTGGACAAGATACCCTGATATCCCGAGCGGCCAGCAGCAGTGGATAGTGTCAAATTCCCCGTTTGCAAGACTAGATAAGCTCATAGGATTGAAAGCCAACAGCGACAAAGTCATCAAGAAGAAATGATAAAATTACGTATGAACAAATTTTGTTCGATGCAGAGTAATTTCCTATCGCCTATCTATCAGATTCGGGTCAGTGTGGCGGACATTTGAAGGTGGGGCTCAAGGACAACCGTATTCCGCGCTAAGGCTGCTTCTGAGTAATCCACAGCGAGCCCCTTCATTCGAGACTATAACGCTCGGAATGCTGCGATAATATCTACGTACCAAAGGTATATGAGGGCCAAGCTCCTAATAATATACCAAGTCCTCGAATAAATATTTATCCCTACCATTGACCCAACCGTCTCGATCTCTTGTTTGCACATTCGTAATCCTCAAGTTCAACCGAGCCAGCGCAAAGAGTCAATCTCTTTCAAAAATGAGCTCAATTTTAAAGTTTCTCCAAGGCCGCGTTGCAATCGTCACCGGCGGATCCCGCGGTATCGGAGCCGGAGTCGCCCTCGAACTGGCCAAGCGCGGCGCGAACGTGCTCATCACATACAACCAGGCCAGCACACAAGCGACATTAGTCATCAACCAGCTGAAAGAGCTCGGCGTCGAAGCAGAAGGCGTGCAAGTCAGTGGCAGCGACCGTGATTCTCCTCGGCGAATTGTCGGTCAAGCCCGTTGAAGCTTGGGGCCACATCGACATTATTATCAACGAACGCCGGCGCCGGCGATGACTCCCTATTATGCGACCTAACAAACGAGCTATGGGACAAGTTCCTCGACTGCAACCTGCGGTTCCCGATATTCCTAGTCAAGGAAGCGGTACCGCACTTCGGAACGGCGCCTCGTATCGTCAACATCTCCAGCGCCATTGCACGCATGGGAGGCTCGTACAGCACGGCGTATTGTGCGACAAAGGCGGCGCTGGAGGGGGTGACGGAGATCTGGGCACAGGAGTTAGGACAGAAGCATGGGGCTACTGTTAACTGTGTTAATCCCGGGCCGGTCAAAACGGATATGTGGTTGCGGGACACCGAGCAGGCTGTTCTTGATGAGTGGGATACGAAGATGAAAGAGATTCCTGCTGGGATAAGGATCGCTGAGGTAGATGACATTGCACAAATTGTGGCTTTCTTATCTGAGGAGGGGAGTCGCTGGTCGACGGGGAGTACGGTGAACGCGAACGGGGGACTTTGTTTCGTTTAGACTACGCGTGCCGCATGTGTGTGTGTGTGTGTGTGTTGGGTACTACGACGCTGAATTTTTAAGTTGCTTGTGCCCTGGTTCACCTCTTCGGTTTACCCATTTGACATTTCAGATTATTTTGATTAGTAGACAGTCTTTGCACAAAACAATTAGCCATCTGACATAAGCCTTGTATGCAAATGATGCAAATGATGCAAACAACAAAGAGGCTCGCTATAATCGCCATGGAAAGGTAATCTAAGCCCGTCTAGGGTGAGCCCTCCTCTCTCGATCAAGCCGCTACGTCAATCTATTTCTGGTCTTTAGTGAACCAATGGTTATTTAAATAAACTATCTTGCTCATGATATCAGTACCCTACCTACATACCCACCTTTTGTAGACAAAGAGTTATCGATGTATCACCACGTACGCTAGCTCTCGGTCCTTACTGCCAAGATCTGCCTGGAGAAAGAACTCTGTGGGTTTCTCCACCGTATCTCAGTCCAAACTTCCTGGCGACGATTTCTAATTAATTGGCTTAATGTGGATACTCGTAGCAATTTAATATGTTTGAGTATCAGAAGGGGATAGTAAATGCGAGGTGAAGGCGGCGGGGGGGTTCTAATTTCCTCCAGACTTGCTCTTGGAGTTGAGAGAAGTGAGCCCAAGGGACAATTCAACAGGGATAAATTCGGTTGACAAGAGCGGTCGCATCGCCCTAGGTCGTTAGGATCGCGTTTGTCTCAACTTGGATCGCTTGAGACAGAGAGTTGTGGCAACGATCGAGAAGACGAAACAGTATATTGGGCTGCACTCGCCGCTCTGTCTCCTTTCGCGCCTGTCTCTCTCCCTCAAGCTGACACCGAAGCTCGGCAATTGCTTTTTGAATGATTGATCTTACAATCCCTTGGATGTTCCTACTGCACGTCAAGTTCATCTTGAAGATAGCTCCGAGAGAAGCCGTGCATTTAAATCTCTATGCTCCCATCCTTCAAGCCTATGCGCAATGGTGCTTAGCCTCTGTCAACCTGAAGTTCCATTCGTCTATTTCCATGAGTTCCCTCGGACAAGGCTGACCGGCCCGCAGATACAAAGAGTGGCTTCGTAGCCTGGATTTGGTTTAGCACGACGGAATTCAGGCCCACGCGGTACCTCATTTAGCGACCCCAGAAGCCCGTAAGTCGCTCATTCATTTCGGGCCTCCTAGATGCTTGAGTCCGTTCCCATAGGTATGCACGATCAGCAAGACGCGTCTATCAAGGCGGATGACGTACATTCAGAGAAAAAAGTATCTTTCATTCTGGTGCTGTTAAAATTCTGTCCTCCACAAGTGCTAAATTATCCGCAGCTCTCCTGCAAAAATTCTGACTTGAATTTCTCAATTCCTATGATCTGTCGAGGATAGTGGAGCGGCTACTTACCACTGCCTCCTATTGGTTTCCTCACTCCCCCGCCTTTCTTTGTCTTCTTGATGTAATCCGAGACAACATTTACAAGCAACTCTCGAGTATTCCATGGGTCCTCAGAGACATGGAGGAATTGATCCCATCCACATATCAACTATGAACCAATTCTGCAGATTGTATTTAACATACTATCTGCCTGCCACTCTTTAATCAATTCAATCTGTCAATTTCTACTGATTTTTTCCCCTTCCAATAGAATCCCCCACTCGTTGCAATACTAGCCATTACTGATTTAGCATGATCTGACACTTTTTATACCTCTGGTAGACCACAAACATTACCGTAATAACAGATCCTGGCAAGGGCTAATCATACATGCTCAAACACTCTATAGTGTTCATGTGGCGTACATCGCTCTCACGCTTAACAGATTATTGTAAATTATCGTAGATTGCCATAAGTAGTAATCTGAAACGTACAAAAAGAAATGAACGGAGATTCTGGCTCAGGCTTTCTTCCTTTCCACTGCCTCTCTCTCAAATTATAAGGTGGCATACGTTCATACACAGATGAACCACAATTTTATCTATGAGTCAACCACCAGGTATTGCTGATCTATAAAACGCCACTATTTGGTCAACTTTACAGTATTTTTCGAAAATCAATTATATCTCTACACTCTTATAACTTAATTCTCGGAAAATAAGTCCGAAATATGCAAGTCCTGATAAGATATGATTGTCAAACCCTGGTCCCCAAACCACTTCCTAGAATAGTGTTCAAATTTTGCAAGATGGATTCAAGACCACAGAAAATGTATTTTACATAAAACTACTATATACACTACCATTGAACCTCTTCTTCCCTCCTAGGCAGCAACTAGGCCTCCTTACCTATTTCTCTTATACACTATCTTAAGGTTATTCACTAGAACAGATGGGATGGTCTTGGTAGCCATCACTGAAAGATGCAAGGTACTCTACTGGGATTCTGGTCCATGAGTGACAAGTTTTGGAACGTGGTTTATTGAAGTAAGCCTTAGCTTATTACACGACTATGATGGCTCTTTATAGACATGACCTTTCAGCCGCCATGAACAAACCATTTGATCCGGGGTATGGCCCGATACCGCGAGGAACGTAAAAGATAGAATCAAACCCCTTCTTGATATGATATCACCAGTGCTGGAAGCCGATAGCGAGAGAGTTCATGAGGTCGTTGCAACTTAATGCAATTCCAACTGATACAAGAAGACAGTATCTAATCTATCATGCGGCCAATTACCTATCGGCGTGCACCGTGCGCTCGGTCTGATAAGTACGATAACGAGGAGCTCGATGTTACAATCACATATGAGGCAAGCAACAGCGAGCCTTCCGATCTAGGACAATGACTTGGAATAATCCAAAAAAATTATGAGTCTTTCAGGACTATATATTCGCTCTAGCTCGTTGTTTTATTTACTCCAGCATTTGCTCTTTCCACTCTCCAGCTTTTCCTTCCGCTAGTTTGCGCACATAATCTACATATCGAGATCGACCGATTTTCACCAAGACTACCTTCGAAGATGGCATCCACTCATAAGTCTCTCCAAGGCCGGGTTGCAATTGTCACTGGTGGCTCCCGTGGCATCGGAGCCGGCATTGCACTAGAGCTGGCAAAGCGAGGTGCCAACGTGCTCATCACCTACAACAAAGCCGGCGCTCAGGCGGCCGGGGTGATCAACCAGCTTAAGTCGTTGGGTGTCGCCGCAGAAGGTGTGCAAGCTGGCGGCAGTGACCGAGATTCACCGCGACGAATTGTGGCCAAGTGCGTGGAGACCTGGGGTCACGTTGATATCATCATCAACAATGCCGGTGCCGGTGATGACTGCCTTCTGGCCGACTTGACCCACGAGCTCTGGGATAAGATCCTCGACTGCAATCTTCGATTTCCTACCTTCCTCGTCAAAGAAGCTATGCCGCATCTTGGTACCGCTCCCCGAATTGTCAATGTCTCCAGCGTGATCGCCCGCATGGGCGGCTCGTATTCCACCGCTTACTGTGCGACAAAGGCGGCGCTGGAGGGAGTAACCAAAGTATGGGCCCTCGAACTCGGTCAGAAATATGGTGCCACTGTCAACTGCGTCAACCCAGGTCCTGTGAAGACCGACATGTGGTTACGAGACACCGACCAAGCTGTTCTTAACGAGTGGGATATTAAGATGAAAGAAACTCCGGCCGGGGCAAGGATAGCAGATGTTGATGATATCGCACAGATTGTGGCATTTTTGTCTGAAGAAGGCAGTCGCTGGTCGACTGGCAGTACGGTGAATGCCAACGGTGGGCTTTGTTTTGTCTAACCACGGCAATGTGCCTGTAATATAATATTTCTACCCTCTAGAAGATTTATTTTTTTCAATACAAAACAACCTTTTGGTATTCCCACTGTGTTGCCATGAAGAACGGGCTACTTCTCGGTTAGGGTTACACATTCTACCCAGCGCCAACCAAAATAGGTCTAGATCCCCATAAAGTATAAAGATAAAACCTCTTCTCCGTGTGAACGTTAAAAAATATGTCGAGTTTAGGATACCACTGTGGATCCTAGGAGACCAGCTTATGCATCGTCCGACCATTTCCCTATAACTTAACATCATTCCCAAGTAATATAATTCCCAGGCGAGCGGTCAACCCCAAAATACCATTTTATTGGTGACCTCACGCAGTCAACAGGGATAAGGAGCGTATTGTTGGGCCGTAACAGGTCACCTGTCTCTGCGGTCTAAAATGGAAACGCATCAGACCGCAGCGTTAGATAGGGCCCATCCACGCTCCCTTGCAGGGAGGCAATGTGTCTGTATTTTTCAATGATTTCTATATACAAAGGGAAGGTGGGGGGGATCCTGTGTTAGAGATGACGAGCTACCACATGAGGTGAGCAGTTAACTCCCGTGAGACAGTTGCAGGAGTCAAAGAACCCTTCAGTAATCTCTTTGTGGTCATCACGCCCATAACACTACCCCCATTATGTGAAGGGCTAAAATAAGAGTTAGATTCAATCTAACTAGGCCACAAACTGTGTACAATAAGCTTGGAGACGAGAAGGAGTGGAACAAGCAAAACACTAATAGAAGTGGCAGGCAAGGCGGTGCCAGAACGCGACAGTATAGCGCTAAACCCGTTACACATGTTTGGGGGTGATCGGCTCGCTTGTGAATTACGTCATGGGGAAATGGGCGGACGATGAATAAGCCGGTCTATTTGGACCTCCTAAACTCGACACTTTAGGGATAATTATGGCAACCTAGTTGAATTTAGCAAAACGGATTAAGTGCTTCATGATTCCGTGGCTAGTCCAGCGTTTCCCACGGCGTAACCGACTTTGAATCCTCGCTTTGAGCACTGGAAATTTCGTCGCACTCTAGAATCTCGTTCAGACTCTCCTTGATGATAGAAATTCCCATCAAGAAAAGTTCGTCAGTGATGGTCATAGCCACACTCATCCGAAGGCGATTATCCATTGGATATAAGAAGACTCCCTTGTGCAGAATCAGTGCCGCAAGTCTGGAAGGGTTGACACGTTTATCAGGATAGCCACCAACGAGTGTAATGTTCATATCGGACCCTCAGGCGGTGATGAATTTCACAAATGGATATTTCCATGTTGAAGTTTCCCTCTCCCAGATACGCTGCATCTCAGCGCTCCTCTCTGTGAGATTCTCCTCATCGTAAATATTCAGGGCAGCGGTAACTGCAGCCAAGCCGACGGCAGTGGGTGTAAATGTAGATGCGCTCTCATATGGCTCGACTTGTCCAAGAGTATCCTCATTGCGGAGTATAAATGAGGCCGGATATGCGCCACCACTGATTGACTTGCCCAGCCCTTTGTGTAAGTTGATAGGTTGTTTAGCCTCGGCTGGCTGCGTAGGCGCTCAACCAACGCCTGGCCCTCTGCGACCGAGATACCACCGCTGTGGGGTATCTGTCGTGTCGACCGCTTAGCCTGTTGCCGTTCTTTCTCGTTTCCAGCGTGTAGATCTGCGTTTTCCTTGGCTAAATACAATGCGGTATATAGCTATATGGAAGCCATTGATTATATGGCCAAACGTCGCTTTGGAAGGGCTCGGTCCACTCGGAGGAATAGGGTTACCTATCTCCAAGGATCTACGCCCAAGGTGAGACTGAAAGGTGATGATGAAAAATGGGTCGAATCCGCTACGTTAGTATTGATAGATTGGCCAAGAGTATCGCAATACGCTACACCTTAGTTATTCGGTGTCGAGGGTAGGAACGGTGTAAGGTTTAAACTGGCATTGACTTTGAAAAGGGTGGCTCTGTCAATCTCTGCGCCTTCGTGGCAGATGACAGCGAGTTGTTTCGAGTTCTAAGGAAACCAACAGCGAGCACCAGGTGCGCCCTGTGCTAGCCCCCAGACCAGAACGCTAACGGATTAGCTAAAGTCTAAAATAACCTGTTCCGGCGTGATTTCCGTGGCCAGTTAAGCCTCGCAGTCGGACATCCATTAGTCGGACTGGGCATGTCTTCACGTCTCGTAATGTGCATTGAGATGTCGGTGGCGCAACGCACACGAAGGCGTCACAGATTGTCAAAGTAAAAGTAAATCTAAGCCCATCTCTACCATAACGTTCCCCCAGCAAATGAAATCGTCCATGCCACACCCCTTCGCCCCATCCCTTCTCCGCCAAACCTCTACGACGACTTTTGCTGCCGATGTCACATTCGCAACGCCGACTGACTGTCCTTTCGTGAACCATTTACTGACAGTGATGCGTGACTCCTTTTCGTCGGCCTCGCAGGCAATGATGAAAAGAGGCCACAGGAGCCCGCAGTTTCTTGAGGTTGCCTCGTGAATTTCGATGGCTTCTAAGTGCTTGAGACTTTGGCGGACAAGGTCCTGAAGGTTCCGAGAGTGGACACGGAGAAGCGTATGCTTGAAATGAATGTAACATGCGTAGTAGAAGACGCTCGCATAATCCATAGCGATATGCTTCCCCCAAGCAGCAAATGTATATGAATGGGACGGTGTTATTGGTTTGTTAAGTCGAATTTTGACTTCCAAGGTCTCCAGCTCAGCTATTGAGGGCCTGCGTGGCCGGACAGACAGGTGGGTGATGTGAATAATAGCCTCTAATATTGGAAGTGTGATTCCGAAATATCGATCCAAGCAATACTCCGATTCTAAAGATAAGCTCGTGACACCAATGACACATTTGTGGGCGTATTCCTCATCACAAATGTTGACAAATTTTCCAGGACGAGCATTGGAAGCCATATTCGAAAGTGAAGAGCCCAGAGCTTCCGCACACAGGAAGAGTTGATAAAGTATCGATGTGCCTGGTCCATTCCATTTGGTCCGCTCAAACGAGCGGAGCCATTCGCGCCCCCCTTTCAGATGGCCACGCCATGTGGAGGAATTACCGTTTATAACTTCGATAAATGACATGGTGCTGATGGTTGCCAAGATGGCTTCCCGTTGCGAGCCACGATCCTCAGTCAGCGCCTCTCGTAGATATCCGAGACTCAGCTGATAGTGTTTTGTAGCCGTTATGGAGAAGGATTTGTGGCCGGAGTTGGACTTCTGGGATTGGTTAAAGGCTGAGATTGCATAGATAGCATGTAGGAGAGCAGCATGTCCGGGAACTTCATGCCCTGAATACAAAGCCATCGGAACCCAGAGAGTACGATACGGGTTGTCTGGCGACCCCACGGAGACCATTAGGTTGCTCAGATACGTGACCCAGTAATGCATCAACTGCCGCTCTTCACTGGTTCCGAGGGGAGTGATCGAGTAGAGAAAGTTGGCCAACTCAATTTGTATGATGTAGTCTTCGAACGAACAGTCCGACTCCAACGTAGGCAGGGGCGTCTCCGCATTCTGTGCCTCATTATGATCGAGCAGAGACCAATCATCGGAGTGCCAGGTATGGAGTGGGGCATGGTCAGTCCGAGAGCCCTGAGGTGTTCCAGGCCGACTGTGGTAGAGCGCGAGAAGCATTTCAGCGCCCCAGTAATTTTCAGAACCCACTACGACAAGGTTTGACGAGCTATCAGTGCCCAGCAGGGGCCTGAGATCGTCAAATAGCATTTCTTCAGGCGTGTCATGAAGATACCCTTCGATTCTGGGAGGGCTCTCATCCTGCTCGAATAGAAATGAGATACTGGCATTGTCGGCCTCCAGATTCCGAATCGGTGATGTGTCTTCGTGCACGCATATGCTTGATTGAATGTCATCAGAAGCTTTCCTTGACGATGTGTCAGGCTCCAATATCGTAGACCACGATAGTCTGAAGACCGAAAAAGGACCACAGCATTCCTGGTCAGTGACAGAGGAATCCAAGGATTCCAAGAAAAGGTCGAGAGCTTGGTCACTCAGAGTTGGGGCCTCATGCTGCACACGACTAAGCAGACGTCTTTGGACAGAGATCGCACCCTCTGCGCCATCGCCAGGCCAAATCAGCTTCACTCCATATCCGGCGCAAGTGAAGAGGCCTTTTTCGCATCGCGAGCATATCGGCTTGCCTTCATCACATTTTACTCCGCGAGAGCGACAGGTCCAGCACCCGGTGAACGTCTTGGATCGCTTGACGGGCTTCCTGGATCGTAGGGTAGCACGCCGGGTCATGGTAGGGTCGGTGTGGAAACGCTAGGTAGTTGCAGGTTTTGGAAATTGGCAACTGACACAGAGACCCTGCCGTTCGAAGGAGGGCTCGACCGGGTCTTATCATGCGTTATCGGCTGGAATATGTCCGGCCGGCCGAGACCGCGAACAATAGACCCATAACGTGACCTCGTGACGAGTAACTGACGAGTGTTTAAAGTTCTCTGCTCTAGATTACCCCGCTTCTCGCTGTGACTTTCCAATCCTCGCTAGCGCCAACGGCGTGATTCGCCCCCTCTTGGCACCTGTGGAGGTCTCAGCCTCCCCAGGGAGCGGCTTGGTGCTTACATGTATCAACCCCAACAGAACCCGGAAGTTTGATTGGCTTTTCCGTCTCGTTAATACCCGAGTTTATGGATAACGGAGAACTTGTGTTGATAAGCTTCGGTATGTCAACCTTAATTCGCAAGGCGTTGGTGAATCCTTGGTGAAGCTGTAGCAGCTGACAGCAACACATATGAGAGACGCCGACCAAGCCTCTTTCTTATCCGGGGACCCAAATACCAACAATTGCGAGACGTCTTATAGCAGGCCCTAATGTAGGTATACAGCCCCATCTACTTCGACCTAATTTACCTTGCCCTCGAGCAACAATTCTATACCTCTCCGTTCAACTCTACTTTTCCATTCGTCATGTCGAAAATTATTAGGGAAAAGGATGTGGGAATGAACACCCCCGACACCGCCTCCGAACAATATCCTGGCCACGACGTGGCTTCGGGTGAAGTGCAGTCCGTCCAAGTCGACAAGCCTTTCAGTCTCTGGAGCACATTGGGGATATCTTTCTCCGTCACGTCCACGCCCTTGGCCGTCGGCACCTACCTCTCCGTTGTTATCGGTGTGGGAGGCAGCCCCGTGTTTTTCTATGGATATATACTTGCAGTATGTCTGGATATGTGCATCTGTGCCTCCCTGGCAGAAATGGCGGCGCAATATCCGCACTCTTCAGGTAATTGCTCGCCTTTCCTTCCGGCTCTTGCTTTTTCGATTGGTCTCGGAAGCCACCATGTTTGGCAGACTCTCCTAATTGACTCTGTTTCGAAGGGCAAATTTATTGGACCGCAAAGTTGGCTCCTCGTGGGCGCGGGCGTAGCCTCAGTTACTTGGTCGGTTGGCTCACAGCGGCGGGCTACTTCTTCTGGACTTCTGCCGCACTCCTTATCTCATCGCAATTGATCTGGGCCCTCGTACAAATATGCCACCCCACCTTTATCACGTTGCCGTGGCACTTGTACGTCGGGTACTTCGCCGTCGGTGTCTTTACCCTGTTACCTAATATCCCCTTCTTCAAATGGTACCCTCAATTTCTCAAGGGGCTGGTGATCTATATCAATGCTGGTGCTCTTTTCGTCCTTATCGTCCTCCTGGTCCGTGCGAAACCCAAGCAAAGCTCCAATTATGTTTTCAAAGCGTTTGTCAATCAGACCGGTTGGTCGTCTAACGGCGTCGTCTTCTTCCTCGGTCTCCTCCCTGGACTCACGGCGGTCAACGGCTTTGACAGCGCGGCACACATGGCCGAAGAACTCCCAAGGCCAGAACGTCAGGTTCCGCAGGTCATGTTCATCAGTGCCCTGGCGAGCGCTGCTAGTGGATTACCGATGATTCTGGTATATATGTTCTGCATCACAAAACCAGACAATCTGCTCAATCCTGTCGGCGGCCAACCGGTAATACAATTAATGGTTGACTCTCTCGAATCCTTCCCTTTGACTATAGTCGGTTCTTTAGTCTTCATCACCTGCTTCCTCTGCGCTAGTGTCACAATGATGACGACCTTTAGCCGTATCTGGTGGTCGCTCGCCCGCGACGGCGGCGTCCCTTTCTCCCCCTTCATGGCCCGAATCAGCGGTCGCTGGAAGGTACCGGTTAATAGTGTCTGTTTTTCCGCTTTCGCCTGCATCCTCATCGGGCTATTGAAGCTCGGCTCCGCGACCGCCCTTAACGCAATCCTAGGGACCGCAGTCCTCTGCATTTTCGCTTCGTACGCTATTCCTATTCTTTGCTCCCTGGTCGGGAAACGCTCTGGTTTCGCTAGCGCTCATTATTTTAATCTGGGTCATGTGTTCGGTACGGTTTTGAACTATATCTCGGTGTTTTGGATCTGTTTCGTTTTTGTCTGGCTTTGCTTTCCGCCATACATACCCGCCACTATGGATACGATGAATTGGGCTATAGTGGTTTTTTCGGTGGTATGCGCTACCAGTGGGATGAATTGGCTGGCATACTCGAGGATTGCTTTTGAAGAACCCAAGGCTATTTCACAGTGATTGGAATGGTCTCGGGAGACCGACATTCTTTGCATTATTTCGACGGCCCTGGTGGATGTTGAGCAGGGCCAATGAGGGAATAGCGAAGTAGACTTGGTCTGGATACAGTCATTTTGTTTGCGATTAAATAAGTTCACCGTCTCAAAGTGTTGGTTTACTTGTCGAAAAAACTAAAAGCCAGTTTAAATTCACGAAGCTCGAGTATCTGTCCCTTTATCAGAATAGGGTTTCTGGCCTTCATACTTGATGAAGGAAATTCTAGCCGCGGCGAGGATATCGGAGGTGGATGACTTGCGTAAATTGTGGCATTTCTGTCAGAGATAGCCAGTCACTGGTTAACAGGGAGTACTGTCAATGCCAATGGCCGGCTCTGCCCAGTCTACCTGATATTGGAGTATAATCTATATATGGAAGATCTGAAAAATAAAGATAGATGAAAATGTCCTGACTAGAGATGGATTGGCTAGGACTTTGGAATGTTCTTCACTTTCACTTTCACTGATGGTTTTATTGTGGTAATGGTACGAATTACTCAGAGACTGTCCGTTCAATGTAGCACATAAATTGTACTCTATCACCATTAGTCGAATTACAACTCAAAGTTGTTTCTTCCTTCATCTCGCGTACAAGGTTTTATCAAGTACTGTATGAGTAGGGGCTCATTATCACCTTTTCTGGACTATCAGTTTCTTTCTCGTGACTGTTACATGCTCACGGTTTCTATTTTATGGCAAGTAGTGTCGATATACTTCGATCCTGTCTATTACTGCAGGTGTGTTAACGGCTCTTGACGCTTCTAGAGGTGAGCAAAAACTCAATCAAACTCCTTTTAATTATGAGTCGTAGCTCGCTGTTGACTGCTATACTCGAGACCGGAGGGACCCACGCCCAACCTGGCAACGTCATTAAAGTTCGCAGTTTCCAAAACGAAAAAAAGGAACCCCGCACTAGGGCGGATAATACACGAAGCCTATAAATGGGACGACTGCACACTGCTCCTCGCCACCTTAATTTGTAGTCTCGGTTATTCACGTATAATCAAGAGACAAACGAAGCTTACAAGAAAGATGTCAGTTCCCATTCACCCAGATTGGGTGCTGGTAAATTCTCTCCCCTCCCTCCCCCCTTGTAGTTACACCTGACAGGCCTTACAGAAATAAGTAGCTTGAACAAGGTCTTGGATCTCGTCCCGTTTTGCTCAGCAGCATTGAAGAAATAAGAGAAGCTTCCAACCACATCGCGGATAACTTGAATCCTACTTACCCTGTGCTAAATCCTAAGCCTAGGATCGGTAATGATTGAACTGAGCTGAAAGCTTTTTTGGGGCTGATCTAATTTTGAAGTAGAAGAACGTGCTACCGATTCGGGACTTCGTGTTCGAGTGTTCACGCCAGAAGTAGCTACTCAGGACCCACTGCCAGTCGGTGTTTAGTAGGTACACTCCTAGAAATCGCACTTAGTTAGTTAGTTCACTAATCTAGCTGTGACTAACAATGCCATAGCTTCCACAGCGGAGGTTGGGCTTCTGGAAGCATCGAAGCGGAAGAGGGTACGTTTGGAAGGTTATAAATCTGTTATCCACATTTTGACATTCGAAAAGCAACATGCATCCACGTTGCGGTTCAGGTCCCCTCCATTATAATCGCGGTAGCCTACCGTCTTGCTCCTGAATTCAAAGCCCCAGCTGCGCACAATGATGCTGTAGACGCACTCATTTGGGTAAGTGATCCCGGCTTATTAACGGAGATGCATTAACGGAGATTCTTATCATGTTATAGGCATGGAAGAATGTTTCTGGTCTGGGTGGAGACCAAACAAGACTATTTACAATAGGAGGTTCTGCAGGAGGAAACCTGGCTATTTCCGTCGTTTTGAAAACCCTCGATCAAGAGATAAATGTTACGGGCATCGTTGCAATCGTACCCGTCACCGTGCATCCAGACGGTGTGCCTTCAAAGCACAGATCTGCGTACAAATCCTAAGCAGAATCCGTAGCGACACCAGTTATTAACAAAGCTACCATGGATATATTCTTTGGTACCTATAACGCTCTTTCTATAAGAGCTGCACTTGTTGATATTCTTCTAGAAAATTATGGTGCAGCGCCAACAGATCCCCTCTATTTCTCTATTGTGCAATCCAAGAATCGGAGAGTTACCGCCTACTTATCTTGTTTCATGCACGGCGGACCCTCTAAGAGACGATGCCAGGCTCTTCAAGCAGGAACTGGACCACCACAAGTAAGTGACTTGAAATATTTATCTTTATCACACTTTACTCATTGGTACGCATAGGGTACCGAATAAGATAAACGAATATGAAGGGATGCCGCACTATTTCTGGGTATTTCCCCAGCTGAAGCAGCGTGCGCAATTTTTGGAAGATTTGGTCAATGGTATTTGGTTTATACTTGGCCAATAGTTAGATCATGGCTAGTAGTCACAGCAAGCGTCAATCTCACTTAGATAATTCCTTTGAGTTATCGAAGTGGAATTCAATGATGATAGAGGTGTCGATAAGACAAAGGGGCTTTACTAAAGACATCATGGATGAAGTAACATGTTTGGGTTATTCTTAGGTCAGACTGCTATATGACCACATAATCTCCACCTATTTAGATCCTCTAGAGAAGGAAAGGATTCGGGGTGGAATGGTGGAGTAAACAAGTAAAGTATAGGCACACGATAGCAAGTGATCCTAGCTGGGCACTTGCCCGTCAGACTTTATCCCTCTTCAGGTCTTAGCTTCCTACATATCTCTGAATATATCGTTTTCAACGTGTCCTTTGTTTCCCTAGGTCCCATCCAATAGTGCGAGTTCAGAGAGCTGCCTACCTCTGAGAGAGATAGGGCCGGGCGTCCCTCGACTTATGCATGTTGTGAGTGACATATTATATATAAGTTACTAGCAACAAGCAAACCGGGATTAAATTTAAAGGCGTTTATATTGTTTTAATATTTTACGCCGCAAGGCTAGGTAACGGTAAACCCGCACGTGACCCAACAGGAGTAGATCCACCTACGGGGGTAGGATATACTCCTTGAAGGCAGTCGACTCCAGGAAGGACTGAATATATAAGGACACTCATTTCAGCATCATGTATTTAGTTCTTCGCGATCAATCTCACATTGTTACTTGGTTACTACTTTTACTACTTTACGCTTCACAGTTCACCTTCAAGACAACCCAACCTACAAATAGGGGAGCTCACTTCGTGGCAACACTCAGTGACTGACTTACTTGCCGCGCACTCTGGCACATCCTGCAAGATACTCAAAGGACCCAAGCCCGTGTAGGGCTTAGCATAGCAACGGTATGGTTGCGAGATACTCTTGGGATCGAAGTCTGTGCCGACAGGGCTAAAACCAGCCGTCTCAGCACATATAGTTGTTGTACTGTTATACCTCATAACAACTAAGGTAACTACAGCCCTTTCAGCATTTACTCACAGTGACCAGCAGGCACCGCGGAACATCGCATACATGGGGCGATTTAACTTTTTAGCAGGATCAGCCACGCAAGAGAGCTTCGCCTACATGCAGTGGGTGCGGGCAGGTTGGCCATATGATTAATCAATGTAAAAATCGCCAGTTTAATAGTAATTAAGACTTGTTGGTTGATATATCCTGTTTAAAATTTTTATCATGGGGGTGGGTGATCGGGTCGGCCGGGAACTACGTGCTAGCGGTAGGGTTAGTCTATACCGATCTATTTATAACGCGCTAGGCAAGTCGCTTAAGGTTATAAGACCGGGAGTTCTACCTTAACCCTATTAGGATAGCAGCGCTAAGGTGAGACTTCTTAACGAGCTAATCGGGAAATCTGAACAACACTAAAGGAATATTCTAGGAGCCACAAAGCAGCGAGGATGATAACAGATTATTCACAGCCAGGATTCGGTAATTAGAATCCACAAATAACGACTTAGTAGCTGAATTACAACGCGCGAACAACCGTCTTGAAGAGTCTCTGAGCAAAGGTCGTGATTTGCAGACTGAAAATCATCGGCAAAGAGATAAATTAGGGGATAGTTCGACCCGCGCGGACCACAACAGGACCCCAGCCCCCGTGTAAGGCTTAGCACAGCAACAGTACGGTTGCGAGATACTCTTGGGATTCGCAGTAGGAACCCGGTACGTACAACCCTCAGACGCTCTACTCACAGTGACCAGTTAACAACGCGTGACAAGAGGTTAAGCGAATGACTGAATATATTCGCATAGGTTTCTTGCAATATCATGAATGCTTCGATACCATTTTTACCTCTTATCGTTTTAATAGGCATCTGATTCTGTCTTTTATGGGAACTTCAATAGCGACTGCAATTTTGATTTTAACGCCGCAATCTCCGTTTCACATCGACTGCCATCCTCTCCTACCATACCGATGAGAGTGTTATCTATATTGTCCAAGAACGTTTGTGTAGCTGATAAAAGGCTTTCCAAGATGTACACAGGCAGGAATTCGAGAAGATCCAGGTTGTAAAAATATATACCAAGTGTTACCATCTCTCTCGAGGACTGCAAAAATATTCGGTGAGCAGACCTTTGCAAATAAGAGATATCATCCTGGAGTGCGGCTAGCTTAGTCAGAGTAGAAACTTGTCGCAGATGGAGGTCATTCATCACACGAAAAAACGTTATCTGAACCACAGCTCCATGGAGGGCTATGCATTCGACTCCGTCAATGAGAGAATCAGGAGCTGATAAGGTCCAATGTGACGGAATGTGTAGTTGCTGAGACCAAGTTACGAGCTCGAAAGCGTCCACGTCAATGCCATCTTTGCCCTTCTCCAAGAATTTGCTTCCAAGCAATTAGCAACCACTGCAAAATTCTCATATGGTCACTTATACGCATACCTGAACTGGATACAAAGCCGCATGTGATCAAGAAACAACTTCACTAGTTCATTTTGCTTGCAGGGGTCTCGCAAAATAGCCGTGTCTCTCGCGGCAGAATCGGGGCCGTTTTTCTCTGTGGAGATGATCTCGATGTCGGAACTATCGAGCACTCTGTAGGATAAATGGCTTACCACCATCCGAGGAGGAAGCTTTGCGAAGAGGGACTGAACCAACTCTCTTAGAAAACAGCACCACCAGACCCTCCTTCGAAGACACTGAGAGTCCAGGATTGAACGAGCATTATCGCATTCTCCTTGTTCCTTCAGACAGATAGAGACCGCAATTCCAGTCCAATGTCGTCCATCTTTATATCCGCCCGTAAGGTTGCCGCAATACGACAATAAAAGGAGTCCTTGAACAACAGCAACCTCGTCCGGTTCGAAATCGAACTCGTAAGGCAACTACAATTTGAATAAGCGAAGTACATATTAGCCACGGAGCACAAGTTAATTCTTTAGGGAGAAAGCATACCTTTGCGCGATTAAAAAGGACTCGTATGGCCTTTTCTCGTGTGGGAAATCCCATGTTCCTGAAACTGCTCAGATTGACATAGAGCGCATCAATAAACATGATACTTTGGAACACGAGTAAGCTCAATGTGCCTTCATATTTATTGTCTCCTTCAACAGCACAGAGTAAGCTTTGCAGATTCACAACTGGTAAGGTTGGATGCACGTAGTTGATATAACTCCAGATCAGTTCGTCGCGGAATTCAGTTCTTGGGATTTCAAACGCCTCTTTCCGACTCAGATACTAAAGAGACTCTTCACGTATGTTTTCAGGCGGTGGGCGGATGAATGAGCAAATTAATGGCGCGACTGTGTGCAAGTGATTGGTTGATTCTTCAGCGATCACCCGGTTTGGAAGCTCAGAGAGGTTGGCACGAAGCGAAGAATGACCTTTGCTCCCGCTCGAGTAGGTCACCGAATCTTTGGTGGTGTGTATTTCGAAGTCGTCGAGAAATGGTGAGAAAGCCACTATTTTGTCCCGGTTCGGAGCGGACGAGTTAGGACTTGGGTTTTCATCTACCCTGTCCAGCGGTGACGGCTGCCGGTATATTGTTCTAGTTTTGGATTCTTTTCTGCTAGTACTCGGTTCTTTCTGGCTGCAAATTGTTATCTGGTGTGGACACTTGAGCTGGTCAGCTAATTCTCACTTACTCTTGGCGCCTTCGTCTCATGACGTCACAGTTCAGATGGTCCCGTGAACAATTTGTGCATGGTTTTGCGAAAAATACGTCACAGCGTACTTTTCGTGACCGACATTGCGCACAGGCAACTGAAGCTCGCTTCTTTTTCCCTTCGCTGCTGCGTTCCAAGGAACTTGTAACTGTATGTGGCTCCTCCATCGTAAAACTAACTGATTATTGAATATATAAACAAATCACACCTCACGACTTGTCTATTGACGTAAGAAGAGTAAGTGTTTGTCGTTATTTCGTGGCGATAGATGGGGTTACAAATGATGTAGTTATTTGCAGACTAGACTTCGGTAAATCTGGTAGAAAATAAGGCTTGAGGGGAAGTAATGAGCCTAAGACCCTGTAACAAGATCCGAAGTGATGTGCGTGATGCTAGCATGACTAACCGTTCGCGTCAAGAGTGATTGGGTGTCGAAGCTGGTAGTCCTGTTCGACGTTCCATTTCAGGAAGCAGACAGAGAGGTACATCAGCCTCGCTTTCAGGTAATATTGTCAACCTGAGAATTCAGCGTATTGACTAGTACTCGACATGTTCAATAGAATCTGTTGATTGAAGCGGGAGGATCCGTACCCAGAGGTAACTACCCGATGTGTTACGACAATGTACTTCCTAGTTAATCCGGATTATAAACAAATACTGCGAGGAAATAGGCGGACGATAATAAGCCGAATCTCAAGATAACTAACGTAATCTACCGCCAAGCTCATCACACGGCCGAGCTGATCGCTCCGAAACACATAGTAAATGCGATAAATTACAACGTCATATCTCCTCAACCATGCGTGGATTTTACAAGTATTAGCAACCACACTCTTATAACTATAAAGAAATGCATGCTCAAATTTGATTCGATTTGAAGAAGTATTTAGTCCCATTACCATTAGATACGCGGCATTTAGCAACTTAGTGAAAATAATACGTATTCTTAGGTCAATATTCATAATAATCTTCTCAAAGTCGTGTCATTTACCAGGAATATTGTTTTGGGATTTCAATGCCCTACCTAAATTTTATATGGCGGTTGGGAGATGAATTTGTAGTTTATCGCATTTACTATGTTTTGGAGGGATCAGCTCGGTCGTGGATGACGTTAATCGCTTAGCACAATTAGTACTCGCCTCTAGAAACTCTTAACATTTGGAAATCGAAATTTCCAAAAATTCCTCGAAAAATGCGGCTGGTGGCTTGACCCAGCCCGATCACTAAAGAGCTCGCCACCACTTTCCACGGTTTTGTATACCCAACTGACGCAAATGCCCCCGCACCTACCCCAGCCTTTCTCTAAAGCGGGGCAGGCCACCAATAGCGATTCCTGGAGTTCTCGTATCGCCGGTGGCAGGAAACAGCGAACCCCTTTTCCCGGCCAGCAATTGGTCTTTCAACCTTCATTTCTCGACTCCGAGGCTCTACACCCGTCCTGCTTCGCGAATTTCTATCGAAATTCAACACACCCAATTCGGCTCAAGTTTATCCCAACCCGATCTTTGAGATACAGGATCCGTGAAGCAATTATTCTCGATTATTGTCAGGCATCAACACATTGCCTTGAATGAATGCATCATGAAACTCTACGTGGCCCAGATAAACCCCGTATAGTGAAGAAAGGGGCAAATGGTTGCACGGAATGCTCTAGCATATCCTTTTGAGCTTCACGTCATAAGAACACGATAAATTTCACATTGCAATTGCTATATAATGTAAAATAGGCACTTCGCTCACTCTCAAATCCCAACGACTACTCTGCCCTGCAAATTCCCTGTAGACATGCGCTGGAATATCTGTAGCGTAAACTGTGTCAGCGTCCAATAATAGAAAATTGCAGTTGACTGCGCGTCGTATGCAAAGGTTGTGACTTACATCCGTGAGGTTTTCCAGTGGCTCTAGAGTATACTTTGTCTTAACAATTCCTCGGGCCGCCATCTCTAAAATAGCCTCCGCATCTTTCTTATTTCCCACTGAAACGGCCGTAATGTTCAGCTGGGATACGATGAGGCGGGAAGGTTTCGCACTGCCAATGGGTACAGAAACTCCTTCCGGTATGCTGACACACACCAAGGTGCCACCAAACCTCAGGAATTGTAAAGCTTGTGTGTAGACGTCGTTGCTGGCTGCGCAAACAATTGCGGCATGGCTACCCAAATTGTCAGTGAGGCTCTTCACTTCCTCGATAATTGACGCAGAGTCTCCTTTCGTGGCATCGACAAAATGTTCGGCCCCGCTGTCCATTACCAGTTGTTTCTTGCTCTCATGGTCAATGCCGATGACTCTAAGTCCAAGTCCTCGGGCAGCAACCTGGACTCCAATGTGGCCAAGTCCACCACCGGCTCCGGATATGACAAGCCAGTCACCTCCACGCGCATTGGATTTCCGCAACGCCGCATACATGGTGATGCCGGCACAGAGCATAGGCGCGGCGTCTGCCGAAGAGAGGGAATCCGGTATTAGAGTCACATAATCGACTGGTCCAACCACATATTGCTGAAATGTGCCTGGTCTGAAATACCCTGAGATGGTTCGCCCGAAGCAGACCCCATCAGCTTGATCTATGCAGGCCGCTGTTCCATACTTAGATGCAGTTCACCGAAAATTAGAGGATTGGCCTACCGCAGCGATTGCAGACACTTCCTACCCATTTGATACCAACTCTGTCTCCGATCTTCATAATTGTATCCTTCACTCCGGGGCCCAGCTTAACAACTACCCCAACACCCTCGTGACCGCCTACTTGACCTATTCGACATAGACAGTGAGTAGATAGATCATTGGAAGCGAGTGAAATTCCCTACCCTTTGGAGTGGGATGGGGCATGACATCCCATGAATTGGTCATGACGGCTAGGTCTGAGTGGCAAACACCCGAATGGGTGCTAGTCGGAGTTATCAGTCACGCTGTCATAACTCGATTCCGCAATTGCGAACGAGGATGATAAGCTCCAAGAGAGTGTATAGATACAAATGAACGACTCACAGTCTGACCAAAACTTCTCCCACGTTGAGTTCCGGAGTTGCAACATCAACAATCTTCGTGCTTATTGTGCCCGGATTATCGTATATGGCAGCTTTGTGGGTTTTGGGGGTTTCTCCTGACATGGTGGTGAATTAGGTGGTCCTCTCTTTGACATGTAATAAAGGCAGTGTTCCGCGTGTCAGATTTAAATATGTGGTCTGAAGCTCCGTCTCCAAACTCAGTGCCACGGGCCACGAGGTGAACGGAATTGGCCATATTAATTGAACCGAGGCCAAAGAGGTCCACAGGTTATTTTTCGGACTAAAGGAACGGGGAAGGACCTGCGGAGTTTTCCACCGACCGGAGCAGTATCATGGTGGGTGTTTTTGGAGGGAGGCTGTCTTGATTTTCGCACCTTTGCGGGGTCCGGGGCAAGGGCAGCAGAAGCGTTATCAGAGGCAGGTCTCAGCGAGACTGTTCTTTTTCGCGCTAGAATGAGGTCCATACGGTAGTCGTAGGGGTCGACTGGAATTATTCCGGATTCTAATACGTATCCATGTTTTCAATGCCTGGAACTCCCGATAGATGAGAGATCCAATATATAACACTCTATTTCTATAATCGACGTATACGCCCTCGGAATTGAAACTATCGAATCGGAATAATCAAATATTGGAGCCACAGTGTCCGCGAAATGACTTACAATGAGATTTCAAGAACCTTATGCCATTTTGAAACTAGAAATGCGACATGGATCTAAAACGGTGTAGTTGCGATGGAGTTACATGGTGAGCAAAGCGAATAATTCATCATAGGACTCTACAGGAATTTTCTGACAAGGACAAAGCCATAGGCGGCTATTCAAAGCTCAAGTCTTTTGGGAAAAGAGAGACGGATAGGACGCTTGTTTTCCAGTGTAGAATTGGTTGTCACCATTTGCCCAGACCGGTGAGGACATTGATGGTAGTAAATATAACGACTACATATTCACCGACGGCTGCGGCCTTATCTGAGATGCCTCCAAACGAAAAATGCCGTCGATGATAGCGCAACAAACAAAACGTTCATTCCAAATCTTCCAATCATTGTCTCCTCGACGACTCGTCCAACATGGCTGGTGTTGGAATCGGTCAGGGTCTTCGCATAGGAGCCAGAGACTAGATAATCGGTCCACCGTATGACGGATGTGAGCTTTTGATATTCGATGACAGTGCCACTCCAGTTGTTGGTGATGAGCCCGTCCTCCATCTTATACCAACTCTTGCATGTAGGATTGGCATATGTACTCTTCAACAGCTTTTCTTGGATCTTCTCATTGAACAGCTGGACTGTTTGCTGGGAAGGGCTGATGGCCAAGGATTCATTTTGTGCCTTTGCTTCACAGACCTTTTTGACGATCTCAGAGATGTAGCGAGACTGTGCTTCGATCATCAGAATGATGGAGTTGTGTCCAAGGTTTGTATTAGGCCCATAAAGCATTGCGAAATTGGGAAGAGATTCCACGGTCATGCCGAGATATGCCCTCGCCCCACCCTGCCAAATATCTTGAATCGATCGCCCCTCCAGGCCATACACCTTGATTGGGTACAAAAATTCAATCGTGCGAAATCCCGTTGCAAGGACGATCATGTCGACCTTGTACTCATTGTTTTCGGTAGTGATGCTATCTGACGTGATGAAATTTATTTTCTCTGTCTCTAGGGCCACATGTGGCTGGTCCAAGGCCGAGAAGAGGTCATCAGAGATAATGACACGCTTGCAACCCGGAGGGTAGTCCGGTGTTAGGTTTTCGATGAGCTTTGGATTATTTTGAATCTGTCTTTTCATGAGATCAAGGCTCATGGTACGCAGAAGTTCTTTGCCATTCTCGTCATTAGTAACAATTGCATCGAAGAGCGCCGATTCTCTGATGTCCATGAGTTCTGCGCGGTACCTTCGGCGGGCACCAGGCACGTAACGGTAGAGATTCCGCCGCCATTGAGGGATATCGGCATCCTCCCGAGGTATCACCCAGTTGGGTGTGCGTTGGAATACTGTTACGTTCTTCGCATCCTTTGCAACTTCTGGAATGAGTTGAGCAGCGGTCGCTCCGCTCCCGATGACCGCAATCTTCTTCCTTTCGGTCTTGTGGTTCCAGTCCCAACGTGCGGAGTGGAGGATCTTTCCTTCGAAATTGTTGATGCCTGGGATTTCTGGATAATAAGGGGAGTTCAGCTGGCCTACAGCGGACACCAGAAAATCCGATGTTATGGTGTATGAATTGGTTGTTTCGGCATCCTTTGAGCCACTCGAAACTCGGACCGCAGTCTCCCACTTGGAGAAACGGTCACTCCATCGCGCCTCCTCAACAATCGTGTTAAAGCGGATGTACTCGTATAACCCCCATTTCTGAGCCGTCCTCACGAGGTAGGTGTGTATTTCTTTTTGGCTGGAAAATTCGCGAGTCCAGTCGGACGCCTCAAAAGAGTACGAATAAAGATGGCTCCACACTAGATGATTGTTAGCAAAGTCATTTAATGTCGGCACGTAGAAATGGCAGAGGTACCATCACATCGACTCCCGGGGTATCTGTTGTCACCCCATGTACCGCCGACATAGCTACTCTTCTCGACAATGATGAAATTGTGACAATTATGTCGTCGAATTAAGTCGATTGCCATGCAGATACCTGCATAGAGAGTGAAATCAGCACGTATTCAATGCGTAGAGTAATCCGCTTATAGGTCATTACCGGAGATGCCGGCCCCGATGATGAGCACAGTCGGATTGCTGTAGTCTGCGTTTTGGACACGCTGCTGATATTCTGCTGCCATATTTTCTGTGTTGGCCATTTTCTCTGGCGGTGAATTTTATGACGTCGGGCCAGTAGGAAAATCAAAATTTGGCAAGTCAATGTGAACAATTGAAGAGTAAATTCTTGCAAAGTCTACACAGATGAACTATCAATAAATACCGACAGCATCGGGCGTAAGCACAAATTTTCTCCGTTCTTAGAGGCCGAAATTGAATGATCTCAACGAAAGGTTCTCGGAGGCGATTAATTGCGCCACAGTGAGGGCAAGTGACAACGAGCTCAACTAAGCTAATTAGAGTTTGGTGTTTGTGATAGTCATGTTGAGTTCATTAGCGTGTGGGGTTGGGTGCATTGGATTGCGGAGGTACAGTAAAATGAGTGGTGGTGCCACGAGCGCTGTGATTCTGCTCTGATGGTGGGTACTATGGCTCAAATATCCTCGGCTGTCGCTGTGACTTACTGCTCCGGGCTAACGGAATGCTCACTGTTGCTTAACGTCTTAGATCACACGTATCGATGGGTCTTCCCCCTCCGTAAACATAGAACGACACATGATCGTACGTTATGCAGCACTGCGCTAGATACCTTCATCCTGTTTTGCGAGATATTAGCAAGATTCCAATATAAATTCAACCTGTTCATTTACAAAAGTAACTGTACTATCTCATATGAACTAGCGTTGTCATTGAAAATCAAAGACAGCCCTTCTTCTCTTACCCTTCAACATGTCAGATTTGACTCTCAATTTGACTGCTCCTAATGGGCTCAACTATATGCAGCCAATTGGATTGTTTATCAACAACGAATTCGTCAGGTCAGCTTCACGGGTAAAGTTGTCAACTATAGATCCTGCGTATGTCTCTATCGGACTTGATAAACAAGACTATACTGACAGATTTGGGCTCTTCAGGACTGAAGCAGAAATTGCAAGTGTGTACGCCGCGTCAACAGATGATGTTGAAGTTGCCGTTAAAGCCGCACGGAAGGCTTTTAATGAACCGTCCTGGGCTGGTATCTCGTCGACTGATAGAGGAAATCTGTTGCTAAAACTAGCATTACTTGTCGAGGAAAATGCTCACCATTTAGCTACTATTGAGTCGTGGGACAATGGTTTGTTTTTCCTGGGGAATGAAACGATTTCGTACTAAACCGATGTTTTCTTGTCCAGGAAAGCCGTACATTCATGCTCTAAATGTCGATATTCCAGCGGTCGCCAACACATTTCGATATTATGGCGGTTGGGCCGACAAGATTCAAGGTGACGTGATAGAGACTAGCCCTCAAAAGCTGACATATACAATTCGGGAGCCCGTCGGAGTTTGTGGTCAAATTATCCCGTATGTTAAATCCCTCTATATTGAAGTCTAGCTGAATCTTATACGACGAACAGTTGGAATTTCCCACTGGTAAGAGCATATGGAGTCGGCATTAAGCCATGGTATCGTCTTCATTATAGTCCATGAAAGCTGACAACTTGCCAGGCCATGGCCGCATGGAAACTTGGTCCTGCCCTTGCATGCGGAAACACATCGGTACTAAAGCCTGCACAGCAGACTCCACTGTCCATTCTATACTTGGCAACTCTTATCAAAGAGGCAGGGTTCCCTCCAGGAGTCGTTAATATTCTCAACGGGCACGGCAGAACCACGGGAGACGCCATTGCTACCCATGTCGATGTCGACAAGGTTGCTTTTACAGGGTCCACAGCGACTGGTAGAAAGATCATGCGATCAGCAGCTCTCAACTTGAAGAACATTACCCTCGAGACGGGAGGCAAGAGCCCCCTTCTAGTTTTTAATGACGCAGACTTGAAATCAGCTGTTGCCTGGGCACACACCGGTATTATGTTTAACCAAGGCCAAGTCTGTACTGCCAACAGTCGGATTTTAATCCAAGAAGGCATTTACGATCAGTTCCTTGTTGCCTTTAAGGAACAAGTGAAGAATGTCTCTAAAATAGGAAATCCATTCGATGACGCCACCTTCCAAGGTCCTCAAGTGACCCAAGCTCAATTCGACCGTATCGTGAGTTATATTAACAGCGGGATCGCGGAAGGAGCATGTCTAGCATATGGGGGCAAGCCTTATAAAAATGTTAATGGTAAGGGCTTCTTCATTGAGCCGACCATCTTCACGAATGTGAAAGACGAGATGAAAATCTGCCAAGAAGAAGTGTTCGGGCCCTTTGTTGTAATCTCGCCATTCAAGACGGAGGAGGAAGCGGTACGCAGAGCCAATGACACCCCTTTTGGTCTCGCAAGCTCAGTATGATCTCCAAAAACCCCCTATTTTCATAAATATTAATGCATAGACAGGTCTTTACACGAGACATTAAGAAGGCGCATCGCGTTGCGAGAGCCATCCAGGCAGGAATGATATGGATCAGTTCAAGTGGCGATTCAGACTTCCGGTAAGCACAACTATCCCGAACTGTCAACCTCTTTTTTCAAGGACCACTGACTGACAAGTGCGCTTAGTATCCCATTCGGAGGTGTAAAACAGTCTGGTATGGGCAGAGAGCTGGGAGAGGCTGGCCTTGCAGCATATACCAATCTCAAGGCTGTTCATGTAAATTTGTCTTAAGTAGTTTTGGACCGAAGGAAGTCGCTTCTCAAATATATCATGGACTTAACACTTTACCAAGCACATATCTCTGATGTCTGACCTTAAATAGGTACTTTACACGTAGATGTTGGAACCAAGGCCAATTCCTAGCAACAGGTGTCTCTCTTGTCTAGAATTTGTCACTCCCTTCTATAAGAGTCAGCAGCATGCCCTATGTAACCTTGGGGACGATAAGTCTGTGGCCATTTCCTGCGTCGTGCTAACCGTCTGATCACGTAACTGTGTGTATTATTGTTCGTGACGGTTAGTCGCAGGCCGATTCCGGCTTCATTTCCGAAATGCTTTCCTCAGAGCCTTCGGGGCGTGCCTGGGTATACTGAAACGCACGTGATGACGTTAGCGCCCGTGGAATGATTGGTTCACGGTTGCTACCCAAGTTCCTGCGGTCAAGCCGCCCCTCGAGGTCCGTAACAATATATAATAAATAGGATCTAGGTTAGTAATAATCTATTCGTTAATAGCGTCTAGGCTCCTGCTCTACTACCCCTGTTCAGCATTATCTAGCTTATATATATCTATACGATCTTTCTATTCTCGCTTCGTCGACTCGTTACCACCTTCGGGGTATTATAGCCTTCTAGGCTTACGAATCGGTTACTCAAGATAGTCTTCTTTAAGCTAAGGGTTAATAAGGTCCTATACCCTCTTCTATCGTGTATATATCTTAATTTGTGCGAACTAATTCCTCCATTACGGTAGGTCCTTTAGTTTCTCGCCCTTCATAGCGGAGACAACTATTAAATCCATATTGATCGCGCTTCCTTCAGCAGTTCTTTCGATAGGAAGGTCAGGGGTAAGAGGCAGACGTCTAGCCGGTTGCTACCGCGCATATGCCTGCGTATAGCTTCAATTGACGAATATAGCCTTCTTACTGGCGAATCGGGCTCACAACAGTCGGAATACTGCTTAGTGGGTCATACTGGTGCACCAATAGGATATCAACAAGTCTGAATTGCTATACTGCCCCTTGCTGGCAATTTATGTGGGCATAATAATGACTAATCTGGCGCATCTATAGTTAGTATCTCCTTTCTCCGGTATCCACCCATGCTGCTGCTCCGACAGGCCCCACAAGCCTGAGGCACCCACATCGGAATAAACTCATGACAAGTTGGTGTATCATAACATAAATATATTGCCTTTTACACTTAGTACTTAATATCAAAGCTATAGGCTGATTCGTAGTGCATAGCCCAGTATTTATCCCAGATAGCCGACGTAATTGGGCCAATCTTGCCGTCCTTCACATGCTCACCATCAAGCGATGTGATAGGCATGACACCCCCGGCAGTTGAGCAGATGAGGATCTCATCAGCAGTGTATGCTAGTGCTGTGGGCACAACCTCTAAACGCACCTCATAGCCTAGGGCTGCAGCAGCGTCGATGACACTCTTACGGGAGATTCCCTCGAGAACACCACGGTCAGGAGTGTAGAGAACGCCATCTTTGATAAGGACGATGTTGTAACCAGATCCTTCGGTAATGTTGGCATCTCCATCAGTCAGGAAAGGGTGCATGGCACCACGATCATTGGCCTCGATCAAGCCTCGCACGAGATCACCCCATTGAAAATTCTTGACGGTGGGGTCCATGGAGCCAGGGGGACATCGTCGGACAGTTCGTGAAATGATGGCGCTGCCGCCAGTACGTTGCTCCTCAGGTTCAGAAATCCAGGCGTAGGGTATAACGAACAAATAAAGGTTGTTCTTAAGTTCTTCTAGCTTGCCGCTGCGAACGCTCTTAAGGCCACGGGTGACAATAAGCTCAACGTAAGCGTCGCGGATACCACTCTTGGCAACCATGTCGACCAAGATAGTCTTGATATCCTCCTTGGGGATGGGAATTGAAGCTGCAACTTCTTGCAGCTTCGCTCTAGTCGGTCGACGTGATCATTGAGACGGAAAAAACGTCCATCCCAAACAGCTGGTACGTCGTAAGTCAAATCACTGTGGAGGAAACCCTGGTCCAACAAAGGAATGCGAGCCTCATTGATAGGAGTGAGCTCGCCTTCGATCCAGGCGACTCCTTGAGCGAGGGGGGTTGCTGCTTGCTTCAAGGACAGCGGTGCGCTTGGCATATTCGGCAAGGACTTTTTCCATGGTAGACATCTTGAAGGCGGGATATCAAGTCTGCTGATTCTCTTGATTGGGCGATGAATGAAAAATCCGGAGATCCGAAGGTATTAATAGGCACAATTATTACATATAATGATTCGAGATCTGTTGTCACTGGCCCCACGGAAAGCCATAGCGAGAATCTTTTAGTGTTACCTGTCCCTGTTCGTTATCTGTATCTGTTTCAGTAGCAATAGGTGGTTAGACAATCAAGTGACAGCGAAACTCCGCAATTGTTTATTATCGAAGATCTTATCTGTCGCCGATAACGAGGCCGAGAATTATCAACACTGGCTTATAGTAAGTCACAGCGAGCTCCCCCATATCTTATCGTAAGTTACGTTATCACCTCAGCTAAATGACATACAGTGGCGTTCCAAAAGTTTGAAACACCCGGCAGAAAAAAGGGAGGTCTGCTCCACTAAACCCTCTGTCCTAGCGAATAGCATGTAGTGAAATGAAGGCTCTATACCTAGTCTGATAAGTGGTGGGCTTGATTCAGCAGGCGGTAAAAAAGACGGTCGAAGGGGTGCTTCAAACTTTTGGAACGGGACTGTAATCAAGTGGCAGAAAATCAAACCAACTAAATATATTTAATGTATCTAAAACATACATTACTTTCTTGTTTTTAACCCCTCTTTTCGCCAGCCAATGTCATCGAGCAAGTCACGTTTCTTCCTATCTGTGCCTCTTATCCGCCGACATATCAAAACCTATATCAAAACGTATTACTAGCTTATAGTAGTTATATTAAGCAACCACCAGTCGCCGGAGCACCGAGGCACATGACATACACGGTGGAGCTCACAGAGCTGAGTAAGCTAGGAAGGTCAATATTCTCAGGGGATTCCATGTATTCTATCTTCAAACGATATCTTGAGACTGGCCCCGTTCTATTGGTCAGATACCTAATACCAGTCATTACCTCAAATTCCTAAAACCGACATCACTTTGTGGTGGAGATTCAGTTTGGGGAACACATGTGCAACATAATACAGAATTAACAAAGGCGGTAAGGTAAGCCCATATTATCTAATTTGGCTGCTGAAAACTAACGTAATTCCTGGCCGACCTGCGCACCCCAAAACACATAGTAAATGCAATAAATTACCACTTCATATCTCAACAACCATGGCTTATTTTTACTTGAATATTATATTAAAGGCTCTTCCTAGCATATGAAATAACATATCGTGGTTTTAAGCAATTTAGATGGTTATTTCGATGCTTTACCATAAAATACAGCGTAATTTTGGCAAGAGTGACATAAATATATATATCTCTATTAGTACTTCCAAGAGTTTCCTCATACTTCGCCAGTAGGCTAGAAATACTATCTTGATTATGTACTTTTAATATCTTATCATAAATAGATGTGGTTGTTGAGATATGAAGTGGTAATTTATTGCATTTACTATGTGTTTTGGGGTGCGGAGCTGAACGGGTGCGCAGGTCGGCCGGGAATTACGTTATCTATGGCCCACCGTACGTGAGTTTCTGCCATTCGTAGATTGTTTTTTAAAGAATGTGTCGGCGAGCTAGATATAAGAACGCAAGGTAACCTCTTTCTCGGAAAACCCCTTACTCTGATAACCCCAACACCTGGCCCCTTCAGGAGCGATCAACAGCATATTGTCGTGTGTAACAGAATAAGTTACTCGCAATGGCGCAAAAAAATGTGGTTATCGTTGGGTACGTGTTGATGGTTTGCTTTTTCCGAGTTTGTGTTGACTGTGAGCTAGTGCTGGAGTTGCTGGGTTGACAACGGCCCTCCTCCTTTCCAAGGACCCCATATACAAGATTGTTGTAACTGCAAAACATATGCCCGGTGACTATGATATTGAATATGCTTCCCCATGGGCTGGAGCAAACTATATGCCGTAAGCTGATACCCTTCAAGGCTTTGGTGAAACAGTGGTTGATAAATTGCGGGTCTAGTGTTTCTTACACTGGTACCGACTCAGCAGAGTGGGATAAGAACACCTGGGGTCCGCTGGAGGAGCTGGCCCGCAATCACCCAGATGCCGGTATCCATTTTCAAGAGTGTCAGATTCTCAACCGGGCCAAAGACAGCCAGTCTGCCACGGCGGCCTGGTTTGCCGAACTGCTCTCGCCCAACCCGTGGTTCAAAGACGTCGTGCCCAAGGTGAGTGCGCCCATATACGGTGTTTATTCAAGTATACTTATCATTGATGTCTCAGTTCCACCCGCTTCCCAAGAGTGAGCTTGGCCCTGAAATTGATCACGGAGTTTCCTTCATGTCTGTCTGCATAAATACGGCCATCTACCTCCCTTGGCTCGTTTCACAATGTTTAAAGCGCGGAGTCATTTTTAAGCGCGCCTTTTTTAATCATATTCTAGACGCCACAAATCCTGGTGTTCATCCATTAGACAAGGTTCATGTTGTCGTCAACTGTACTGGACTCATGGCTAGCAAAATCGGTGGTGTCGAAGACGAGGCTGTTGTGCCTGCTCGAGGACAGATTGTTGTCGTCCGCAACGACGCTGGAAGGATGCTAAGTATCTCTGGAACCGACGATGGAGATGATGAAGCGTGTTACGTTATGACAAGAGCGGCTGGTGGCGGCACAATTCTGGGCGGCTGCTACCAGAAGGGTAGCTGGGATGGCAATGTTGACCCCACCCTTGCAATCCGGATTATGAAAAGGGCGGTCAAGCTCTGTCCTGAGTTGACAGACGGAAAAGGGATTGAGCATCTGGATATTGTTCGTCACGGCGTTGGTTTGCGGCCGGTGCGAGAAGGTGGAACCAGAATCGAAAAGGAACGCATCGGAGGCGTGACAGTGGTGCACAACTATGGTTCAGGCGGAGCCGGATATCAGAATTCGTATGGGTGCTCACTGGCAGCGGTGAAGCTGATTGAGGAGGCTGTGGCTTCACAATCGAGGCTGTAGTTGCAACCCTGCATATCTTTTACTAAGCAATTCCTTTGTGCTTATTCTTCGTGTATAATATTGGCCCGAGAATTTTAACTATATAACCGGATCGCAAAATTAATTCAATTGATCTTCTCTATGAGTCTTTCGAAGAAAACAATGTTTTACAGATGTATAAAGGACTTCTTAATCCAAGCCTAACCAGATACAAAAACTCGACAAACTCGACTATGACTTCCAGCACCCGCAACATCTAAGACCTCGAAAACAACCTAGACGAATTAAATAACGCTGTTCCTTTCAGATATTTGATCTAAAAAGTCATTTTTCCATATTTTCTTTTTCAAAGCAGAGAATCTATGGCCAGAGTGACGGGGTGTTCAAAATAGCGTCTTGGCTCCTTGATTCGATCTCGTAATGTTGATCTCGGCACGTCAAAAGCATGTGCAGCAGCGATCTGGAATGTTTCTGGCATTCTCAAAGTGGATCATTCCTCTAGGCTCAATGTATCCCATAATCGTATTTTCTAAAGATAAGCATCAGGTTTTCACTTTCTCCACTATCGCTCGCCGACACCTTCCGTATTCCAATGTTTCTTAACCCTCCTATACCTCGCTGTCGCCTTCCAGTGTCATGTCTGCGGAGAATACGCCTCTATCTGTCTTCATCTACTTCCATTTACCTCTGTTCTCTGCATCGGGATTCTCGCCCTATCCATCCCTCTCCAGCCCCACATTATCGATTATCGTGCATTATCGCACTCTGTATTGCAACTGATCAGCTATAGCCTATCCCCAACATCGCGCTCAACGTATGATTTGCGACGTATGATAAGTTGAAGACTTATCAGAAATTATCGCGCTCGCTGTCACTTGCTTCTGCATGTACTGGTTTGATATTTATAAAGTTCAGGGGTCCTTCACAAAAGTAATTTGAGCATAACACACTCTTCAACACACTATCTATCGACGCTCTGTTTCAAATGAGTCATGTCAACTGAAAAGCCTAAGCTGCGAGAGCTGCCCAAGGGCAGTTCTCCTGAGGAGATTCTCAAAATCATGCGTGAAGACGGCGGTGTTATTATCAAAAACTTTCTCACCCCCGACCAAATCTCACGCTTTAACGCAGAGATTGCCCCTGCCATGGAGAATCTGAATGCAGGCTCCACGCACTCCGACAAGTTTATTTCGAGCTTCCACGGCAGCAACACAAAGCGCCTAACAAATCTTCCAACACTCAGCCCAACCTTCCGCAATGAGATTCTGGACAGTGACGAAGTTCATGCTATTTGCGAAAGTGTGTATAGCGAGGAATGCAAGAGCTACTGGATGAACACCGCGCAAGTGATTGAGATCGGCCCAGGAAATGTCGCGCAGCCTCTTCATCGCGACCTTGAGAATAACTACCCCTTCATTACCATGGGTGAGGCAGGCCCAGAGATCTCTTTGAACTTTCTCATCGCCTTCACCGATTTTACCGACGAGAATGGAGCCACGAGAGTCATTCCCGGTAGTAACCATTGGCCGGATTATAATGACCGCGGAACCCCCGAAATGACTATCCCAGTTGAAATGAAAGCTGGAGATGTGGTTTTGGTGTCAGGAAAACTTATACACGGTGGAGGTGCCAATAGAACAACAGATTCCTATCGCGGGGCAGTCGCCTTCACGTTCCAACCGGGCTATTTGACACCCGAAGAGGCTTATCCCCACCTTCTCGAGCTGGATCTAGTCAAGTCCATGAGCCCGCGAGCACAGAAGATGGTCGGATTCCGCAGCCAGTACCCGAATGGAAGCCCAGGTCTGTGGCAGGTTGATTACAAGGAGATTGGCGATTACTTGGGGCTTTGAGCTGTCGTAGTAATTTTCGATATTTATATATATGGAAGGTGAATTTGGAACAATGCGATACAAAATTTTTGATCTATCCTAATTTCGGTAGATACATATTGTACTGAGGTAGTTAAAATTTCTTTTACATAGATTTCATTGTCGTTAGTCTTTCCGTCAACACCCCCGGATTTTTTTTCAAGGTTCCGCATCTACCTAGTGTAAGATGGGAATGCTCGCTGGCAGTCTGTCAAGCAGACGGGTCGATTGCAAGAGGACAAAACCACCACACTCGCAGAGCGCAGGATAGTAGTAGACAAAGCGAGACGCTATTGAGATGCGACTAATAAGACATTCGAGTCTTCATAGACATGCGATATACCGATACCGCAACCTCAGCCTCCGCAGGAAATGACAGAATTGTGAACACGATTGTTATTGAATGTAGAATGCTGTCGAACGAACTATTTATTGAGATAGGTAGAGCAGGCAATCAATAGATAGTTGTTAAACAAGGGTACAGTGCCCTGAAACGAAGGGAGTGAAAGGGGTTATAAACCACGCGCCTGCGCGAGGCTGAGTTAACGTTGCTTAGAACGCTGCGATTCACGCAGCCTACGCCTCCCTGTCATTGGTTGTTGTCGGGAGCGGTGAAAGCCTACGGTAGAGTTTGATCTGGTCTACTCAAGATGTTTGTAGTTTGAATATATCCGCAAAGGCTACACCTGAATCTCAACGGCCAGCGTGTAATGTCGTTTCTATCTCGGGCTCATAAGAATGGAGGCATGGGTACATTGGGGGTATCATTGTATCAGCGCTATCCAATGATGGTAAGTAGAATGGTAGCCCCAGGCTCCTAGGAGCTCATAGCGAACTTGGACTAATCATATCTACCGAGGCTATGTGGTGCATGTGAGTCATTCATGGCACCTATTGGCTCATTATTCTTCGGCAGATATCATTGTATAATAATTTGTATTCGTAGTATCCAATTATAACATTAATATTAACGACCCACAGGCTCCTGGGAGCCATGGCCAGATATCAACCAATCATCCCACTGAAGGCCTGTGCGCATGTGCGCATGTGGGCCATTCATGGCACTAATTGTGTCGGAATGTCGGAACAGAAATGTACGTCCAATCAGGTCCATGGGTAGTTGTCTGAATTGTTATGCCTGTACCCATACAAACCTGTATGGGTGGGAACATGACTAATCTCGGCTAGTCTATAAACAGCAAGCCAATACACATCCTGACAATACTGAATCTCCACCGATACTGACAAATTGCCTCATATTTCCTGGTGGTAGTACGCACCTTCCCGTGTCCACTTGGTTCCCAGGAGATTGATATGGGTATTGCCATACGCAAAGTCGAGGCCGATGGCAGAGACAATTGTTCTACGGAAACGTGATCGATCTAGTAACTCACTCACTATTCAAGGAACTCTTTGGTGAGATGTGGGCTGTGCGAATCAGTCCCAAACTGCACCATAGCTTGTATCTGCTTGGACATAGAACATTATGCGTTTGGGCTAGTAGGTAGCCAGGAGTGAATCATCGCTTGATGGTTGTTTATTATTGATGGGGCAATCTTCGAGTAAAATAGTGCGCTCATCATCGGTTAGTGAAGGTTGCCGCCACACCCGTCGCAATAACGTACGGGCCCATGTTGATGAATGTTGAAACACGTCATCGGTGCGTCTCTGCGGCATTTTCTCTACTGTTTAAACGAAACCAACAGTGAGGAAAGCAATTCATATGCTGGATCATCAGGAAAAACACAATGCATTCGAGTGCTGCATCAAATCAATGATGAAATGTTGAACCAGCTGCAATTGGAGAGCCATCTGTGTTGTGCCCTCACAATTCACAATGATCATCGCATCGACGTAAGCAGAATGCCCGGCTGGATTGCTATAAATACCCGGCCCTTCGCCAGTAGAAAGTTGGTTCTAAAACATTCCTTTGTCACTCTGGGGCAAAGAATATCGATCGCTTTTCGTCTTCGCCAGCAACACTTCGGTATGGACTGACCTCGACGTCAAGCACTTATAATTAAACCGACTTGTTTTATCGCACTAGCCTGTCATTATTCGATGCTGAAGTCTTCAAACAGCAAGTGAGTGTAGCTGCCCTGTCATTTGAAATCACGCTGACATGGAATATGTTCAAGATCAGTCCTCCTCTACTATCCCTCTAGGAAACCCATTTGACGGACCTTGGATGACCTCAAAATGATCGAAGCTGCGAGCACGGTGAGTTATGAAGAGCCTTCATAGGCTGCCTACTGATGATTAATGATAGATCGAAGTCGTCTCTTACACAGCCGCTTCAACCTTGCTAGAATGCAGCGAACAGCAACAGGTAACGTAAGTTTTTTTTTATCAGCAGCAATTTGAAGAGTCACCATCCTGTGCTGACGACCTCCTGTATCAGAAGGCAAATATTCGATCACGAGCCGCTCGATCTCCTCTAAGTCACCCTGGTGTGTTGCCTCTGGCTACGCCCATGACGGCTGCATTTTGAATCTCGTACGGATGCTATCCAATTGAGTTATATCGTGTCGTGCTGTCTGTCCATCAGAAACGATTGCTAATGCAACTTTCTAGTCATAGGACAAATTTCAAGATAGCACTCGCTACGACCAAGCCATACTTCCCCGTTGTCCTCAAAACTAAGGATGCACGTCAGGCCGGACCAATGGATGCCAGTGCGTTTCTATTTCGCTGTTCCAGGACACCTGCTTGAAACTTCCATTTCGGGGTTGTCAATAATCACTATCTTCTTAATGCAGCCAGCTCTCGCTCAGTGGCTTGAAGCATTTCACGTATCTGATCCGCTTCACGCTCCAATCTAGCCCGCTGCTCGCCTGCAAAATCACCTAGGAAAGATATACTGGGTATAACGTGCGCTTGGAGAGTTACCCACGGCCTCGAGAGCTGGAAGTGTTGTGTTTGACTAAGATTCGAAGAATCCCGCCTACGGTCATAGTGATGACATTGGGTTGGGTCCAGTATCCACGGGAGTGGGACCAAGTCTCCCCCCGGAGCTGAGGATATAGATCGGAACTGTGGTGACTCGGTCATCCGGACCACAGAAGATAGTCCCCCGGTCAGTGGAGTTTGCGAATGTCTCAGTGGTTCAGGCTCTAATAACTTTGGTAGAGCGTGGCTTGTGTAATCAATCAATTTAGAGGAAAGAGGGAATGGGTCCGCGTTGCAAACAGGCTTGCAGCTCATACGGTCATATACCTCTCCAGAAGGATAGGCCATAGCAGACGGAAATGTTTGGCGATTCGAGGAGTATCCATCTAGAGGCTGAACGGCTGAAGTATTCGACCTAAATTTTGGCGTTTGCCGCTGACGCCGCCTGACAATGGACTTTTTCATCACCACCGGGCGAAAGCAGCCGTGGACCTTGAAATAAAGTCCTTATTTCCGTCAACCGAATGGCGCTCTTGATGAAAACAAGAATGGAACGGTTTTCCGACTTACCACAAGCATTGCAAATAGGATGTCCATGTTCATCTCGCCGCCAAAGGGGCGTTACGTTTGTTCCGCAATTATCGCATGCAACTAACTTTGAAATATTATCAGGAACGGTGTTCGCCCCTGTTGCTGTTGAAGCCGAGCCAGGCTGAGACCCTGATGTCTGGCCACGGCAAATAGCAAACTTACCCCGATGCACAGATTTGTAAGTGCGGTTATAATATACCGGGCATCCTTCGCAGCTTTCTGTGCCACCAGTCCCGTTGCAATTTTCGCTCCCAGGGCAGGAACCTCTGGTGCCATAGCAAGTCCTATATGATGGCGTATTTGGTCCGTGCGCTGAAGATGCGGAAGGGTAGTTAGCAGGAGCAGTATTTTCAGCGCACTCCTGCTGCATTGGCTTCGTTCTCGTAGGGCGAACAGCATTGCGGGCTTTCAGATAAAGGCCACAAGCATTGCAAATCATGTCTCCTGCCGGTGACCGGCGCCAAAGTGGAGTGCTGATCGTTCCGCAATTACTATAGACCGCGTTAGTCAATCGAAACCACAAAAAATCGATTAAAACCCACTTGCATGACCGTTTCAGAAACGAATTCCCGGGGACTTCGGCGGATATATTAAAGCCGGCTTGATCATGTTGCTGGTCCACTGGCGCCGGGCCTGCATTCAATAGAAAACTCTCCTGTGGCTCCTTCCCGCGACTGTCTTTGTGTTGTGCCAGGTTTACATGATCTATATGTGCAGGGAAGGTTGACTGCTGAAGAACACCATTATTCTCGACATAGAATTTTCGCATGAGTATGCCGTGGTTCTGAGATAGATCCGGGCAGTCCATTCTGGAAACTGAGTGTTGACCTTGTTCCTCAATGTCAGCCCAAGATCTCGATTGATGTCTCTATCTTTCAGACAACAAAGAGAGGACTGTCAAGTCGGGGGACGCATAAACGGCAAGCTATTGTACTGGTTTCGCACCGCGATCGGGATTTGACACACATTCGCTAATTCAGACATTTAGCAAGGCAGCTTCAGAAAGCAGAAGATCGGCACGCTCCGGATTAGCAACTGCAGATAGCCCAGGCCACATAAAGCGACAATATTGATGTCCTGGGTTTTGGAAGGGGGATGGTGGGCAGGGAAAGGCCCTGCATTGCGGAGGAATATTGCAAGCGACGTCTCAGTACTCCGATCTGCGCTTACAAAGAGTGCGTCATGGGGCTTCATAGCATAGGCCAAGCCACATGAGAGGAATCGCACGTTTCTTGAGGAGGTCCTTGCGGGCCAGTGCGCAACAAATTTCCTTGAGGTCTGTGCCATTGGTGGACGGTGCAGGAGCCGCAGTCAGCAGCAATAAATGGAAGTTTATTGGCCACTGGTAGGAGCTTGACCCGCTTAGTCGACGGACAGGTGTTATTGCTAGGTGTGCTAGGGTAGCAACCTTTTCGGGGCCGGAATGATATCAGATCCCTTAAGGATTCATTGATTTGGTTTATTTCTTAGGCTTTTCACGACCTTGAGTCGGATCCAGCCCCTTCAATCATTAGTCACACCCCTGTAGCGTTACTTCAACCATTCAACATAGTAATTTATGGTAAATGACATTATGTTTTTATACTATGACTCTTCTGAATTATTCCTTTTTTGGACATCAGGTAGTTTCAACGTAATACACGGAGACAGTCTTAACTCATGCTCCTAGTATTTTAGAATCTATTCCTCCCAAGCCAAAGAGTTAATGTAGGGAGGCAGAACAGCTTTGAAAGGGGGTCCACATTGTGGCCAGAAAGGCTTCATCACTCGGTGGTTGAATGAACTATCATCTGGTTTTTCTCATCAAATCGAAAACTGCACCTAAGATTAGTTTAGCACTTGATGACCTTTGAAATACGGGGCAAACCGCGGTCTTCATGAAGGCAACGATTTATCCGGATTTCAGATTTGCAATGGCCGAGATTGTTCAATTGGAAGATGACGGTTGTTGAATTACTTTACATAGAATAGACTGCTCCATTAAGAGCCTTCAATTATGCTTTCATTTTGCTCTCGATATTTCGCATAATGAAGCGGCATATTGGTACTAGTCGGGTTTGCCAAATACGTCTCATGGAATTTTGTAGTTGCTCATTCAGATCTTGTATTGACTGGAAGAGGCTTTAAAAGGGACTGGAAGCTTTGTATGAGAGTGAAATTTTGGATTTCCCGTGAGAATATCCTGATACCTTATTCTTGTAATGGCCTAATCGTAAATTTTTCGGATCCATGGAACGCTGGGCGGCATGATGCTTCGCAGTAGTTGTGACTCACAACGGAAAAGATAACAGTTAGGCTAACAGATGGAGGGGGGTAAGTATTCGTTCCCAAGGAGGCAGTGCAAAAGGCCTCCAGACAAAAAATTCAGTGGGCAGGCAAGCGATTTGCCAAGGCGAGTTGTCCATGGAACGCTTCTTCAACCAAACCTACATATTGGCTGCGTGAAAGCCGTTTCACCATGTTCGACAACGTTGAGGCCAATTATTCGGAAATCGACTGGCTACAGTACGAGGCAACATTGGCAGACTTCTGAAGACACGGGAAATTAAGCTGCCAAGGCGGGTGATCCATGGAACGTCACTTCGATCTACACCCTATGCCAGCTGCGTTGAAGGCCTTTCACCTAAGTCAACAACGTTGATGAGGCAAGTTATTTGTCAGGCCTAGACCCAGGAGAGCCACGGCTCCAGGTGGATCCAGCCACTCGACCCGCTCTCCACCCCGAACTCTTGAGAATTCTTATTTCAACGTTGAATAAACCGCCTCAACGCCCAGCAAAAATGCGGTCGCCAGGTACGAGTGTCGAGTGGAAATGCCTGGGTCCGGCAAGATGTACGCAAGTGGTCGCTGCCGAAAAACGTACCCGAAATGGCATAAAAGACGCTCTTTTCCCGTCGAAAAGACAAGCAGGATTTTCCTCCTCACACTCCCGGGCCACTCGGGTGTTCTTCGCAGGATAAGATCTGCGTTACCAAAAAGTCTTCGCGGGTAAGGCCCCGCGTAATCAAGTTTGCCTCGCAGGGGGACGCTGCGTTACCAAGGGAGACCCGCAGGAGAGTGCTGCGTCAACAAGTTCTCCCTCACAGCCCATGAGCCCTGTGATTGTAAAAACGTGCTCCCTCGCAGCCCATGAGCCCTGTGATTGTAAAAATGTGCTCCCTCACAGCCCATGAGCCCTGTGACTGTAAAAACGTGCTCCCTCACAGCCCATGAGCCCTGTGATTGTAAAAACGTGCTCCCTCACAGCCCATGAGCCCTGTGATTGTAAAAACGTGCTCCCTCGCAGCCCATGAGCCCTGTGACTGTAAAAACGTGCTCCCTCACAGCCCATGAGCCCTGTGATTGTAAAAACGTGCTCCCTCACAGCCCATGAGCCCTGTGACTGTAAAAACGTGCTCCCTCACAGCCCATGAGCCCTGTGATTGTAAAAATGTGCTCCCTCACAGCCCATGAGCCCTGTGATTGTAAAAACGTGCTCCCTCACAGCCCATGAGCCCTGTGACTGTAAAAACGTGCTCCCTCACAGCCCATGAGCCCTGTGACTGTAAACACGTGCTCCGCAGGGACGCCTGCGCTATCAAGAGCCTCCGCAGGAGACCGCTGCGACACCAAGTTCTCCCTCACAGCCCTGAGCCCTGTGATTGTATAATTTTGAGCTTCCATGCAGCCTTGAGCCCTGCGTTATCAAATTTGTGCTTGTTAGGCGGCCCGTGGCGCCGCGGTCCTCGTCCTGATCCTCTGGCGATTGCAGGCACCTCTTCGTGGTGTCAGAGACTAGTATTCGAGGGCACTCGGAGAAGCCAAGACCTGCTCCAAAATTGATAGAAATAGAGAATCCAACAATACTTGTTATAAAATGACTTCACTATTGTACGTAAATGCCACTGTGCATAGCTCTGGTTCGAAAAATGCACTTTGTAGCGCTCAATCACGCCCTGGGCTTCGAGAATGAACATTCTCTTCCACGTAGTGTGAATTAGAGCATCGAGTCATGGCTGGTAGCAGGGTCGCCAATCTGGGTGGCGGCTGAAATCCAAAGTGCTCCATTGGTGTGGATGCTTGTCTATTCTGGCTAACAGTGGCAGCAGTGGCAGTGGCAGCAGAATTTGTCCGGATGTAGGGAGATGCGGATTTTCGACGGTGAGTGGGTGGTGTGTCGGTGTGTTGATGGTGTTGGGTTGTTGATAGTGTTGACGTGTTGATGTGTTGATGGTGAGACTGGAGGTGAGTGACGGTTGGGAGGTGATGATGATGATGATGATGATGGGACCGGACCAGTGAATCTGTTGATATGCAGTGCGGGCGGCTCCCGGGCGGTGAAGTGGCGGCCAACGGTAAACCATCCCCGTCATAGTGGGGATCTTTGTTCCCTCACGAATGCAAAAGTTGATAAACAATGTGAATGACAGTTTTTGAAAATTGGGTTCGATATGGTGGTACATACTCCGGTTGGTCTTTTGTGTGGCATTCTCTCGGCTGAAGCATCGTCGCGTGCTCTTTGGCGATATTCTGTATCTGATTTAATAAAGCTGATATCTAATATATATCCCTTTAGATTCATGCTAACTATTGTGTACATTATCGGCCGTTACATCGGCAACGAACCAGCAGAGCAGCCGCGATGGAAAGCCTGATTCTTCTAAATATATTTCAGATATCATTTTGTGTCGGCCTGATCGAATGGAAGGAACTTGTGGAGCTCAAAACGCTGATCTGGCTGGATGTATGCGCGGAAAAATGCGCGGGGATGATGATTTGGACAATGGTGGTCATAATTAGGCAAAAATCGCGCCGTCAGCACCTCTCCCAATGTGGTCTAATGGGATTGCTACATTGGCTTTCTAATAACGGCCCGGGTTCGATTCCTGCAGGATACATTCAGATCACCCTTCATCAGAAAGACATATCAAAACCTGCTTGATTTCCCGGGTGATTTCGTAGTTTCTACGGTTGCTTTTACCTCTTGGCTACTTAGTGACGACAATGAAACCACATTTGATAGTCGCTTCAGCATGCTGGATCAAGGTAGCATCTGTCGGTACTCAGAGGTGTGCCACAGGCGACGAGACCGTGCACTGACGCGTTGTAGCGTCTCGCGACGGGCACACGTGGCATTTTCACATTAATACAAATATGACGGCTATTTGTGAAGTAAATACCTACGTCTTATCCACGAGTTATCACAAACCGACCTGGCATCTTTCGAGTAGTAGTCGAGCAATTTTGATATCGCGGCAATCGACTAGCCGTACTTTACGGGGCTGCCTCTCCTGATGAGTTCGTGGCGTTCGATGATGACATCGAGGAGGGAGCATTCGATCTAGCACCAATTATCAGCAGCTGGCGCAAGGTGATCGCTCGCAACTCACCGGGCTCGTGGTTTAGATAAAATCTCATGCTACCAGGCGAGCAGCACCCCGACCGGACTCGTGGGAACGGCCGAGCCAGGGGCTGTATTTCACTGCCTCTCCGTGTGAGCATGATTTCTGGTGACTGAAGGTGGCAGAGACTTGCCGTAAGTTCAGTCTGGTATCAGCAAAGGCCAACCGGAGATGTAGCGGGCTTCGCTCGATTATACGTGCACGAGGGTCCGGGATCACTCCGTGCCGCTGGAAATGAATGCTGGCGATATTTGCCAATACATAGCTGCATCGTTTTTGCTGTTCGTGTGATAGGTAAATCTTCAACTGTGTCAGGACAAAGAACATATGTAGGAGAGTGTCGTGGTATTTTGTCTTGGGCAAACTTGGAACTAACCTAGAAACGACTTCTCTCGCGGCGGCGAGGGATTTGGGCTAGATCCAGTGCTGCGGCCTGGCTTGTCGCTTTCTGATCTGCAAACCGGGGCCTGACAAAGTTGGCTTCAGCCTGTGACGAGAAACTCGATTCTTCCTGATTGCATTAGATTATTCTCGGAAAAATCGGGCTCTTTCTCGAAGGCCGTCGATGCTAGGTTTCTTTTCGGTGCCGCCGAACGCTGCGATAGCTCAATGGAGCCCGACCTTACCGTCGCCGGAACTTTGAACCGGCAATGGGAAAAGACGTGTAGAGCCGGCTGAATACGGATGATTTCTAGAGCAGCGACAGTTGACATGTGGTCGGACAGGAAGGGCTGGGAGAGGTGCGGCTCGGTCGTGGCGAGTGCCACCTTGGCCCCTGTCCTATGACTATAAGAGGCGTCAGAAATGTTTTCTGATGGACAAAGAACAGGGCAAGATAAAAACTCAACTATATAACACCTGCAGTGGGATCAAAAATGCAGCCCCGGCCATGGGAATAGGCAGAGGCAACACACCAGGCCGACTTACAAGCCATCGAGCGGCTTGTCATCGGAAGCCTGCTATCCTATACAGGGAGTCGTCAGCGCAGGATAACTACTCTCAAAATTGCCACAATGACAAAACTCACGTTACCAGCTATTGCTGCCCGCTGCATTCTGGCAAGGTCGAAGCGACTGCGTAAGAGATGGCTTCGACCTATCATGAATAATAAGTAAGTAGCTTGAGAAAGCATTCTATCACTCACTATAATCGCAGCTGCGATAATTTGAGATCATCCAAAGTTCGTTCGGTGGTTTCCTAGGGTGTGGTGGAGGTGGGACTGATATGAAGCATCTTCCATGTCAGCAAGATTCCAGATGACGGGGGGGGGGGGAACAACCACACTCACTTTCTCCTCAAAGATTTCAGTATTGAGAAAAACATGCTAGTGCGATAATGTGAAAGGTTAGCTTAATCACGATTGCATATCAATTTGGGGTCATTCTATCCAAAAGAGTAGCCGGCAGAGACGAGAAGCGCTTGGAATGCTCTGGCCCAGAGTGACAAAGGAATGCTTGAGAACGAATGTTCTGATTCTGAGGGACCAGGTATTTATAGCTTTGCAGCCAGTCATTCTGCTTGAGCCGATGCATTGATAATTCTGAATTATGAGGGCACAAACACAGATGACCCTCCAATTATGGCTGGTTTAGCGTCTCATTATTGATTCAACGCGTATTTGAGGCCCTTCTGGTTTTTCTTGACAATAAAGTGTATCACGGATTATCACTCACTATTGGGATCATTTCAACAACCCACGATACCACAGGAAAAGTCTGAAGGCCCATTTCAACGTTCCTCAACGTAAGTCTGTCCACTGTTGCTACATGAGGTACAAAAAGGTGACTTGTTGGTACATACCGTATTACTTATTTAGATCCCACGAAAGATTTTTGACCTCCCTCATATCCCTGAACCTCACCAACTCATTTCTCTTTTAAACACCAGACTCTGATTCTGCGAAACGACTCTTCTCGCAGATCTGACATGTTCTCCAATAATTCAAACGCCGTACAAATAAAACCGCGACTTATTACATTCTTCCTTGCTACCGTTTGGCTAGCTGTTGCTAGCCTCAGCTCCATAATTGCGTACTGTGCAAGTCATCTGCTTGACCGCGCAACGCATGACCTAGCTAGTGGCAGCGGCTGGATTCTGGACATAGAATTCAAACGCCTCATGAACAAAGTCTTCGGTGGAGCACTCGCTGTGGCAATTATTTCAGCTCTGCTTTCAACTTTTGGAACCGCTCTTCTTTTCCAGCCGAGATTGCTGAGTAAGAACAGTCAGGCTCGAGCTTTTTACGGCTGCATCCAACTTTTGCTGAGTTTTCCTCTCGTATGCATCGAAGTTTACCTTGCCGGTCAGGTCCGCGGCTTTCAGTCCTCTTTCAAATTCTTCACAAGCCAGGACCATACTCCGTACTACGAGATCATGTATTATGGCGCTACGAGCAAAGCTATCTTCGGCGCTCTGGTGGCCATTTTCTATCTGGTTTATGTTTTCGCATGTCATTGATTAAGCCCATGGTATCTAAATCAAATGGAAGCGTCAATAAAATTCTATTTTATAGTCATGAAGCACTGGCAACAAGAATCATCCATCTTCTTTCATACTCAACGTTTCTCCGTAATCGATAAAGCATATCGTATTTCTTCGACAACTGGCTCTAGCAGCCTGGGGCCCCAGGAAAGAGTTTGGCTGGCTCTTTGTACTGCATTGATGAAACCTTGGGGTTGATAGTTTTAACTACACATTCAAGACGGACCATGACCACATTAGGCAGGAAGACGCATCCCGTAATTTTGTTTCTATCTTCAGGGTGCTCTCAATCTTTCAAGCATAAAAGATAAAATAATATTAGGTAAAAACTCCCACAACTGTAATGTGCCGTTAAAATCGTCTATAATTGATTTGGCATGTTGCAATTACCTCTTAGGACACAAAATAGTGGTAAGTAGTCAGTAGATAGAAGGCAGGGTTCCACGGAAGAAAATATCTGTTTTTAGCTCCAAATATATCATTTTCAGTGATGAAAGTTACTCCTACATGCCGATACTCTTGGTTTCCATCCACATAGTTCTAATTAGTATACTGCTTTCTCACTGGAAAGAGGTGAACTCGGGTAAAGCAACATCTGGATTTTGAACATAGTACAGTACCTCTGACTTCCAGTGAGAGAACATTGTATGCGATATAAATGGGTAATAAGATAAGGCTTAAGTTTGTTTCAGCTCAATACAGTATCCGTCAATAAGATGCCCCGGAGTTAGACCATTATTTCTGTCCTGATACCTCGGGGCACACCTGGAGATACCATGATCAGTAATGATAATCATCGGAAGGTAATAAAGAGAGAATGTCTCACTTTTTTGAGAGGAGGCTTTACAACAGACTGTCATTCGTTTTTGATGTTTTGCTCTGAATATTTCGCGCGGGTAGAAGAGTACTTCAGGAAGAAAACAATCATCACTTGGTAAAAGGATATCGTCAGCCATGGGGTTTCAGATCTTATTGGAGACGCATTAAAGACGTACAAGCGCAAGATGCAATAGTCAGGGCAGCGCGACGTGTCAACATCCATCTGATACTATCGACTGCGGTCTTCCCATCGCTGTTTAGTGACACACTAATTGTGTAATTTAGCTCTTGGAGTAAGGTGTCGATGTTCCGTTGGTCCTCTTGGGTGGAAATGCTGTAATCATTTAACATCCCCTTGATATTATCCTTCATGACAGCTATTTCCTGGGCGAAACACTGCGAGAGAGTATCATATTCTTGCTCCAATTGTATCCGCGTAGCATGTTGCCTTTTCGTTTCCAAATTGTAAGCTCTTTCTAAGGATGATCGGAATTCTGAGCAGGCTGCCTTGAATTGGTAGGACTCGCTGTCGACAGTGGATTTGGAAATCAAACATTGTTTTGCGAAATCAATGTTCTTTTGTAGGATATGTTGGATAGCTTTCATGATAGTGACCGATTGATCATTTGTAAAGCCGCCATTTGCGAGACCACGAACTAAGAAATAAGTATCGGGTTGATACTCGCTACGAATTGGTATCGGGCGTGGGGCTTTGTGGGGTGTTATTAGTCCAGGGGGGGTCAGATAGGCTGAGGGGGGTGGGCATGTGGATGGCATCGTCAAACGCGCCCTGGTTCGGGTAGGGAGATATTTGTGGCTTTTCGTTTTCTGTCCGTTCAGGGCGAGCGGAAGAGGTAGAGGTATCTTGGGCCCCATCATTGCCCATCGCATGCTCCTCTTGCTGCTCCGAATGTACCAACGATTTGCCTTGCTTCGAGTCTACAACAGCTTGCTTATCGAATGGTGTTGAAAAGAACGTAATTGTAGTCTCTCTTTTGGCATCTTGATGCTGCTGGTCTGGCAAATTGTTGTTCCTCTCACTGCTGTTTGTGTCGCCGTTCCCGGACAATGTGACTCCATCGAGCTGGCTGGATGAACCGTCTTTCAGTCGCCTGCAGGGATGCAGGCTTGGCTTGAGAGATGAGCAGTTATATCTTTGATGCACTGTTTGATTGCATTGTCGACTAGTATAGAAGCCGGCGTGAGGGCTAGAGCCACCGCTGAAAGGACATCGAATGGCGCGACTGGAAGGCGGTTTATATGACTGCACGACGCGCATGAAATTTGGATGTAGAAATGGAAGCCTCGGGGTAACCATAGCGATAAGCAAAATCTCAGATAGAGTATTGCGCTAAAGAGAACACGAAGTGTAAGATCCACCACGGTGCAGTTACCTCGTACTTCGGAATGGTGGTAAAGCAGTCGGGTGTCAATCATGACAAGAAAAAATACCGCTAGGCGAAGACAGTGTCAGGGCGCGCATTTCGGAGTCATAAAAGAATTATATATCTCGACAATTCATTTCCTGCCATGACGACCAAAGCTGGTTCGTATATGTAAAACGCAGATGACAGTGATGTAGATGTGACGTCATGGACTGTCCAAAATCAACAGCAGAACAATGTTTCAGAAGATACCATTTTTAATAGATAGGCGAGAGGGATACAAGAACAGCCCCTCAGTTATAAAGGCAATAAGTGTTTCCGAAATTCAAAAATCCCACGGAAGAATATTCCTCAACAATGTTTATAAAACAACTAGAACTAATTAACTATTAGTTAACTAACTAGTGTAATGGGGATTTCCGCTCGCAACATCGGTACCCTAGGATTCATGTAACTGAGGCCTTAGCAACAAGGCCACTATTTCGTTTCGTGAGATTAAGTACATACAGAATACCGACAAAGAGCAGGCGGTGAAGCTTGAGCCGGGAGATTGTCATACAGAAGACTGCGGAATATGTATTACTATATCGAATCTCATTTCTAGAAAGTATCATTTCGCACTGTTTTTCAACTTTTGCATTCGTGAGAGAACAAAGATCCCCACTATGACGGGGTTGGATGTTGACCGTTGGCCGCCACTTCACCGCCCGGGAGTCACCCGCACTGAACATGTTGATTCACGATTCACTGGTCATGTCCCCATCACCATCATCACCAATTCTCAACCTTTACTCACCTCCAGCCTTCACCATCAGCATGCCCTCACCATGAAAAAATCAATGTGATCAACATGCCCTCACCATCAAGACCGTCAAAACCGTCAAAACCGTCAACACCATCGACACAACGACGCACCACCCACCCACCGCCGAAAATCCATATCTCCCTTCATTCGGACGAATTCTGCTGCCACTCCAGCCAGCAGGGACAAATACTCAAACCAATAGAGACCACTTGAATTTCAGCCGCCACCCCGACTGGCCACCCCGCTATCAGCCATGACTCGACGCTCTAATTCACACTAAGTGGCGGAGAATGTCCATTCTTGAAGCTCAGGGCATGATTGAGCGCTACAAAGTGCATTTTTCGAACCAGTCATGTACGGCGGCATCTACATACAATACTGAAGTCATTTTACACCATTTCTTATTGGATTTTTGATTCTATCGATTCTTTGGAGCAGGTCTTGGCTTCTTCGAGGACTCCCCCGAATACTAGTCTCTGACACCACGAAGAGGTGCCTGCAATCGTCAGAGGATCAGGACGAGGACTGCGGCGCCGCAGGTCGCCTAACAAGCACATATTTGATAACGCAGGGCTCAAGGCTGCATGGAAGCTCAAGTTTATACAATCACAGGGCTCAAGGCTGTGAGGGAGAACTTGGTGTCGCGGCGGTCTCCCGCGGAGAACTTGGTGTCGCAGCGGTCTCCTGCGGAGACTCTTGGTTTCGCAGATGTCCCTGCGGAGACTCTTGGTGTCGCAGATGTCCCTGCGGAGACTCTTGGTTTCGCAGATGTCCCCCTACGAAGAACACTTGATAACGCAGAGCTTATCCTGCGAGGCACACCCGAGTGGATCGGGAGTGTGAGGAGGAAAGTCCTGGTCTTCATTTCGATGGGAAAAGAGCGTCTTTTATGCCATATCGAGTACGTTTTTCGGCAGCGACCACCTGCGTACATCTTGCCGGACCCAGAGATTTCCACTCGACACTCGTACCGGGCGTCCGCATTTTTGCTGTGCGTTGAGGCGGTTTATTCAACGTTGAAACAAGAATTTTCAAGCGTTCGGGGTGGAGAGCTGGTGGAGTGGCTGGATCCACCTGGAGCCGTGGTTGGCACGAAGCTATGCGTGACAAATCATTTGCCTCATCAACGTTGATTGACCTAGGTCAAACGGCCTTCAACGCAGTTGGTATGAGGTGTAGATCGAAGTGGCATTCGATGGGCAACTCGCCGTGGCAGCTTAATTTCCGTAGCTTCAGAAGTCTGCCAATATTCGCTCGCACCGTGACCGATCGATTTGCGAACCATTGGTCTCAACGTTGCTCAACGAGGTGAAACGGCTTTCACGCAGCTAATATGTAGAAGCGTTCCATGGAAAACTCGCCTTGGCAAATCGCTTGCCTGTCCGCCAAATTTGTGTCCGCAAGACTTTTCCTCTCGTCTTGGGAACTAATACTCTCTACCTTCATTCACCCTATTAGCCTGACTGTTATCTATTCCGTCGCGAGTTGCAACCACTGCGAGACATCATGCCGCCCACATCTCTATTACATCAACGAGTGCCATGCTGACCGGAGTGCCTCGTGCGCCAGCACCCAGAAACTAGTCGAGAAGGTACCATCGATGAAGAGATTTCGACGCCGAATCCGTCATCGAAACATGTTTTCGTCGAGGCCCGATCGAGACCCCGTTGCCGCCCAGAATCCGTGGTCTCTGCAATCAATCAGCTATCGGTAAACCATCCCTGCAGATGTTCTGGAAAACAATATGTTCTATAATTGACTTGTTTCAGGTCTTTGTAACGCTGCCTGGAATCATTCCTAGGCGAATAATATCACGGGTAGGTCCAAACCGGGGCTGGAGTGCCTTCGCTAATTGCCTTTGATAGAATTCATAGAAACACCATACCCCATGCTCGGATCCTCCAAACTGTGCAACGTCATCTCGAGTATTGCGCCTTCGAATTTGTCACAAGATGGCTTCTACCGCAGTCTTTGGCTGTTGGCTGGACATGCCCAGAGGCGCTGATACTTCACAGATTCTTTAAATTCGGTACTCAACATCGATCCAAAATGTCATCTGAGAAATGCTGTAAAAACCTCAGCCCTGCTCAGAACCTGCGCCATTCAAGTACCAGAATCCGTCACGTCGCTATTCATCTCTTGGCCCAGGATAGGAAAGTCTGCTTCAGATGAATCGTGCTGCCATCGAATTCTGTCTTGCATTGACTAAAGCCCCGGCGCAGAGAGCCCCTGTCATCTCGTCTGGTCTCTACAGCAAACGCCCCTGAAGTCTGGCATGGTGCAAATATAGACACAGCAGACAAAGTAGCCACAGTAGACACAGTAGACCACTCCGTCTCACGCCTCGTTGCCCAATCCCCCCCCCTAATGCGCACGTTAGAACGACCGATTGACTGAGTTTCCGGATGCAATAAGGAGCCTTGTGAGATGTGTCGAACTGGACCTCCTTGCAGAAATGGAGCGATTCTTGCAGGTTGAATCTCCACGAGGCGCGGTTCATGGGGCTGTATCTCGTATCTGGATATTGTTGAATTGACGTGTGAATCAGAACGTGAAAAGTATCAGGAGATGAATTGATTCTCCAAAAGGTTCGCAGGATCACTTTTGTCCTTACTCATTTTATAAGCGAATCCTGCGTTCATAATCTCCCCCGCCCTACACTGGGTACTAGATCCAAACTACGACGGCGATCGCAGCAACGATGCTCGAAAATATCGTTAGCCCTATGCTCCTGTCCCTGCTCCTCAGCTCTATCGGCACAGCGATTGCGATGGGCTATTATCTTATTGGACCATCGCTTTTCCTAGCTGCTCGATGAGGAAGCATAGGCCTGAATATTGTGTGCTACCGAGTTCTGGCTACAATCCCCTTCAGTCTTGGTATCCACGGACCGGTAGGCTGCGCCCTAGAAAACCTGCTAAATCGATTTCTACCAACAACATCAGATAGACAAGGACGGCATTCGCTGCGATGGAAGACACCGAAGCTCAGATCTATATTTGGACTGACGAAGCGAATTGGTAACACTTCATGATGTTCTACTTCAAAGCCAGGCAAGTCCAGGACATCGTGTCGGGCGATCTCCAGCGTCCTGACGGCCAATTTTAAAACACAATTCGAATCTGGTAGAGATTAAAGAACAAAGATCACGATCGTGAATGTAAAAATCAGTATGTGACGCGTACATCAAAACTCGCGACCCGATACCCGCCGGCCGAGCAATTTGGTGCTGGTAGGATGCCCGCTGACCGTATCATACCCAAAAACGAGAGAAAAATCCCCACAATAGCTGAAACTAGCTTAGACGAGTTGGAAAATTGCGAGCGACTCAGGCCGAACATGCCGCCTCGAGGTGCGAGCAGGAGCTGGCTAGAGTACGGTATTCTCTGGCGGAGCAAGAACCGATCTGAAAGGAAACGTGCGGGTGACCGAACTTCTCTACGGGATAAACCAAAAACTCGGGCTTATGACCGACTACCTCCTGAAACGTCAAGAACCTTTGGACGATCAAGGCTGCAACTCGTTCGAAGCAATGTCCAATATCCTTATCAAACAAGCCGAGTCTCATGAAGATGGAGCCGATACGGTGTAGCAATGGTGATAAACGGGACACAGCTGGGCATCCAGGCGGTGTCGTTTCATTGGATTAGCATGACCTCCCTGAAAATCGAAGCTTCCCCGCCGAAAAACCAGCAATATTGGGATAGCTCATTTCCTGCTTTTGAAATAATAAGTTTTGACAATTGCTTACGTATAAAACGTTCTTCTTTTCGATAGCGAAATTGAAGTGCGGAATGTTGTTTCGAGCAGCTGGGATGATCAAGAGGGAAGTCCGCTATAGCTCTCTCACGCCCAACGAGCCAGCAACTACGCTCGCCCAGTTCCATCATCTCCAGCAAGTCAGCTCCCTTAAAGACGTACAACCGCCAGGGTTCTTTGGACGGTGGCTTGCGTGCCTCTGGTGGTTCGTGGTATTTCAAGACAATTCCTTCCCCGCCTTCAACCTGGATCATATTACTCTTCGCCGCGAGACGTCCGGTATTTTTGAAATTGGGCTTCTCCTTCTCTGGTGGCGGGGGTCCATCACCCGACTGTGTCAATTCGGTTGAGTAGGCATCTCCTTCTCAGGGAGAGGGCCACGTCGCTGTATTTCCTTGGGTGGACTGGGCGATTTCCGTGGAGATCGGGAGCGTCGTCGTAGACTTCTGTGTCTTCTAGACGATGGCTCACTATCGCGATCGCAGTCTTCACGCTGTCGATGGCTGCGGTGTCGGTATCGTCGGCGATCCTCGTCGGCACTTGTAGAACGGTCTCGGCGTTTTCGGCGGTGGCTGTCACGATCTCGGTGACTCCTATCTTTTCCAGATGGGCTTCGAGAAGGGAGACGCCGAGGACTGTCTCTGAGGGAGCTTTTAGCGTCATCTTCTCGACGTCGCGAGCGTCGATGGAGGTCATCCCGTGAATCTCGAGTTCGTCGATCGCGGTTTCGGTCGGGCAGTCGGCACGATCGTCTTGCGACTCTCCCATTGTAGTAGCGCGGGGTTTGAGGTGAAATGAAAGAAGAGCAATGTTTGAAGCTCAGCTGGAGAATCTCCAAGGCAAGCTCCGGCACCACGTGATCAGTTCCGAGGCCGGACAGACCGGTATGTACAGTTGAGGGGTGCTACACCTCCACTTCTCATTTTCACTCGAAGAGCACCGGCTTTCTTACCGTGCTCTCTCTTGAAAGCGATGCGGAAATGTTCAGGAAGCGCGTATCTCTTAAGTGGGGTGGCGTTTACCTCTTAAGCTCGACTACTGTGGTCTCGCCACTCGTCGTCTCAGGATTAACCCTCCTGGCCGTGGCCCTGGGGCACCACATGCTGGTCGGAACTATCCAACCACTTCGAGTCTCCCAGAGCATGAGTATTCATGGCCAGGGGCACCATATTTACCCCATATGAAGTCTTGAATTTGGATCATGCCGCTCCGTATTCAAAGAACCTTTACTACGACCTCGTGAAGATCTACCATCCAGCTCGACCCTGCATTGAGCATCGTCTTTGTCGAGGCCTATCACCTGAAGTTCGCCTTAAGCGGTACCACATTGTCGTAGCAGCTCATGAACTTCTTTCCGATCCCAATAAGCGAGCTGCATATGACCAGTTCGGGGCTGGATGGAAATACGGGCCGAAACAGTATAACACCACAGCTGAAGCATCTGCAGAATGGGATTTTTATTTCAATCCTCGCAACGTATAGATAAAACCATAAAATGCCTTCGCCTCCACTCAAAGTAAACCTCGGAATTTCTAAAAAATCAGTAAACATTACGCTGGTGAGATCTTGTTAAAGTTAACCCTGGCTATTGGGGAGAGCGGGGTCAGCTGACCGACCGCATTCCTGTCCCACCAAACCAGCCTTCGCATTTGACTCTCACAAGAGACCAAGGAGTTTGGCGGTACGTTTCAAATTGATCTGCAATGGCACCAAAAACGAAGCCATGGTATGTATAACTGTATAGCAATTATCTACGTGGTGTGCTAATATGCCTGATCAGTGATAATTGCCGAAGTAGGTCGTGGCTTGCCACTGCTCTCGATCTCAAGAACCATCAACTTATTGCTCCTTGATTCCAGAACATCATTTGAAATGTATGAGTCATATCTCTTTCAAATAATTTTTACAAATATCTTGATACAAAAAATTTGCCAACAATCTCCCAGGCGACAATGCTATGCCAAAATGCTCAAGATGCCAAAAGACTGGACGAGATTGTACTCGCCAAGAAACAAAGTTTAGGCACCATCAAAGCTCATCTACAAAATTGAATTCAACTCCCCGGGGTAAGTTATTTGAGTGGAAACCATTCTCCAATTTGAGTTGACAATAAATCCATATAGCTCTTCAATACATTGATGAGACGAGCAAGTACACTGGGAGCCAAGCAGAAGAAAGCACTTCTCAAGGCCTTGCCCCAGAGGCACACGATCAATACTCCCAGAGAACGACTCAAATTTCCTCATCCAGTGGTTACCTCCCATGGCAAACGAACATTCAAACTAGGCCTGAGTCTATTGTAAGTGGAAAAGAGATGGGCGACCCTGCAATACTTTCTTATTGCTCTCCATAGCAAAGCGTGAAATCGATTCTTTTCAAAAACACGGAAACTAACTATAGCGCATTAGTATCTTCCCCTGCCTCAACGCGAGGAGTCAAGCTTGAATCGTCAAGTTAACTTAGGAGAGGCATTCCTGCTTCGATATTTTGTGGAAGAACTGGCCAAATGGGTATGGCGATGATATAACATAAGCAAAAAGCATACGCTGATCATAGAATTGGGCCAGTTTGACATATGTGACCCTGAAAGACACTTTGGATTAGTCGTTCCCCAAAGAGCACGATTCTGTGCACCACTTTTCAATGCTGTTCTTTCGGCTTCGGCTAGGCATTTCACCACACTTCCAGATTACCAACAAAAGGAAAAGACGGTGAGACTTGGCCTCCAAGAGGATCTCATTATTAGTGAAGCTGCGGTACTTGATTATCACAATCGATGCATCGCGCATCTAAGACTTCTTGCCGACAAGCCGGATGCTATTATGGATGAGAATCTTCTTGCAGCGGCAGTGGTCCTAAGATTCTACGAGGAATTAGACGGTACGTACTAAGAGCGACTTTTGCCGGCTCGCGACGTTAATTCCATTTCCTCCCCTCTAACGGGTTTTCTGATGGCAGCTCCATTCATTGACCTCCCAACTGGCGCCGCTACTCGCGGTCTTCAAGTTTTTATCGAAGCGCAAGCAAGTTTAGCATTAACATCCACGGGACTCCGACATGCGGCATTTTGGATCGGCTTTCGTCAGGAATTCCACATGGCCTTTTCCCAACAACGATCATTTCGTCTCTCACTCGACATATGCGAAAGCTACCTTTCCTGGGATGCCGTGCCTGATTTTATCTCGGTGAACCGGCTTCTGATCATCGCTGCACATGTCCTTCAATACTGCTATGACGATCAAGACCAGACCACATACTCTCGCTACGAGCAAGTTGTTTCACTTCGTCACCGCTGGATGGAAGAGAGACCCCTCTCTTTCTTTCCCGTATACTCCAATGCTCCGAATAAGGATAGAGGTGAAATTTTCCCCCGAAAATGGTACCTGGATAATTGCCATATTCTTGCCGAACAGACTGTTGGTCTTATAAACATATTATTAACGGCTTATGATCCAACCATTGCAAGGGTTGGACCGGGCCAACGTCGCGCTATGGAATCGATCGATGCTAAGCTCAAATTAGCCGTGCTGGACATTTGCGGGATTGCGATTTCTAATCGCCAAGAGCCAACTGCACTTCTTACTGCATCGATTGCCATTGCTATCTGTGGAGATCGCTTCTCTGATCGCACCGAGCAGCAAGCTTTGATGGACGTTGTGATGAATACGATCCGTGATAATAATTATTGGCCATCGACGGCACTCGGGGCCAAATTGCGAAAGGCCTGGAACTGGAAGTCTTGAACTATTTAGGCGAGCAGGTGGATTCGCCAATGCAGAGTCCGGTTGAGAATTATCTCTACAATTCGCTCTATTTATAATTGAAGATATCTAGCCGGTTACAATACCACAACTCCGGATCCTGGCTCAATCGTTGTGATAAAGATCCATAACTTAAGAATCAAGACTTCTATGTACATTTCAATTCCACCGCTCCCAGTCTTCCCACGTAGCGTTTGCATAGATCGTTGGCTCATATGATATCTGGTTATGTACAGCCTAATCTACCAGGAACAATCGACTATATATATATCAATACACAAGTATGCAACCTTGGAAAATGATATCAGTTTCCCTGAATTTTGGGAATTGTGGCTTCAAAGTCCGTCACCCGGGGCCCAAATTCTGTACCACCGCTGGTCAATGCCGGGATCACTCTTATCATAAAACCTCAGATCCGAACTCAATCGAATACTACCCGATTTATCTTCATTACGCCCACTGGCATGAATGCTATATGGGTCGTGGAAGACAACATCACCGGCTTCGTAATTGGTAACTAGCCACTTATGCTCCCCATGCTCGGAATGCATTGATTGGAAATCTTGAGGAGATGATGCGATCATGCCTCCGTCAAGCATGTTCACATTGAATGCGGAAATGCGCTCTTCCTCGGTAAATTCTTTGGCGCGCTTGGTGTAATCCTTTTCAACATGGCGACCAAGTGGCACAGAGTTCTCGAGGTAGCAAAGACCACCTCCATTAATAGCAATATCACCTGAACGACCCGGTTCTATCAGTATACAGAGTGCAAGATTGGCCACGCAATATGATAGTCTCACCAATCGGAACCCAAGCAGTCAAAAAGAAGCCTTCGCCCCCTCTCAGAAACAGCTTGTCATAATGGATACCAGTTCCCAGACCGAATGGCACATTGTGACGCAGCATTGTTCGATCTAAGATTCGGTGTTCCTTCCAGTCCATGAATTTCCTGATGAACCCAGTCAAAGCCGGATGCTCAACGAAAGCACGATAATGTGGGTCTTTATGGGCATCTATGAGAACCTTCTCTTCAACTGGATCGACTGGCAAGCCTGAACCACCAATTCCCTTGTGTGCATCGGGGTGTGAAGATGAGTTGAAGATTCCATCTCGAGGTGAGGTTCCAGGTTCCAGAAGCGAGGTAGATGCATACTGGCGGAAGTAGCTGTATGGGGGGCATAGAATACAGATCAGTATAGTTTCAAGTATTCGGGATGTGCGGTGTAGCAAAGTTACCTCTCACGCATATCTAAAACATCTTCTCGGGGAATGAGTCCCTTGACAAATAGATAGCCGTCCTGTTTAAGTCGCTGCCTCATTTCGTCGATCGACAGTGATGCCGGTGTAGGCTTAAGAAACCCAACTCGCTCGGTGGGAATCCTTCCACCATTTTGGGCCAGTCCATCTGGAAAACATTCGTCTACAGAGCCCCTCAGCACTGGAGGCGCTACGCGTTGAACTGCAGCAGTAGCCATGATGAGTTGTAAACGAGATAAATCGAAACGACAGAAGTTTCATTTGGACGAAGCTTCTATTATCAAGGAGCAGATGTACTGCGGGTCACTTGGGTCATCGGACATTGTCTTTTGTTGAACCTCAGACGTAACGAGTGTAACGCGGGCCAATGATAAATGAAGATCGTTTCGCTGGCAAGTCTGGGTCCAGATTACGCTAAACCTATCCTGTCTAAACTCGCCGATTTTCTGCCCAAAGGAGATTCTCTATCGCCGAAAATTACCCAATAAGGCAGGCATTATCAGTGGGATATCCCGCCTTTCGTTATCTCCAGTCAATACCATCCTAATAGCCAGCCATGAAGTTTGAATTAATAACGTAATCCACAACCGGGCCGTACACCTACCCTCATTAGACCAACACCCATTAATTTAACTAGATAGAGTGATTTTTACATACATTAATCCTGTGGCCAATCTCCCTACACCCACTACACCTAGGCAGAGTCCTCTTCGCTGGTTGGTCAGCCTGAATAGGCAGTTCGCCCTGCGTATGTGAATCTACTATAGGTGCTTCTGCTGGCAAATTTAGCTGTGTAATTAGCTGTAGGCCCTCTTCGACGGTCAAACCCTCTTCGCAGGGTATATGCTTAGTTGACCGATTGCGCTTCTTGACGATCTCCTCATTTGCTGCGCGGAGATTCACATTATCCTCTGCTAGTAATGCGGCGCCATGCAAGGATAGATAGCTGCCCTTGATAATCTGATCTAGCATGGTTTTGATTGAGCTTGGAGGAGTATTTGACCGCCGTTGTAGTAAATCCTTAAGCATTGAAGATTGCTTATGTAGCTGAACGATAGTTCTGGGCGTTTTTGGCGTGAATTGGCTAGATCTGCTACTTGGCCGGCTGTTTGATGGTGTAGGTGTCCGTAGAGAGATATTAAGCTTCGAGGGCACTCTTTCTGCATTGACTGGCACTAAGCCACTAGCTGTGAAGCTATTCTGAATGATAGCTGGCTTTTGGAAGGCCTCTAGCCGCGCGCGTTGGTAGAAATCGAACTTACCAATATGGTTATATCCTCTACGCGCAAGATCACTTATAAAGCGACCGTACGCGCGCTTAAGTACTGCAAAGCACCCAACATCAAGTGGCTGTAGTAGATGTGATGAATGTAAAGGCATACAAAGAGGAATAATATCGTTCTCTGCGCAAATTCGGTCGAATTGGGGTGTAAGGTGGCTACCATGGCCACCAAGAATTAATAGCCGAAAGCGGCCATGTTCGCGCGAATTGGTGAATGGGATAAAAAGCATTTGTAGCCAGCGTAGGCCAACCTTATCGGTAGTACAGGCGTCATTCGAGACCTCCGATCGCCAATCTTTTGGTAGGTTATCAAACCAACCCGCAATAGCAACTTTGCCTTTGAAGATCACGCATGGCGGTAGCGAATAGCCATCTGCGCAAATTGCTTCAATCGCAGTAACCCATTCGCGATTTCCTGGCTGTAGGAGACGACGCCGGCCGTAGTACTCTGCCCGTGTAACCACCTTCTGCGCAGATATAAGCCCCATGGATAATCAGTTCTGCCATAGTCGTGTGGATTATCCAAAAAAGACACTTTCAGGATATGGAATGTTGTGTTCGAAGGCAGATACATAGTTCGTCGAATATGTCATCGTCGTTTAAGATATTCTAGCGTACCCGGGGGATTGGAGCATCTTCCTTGAGATAGTTCTCTAGAAACCATAGCTCACTGTTCCAGATTATCCACAAGCTCCTCATCGTCATCTTCGGTCGCATCCAATTTGTTCAGAAAGGAAACGAATCGCAATATTCCCGCATTTATTGCTTATAACACGGTTTCCCCTGTCCCAGGCATTATTCCATCGGTAGCTGCAATCACAAAGAAACCAATTTCCTTACCCTCTATTGCTAGATCATAGGCGTGAGGTCCGGAAAATAAAACGGTTTGTGAGAACTATCCAGCGGACCAGCAATTTGAAGGAAGAGAATAATGGTTTCCTTCTACTCCATTTGGAACCTCAAAAGATAGTATCACACGCAGTCTGACCCAGCACAGCCTTCCATGGAGGACAATTGACTCAGACAACAGTATTTATCTTCCAAGCTTTAGGTTACCTGCAATATCTAACGCCTCTCTTCACCTTTCTTAGTTGTTCCAGTCCCATCTTATATATGGCACTTTTCTGCGTTGTAAGAGTGAGTAGGGCTCCGAAAAGAATATGATTATTTCTGAATATTCATGAATATTTGCGAATATTAATAATATGAATCGAATTATATGAATATGAATAAGCCCTTCATTAATGTTGGGTATCACGGTGGTCAAAACCAGTGGTGGGGATCATCAAGAGATATATAAAAAGATGAGGAGTCCCATCCCCAACAAGACAGTTAACTTAACCTAATACAACCACTTATCTCACACCTAGTTTGGCTAGGGCTATTGAAGATACGATATCCGCAAGCTTCAGCAATGATGGTTATCGTATCGGCAGCTGAGGAATCTTGCCGATAAGATAATTGTCAAATCGGGTTGCTGGTGAGGAAGCCCAGTGCTGTTGTTGAAGGACGGCATCCAAAAGCTGGTACACCATGAATCTATCTTGACCTTCCAGCTACGACGAACCGGTCGACAAGGACGAAATGTTTATAGCAGAACACTTCTCGATCGTCCGCATCATTTTGTTTGAATCTAGGGGCTTCGACAAATAATCATCCATGCAGGCTGCGATGCATCTATCCCGATCTCCAAGCATCGCGTGTGCAGTGAGAGCTACGATAGGTGTGCGCGGCAAGCTGTTGACTTTTTCATACTGTCTGATTTTGCTCGCTGCCTCGAAGCCACCCATCACTGGCATCTGGACGTCCATGAGGATAACATCGTATTGGTAGCGCTTGACCTTTTCTACAGCCTGCAGTCCATTTGGGACGACTGTCACTTTCTGTCGGTGCTTTTCCAGCATGCCGACAGACACTTTCTGATTGACTTCATTGTCTTCTGCAAGGAGGATTGCCAAGGACCTGGTATACCTGAATAGAGTGCGCCTGGGATGGTTTTCCAGTATAGGCAGAATTCCGTTCCAAAGATTTTACATGGGTTTCCTATCAATGCAGTGCCTAAGTGGGGCCAATTCTCAATCACCTTGGGAGTATAATTGACCCCATTACTCCTCCACCATCTGCTCGGAACCATGGGGAAGGATACGGCAACAAGTTTTGATTCAATCTGAGCTCTGTAACCAGGCGCCTGTGGAGTTACATAGTGACCTACCGCTCACGCTAAGAAAGAGGTGTAAAAATTATCACATATCGGGCAAACCAATACCTAGAATAAGGTAATACGGAGATTTTGAACTTGTAAGCTAGCAAAATCTTCACTAACACCACCAAGGTACATGTTTTTAATACGAGCCAGTAACGGTCATCACCATAACTAGACACTCAGCAGTCTCAATCTAAAGACGTGGCACTTACAGCGTGAAGTATCTGGACAGACAACACGATCGAGTATTTGGGTGTGAGGGCGATAATTGCCAAATACATTATGCCAGCGGAGCCAGCTATATAGTAACCTCAGATATATGGACGTAAAGATCAAGAAGTCACAATAATATTAAGATTTTTAATATCCCTTAAAGGTAGGGGCTGCTCAGGCCGTTCTATCACGGCCCCGCGACACGCCTGGACTCGGCCGGCAGCTCGGCTGCAATATCCTTCGAGTGGAGAACGTGCTTAGAGTCGGCTTCTAGCATGGGATTTGTATCACCTTGCATCTCGTGTGCCCTGTCAGCAGGCGCGGTGCCCCAGACTTCGGAGATCTGATACGGCGATTCGCGAGAATCTATTTCTGAAGGCTTTTGCATTCCCGCACTCAAATAAATCGGTCGGTTCCCTGGCAAACTTTGGGAGGGTCCTCCACTGTATTCGGAGCTAACACCAGCCTTAGTTTGATCCTTCCCCTTCTTCCTTCTTAAATAGAGAAAGACGCCTGCAAGAGCGATCACCGCCCCTCCGGCTACGCCGCCAATAACGCCACCAACAATTGCGCCGGTTGGGGTGGTCGAGGTTGACCTGTCCGAGGATGAGGAGCTTGGTTTGGATATCTGCGTCGCATCAAATGACTCGCTGCTGGTAGTCAAGCCGCTGTCTCCAGTCTGAGAGATGGAGAAGGAGGAGAAGCTAGCAGCATAGCTGCTCACCATGTTATCATCGGCCGTAATCAGGCTATGATCGTATCGAACTGTGACAGTGTCGGTGAACTCGAGCGCGAAATTGAAGACGTCCCAACTGTTGCTGGTTGTTCTACATCCATAATGCCTGGCGTCGAGATCCGGGTAGTTCCAGGTCACGCAGACTTCATTGTGAAGCCTCGTGCAAAGGAGGGCGAAGCCACCTGAGGTTTTAGTCAGGTCTGGCAATTTGGATATCTCATCGGCACCATAGCAGGTCGTCCAGGGGACACAATCCAAGCCTGGGCAACAATTCACTATGCCCGGCCAGATGGTGTTAGAGGCATAGTACACGCAGGTGCTGGAAGTCGAACACTTGACTTGGGCTAATTAAATATAACTTTCAGTCAGAAAGATGGCGTTTTTCAGTAATGCGACCCATCAACATAAAACTTACATTCAGTCACTACACTAGTATTTTGCCATCCACACAAAGAATCAGGCCACCGATGCGACGAAATAAACAAGTCATCATCCCGTCGCATTATCCCCCAATGTTGTAGATCTGCGCTCGGCGTTGGCTGCGGGGCATCTTGGCGCGATCTGTTGGGCAACGTGGGTGTTGGTGTCGGTGGTGGGCTCGAGAAACTGATGCTGTTTACTAGGTGAAGCAACGTAAGGGACAGCAGCCCTACCGCGCGGAGGAACATGATGAATAAAGCGGGAAATAAATCTGAATTTCGAACTGCGAAACTTTTCGGCCTTATATGAGGGTTGACGCCGCAGCAGTCTCCTTATTCTCCACTTTTGCCCCGAATCCGCCTCGTTTGCGCTTGCCAAGGAATCGAGCTTGGCATGGCACGCCAGCCGCTTGGCCGTCATTTCGGCCGCCGTGCAACGAAGCGTTCAGTTGTTTCATAGTTTCTCGCGCCGTTTACCTGTGCTTGGTTGAATTGCTTCACTTGACATTCAGAACACTAGATAGAAATTACATTGCGTCAATGCCACTTTCCGGCCATCGCAATGGTATTTTCAATTAGACAGTCAGATTCCCTATGCCCCTACTAGTCATAAGTTAGGTATTAATTGCCAGCCAGATGGCCCGAGCTTGCCAAGGGCGCCCCCCCGCCCGGTGGTGCCCGCAAGGCCCAGCGAGACCGACCCTATGTGGTGCCGTCTGTCAAACCTTCGGGACTGTCGCTTGTGATTGGCCCACTCCTCAATCGCCCCACCTCCCACCTATGCGTGTCGTGTGTCTGACGCGACGCGAGCAAAAATCGGTGACGATCTACGCTTAGTCAGTCTAAGCCTTGAGCCGGGGATTGCTAATCCCACCTCTTTTCACACCCTTTAGTTATACAGTGCCACCTCTTAAGTTTGATAACACCCCCCCTTACATTACGTAATTTTCTGCCACTTATTCTGCCGCTCCAAAACCTCCATGAATTGCCTAACTCTACCACTAATTTCCACTAATATTTGGTATACCACTCATCCGACGCAATAATTGCCTGAACCCTGCGGGCATTGATTCAGAAAGGTTCTTTAGGACCTGAAGATCCAGCGCATCCCACGCCTCCTGCGCCCATTCAATTAGGTAACCGTGGGTTGTATCTGTTGTGATATGAGGCTGGTGCAGATCAGGAACCAAGCCGAACCATCGGAATTAATCCCGAGATATCTATACGAAGAACCAAGTTGATTTCCAATCAACTTGTTCTTCTCGTTGTATATATAGCCTAATGTTTCTCTCTGAATAACAACACAATTCATACCTCTGAACTACAACACCATCTATTTGAACGTCCATCGCTAGTCCCGCCATAAGCTTTGACCACCGCGATACTCAACAGTTATGTTCGATATTAATTCGAATCGAATCGAATCTGGCAAAAGTTTGAATCGAATCGATTCATGCGGAGCGGTATCTTTCTGGCTGTGGACAAGATTTGGCCCCAGATCACCTGCTCTAAAGCTTGGTGCCTAAGACCGCAGACATCTCTCCGCAGCTTCCCGGCGTTGGACATATGCCAGTTAAGGTATGGCCACCATGAACGTTAATCATTGGATCACCATCACAACAGGCTTTAAAACAAGCAACGTATATCTACTACAGGCACTCGGCCATCTAGGCTAGCAATCCCCATCCCTCAGTCCCCGCAAGCTCCCCATCATCCCTGGCATAGGAACAGATATGTTAGCTGAGCGAGAAAACCGTTTAGCATATTTTCGGGTACATGCTGGAAATCAAGGCACGTATATACGTGTCCAGAGGGTAATATTTTTTGACTTCAACTGTAGTTAGTAGTCAGGATTTATTCTAAGGAATGTTCCAAAGATTGAGAGAGAACTCCAGTCCATCCCTCAACTAATGAGCGGTAGCTGAGCGGCGGCCAACACGACAACGAAAATGTGGGCCAGTGTTAACAGTGGATCTGTCGATGTTACGGCGCGCCCTGCTATAGAAATTATGCACCTAAAAACCGTTATTGATAACTCTAAGCCGTCAGGGAAATAAAGTGATTGAGCATTACATGTAAGACATGACGGGCTACGTCCCAAATGGGCCATGCCAACTAAAGCTTAGAGATGTGTAAACAGAGGGGTCGTCGGTATGTCCACTCCTGGCTCTAATGCTCTAGACTCATCACGTTAGCTAACAGCTGGCCATATAGAGAAAGATATGATGGGCGATACTGTGCTCACATAATGAATCTCATATGGGTCCCCAGTCCTGGGGTGTGGCTTGCGCTCGAAGGACTTTGAATACTAGAAGAAGGCACACTGAGAAGACAGCGTTGGATTCTGAATAATCAAAGGACTGCCAATTTGAAAAAGAAAGTTTTCTTGGTGTAGGTGGATAGTGAAAGTTTTCTCTAGGTTAAGTTAATAGAGAGCCCCGGCGACTATACACTCCCGCTTTGCTATGGTATAATTTCCGGCTTTATTTGAAGTACTCCAATAGCAACGTGCGGGAATTGCGGCAAATCAGTGGATAAAACCTTGTGGCCTTCAGAAGAAAACCTTGAAGAACGATGACATCAAATTCATTCCCATTATTTTTACTGCCGGGCTGCGGCGACTGCTCGAGGGGCCCTAGTAACTGCCTACCTATCGACTGTATTCACTCGCCTCCAAATCTTCAATGGCATCGGACCCGGATTCAGGTTTGACATCTCGCGGACTGGAGGATCCCAGTCGGGATTTGGCAAGGCAAATTCATATCGATATACTAAAGAAGCCAGGAGAACCATTTGTTCTAGGTAGCTAATGTTCCGGCCAATGCAGCCTCGTGCCCCAGTACTGAAGGGAATGAAGTATGGCTGCAAAGCTTTACCCTCCTCTCCCAGCCATCGTTCTGGCTTGTAGGTGGCATTATCTTTGAAAACTGACTCCTGGTGATGCATCACGTAAGACGAGATGCTGACAGATGTGTCTCCAGCGACATATTCATTGAGGATACAAGCTCCTTCCACGGGCGTTCGGCGAGGCAGGCCGAAAACAATAGGCGGGAGCATTCTAAGGCTCTCGTCTATGCATGCCCGGAGATATGGCAGGTGTTTGACTTTACCATACGGTGCAACGACCTCATCTTCTTCCAAAACCTCGTCAAGCTCCTCACGAAGCTTTGCAAGACATTTGGGGTTTCTCAGCAGGAAAAAGAGAGCGTTTCGAAGTGAGATAGCCGTGGTATCGTGTCCCGCATTCATCATGATGCTAATCTCTGCGACGATCTCGCCCCATTCTAGATTATGGGGTGACCCATTCTTATCCTCCATCATGGCTGTGAAGAAATCGTCCAACTTCTCGCCATTCTCGTGTCGCTTCAATCGTGTAGTGGCACGATTATAGACAATACCGCCCCAATCCTCATCTAACTGCCACAGATGCCGATAGCTTGACGAAATCACTTTGCTAGTTCGGCGCAGAGTCTGAAACCAGTCGTACGACCAGACTATCCGGAAGGACGCTGTCTGTGTAGCAGTATGGCATTCACGGAAGGAGACATCTTTAATTGTGCCGTCCTTACTTTCAGACTTCACTCTGTCAGACCCTTCGTCAAGGAAACCGAGATCCTCGCTGAGTCCAATATTGGCGATCGCAGCTGCGGTCCACAGGACCGTCCAGTTTCGATACTCAACCGTTAGGTCTTCCTTCTTTGGATTCTGATTTGGAGGCAGTGGATCGGTACACCGCTTGTCGAAAGCCTTGATGAGTTTTGCGCTAACGTCTGCCACCTTGAACTCCCACTCTTCAAGATTCTTGACCGCATAGGCGCTCGATAGCACCTTTCGTTTCCGGGCGTGTTCCTTTTTGTCCACGACATCTGCAAGATGGGCGTGGGAGCCTGCGGTCTCGGAGTAGAACCGATCCTTGATGCAGCTGGTACCGTGGCCGTAGATATCCTTGATGGCGCTGGGATCGGAGTAAGATAGCGAATTCGGACCGATTCGCAAAACGGGATGCTTTTTGTGGGCCTCGAGGAGATTTCGAGAGCGGAAGCCACTGTGTGACTCGTAAATAAGTGGCAAATTTGATAGGCCAGACAAAAGGTAGAAATTGGGATACTTCCTGAGTCCCTTTGGGTCATAGAAGTACTTGACGACTGGAGCCACAAAGAAATACCCCACCACGGCCAGTGTTAAGGCGAGGGCGTACATTGTGTGCCAATAGAGGAAATAGGAGAGACCAAGATATTCATTCTTCAGATAGAGCGAACTTAAGGCCTCTGATATAGATTTCGAGATGCTGGCAGTGGTTGTTTTACGTTGAATGGCTTAGTTCGGCGAGGCTTGACAAATTCAGCTAGTCTCGCCTGGCCAATGATCAGAAAGGGAAGAGATCGTCCTATTCCTGACTAATCCTGGAATTGAACCTGCAGATCTTCCAACCTCGTGGATCTTTTTGTCGCGGGGGCAGAATGACATGGAGACCGAGAAGGTCAAAAAGCGATGCCGGGAGAAGATCTTCGTACCGGGTTTACTCTAGAAATGAGACAGGCGTGCGGGGTTCGATGATCTAGGTCACCGATCGGTGGAAAGGTCTCTAGCGGACTAAAAAAAGGAATGGAAAGTCGCGGCGAGTCCAGCCCCACATCAGTCTCCCTTGCCCCGCGATCTTGAAAAGGGTCCCGAAGAGCTCCAGACGATCAGCAGGGAAAGAAGCAATCACGCCAAGATTATCAACAATAAAATCCCTTTCACCCCTATGGACCCAACTAAAGTGCGGTGAAAATAACCGTTCTTGGCTGGAGCATCAGTCGCGCGGTATATTTCTCCACCAGCCCAAATAGTTTTGGGCTCTCTTTGTTTGATGTCTATATCTGAGTACTGTACCACTCTCTTCCGGTAATAATATGATAATGTAGCTGCTTGATCTTCCCGTGAGCCGTTGGATATGGTATACAATGACAACATCACATCGCATTGTACCTGCTCATGGGACCTCATGTCGACAAATTTCGCGACCAGGATTCGGTCACTATATGTCATTTAGGGTATTGTATGGAAAGTGGTGAAAGTCTGCTCAATTTAGAATACCTCGAAAATACTTTTTAACAACACATTATGCTTACAAAGCGTATTACTTAATAACTAATTCTGTCAGCGCATCGAGTGGTAGTTATTTTACCACTAGCAAGCGATTGATTACCCAGGAACCCACATTTCTTTGTGTTTTGTATGGTAAATTGGTTCAACTAGCAACCTCGGTGTAATAACCACCGAGTATACGCACATACGGGGGGGGATTTCAACCTGCCCTCGATCGCATGCTTATTTCGATTCAATCAATCAATCATTTTATCCTGAATTGGTTCCGCTTGATCTCATTCGTCCTGAATGCATACTAGTCCATACGCTTTCAGCAAGTGCTGCTATATATTTATGGTTACCCTTACGTAATTAATTGACCCAAATACTGATTTCTAAGTCTAAAGAGCCTTTTTAGCTCTAAGGGTCAGGTTACCTTTAAGATCAAATAATAAATAGTACGAAATGCTCAAGATAATCCCTATACTATAAAAGAGAAATTATTATTAGAAGAGTAAGATCTAACCACGATAGACCAGTAAGGGGAATGCATAGGCCGATCTATAAACTAGCGATATGCTACATACGCAATAAAATCCCCCAGCATTTAAAGGGGGTTTTATTGAATGTGTACTGGTGCCTTGAAGAATTTGCCACTAAACCAAGACCTCGAAAATATATAAACATAGCCTGTGCTCTGGTTCATCGAGAGCCATATTCCCAAGAGCTTCTTTTGAACAATTATCTAACCCCTACAATTCACAGTGCGCGTCCAATTCTCCAATTTCCTCTATTTGATATCCTTTGCGATAACCTTTGTTGCCCCTGCCTATGCTGATTGCGGGGCCGTTCTTGACCGGTTGAAGGACGTCTCAGGCGAGCTCGAGGGAATTTTCGTCGACTTGTGCAAAAATGATTGCAATCCATCGTTCAAAGATTGGCCCTGGTTCGAGAAAAGACTCGTGAGAACGACGACCGAGATGTTTGACGGAAGGGTTCCTGCTCAGCTTCCCAGTCTTTTCAAGGAGTTAAAAAAGCAATATTGGGAAAGATCAGGTGATCAAATCAGGATCTTTTTGCGAGAAAAGGACAAGGGAGTAAGCTCTCAAAGTCGCGAAAGAGACTATTATGCCAAAGATCCCTATGTTCATGGGACTCACGAGTGAGTTCGAAAGAGTCTTAATGTATATCAACAACCCGAAAGCCTTCCCCAGTTGGAGAAAAATGGCAAACGAATATGCGAGACATACCAAATGTCTTAAGTGATATCTTGAAGCTATTGAATGTGAGTCAATTATCAGCTGAGCAGGGGTTGTTTGTAAATTAACCTATAACTGATTAGTGCGGTTTCAGCTACGGGCGAGAAACAACGTGTGAATGTGTTTAGGGGAGTATCTGAACCGAGAGATGCAGTATGAACTAGTACTAGAACAAGCCAATGAGGCCATTGCACGGTACTTGAGATATAAATCTGATAGCAAATGACGAACTGAAGAAGTGGTAAAATACCACTAGGACCCTTCAGGATCGGCTTATTCAGCGTTCATAACTTCCTCCTAGTATGGTGTCATAACACGCCATAGTTCAAATATAGAGACCCCTGAGATCGCTCAACCGATCAGAATATCTTCAATCAATCATCTGATTCTATTGGACATGTTCAGTACTAGCCAGTACCTCAATTCCTAATCCTGACACATACTAATACTTTGTACTTCAGCTCATGTAATATTACAGTACAAGTGCTTGTTGCTTGGGTCCACCGCCAACGACGCGTCTCCACTTCGTCCCCCCTGCGATCACTGAAGGGTAACGAACGATCTTAGTGATCATAATCAACCATCTCGCTCATGCTGCGCCTCAAAATCTGCGACTGATCATTCCGTCAGATTGTCACGGCAATAGCTCGGAGCCCAGTGAAGTCAAAGTGGTCTTTCAAAGAATGTTGCTTCAGGGGTCCCTGTCTCTCCAGAATGGCCGAATTTCTTTCCACACATCTCTGCGTATCGTGATGAATACAGTATTTCCAAGTCCAGGGCATGATCTTAGCCGATGGGATTGGCCTTGTCAGAGGTCGCATTGGAATACGTACCCGTCAGAGAAGCAAGATACCCTTTTTTTGAGACCGATCACGTAAGGATCCTGGCTAGTTGATCTGCAGTGAAACATGACAGGGAGTAGCAAGGCTGACAGGGACAGATAGTTACACCTTCATCCCTTGTTTCGCCTACCCCTTTACCGACTACAAATACGTTATCTAATCTGCGTTTCAGGTATCGATATTTAAAAGTACTGATTCAACGAAACTCGCCAGAACTTAGTTTGCCTTCATATGTCCCTCTTGCTTTGCCCATTCCTTTCTCAGTCCACGGGTGTTTACGAGTCGCGCTGATATCTTCAAGATATGCCCAAGGTTAATTCTGGTGTTGTGACTGGGCTGTCTCCGCCGCAGCCCGAGGAACCATATCACATCTTGTCCAATAAGCAAAAGTGGAATCTCGTCATCCTCGTCTCCTTAGCGAGCTCCTTCTCGCCATTATCGTCGAATATATACTTCCCCGCGATTGACACGATATCCAAGGACCTGCAAGTAAACGCATCTCTTGTGGCCCTTACCATCACAGTTTATATGGTAGTTCAGGGTTTAGCTCCGTCCTTCCTAGGTGCCGTCTCCGATGCCTACGGCCGTCGCCTTGCATTCACAACAACTCTCGTCGTTTACACGGCAGCCAATCTCGCTCTAGCCTTCACCTCTAATTTTCCCATGTTGCTCGCACTGCGTGCCCTCCAGGCAGGGGGATCTGCAGCAACTATTAGCATTGGCGCTGGTGTTATTGCTGACATTGCTTGGCCACAAGAACGTGGTGGCTTTATAGGAACAAACGCCGGGGTTCGGTACGTAGAAGAATAACCACCTTTATCTTGCATAATATCTTCCATTAACGTTTCAACAGCATGACGGGGCAAGCAATTGGGCCGATCATTGGAGGCGCATTAAATAGCATATGGGGTTTTCAGAGCATATTTTGGCTACTTTTCACCCTCAGCATGATTGTACTAGGCGCGCTCCTAATCTTCCTTCCGGAGACACAGCGCAGCATAGCAGGCGATGGGTCCATCGCTGTCTCTGGTTTTCAGAAACCCTTCATCTATTTTATCAAAGCGCCATCAGTTTGGACAGAAAATACTCAAACGAGCAGTGCTTCGACACCTCGAGCGCCAATATCCTTCAAAGAAGTGTTTAGTCCCCTGGCATATATCTTTGAAAAAGATATCGCAGCACTTTTGGCCTGGGGTGCTGTGGCTTATACGGCGTGGAGCATGGTTACATCTTCTACCACAACAATGCTGCTCCTCGGCTTTCCTTTTCTTAAGCCGTGGCAAATTGGGCTATGTTTTCTCCCAAATGGGCTTGGCTGCATCGTCGGTTCACTTAGTACTGGCTGGTATTTGGACCAGAGCTTTAATCGAGCTCTGGCGCGTTACAAGGTGGAACACGGTATCCCTTTGGAAGACGATATCGCGCACAGGCGCGACTTTCCTTACGTGCAGGCCCGTCTACGACTCATTCCTGTATTTAGCATTGTACTCATGGCTTGTCTGGCATTTTACGGACCCAGTTTCGAGTTCAATGACTTGCGACAGCAATTTGGTCCAAACTTGGCTGCGCCGCTCATCCTCCAATTCCTAATCTCCTTCTCGGCAACTGCTATCTTCAACATCAACTCGACTGTCCTGATTGATTGCTTTCCCGAGCGACCTGCGAGCGCAACGGCACTCAACAACTTGTGTCGATGTCTACTGGGAGCGGCGGGAGTAAGCGTTATACAGCCACTGATCGGTGCCGTAAAGGCGATGAGCGCGTTCTTCGTCGTGAGTGGCGTTGTATTATTGTTTACTCCACTAATCTGGATTGAATGGAAATGGGGGGAGAAGTGGAGGCAACAGAGAGAAGAGAGACTTGCTCAACAAGGCAAGCTCTAGATAATCTGGCTCAATTTTTGTACGACGCCACGCCCATAGGCACAGCTTCCGATACGGCGAATGTTACATTGATTCAAAGATTTCGATTATGTGTCTTTTCTCTCATGGAGTGAATACAACAACGAGCGGTATTTAGTCAGTATGATAACGTACCGACGTACACTGCGGACGCTACACGTGAGGTTTCGCTAGAAGCGCGGATCGAAGCGATGGAACGACGGCTACGTTCGCGTGATCTAACCCATTCGAGAACCGTTTGTATGAAGAGTGGATGCATGATCTGGACCCAGGATCTGCTCTTTACCTGCCAGCGCTCGCTGATGCATCTTCTCTGCTTCCTGAAACTGTCCCTGATCTATATACAGATCCCCTAATCCATGAAACTCTCTCAATACCACGATATCATTTTCCGGGAAAGGCCGATGACGTACATAATTCGCGTGTGGAATAAGTCGTTGCTGAAGTTCGGCATAATTTCTTTCACTTGAACTAGGAACATTGCATCCGACAGATATCAGTGCCAGCTCATTGAGCTGAAAAGAATTCAATTTTTCGTCTGTGCTGGCAAGGTATATACACCAGTCTTGTACCACTGGGTGCATCACATAGCTTCCCCCTTGTCTCTTACATTCAAGAAGAGAGAATTAGATGAGCGTCTTGATACCATTATGCATTCTACGTAGTAAATCATTCTGAGAAAAGGGGTAAATAACGTGCCTTTCACTCATAATAAGAAATCCGTGCCATTGACTCTATCAATTCACCCCGCTAGTACCTCGGTATAGCCGTCCTTGTCCTGTAATCCTCAACATAAATCACCGGGGATATAAGTTTTAAAGAAGTAAAAAGTTCACTTATCTGTAGACATCGCCAAATCCAAGTCACTATGTCATAAAACCTTCTGTGCCCAGTCTATATCCATCGCCCCTTTTGAATTCCCGCATCCTCTTATTAAGAAGAGAATGTAGACCTTTTACTCGAAATCTTATAGATGAGCCTGCATTATCTCAAGCGTAACCACAGCCATTCACTGACGAGAAAAGACTTAGTTGGCTACATTGGCCTTCTTAGCCTCGTTCTCCTTGAGTAGCTCGTTCCGCTCTAGTCGCCATTGGGCACCCCACTTGTCCTCGACCAAGAGAAGCGGGGCTATGGCTAGGGTGATACCAGCAAGCAAGACGAAGCAGTACTTGGCTGAGATGGTGTCGATGATGGGCTGCACAGCGGCCACGCCAGCGGCGCCGATCAGGCATCGCATAAGGTTGTTGACAGCAGTCGCACTAGCACTGGCACCGGGGTAGAGGTCAATGACAAGGGCGCTGTTGAGGGTGAATATTGCAGTAGAGCTGTAGGCGATGAAGTACTGGAGGGTGATGGGGACAGCGAGGTTGGCCTCGAGAGAGACACCGTACACAGCCACACAGATGATGAATGTAGCAGTAATCCACCAGCTGTTGCGCATGCGGGCCTTCTCTATAGGGAAGTCGGGGTGCGACTTGCTGTCGATGCGGGTGTCGAGCGGAAGGTTGTGCTGCTGGCAGTACTCGCGCTCCGTTCGCTTGTGGTTGAAGTCCATCAGGTAGCCAATGCTGTAGGATCCAGACATGCATCCGAAGCCTGTCGACGGTTAGATGGTTAGATAAGGTTGACATCCCGCGGTATTTATTTACTTACCATTACCCAAGAAGGTCAGACCAACCTCCAGCACATTCAGTCCGTATTTGGACTCGAACAGGTCAGATGTTGACGAGGTTACCATCGACCAGACAGTATACACGATAGCACCATAGAACAAAGTGATAAAGACATCCTTCTCAAACAGGAAAGTGAGAGGAGTAAACAGAGTTCCAATGGTAACCTTCTTCCTCTCCACTGTGGGTACTGCGCCTTCCACGGCGCCCGTCTGACCGGTAATGTAGTAGATAAATGGCTTGCAGATACCAGTGAGAGGAACCTGGCCAGTTCCAGCGAAGGCATGGTGGGTTTCAGGGAGCAAGATCATGATGGAAGCCAGACTAATACCAGCTGCAATAGTCAGAGCCCAGAAGATGGATCGGAAGCCCAGGTACTGGGATAGGATACCACCGAAAACTGGACCAACACCCTGACCAAGCATGCAGACTGTTTTTCTCTCAGTCATGCTCAGACCAAATTCAAATTAGCAGTGACTTACCGCCACCAAAGATACCGACCAAGCTTCCTCGCTCGGCGGAAGTAGTAATGTCTCCAATGACACCAGCTCCTATGCAGATCAGCAAATAGTAATAAAAAGCAAAATGAGTGTGCATACCGATGGAGATGGTGGCTGCACTGCCGGCAGCTTGCAGAGCACGGAAAACCATGAGCATTGCATAATTCTGTGACTCCGCAAGCAGGATGTTTGCAAATATATAGACGAGGAAAGTTCTAATGAAGACCGATCGGCGGCCGATCACATCGGATAGAGAGCCCCAGAAGCTAGGAGCCAGCCCTTGGACAATCATGTACACTGTGGCAGTCAAGGTAGTCAAGGCTATGGAGACATGGAGATCCTGGAAAATGTGAGTGGAATCTAGTTCCAACTCGAGCGGGGTGCTCTACAAGGAATACACTCACCTTGGAAATGGTAGTCAGCGCAGGGAAGTAAATATTTGATGACAGCGGGGAGAAGATAGCAGCGACAGAGACAATCCAAACCATCTCCAACTTGCGAGCGCGAGTGAAGATATGGTGTGGCGGGGGTGCAGGTGCTTGGACTTCAAGGTTGACAGAACCCGAGCACGGTGTCAACAGCTCCTTCTCATCTTTGGGGGAAAGGATGGGAGTATCAAACGGGGTTTTAGATGTGGAAGTGAGGGAGGCCTCTGCGATACACGGATTCTTAGGGTCCCTGGAGGAAAAGTTGGGAGGAGCCCTAGTGTACAACGAAGAGTAAATAGAAAGTCAGGACCTAGGGGTGCCAACTCGAACAACGATGAATGTAGACGAAATCGAATGTGGCAAAATTTTGGATCAACAGCCTCAGAGAGTCCTGGTTGGATTCAAGATTAGGCCCTTTTGTATCCCAACGTCAGGCTGGCCACCCCCGATAATATACGTCTGAAAACGTTAAACGGGCCCATACATCTGATGAGAATCAAGCTCATGTGTTTCCACTGTGGATTCAGCCAAGGAAGCCGCCTTACTGACCCACTTGGGAGGGAAGGGCGGCGAAGATCGGACCAAAACAGGAAAGAAACATGGCTGCTGTGCGGGCCATGTTAGCTGGAACCCGTGCTAGATTCAGCTCCTTACAAACGCCTAGGGCAACCTATAAACATCCATATTCCTGCTCCCCAAAGGCCCATTCTCGGTCATATTTGGAACTAGCTACTTCAAAAATTGGAAATAATTTGAATACAGTGCAAGAAATATTCTTAGAGTTCCTCGAGTCGGTCACGAACGATTGCCCCGTAAAACATCCCCTAAACCTGACTTCCATCAGCATTTTTCCACAAGGGAGAACCCGGAATTCCTTCTAAGGCCAACACACGCGCGTTACATATTATCTACGAAAGGATCTGCAATGCGTGTGCAGCACGCAATCAAGTTTCACTGCCGACTGGATACGGAGCTAATCATTCTCTGACATGGAATAACATTTTGTCTTCGGTAGCGGCAGCCACGAAGTATTCCGATGTCCTGAGAGCTGGTTCCTGCAATAAGAGCGCGGCCGGCAAGCGGGGGCCCAATGACGACCATGACATCCAGAAGCCCAGACTTAGCCGACTAGTTCTACTTGCACATGGTGAAATAACACGACCGGAAAGGCCTTCTGTCGACCTTTAGCGTCGCCAAGTGGCTTCGGTGAATGACGATCCCGGTCCGTCAAGCAAATGCCAAGCTTCATCGAGGAAAAAACCCAAGATGAAAGATGAAACCCGCCGAGGCTTGGTTCATGTCAATACGGCGGTGCAGTTGATTCGCTGTGTGGCCACCTCGGTTCGGCAGTTATTTCAATCTCGGGACATAACCTTGCTGGTGTGAGGCTGATGATGCATTTACCACTTCTTCGCAACCAAATCTTGCAATATGAAACAAGTACTCGCAGGTTTTTTTTTTCAATTTTTATTTTTTTGGGGGTGAGTATTTCAATTTTTGATTAAAGCCTAAAGGCCAAGAAATGGCCGAGGCAGCCCCTCCCGTAAAGCCACCCATGTTCTTAACTCGCTCCTAGTCTCAATTCAACCTAGCCTCCGCCGAAGAGGATCCCGACTTCGGGTAGCCGAGTGCAACCCGCTTTTGCATGTTCAAAGATAGTTAGCTGCAGATTGGCCCGGTATCAAGGTCTATATTTGATCTGGTACAGACCTGAAAAAGAAACTAGAAAATCATCGTCATGTCTGGACCTCTCCCGCAACTTAACTTCGGTGTAAAGTTATACGGGGACAGACCCAGGCGAGTTTTGGGTTTCCACCCTGCCGAGAGCCAGACACGAAGGGCCATAAAGGCACTCATGAATAGGAGAAACACCCGCACAGGCCTCCCGGAGTAGCCCCACAGGCCTCTCTCGGGCGAACCGGGCGGCATTCTGGGCATAAGACTTGGCGGCTCCCCACTCTACCTCGTCCTCGTCCTCTCGCAGATAGACATCCACCCACGTTGCCGGCCACATCCCGGTTGGCTCTCCAGGATATCCTGTACGCTATGTTTCATACCCTGGTCTAGGTCGATCGGACCCAAGTTGCTCTTCTCAATTGGTTTGCCCAAAGCAGAAACTTTGTCGAGCGTCTTGTTCAGACTTGTCGCCTGGAATTCGCCGCGGGAGATTCTGCAGATTTGGCGAAACTATAATCATGGTTCCTGCTGCTAACTCACTGCACGAGATAAACGAGCACCCGATAGAGCCCCCTGAATCCCTGATACGCCCACTTTGCGTTGCAGGCATCAATATCCCGATCTTCACGTACCCCCGAGGTGTGCAGCTCACATGAATTGACCACTATCTGGTCCGTCGGACGGCCTATGGGTTGCCTGTTTTTAAGCAAATATCGCAAGAATGCTGTTTAAAGTGGTGAATAGCCATTGGGAGTCGATTCCGGTATGGTTTGTTTCAATAATGAGCACATTGGCCAGCATCTCTGCAGATCCAGCGCAGGGCTGCTCGAATTATAGTGAGACATGCCATAATGCGCTGTACGCGAAACAGCTTTAGAAATGTTACCTCCGTGCCCCTCCTTCCCTGCTGTCCATCTTCCAGGTCCCAGGCAGCAACCTATGACATTCGTCCATCCAATTTGCCAAAGCCCTTAAATTATGAGGCAGAACGAAGATGAAGGGGAGAGGGGAAATACTTGATTCCACCAAAGCAAAGAAAGAAGCTTACGGATCCGCGAACAAGGCCATGCATCCTGCTAGGCTATGAGGGAAACATCAACTACCGTATCCTTCTGGGAGGCGGAAGAATTGTTGGGACTCCAAGCGCAGAGTTTCACGAAGTCCTCACAGCTCCCTCCACACAGACTATAGAAGATGTGAGAGCCAGACAAGACGGCTTACCTGAGGCAACGGCTGCTGCCGTAGGGGGAGTGAGACGGTGGGACTAATAAACCAACCGTCGGTAGGTGTGCGGCAAGCATCCGTGCCTGCTTCGGGGCACCGATTGTCGATGGATCCCCCGGAGCAGCCCCTAACTAAGCCGAGAAACGATATCTCGCACCTATTGCCTCGGAGTGGCGATAACTCGCGAGTGCTTACCCAGCCGAGTGACGATAACTCGCAAACCCAGGCGTCGCTTCAATCGAGTGACGATGACTCGCAGCCAGCCGTTGCTGTACAGGGAGACAGGACCTTGTCGTCCACACGGAGTGACGATACCCTTGGACCTCTATCACCTGCTTATCAGGATTCTGTCCTTGGGACTGACTCACCGGACGGTGGCGACCAGCAAAAAGGCGACGCTCAGCAAGGGATAAATTCAGGAGAATGGCAACGATATTCAGAACTCCAACTTGACAGCCCAGTCCATGATGTGCAGCAAGGAGCACTTGATCACCACCCTGAACTAAAGATTCGCGCTCCACAAGTCACACTGGACACGTCTGATGAGAGCGAAGAAGAACTTGCACTAATGAATATACCCGAAGAGAACGTCATCTCAACATTCTTGACGGTAGCTGCAGAGGAAACAGAACCCTTCGAGCCAAAGAACCTGCATCAGGCGAAGAACGGCACAAGCTGGCTTGAATGGGAAAGAGCAATGCTTGAAGAAGTGAACTCACTCAAGCAAAACAAAACATGGGAGCTTGTTGATCCCCCCCCAATGACCGGCGAGTTCTCAGTGGAAAATGGGTGTTCAAACTCAAACGAGGACCACATGGCGAAGTACTCCGCCATAAGAGCAGATGGGTGGTGAGAGGCTTCACACAAGAAGACGGTATTGACTATGACGAAACCTTTGCCTCGGTTGTCAAGCCAATGAGCTACAAGGCCCTCTTCGCAATCGGAGCGGCCCTGGACCTGGAGATCGAGCAAATGGATGTCAAAACCGCATTTTTGTACGGACACATAGACCACGAGATCTACGTCGAACAGCCCCATCACATGACGGACGGCACCCCAAGGGTCTGCAAGCTTCGAAAGGCCCTCTATGGATTAAAGCAGGCTCCTCGCATCTGGTACCAGACCCTCACGAACTTCCTACGCAATCTTGGCTTCGAGCCAATCACCGCCGACCTTGGTATCTTTGTTCGGAGCAATATGTACATCGCGGTGTATGTTTATGGTCTCCTGATCGTGGGTCCGAGTATCGCAGAGATCAAGAAGATCAAGCGGAGCCTAAGGAACCGTTTTCAGATGACAGATCTGGGCCCATGCAACTACTACCTTGGGATATCCATCCAGCGAGACCGCCAAAACAGGAAACTGTCCCTTAGTCAAGAAGCACCTTAGTCAAGAAGCATACATTGACAAGGTTGCTCATCAATTTGATATTGGCAACTGCGCTCCCATCGGTACGCCGATAGAAACATCTCCGCTTCCAGAGAACAGTCCAGAGTACACGTGCCCTCCAGATCAGAGGACCTCTTACCAACGCATGGTCGGATCTCTGATGTACATTATGCTTGGAACCAGGGGGGACATCGCGTACGCAGTCTCTGTGGCAAGTAGATCCCTGGCGAATCCTGGGCCCCAGCACATAAAACTCGCTCAACGCATCCTGCGTTACCTCAAAGGAACAAAGCGCCTCAGACTCGCGTACAAGGGTTAGTCTCAGAAACTGAAAGGCTTCACAGATGCAGATTGGGGAGGATGTCGTGACACGAGACGATCAACAGCTGGGTATCTCTTCAATATTGGAAGTGGGGCTATCAGTTGGCAATCGAAACGTCAGGGCGTCGTTGCCATCTCAACCTGCGAAGCCGAATTTCTAGGGCAGACACAAGCCACCAAAGAAGCAGTCTGGTTGAGAAGGCTTCTCAGCTTAGGTAGGGCCCACTCTGGGGGATCCATCGACAACCGGTGCCCCGAGGCAGGCACGGATGCTTGCCGTATACCTACCGACGGTTGGTTTATTAGCATGATTCCAGGCGATGAGGGTGGCGCAGACTTACTGCAGTGAAGCCTGGCATCAGCATAGGGAGACAAGAGACGAGGTAGCAGATTCGGCTCGCTCAAACGTCAGAGGGCCCGGAATTGCTCCGTACAACAGGAACGAGTGGGCTATATCTGTCAATGCATATCTCTAGGCAAACTTCCAGCCGTGTCAGTGAAGGACATGACTGGAGGAGATAGTCATGGTATGTTGTTCTGAGGAGGCTAGGGACTGACCTGAAGATTACTGCTCTCGTGGCGAGAGGTCCGGGGTAGACCCAGTGCTGTGGCCTACAATGTCGCTTGCTCAGCTGCAACTAGGGCCTGACAGAGCTGACCCTCATACTGCGGCCAAAAGCTCAACTCATTCAAGATTGATGCTTTTCTCTGAGAAACCCTGGTCTTTCTCGGTGGTCGTTGATGCTCGGCTTTTCTTCGCTGTCGCTGGGTGCTTTCAGTCGTCCGAGCAGGTCTAGCATGGGTCCGGATTATGCCTGTCGTCGTGGCTTCGGATCGGACGTGGGACAAGAGATTCCTAGTCATCCGATGGAGGCCTCTATAGTGACAGTCAATGTTTGGTCAAGTAGGATGAAGCTGGAAGAGAGGAAACTATGTGGGAGCCTACCCTTTCCAATTCGAAGGGAACTGAGCCTCCCTGGGTTTTGTTCGCTAACACGAGCGGAAAGGAAGTTTCAAGTATCTGTCTTGGGATAGCGAAGTAGAAACACATTGGGAGTCAGTGGCCCGGCCAGTGTTACATCCTTGGTTTTAGGACGATGGGGAAGTGCGGCTCGGTCGTGGTGAGTGACACCTGGGCTTTTGTCCCATGACTAGAAAGAAGCATCAGCAATCTCGTCGGACGGAATGAGAGCACAACACGATGAAACTCAAGCAAATAATATCCGCGGTGAGATCCAAAACGCAGTCCCGGCCATGGTACATGGCACAAACAACGTACCAAGGTAAAATGCAAGATATTGAGCGACCCTTAATTGAAAGTCTGCCTTTCTATAGAGTGAGTCGTCAACACAGGATAAATATGCTCAAGATTGCCGCAATGATAAAACTTACGTTATCAGCTGTTACTATGAGCTGTAACTGGGAGGGCCAAATGGCTGCATAAAGATTTTCCTTGATCTATCATTGGTCGTTAGTAGGTAGCTTATGAAGGAAACTCATAACTCACCGTGCTTGCAGCTTTGATCATTTTTCCGAGGTCACTCAAGGTCCGTCAAGCGGCTCCTAGAGGAATAGAAGAGAAGGGCTGGTCTTGAGCACATTCTAGGTTAGCATGATTCCAAATGACGAGCAGCTACACTCACTTGCTGTTCGAAGATTTGGTATCGAGCTAGACAAGCTGGGTGTGATACAAGAAGTCAGTTCAATCATAATTGCATGGCAACATGGTTTAAGTCCATACCAGATGATAGCCGACAGAGCCAAACGGCTTTCCATATTTTTCGACCCAGGGTGAAAAAGGGATGATTGAGAAAGTTTGTTCTGCTGGCGAGGGACTGGGGTATTTATAGCATTGTAGCCCGCCTTTCCGCTAACGTCTTTATAACGGAAATTGCGAATTGTGAGCTCACCAACAGAGTTGGCCGTTGAACTGCAAATGGCTCAACATTTCAACAGAATGAAGGGCACGTATCTTTCAGAGGTATCATGATTCTTTCATGATGGTCTATGGCTGCAGACAATCACGAACGTTTTCCTGTCGTTGTCACCGTTTCAATACATCCGGCAACATGACAGAAAAATCGCAACAGGTCTCAACACCCATTGATGTTGATGGTCACGTTATTCCCACGGGTGATGGCAAAACACTCATCAATAATCCGTTCTTTTTTCCACTCAAAGAATTTCTCTCAAGCATCAAGCCTTGTTGCACCCCTGGCTTCCTACTGGCCCAGCCGCAGCATAATTCATGTCCATAAGCAGTGATTTGCACCTACCCGATCTTCCGCAACTTAATGGATAGATACTGTATAGGCTACGGCGTGGCGTGACCTTCAAATACACAGCCGCTGCATCGCGAGTCCTCTTTGCTCCCGTCTATGTACTCTTACCAACCTTTCTCAAACCTTCGAAATCTATAGAGCAGTCCTGTACTGCTTATATGGGACTGCTGCTTGAGAAAGCTTGGAAATCCTCATAGTATGAGGTCATATAAATCCCCCCCGTATCTAGATTTCAAGATCTCATAGAAATTAAAGTAAGTATGCTAATGTTGTAGGATCACAGCTCTCGAGTGATATTATTTGAATCAGCCCCTTGATATAAATAGCGTACATTCGTTTTCCAGTAGATACAACACCACGTGCATAAGAAAGGTACAACCAAGCCTCACAGCGATTTTACCTTGCTCTACTTACAATCCCTCGTCACATGGCTAACCGATATTGATACAGCGATGAGATTTTGAGTTGGCTTATCTTTTCGACTTATAGCCCATTTGTGTTCAACATATGTACCTCGAGCCCTTCATTGCATATCACGCAATGGACTGATTGGAAATTGCCGACATTGTGCAAATTATAAGCTGGATCTGACTTGTGTCAGCTCTCCCATCACTTAGGCTCAAAATAGGAAGAACCACCTCAAGCGCAATCTCCCATTTCCTCGAGATGGCGCCAAAAATAGCGGCTCCTAGCAAGAGAAGACCCGCATTTGATAAATGAGATAAGATAAAATGCAACTTTCTCCGGCCTTGCGTAGCTACCTTTACTAACCACAGGTACCATGCCATTTCACAGAGATGATCCAAGAAAAGTAGAAATGGAGTGATAAATTGAATCTCATCTAGCATGAATATCCCAATGAATGTAGTTGTTATCTTTAACACCGTTGATGCCAGAGCATAGATTCTGAATACGACACGCGTCGATCGTTTTATGAATGGATTATTGAGCTTCTGAAAACCAATGCGGAGAAACTAGGCCAGTATTAGCATATAATTGGCTTTCTCAAGCTATACTGTAACAAACATTTTGCACAGAAGGAATCGTTGAAAGAATTCCAAGGAGAATTTGAATCCATATCAATGGCTTCTCGCTCCAGAACAGCCCTGCCAATAAGGCGGACAGGAGAATGGATAAGACGCATAGCGCCAAGTCCATCTTATGAAATGGCCAATCGTCTTCGAACACCCACAAAAGAAGGGAGCTAGCAATCAAAGCGAATAGAAGCATAGTGATCAGCAGTGCTTGGAAGGATAGTTCGGAAGCCATGACAAAAAAATGAGAACAGATGTGTTGCGGTGAGAAGAGTGCGCCGATAGCGATATAAATATCATTAAATAAAGCGACGTTTAATTGAACGCCAAGAGAGCCCGAGGATATCCCAGGAGGAGGAGGCGAATTGTCATTCTTCTCTGTAGAAGAGATCTCTTGCCATCAGCTTTTAGCTCGCACAAGGCAATATTTTCATCGAGCTCCTGGGAACTATGTCGAAATATATCAGGAACTGGCGTGCGGTAAGCACGATTTGCATAGAGTACGGTCTCACGTGGCCTGTATATGCTACCCTGAGCGCAAGGAAGCTTCGTTTCTCTTGCTTCCTCCGCCAAATTCTTTGAAAAGGCTTGTGATTTTACCAAACTTGCTTGTGAATTCTCTGGAGAACACAACCCTCATGTACAAATAAATGGGCCTTTGACAGCTATATTCCCAGGAGCAGATCACCTTTTCACGGATTCAATCTGTTTTGAGAACTGCAGCGTTCGGAAATAGTATGTGATGAGCTCGAAGTAAAGTTTGCAATCGATTCAACCCAGATATGGGAGCTTACGCATAAAAGTATGTGAGTGTAGATCAAATATTCTCGATATTAAAGCTGCTCTCAACAGAGTCTCGCTATAAATACTGCGAATATCATCCTCATGAATCGATCATCGCATAATACAGCAACAGGCTCTCTCTTCAAATCGTGACAGTTGAGGTACCAAGATAGCGAGATATTTCATCCTATTCGAAAACATGGCGCACCTCCCTCATGCCAATAGTGAGTCACCCTTACATGTTGCAAGCATCAGTAAGACTCAAGGCAGCTAACCAGTCTGATTTTCTTAGCCTTCCAGGGAGTTCCTGATTCAATTGATCGATTGCAATGCGACGAGTGTCTAGATGACTCTTACTACACTCAATGCGCACAAACCGCCTTGTCATTTGCTATCATGCAAGGAAAATTGTCAACCGTCCGAAAGTTACTTCGTCGACACGATACTGATGTCAATGGTCGGAGTCCGAAAGCCCAGCCTCCAATCCTGATAGCCCTCGAATATCAACAATACGAGATCTTAAAAATACTTCCAAGAGACCCGCGACTCAATCTCGATATTCAAGATGACGGAGGCTACACCGCACTTCATCTGGCTGTGATATATGACGACCCCATAGCAGTGCAAATCCTCCTGGATCACGCGCATATCGACGTCAACCATCTCGATTTCACGGGGAACAATGCACTTCTTTTAGCCGTCACGGCTTACGACGGCTTGGACCCCAAGAGAAATAAAGTCATAGATCTTCTAATTTCAAATCCGAAGATATTGGTGAACAAGCGCGATCAAAGAGGTCGCTCGGTGCTGTGGCATGCGGCAAATACTGGCAACAAAAGACTGATATATCAGCTGGCGCAGCTGCAGGATCTGGAGCTAGGGATTCCCGACAATGATGGTGTGTCTCCTGTGGACCAAGCCAGGAAAAGGGAAGACATTGAGATAGTTGCGCTTCTGCAAAGCCTTCTGCAGGTGCCGGCTGCGGTGGGATGTCCAAGGACAATATGAGATACTCTGGTAACCACAAGCTTGAAATGACACTACATAAAACTAGGCAATTGAAACCAGCATTGAGAAGCTTCCAGGGAGTTTTTCTTAAAGAAGGTACTTTAGTAGGCTTTGAAGAGGCTTGTCGTAGTATGGGGTCGATTCAGGAGCGAAGCCTCACGATGAACGAAAAACTCCCGACGGGTCAATACGAAGCGGCAACTCGACCGGGTATGACCCATTTGCTCGGTACCCATGTGACTTCCATAAATACTCTAATTATTCAAAAATAATGCTGCTGCATTTCCCACAGCCGGAACTTTTTCTCGCCAAAGATGGCTAAGCACAGCTAGAGTTGGGCACTCGAAAACAAAGGGTTGGTTTCTCGGAGTAGTCTCTGCCAGAAGCCTCCCTGCATCGCTGCCTTTAGTTAGGTAAGCGACCATTGACCCATAGGCCTTTGCACTGTCCTTTCTGGTGAGCCATGCGATCTTCGCAACGGTGGCTTCATTCTTCGCGCTGAAGGCTGCTGCGGCTCAGTGACGGATCTCATCTTTTTCGTCCGGAGCAAAACGGGCAACATCTGTATAGGACGGGGAACCAGTGGAAACGGAAGGGATGATTGTATCACGCAGGGATTGAATCTCGCGGAGGATCTCATCGTGACTGTTCTGGGGGGCATGCCTCGGGGTGGGATTGCGGTGTCGGGGGTCTATCCGTCAGGGTCTGCAGCTCATGTCGAATTCTGCGAGGGCGGCCCCAAGTTCTTCCTTGACTTTCTGGAATTCTTTTTTCAGACATTCCGGAGCTCTTTCTTTGTAAATCATCCGGTCGTCTGATCTCTTGCCTGAGTTTTTTTGGCGGCACTCAGGTCGTCGCTCTCTGTCGCCGACTCGTCCGAAATTGCTGCGTCACATTGGGTCACTTACTTGCCCTGGATTCTTTGCCTCTGTTGAGAGCGTGCCTTTCTCTGCTCGTTGTCGATCTCTTGCTCCCGAGCATAATTATTCGGCGGTCTGGTGGTGCGTCTCGGTCTCGACAATCGGGGCGGTGAATCTTCGCGTTCGTCGCGTTCGTCGCGGTCGGGCGGTTCAGGGTTCGCGTCGCGGTCCGTTCCGCCATGCCATCATTCAAAATCGATTCCGACCACTAACCGATATAGGGCCGCTTGAAATCAAAGTATTTCCCGCGTCTTCTCTTCCCGTACACTCCGGATCGATTCGAAGTTTCATGCCGCAGCCCCACAACAGACGGATCAGGATTATGATCGGGCACACCAGCAGCTGAGCCATGGAGGCGCTCCGAGAACGGGAAAGAGCGGCTTACGGTCCCAGTTCTCAATTCAAAATACCGGCTGCAGGGAATGAACTCAAAACCAGTCACTATAACGTACACCTAACATCACCAAACAGACATGACTATCTAAGCGTCGGTCGCACCTTAAATATTAGTTTTCACACCGCCTAGCTACACAATTTCTCTTATGCATTCCAGATTTGCGCAAGCCAGCACGACTTCAGGGCTGCTTACCATTACTCGAGCTTGGGCAAGACTCCAAGCTCTAAGACTCTGAATCCGAGACGCTTTGAAATCCCTGAATAAACTTTCGCCCTGCTTCGAGAGGGCCGTGAATCTGTCTCGACTGCAGTCGGCTTGTACCCATGGGTTTGTGATTTTCTCACCCCTCAATACGGCGTATTTGAGGGTTTTCGAAATTTGTGCGTCAAATAACCCATAGACATGAACGCCTGCTTCATCATAATGAGGATTGACTGACAACAGAAACTCTGGGTGTTTGTTTAGCATGATTTTTCTAGGCCAATCTTTGAGCACTCATATTGTACCATACGCCGCGGGAGAACTCATTTAATAGACCCCGCATTGGCAATGTTCTTCTCTTCCTCTATTCTCGCCCCAAGATCAGACAACATCGTATCCTTACCTGTACCTCGTTCGGTTTTGAATTCTTCTCCCCACCCGTTACTATCACTACATGAGGTTGGTCTACGGTCTGATCAGACGTATTGGCCGCTGAAGTTTCTGGATTAGGTGCTGCATAAACGCAATTGGTCAGCGCGGAGGATTTGTCGACGTTCAAAACTACCACCCAGTGTTCTATATTGTCCCAACAGATCATTGCCATTAAGCAGACCCGGGATGTCGCAAACTCTTTCGGGACGGTCTGCGTCTCCCGATCTTACCCAGTTGTATCAATCTGTCTTCCAGATCGACAATGAGTTTCCACGCTTCGTGGTACCGTGTTATCCCTGGTGGGAAGATGAAGCTACTACAGTTCTCTGGGCATTCAAAAATCTCGAAATCCGCCTAGTCATTCGTTACGGTCTATTTCGCGATGAAAATCTACCACGAAGCTCCCTCTTAAGCCGCAATGTCAACACAATTGATGCTATTTTTACGGCGCCAATTGGACCGGGTGAAAATCATCTGCTTGACAGTCTCTCTCATGTGCAACGAGTGGAGGAAATCTTGCGTCGATCTGGGCTTCCACCATTTCAGCCGGTCCCTTGGTCTTGGATACCTCAAGCTCCAGTGCATGCGCTCGACCCGCAGGCCATCGCTCAGGCCATTGAGGCCGAGAGCCATTTTCAGCTCAGTAGGGTCGCTTTTGAAGACATCGTGCGTGCCTCGCTGGGATACACGGCGACTTCTGTCGAGTGGTTTCTCATGCAACACACAGCTTTGTATATGCACTTGTTAGATTTTCTTCGGATGTTTCCTGATGGAATTCCCGTGTACTTGGAGGTAGAAAAGGTAAAGTTAACTGTGCTTGATACCAGACTCCAGTAGCTAACATGGCCTCAGCATCTACGGGGAAAGAGCCCTTTCGCCCACCGAGCGATAGCACAATGTCTAGCCGCAGTACAATCAGACTTTGCACCAGATCTGTCTGAGAAACCTATGAGTAGTTTCAAATTCGTTGCCGGCCCGATCCAGCGCCTCTTTCAAGACCGACCGGAGAGTCTTACTAATATGCTTAAGATCTGCAATTTATTCGCTGTTCGGTTTCGCCACCAGTACATCAGTACCTCAAAGGTGCCCTGGGACAGAGAATTCGATGTTTCATACTCCTTCTTTGAAGATTATCTCGGATCATCTTCGCCACCTGACTTGGCTCGCACCCTCACTGCTCTAGACAAGAGTAATTTCGCGCATCTGACCCGATCAAGTATCATTGCACATAATGAGATCACAAAGCGTCTTTTAGCCAACTGGGAAGACCTAGCCATGTCAGTATGGGAATGCTGTTCCGCAATTCCAGATTTGACCCTTGGCCTGCGAGAATGCGTACAGGTGAGTTGCTTCTCAGCAACAATGCGATAGTTCAGCCCCATATCTGACAGCGGAATATAACCATGCAGAACCTCTTACAGCGACGAAATTACCACTCTTCAACGGCAATACTACATGGTCTCCACAAATATAGTATATCGGCTACACGGCCCCGCGGTCTCAACAGTACAGCTGGGGAAATTATCGTTCTACACCCTCTTGTTCCACCAGACATGATATTCCTCTACGATGCAACACAAAACTACGCCTCATACCTTCAACACTACGTAAATCACCCGGGAATCCCATTCTTACTCCCGCATCTTCGCGATGTGCAGCAAAAGGGAGAATTGGCGCTTGAACCTGTCTTGCGCTTTCTGCAGGCATAGAAAATTGATTCTACCTGTTCTAAATATTTAGGGATTTTCTCAGCTTAATTCGTTTCGGCCAAATTTCATAATTCACCGTATTCACCTAATTTAAGTGAAACATACCTGCTTGCCTTCGCGGGGTGGTTTGCATTGCTGCAAGCGATCATGCTATCTCGGCATGGGCTCATTTTAAGCCTATGTTTCTTATATCTGTGCACTACCTGCGATCCACTTCCTCGATTTGCATTTGATAGTGGTAGATCGGCGATCTAAAAAGGCTAGGCTAGTGCGATAAGATAGATTAGTTCATTTCATTGCATGACTTCGAGGTCAATTCATACCGAAGAGTAGCTGGCTAAGACGAAGCGCGTTCGATGTTATTTGCCCCAGAATGACAGGGAGATGCTTGAAATCTGCTGTTCTGCTGACTGGAAGTCGGGTACTTATAGCATTGTAGCCAGCTCTTACGCTTGCATCGGTGCCATGATCGTTGCGAATTGTGCGGCAACACGAATTTGACTCTTCAGTTGCAGCTAGTTAGTTCGACATTTCCACACTGATCTAACGCAGTATCAGGAAGCATTGCCACTCTTTCTTGATAATCAAGTATAAAAGAGACCTTTTATCGCCGTTGACACCGTTAGCGATACCACAGAAAAGCACCGACGAGACGCTTCAACATCCATCAACATGGGTCCCTACGTCATTGCTACAGGGTGCGGCACAAAAGCGGTCATGTATTTTATCAACTCACCGATGATGAGCGCTTTTTCAATTTTCAGTTTAAAGAATATTCCATCCCAGTTATCCAAACTTTAAATCATGTCGCACCTAGTCCAATCGCAGAATCGCTCATGTTCATTCAACTGTGAAGTCTACCTTGTCGCAGCACAATATGTTTAATCGTACCTCCTACACGGTAACAGGCAGATAAAGGTTACGGTGTCCCATGGCCCTGATTCTCACAACTCCCATATTACGACAGAGTTCAATTTTCTCCCGCTGCTCTTGTCGACTCCTCTTCTTACGCTTTCATAAGTTCAGCTGGAAGGCCTTCTTCGCCACATATTCTTACAGTCGATAGCGCAAACGGCTTCTACCCTCCTGATCGCTTTTCTCTTCTCGGGCCCCACTGCCAAGGCCTTAGCGTAGATTATTTATTGATTGCTCGACAGTAATTTGAGGGCCGTTGAACAATGTACGATGTATGAAACTGTATCTTCCCCCGTGCGATTGGACCCACTGCTGAATATTGGGCGGCGAAATGTTGATAGCTATGGTATTAAATACGACGTACTTAACGGTGGCCCTCAACTTATTATGGTGCAGTGAATAAAGGATCCACGCTAAGGCCTTGGCAGTGGGGCCCGAGAAGAGAAAAGCGATCAGGAGGGTAGAAGCCGTTTTCGCTATCGACTGTACATATCGATGTTCGAGCAACATAATGTCTGAGACTGCTGAATCTACCATCGACCTACCGCCTTATACTAGACACGGTTCGTCGATACTGTCCCATCCAGTTTTGTCGGTATCTAATCAGCCATACACTGGGTAGGCGCACTTGTATTTTGGTCGCAGTTTGGATCCTGGTCCTTTTCAAGAAAGTTAAGGGAGGACTGGCGTTTTTCCAGGGAGGTCTTGAGGACCAGTGACTGGAAATCAGTCAAAAGTGCTATACGAGCTCGCCAGGAGCTCACCAAAGCTTTTCAACAAGCCCGAACTTTGCGCTCTCAAGTGAAAGAACAAAAATTGACAAGCAAAGAGGCGGAACAGAGGATGAAATCAATCTTTGGAATTTTTGCTGAATCAATGAACAAGATAGAGCTTTGGACAGGTGAAGGATCCCCTCCAGCGCAAACGTATCTATTTCAGGGGCTAACAAACGCAGACTATCGGTTTGCGCTTACTACTGAGTTCGAATTTGTTGCCAAGGACTGCTTGAAATGATAATTAAGTTGCAATAGCGTGTCAATCCTCCTATTATCCTATCATCCGTACAGCACTCGCACATCCTTATCTCAGTGCCGCCAAAATTCCGATGAGGAACGGAGCCATGGTTGATTCTCTGGATAATGTGTACTTAGAACCTCTTTCATGGCTGGACGAAGCTAGCCATCCTGTAAGCAACGGTTTTGAAGCTACTTGATCATACTTCAAGGAGAACGGCGCAACTTCGAGGGGTGCAAGACACGCATAAATACTTAGTAAATTGCAACTCTTGTGTCTGTGCGGACCTGAAAGAGACCACTAAAGACGTTTTGTGGCTTAATGGAGGAAATATTGTCCTGGTTGAGGCTACCGCTGACATTGGCAGATCGAGACTTCAGCAGTAGGCTTAGTCGTACATAGTCTTTCTGGAGGCCCATGGCCGCGAGAATGGAGCAGGAAAAGATGCATTAATTACGGAGGATGCTTAAAAATGAGAGAATTTCTGGAATTCGTGTTGCCAGTGCCTCATGACCATCCAAAAGAGTGTCATTTACTGCGCAAAAAATAGATCCTTCACCATCAGCGTTCAGACCACTGCTGCTTTTTGGCCTGATCCAGCTCTTCCATCGCCCTATAATACGCATGGTACAAGGCCCATGAGTAACTGCGCAAGCATTCGAGTTCATAAATGAGATTTTGCCGATTGTTTTCAAGCAGCGATACCTGATCCTTAATTTGACAACCAAATGATAGAAAAATGTTCTTCCCTGGTGCCGTCTTGGATCGTCAGGCAAAGCTATTCAGACTTAGTAGGAATATGATGATGATGCAGAGTAGACTCACAGTAGCTCCCGTAATGGAGATCAGGGGCGATAGCTGTGGACGGCACGTTTCTGTTGGCGGTCATTGCGCAGGTTCCTTTGCAGGTGTACGCCAGTCAGGAGTCAAATGGGTTACGCTTGTCACGGGTCCGACTGCACCTTGGGTATTTATATCTCGGCGAGGAGTCACAGGATATCGTGATCCAGCATACTTCCAAACCTGCTCCCAGGATCGAAGTTACGCCTCCTAGAGCCCCGACTGCGTTCCTGGGGGCGTGAACGACCAAAAAGACGTGCTATTAAGAGAGATGATGTAACATACGAGGGGGATTATATCAATACCTTCTGGCTCTGTTATAATCTTGTCTATCACAGATGCCAACTATCAATAGCTCTACTGAAAAGCTGGGCGAGGTGAAATTCACAGTATCGTATATGCCGAGACCTTTCGATCTAGAGGGGAACTGCATGTTCGCCAGACAACTTGCCCAGGGAAGAGCCACGGCAGCACGTTGCCAAGCATCAAGCTAGCGAATAGGGCACTTGAAATCAAATTATGAACTAAGAGGTGCAGGTCTCGCCACTCAAGTCTTACGTTTGAGAATGCCAAGCCGAACTTCAGCCGTTTAGTACATATGGTGCGGACTCCCTTTGCACGTTCGTTGACTTTACTGAACTCACTCTGGGAATTTATCGCTCTACTCGGATTGGTTGTCATGGCCTGCTATGTATTAGAGAACCCTTCGATGCAACGCCTTTTCAGTTCGGGTTGTGTATGTACTTGGTCTTATAATATTAGATAAATTCTCGGTCGCTCAGAATCGCTGATAATTGCAAGGGAACTTGTCCTCACCTTATTTTTGATGGAAAGAGACAAATAGCCTCATTTTTAGCCCTTTCCAGTCCATACGTGGTTCTTGGGTCCACATACCTGTTGACTCAGATCGAGGAGAAAGGAATTTATGACCCCGTGAATAGCCTTCATTCTCTGGCGCACTTACCCCGGGCACTCTCAAAGGCGGATCATTAAAGTTGATCTCTGCAGTTATCTCGGAAATACTGAAAGCTAAAACACTGAGTGGGGGGGTGTCTGGAATATGCTGGCCGGTTTATCTGATGCTAAACGCCTTCGCAGCAAGGTATCGCCAATAGGGACATGACGATGCCGTGGCTAATGGCTTTCATGTAAAAGAGGTCCGCCCTTCCCTCATATGCCGTCCTCCAAGGTCCATTGTAAATGGAGATCCCACTAAGGATGAATGTGTCATCGATTTATGCAATCGCTGCGGGAGGCTGCTTTTTAGCTCTCTTCCTCATCCAGACCCGAACCACTATGATTGGCTGGATCGAGTCCTGCTCTGTTCTGATCTCTCGGCACCTCACACTTCCTGCTCTTGTCCACAGGCATCGTATTTGGGGCCCCTGGTCCCGGTTGAATGTTCTCATCTATTTTACCTACACTGTGGTCAATATCATTGTGGTATTCTTCCATACACACTCCGTCGCCCAAGCTGGCCGGAGAGCCGGAGAGCTGGCTCTCATCAACCTTATTTTCCCCCTCTCGGCCACTCACCTTGGGTACTTGGCTGACCTTCTGGGTATCACCTGGCACACTTGCTGTAAGATTCACCAGGCAACAGGTTGGATGTCTGTTGCTCTGCTTTCTTTTCACGTGGTTGCAGAATGCCAGAGCCGGGGATTCAGTTTTCCTCTTGGGGCAATACGTAACATATTTAGCCTAATTGTAAGTTTCCTTCTCGCTGTCATGAATTCAGGACTAACGCTGATAGGGGTCAATTTCCTTGGCCACACTTGCCCTCACCTCGCTCCCCTGGCTTCGTCGACGGTGCTATGAAGTCTTCCTCCGAAGCCACCAAGCCCTGACTGCTCTCTTTTTATATGGCACGTGGCAACATCTTCCAGACCAGAGTCGCTTGCCAAGATTGTACCTTTACGTGCCGCTGGTAATTCTGGCCCTTACTACATTCCTGGAGGTTGTCAACTTATGTTACACGAACGGGCTATTTTCGGGCCACGGTGCTCCTCGGGCCTTTGTATCCTTCACCCCAGAAAGATCTCTGACATATCCTAAGCTCAGAAAAGCGGCCCAGATTCGTCTGGTTCTGCCCAGATCTATCAAGATCGATGCGGGCCAGTATATCAACCTGTGGATGCCGTCAGCCGGATCTTGGTCGTGGCTTCAAACGCACCCTTTCATAGTTACATCGTGGTCGCGCGGAAGACATGACACGATTGAGCTATTTGTGCAGCCACGCGGTGGCATGACATCAGACTTACTGAGTCTTGCCGCTGGCGCTCCTGGGTGTCCTGTACCATTTCTGGCCATGTTCACAGGCCCACACGGTACTAGTGAGATTGTTGACGGGTTTGAAACCGTGCTACTGATTGCAAGTGGTTTCGGGATTGCGGTAACAATCCCCTATCTGAAAAAGATGATACATGGATATAATACCTGCACACTTCATGTCCGTCGGCTGCATTTGGTATGGCAGATAGAATCAATTGGTGAGAAGACCCTTCCGCTTTCAGTCAGACAGCACCAGCACTAACAAATTAGAAATGGTTAGCGCAGCCGAGGACCTGCTGAACCCCCTCCTGGAGGACGATATCATAGATAAAGGCTATGTAAGTCACTGGGTTCAAAATGGAAACTTCGTTGAATATTGACGGTAAAACGTCTACAGATTTTCAGCATTTCAATCTACGTCGAAAAAGGGCTTGCTCATGATAAGACGCCAATAGGAAAACATGAAAGAGCCTGCTTTTACCAAGGTGTACCCGATTATGACAAAATAGTCTCGCTCGAGGCATCGGGAGACCAGATCGAGAGGCTACCAAACATTCGCGATGAGCAAGGCCGGACCTTGGTGATGGGTAAGTGACCCTACTGTAGCCTGGCTCTATTCCATCGTATACTAATTTCTTTCTAGTTTCAGCGGCAGATAGACTTAGAGACCAGATCAAAAAGACCGTCAAGGGCTTTTTGCATCGTGGCGTGAGGCTTTCGGAGCTGGAATACCAGCCGGAGTAATTAAATGATAGGGAGATGGCATGGAGCAAACGCAATGAGTAGTCCCTAGCATATGATACTAATTGGAGCTGCCTTCCATGAACTTGGAAGAGTAGTAAAAGTGTGGTATTTGGGCAATTGAAATGCGATTTACGACGGAAAGACTTGCGGATTGGATCTCCGAATCTACCTGATCAGCCGATTTAAATGAGCTACTTAGTGAATTATGAAATCACCGGGGTCAGGCATTACACTTAAAAACAGCGGCTAGATCTTTATTGGTGATTCAATTAATTCAACTCTTTTCTATCAGAATCAAAACGCGTATCATTCAATAGCAGACAGAACAAAAGCTTGAACAATGAGGAACAGGAAGATCGTTGGTTACCGTACCGTGCATGGATTTTTTTTCATCGATCAAATTACCGCTGCTGTGGCTATCAGAGCAGGGGGTGCCAGTATGGAAATTTGACCTCTGCTTTAATCGTTCTTCATGGGCCCTGGCGTGTACGAGTAGAATGTGCGAGCGGAGATCAACGCGAACCATGCAAGTCCGATGAGACTCCCAGGGCAGCATGGAATTTCCGTCATCAGTCGTTGCTAGATATTATTAGTACCGTTTGAAAGCACTGTTGTGGAAAAAAACACAAGGGAAATAAACCTCTTTCAGTTCCTCAAAAGTGCTTGCCGAGGTCGTAGCGCAGAGAAATTCGATCGCAGCCGGGCAGCTTCTCCAGCGGTCGAGATTATCAATTCCTACTGCCCCATCTTCTTTGACATATTTTTGCATCAATTCCATCATAATTCTCGAGACTGGCGCCAGATCACTGGCATTGACTCTACCTCTTTGCCGGAACACACAGCAATCGATCCGTGCTACCGTGCCTTGTTAGGTAGGATTGACTTGGGAGGTAGTAATGTAATGAACTTACCGATTTTGACGTGCCCATTTAAATTCACGAGGACGCTAGAACAGTCCAGAGATGTGTGGTGAAAGTTGTTCGCAGCGAGATATGACAGCCCGTCAACGAGCTGTACATAATCAGCCTGTTTGCCATCTGGCAGATAGGTAAGATGAGGAACAAACCTGAGACATTATGGCTGCGAGCTCCTGCTCATCTGGGAAGGCTTTACAAGCGACGATATGATCCAGAACGAGAGGGTCAAAAGCCCCCAGCGTGTACAGAAGCTCCGGAGTGCGGAAATACTCCCTAATGGATGCCAAGTTCCTATGGCGCATGGAGCGGAGGTTCCGCAGAACCTTGTCAGCGTCCTCAATTGGATACTGGCGCGCCGCCCAGACGCCGCGGTCACCAGAGGACCGTACGCATACCGCGACGGGGCCGGCTAAATCACAATCGTAGTACTTTTTAAAAGTATCCCAGGGAGATTCGTTTCTGGCTGTTATGCCCGGCCCGATAATGCTCTGCCACTGCATAGTCTCCTGGCGAGGCGAGCTTTGAGGCCTCAATCGAGTTTTCTTGCCGGTGTGCTCCGAAGTTGAGGAAGTGATGGACCTCTTTCCAGGTGCAGGTCCTAGATGGAGAGGTTGTGGACCGGGCTCGAGGTCAGTTACCGGTGATGCTTCTGCTCGGGTTTGCGGCTGGGGGAGCAATGCAACTTGAGCGGCCTGGATTCTTGTCACTCTTTTTTCGCCGAGCTTTCGCATTATGGAAGGAATTTGGCCAAAGAGTTGAAAGCAGGAAGAGGAGCGTGAAACGCAAAGAGAGAATCTGGTCAGTTTAAACGGGTATTTCGTACGGGTGGAACACTAGGGTATTGGATCACATCTTCACCGGCAAAGAAACGCAGTGCCAACGTTGAGCCACCACAACAAGGGAGTCCAGATATATTTATAAAGGCATTCACGCCCGATAAAACCAAGCCAATTTTGAGCCCCATATTTATCCTGACACCATGACTCGACACGTCTTCACCGAGCAAGAGGTGCGGCTCGCAGCAGAACGACGACTCAAATACATTGTTGCTGCTAAAGTCAGCATCCGCCAAATCCAATTTGAACCTCCCTTGCCACGGGACTTGGACCCTAAAAATTTGGATCGGCCAGGGAATATCTTTCGTAAGAATCGTTGTCGCCGCCTCGATGTCCACAACCATGTGCCCGCGACCGTGTCTCGACATAACCTCGCGGATGCATTGCAGAAGGCGAATGTTCCACAGGAATCATTGCTGACAACGGAAGGCCGCCATATCCCCCGGCTAGAATTTCGGACGGGGCAACTTAGGGGTCTCCATGGTCGTCATCGCGTACAAGCTGGCGTCGAGGTACTCCCCCCCGGCGGATCGCTGGTGGACGGTTGATCTCTACACAGACGGTACGTGACGGACCCTTACCTTCCGCCAGATCGATATTGACAGTCCCACAAGACATTGGTGAAGAACTGAGAGCCGCGTTGGTGGAAGAATATTCCAATCAGAAGAAGCCGACCGACGGGGAGGTCTATCGCAAGGTCAGACAGTATGAAGGCGAGGGTAACGAAGCTTTCCGAGAGCGATGGTTCGTGAGACTATCGCCCAGCAATCAAGACCGTTTAGATCAACTCGACAATAAGAAGAATCGTCGTCTCCGACATGCAATTGACCGATTGCTAACGATTCCTGGACTTTGGCCAGGCGGAATGAGAATCAGCCTGCTTCATCGATTAGTTGCCTCGGGCTGCATTGAGGTGAGTTTCAGGCTCAAGCTGCTGTCTTTCCCTAGCTAACCACAACTCTCCATCTCTCAGGAGATAGCAACCTATTTTGACCACATCTTTGACTTCTGGTCTTCTCTGGTCGGATCGGATCGGCCTCTGATGAAGAAAATCGATCAGGATACGGTTCACACCCTGCAGTTACTGGCACCAGGTAAATCACGCACTGATGAGAGGACGGCTTGCGGGCTGGTTCTCAGTGGCCATGTGTTTGCCGAATTCAGTGCAGACGAGCGAAGCGCGATATGGGCCAGAATGAAAGGTTATGATGGCCTTATTCCGTGCGTGTACACTTTCTTTGAGGATTTCAAGTACCTGGAGAGTTGCGCTCACTGTCTGAAGCGGCTCTTGGGCCCATCCCCCCGACCTGTGAGGGAAGCCATGAGCTCGATGTTTGACCCAGACTCGGAGTCTGAGGAAGATCACCGAGAGAAAGGGAAGTGTATCATCCAGACCTCAGAGTCTACTTTCCGACGCCTGCGTGCCACCGAGGCAGATCCTGGGCAAAGACATAATATGTACATATAGCGATCATTCAGTATTCTTTGGAAAAGGGGCATCTGAGCCAGATAAAGAGAGCTTACCCAGTAGGCAGAAGGCGAGGCTAAACATGCTATAGAAGTTGAATTTGCGAGTAAGTGTCTGCTCATGGCCCATCAACGCCAGGTCTTGTGCGTCCTGTGCATCCTGGTCTGTTGATAGAGGGCACTTAATGGTCGGTGATGATTCCACATCCATTTTGCTCATGTAGTAGTCAGAGAACCAGGGAAGATAGGGGAAGGGGGAAAGACAAAGAAGAATGGGTATGGTATTCTGCTAGAGGGCGGGCAGTAAAAACCGCTAGCAGTCCGAGAATCCATAGCTAAAATACCTGGCCTCAGTTGCCGCCAGTCAAATCTAAATCATCATGTACGGGTATCCTCCAGGGAGTGTGGGGAAAGTATAAGTATGGCAAGGCCATATACTATTGCGGGACACAGAAACGCTAAGACTGGTACGCTACCGGCTTTGAAATCTGGGAGTCGTAGAACGAGGAGTTAATGGGTCAAGGCGGCTGAGACAAACCCACTATGAGGTGTCAGCTGGATTGCCACAGAAGTAGGACCATATTTTGCACTATGTCAAGAGCCTAGCGGCCTGTGCTTTCCGTCGCGATCGGGGTGTGCGGAGCAGCTGGTTAGATACAGATGGTGTACCCGAAAAACGTTGAAGGGTTAAGGTTGCCAGAGTTGCGGGGCCGGTACATGGCGACGCAAACCTACTGAAGGCGCCGGATAACTCAATTATTATCGCTGAAACTGATGAATCTACAACGGGGAAGGAGAACGAATGACATGCGATCACAAACCGGCTGGCCTGGCGCCTCCCGCGTGGGTCGGCCGTCTCCTCCGCTTTCCCCACCAGGACTTAGGGGCGTCTTGGAGCGGCCGCGGGGAAATTGCTTATGTTACGCATTTGTTAGGATTCTCCCTCTCCCCTTTCGGGTTTAGCGCCCCGACGTAGTCAGTTGTATATAAGGAGTTAGTCGTCCAATAGGAACACGGTGTGCTTCCCGACTCTCACAGCATGTTTTTGTCGGAATGTGTGGAATCTTGTCTTAGTTATCATATGTTGTATTTAGTAACGTGAATGTATCGTTCGGTTTATAGTTTGTCCGAGTTGCCATACAAAGCAATGTGGTAAGACACGGCGATCCAGACTAGATTACTATCTCAATTCGTGCATGTAACTGGCCCCCACAGCGTCTTACGATGGTTTTTTTTGGGGAAGCGTGGAACATCAGTAATTACTGTCATTCTTTGTATTTAGTTACTGGTAACTAATTAACTAACTAGTGAAGTGGGATAGAGGCTTAAGGCAGTCTGGCAAGGCGGGTCGAAGCGACCACGCAACCACACACACACAACTGCACAGCACCCAAGTAAGGAGAGACAGCATGGGAGGGAGGTCGCGATATGTGTGGGCTCCCCGAAGGTCGTTCTGCCACTACTATCGGCGTAGGATCCAAACACTGGGCACTGTAGGCAACGGGTAGCCAAAGCGTGCATAGCATGAGGGTAGTTGTATTGCTTATCTCTTCCTGGTGGCTACCTTGAGCACTACATTGCAGCAACTGCGGTACAGTTGGAAGGCGGTGGAACCGCATATATGACTGTACCAGTGGATAGAAACAAACAAATCTGATGTCGAGTACTGTTGTGATACGAGGCTGGTGCAGATCAGGAACCAAGCCGAACCATCGGAATTAATCCCGAAGTATGTATACGAAGAACCAAGTTGATTGGATATCAACTTGTTCTTCTCGTTGTACATATAGCCTCATGTTTTTCCTCCGAATAATTAATAACAATTAATACTTCTGAACTACAGCAAATGTATCTCGACTATCTATGGGCATTTCAACCTGGCCCATGACGTTCGTTCTTTCTTCAATCAATCAATCAACCTTGTCATCCGAAGATGGGTTCCGCTTCGTCTCGCCTTGTTCCTTATTCGCCCGAGAGGATTACTAGTCTATACTGTCTCAGTTTGCTCAGACACGTCTTTAGCCATCAAAGTATAAGTACGAGGATCTTATGAAACAGGTTGGTTCAGTTCGTGAGGCAGCCTCATTGGCCTGAGAACCATTCTTGGCCTCTCATTTTGACAGGCTTAAACCTATCTTAGGGGTCTTAAGTCAAATCATCCCCAAGAAATTCTTCTCCGCGGGCTGGTCGCCCGCTTGACATCTCATCTTGACTTTCCGCGGGCTAGGTGCACGCTTGGCAGACTTGGCGCTCTGGTTTTGAACTCGGCCGCTGAGCATTTCATTTCGTAACTAACTTAATTGCTGATAAGACCGTGAAGGATTCAGTTTGTGTTTGTAGAATGAGGTACTTAAAAAGGCCCTAGCCTCTCTGATTTCAACACCCCTTGTGGCACCATCCTTTATCCTCAATTTGCCTACTATTATAATGCTACTCCCCTTAGCCGTCGCTCTCTCTAGCAGCTTCATGTCATCTGTTATCGCTGAAACCATCCTGGGGATTACCGTTTACTCGCGACATGGCGACCGTATGTCCCCCATATCCCAGACTAATGTTGATCGCGGCTTAGACTGACTAAAACAGGCTCCTCCAAGCACTACCCCGGTTATATGTTGACCAATCTCGGCCTGCAGCAGAACTTCCAAGTGGGTTCTGACTATCGCGATCTCTATATCTCATCAGACTCGCCTAAGCAGATTCTTGGTATCTCTGAGGGCAAATATGCGCCATCGCAGGTCTCCGCCTCGGCACCAGACGAGCCCGTCCTGCTCAACACCGCTACGGCCTTCCTCCAGGGCCTGTATCCCCCACTGGACAGTTTTTATCGCTCAATAGCTTCACAGACTCTCAATAATGGTACCGAATATACTAATCCTCTCCATGGGTACCAATACATCGTCCTCCATGGCGAAGAAGAGGAGAGCCCCGATACCATTTGGATAAAGGGCGATGACGAATGTCCTGCCCTAACTAAAGCTGTTGACACCTTCCCGGGCAGCACTGTATACCAGGAGAGACTTGAAAGCACTAGATCCTTCTACCATGGATTCTGGCCTATTCTCAAGAACGTCTATGACCTCACCGAGGATGATATGTCCTATGATAACGCTTTCACCATCTTTGACCTCATCAATGTCGGATCCATCCATAATACCTCCATGAAGGATGCTGTCACATCCGATCAACTCTTCCAACTGCGCACTCTTGCCGACAGTTATGAGTTCGACGCCAACTACAACGCCTCACAGCCCGATCGCTCCATCGGCGCCAAAACCGTCAACCACGCCATCCTTTCCCACCTTAATGAGACCGTCACATCCAAGGGAGGCGTCAAGTTCTCTGTCCTGGCTGGAAGTTACGATACTATGCTGGCGTTCTTCGGTCTGAACCAGCTCACGGCTGCGTCGCCTAATTTCTACGGTCTGCCGGGCTATGCTTCCACGATGGCATTTGAAATCCTCACGGAGGATGATGTTTCTGAGTTCCCTTCCGATACTGACTCTCTGATGGTCCGGTTCTTGTTCCGCAATGGCTCTGACGCGGGTGCTCCGCTGACCCCCTTCCCCATGTTTGGTGGATCAGAGATGACCCTTTCTTGGTCCGACTTCAAGGCTGAGATGCAGAGTCGTTCGATCTCGACTGTTGCTGGTTGGTGTGACACTTGTAGAAGCACTCAGAATTTCTGTCTGACCGCTACTGGAGGCGATATCACGTCTGCTAAGGGAGTGACTGAGACCCAGAGCAAGCATGGAATGTCGAAAGCTGTTGCCGGTGTAATCGGTGCTTTAGTTACCCTTGGTATTGTGTGCATCGTGGCAGCTGTGGCTTTCATCCTTAGAAAGAGAACTTGTGCTGTCCCTGTGGTTACAGGTCCCAGTGCAGTGGAAAAGGGTAGCGCAAGTAGTAGCATCAGAGACTAAGCGGTGATCAATATACAACAGTTCAGTGTGAGACCTCGGAATCCCCATTCCGGACAAGAGACACAACCCAGGCTCATGACCAGCATTATGTACTGTAATTAGTTGCACTCTCACACCATCCTCAATACATATTGAGGTTCTGGTGAGGGGTTTAACAGGGCGGATGATTTCCCGTGTCCAGTGTCGGACCTGGCGGTGTTTCTGCTGCCTTCTGATAGTCATCCAGTGAAGCGGTTCAGATCCGCAGCAAATCACCATTCACGTACTTATATATTTTGGGAGTGACGCGCGACATCGATTGAGCCTCGCGACGAACACGAAAACTCACCACCACGATTGTCGAGACCGAAACGCACCACCAGACCACCTAACAACTATGCCCGAGAGCAGGAAAAAGATACCGAGCAGAGAAACTCGCGCTCCCAGCAGAGGAGAAATAACCAAAACAGGCCAGTAGCCCAACGTGACGCGGTAACTTCGGACGACTCCTCGGCAGAGAGCGAGGACCTGAACGCCGCCAAACTTGTGAAAGAGCTCGCCAAACTCAGGAGAGAGATCAGACGACGAGATGGTTTGCACAAGGAAGATCTCCGGAAAGTCAAATAATAATTTAGTGCTGCCCTCGCAGAAGTTCGACACGAGCTACAGACCCTGACAAATAGACCCCCCCACACCGCATTCCCACTCTGAGTCAAGCTCACAGAATGAGATCCTTCGCGAAATTCAATCCCTACGAACCTCATCGCCGACCCCGATCCTACAAAATTGCCCGCCCTATGCGGATATAGCTCTTAGCCCTCCAACCAGTCAACCGAGCAATATACGGACTCTCTCATCGTTGAACACGACACCGACCACCTTCACCGATACATTATATTGCACGATCGACACCTCGAAGAGGGTAAACAATGAAAATGAGAGAATGTCCGCAGGCCAGATCAGGGCGGCGGTTGAGACAGAGATCCGGGCAATGGAAACCCACATGAACTGGCGATGCCGCGCTGTCATTGTGGATCCAAAGAACACCAACCGGATTAGACTTGCTTGCCGAGATGAAGCTGAACACCAGCTGGTGAAGAAAGTGGCAGGAGCAAAGATCGGTGTAGGAGCCCGGGTGCTTCGTGACGAGCTTTACCCGATCAAAGTCGACAGCGTCAAGAAGCTGCAGTGCTAGATGAAAAAGATGAGATCCGAGTAGGAGCCGCAGAAGCCTTCAGCGAGGAGAATGAGACTACCTTCGCCAAAATCGCATTGCTCAGCAGAAAGGAGAGCGCGAAGGCCTATGGGTCACTCGTCATATACCTATCCAAAGGCACTGACACACGGAGGCTACTGACCAACGGGTTCTTTCACGCTGGGGGAGGATCTGGCGTAACCAGCGTCTTTGAATATCGACCACGACCGACACAATGCTACAATTGCCAGGAGATTGGCCATAAGGCATTCCAATGCAAGAACATCCAGAAGTGCGCAAAATGCGCCACGGAAGGCCACCACTACAGTAACTGCGGCAAAACGGTCCTTAAGTGCGTCCCAGGCGGAGGACCACATGAATCGTATAGCAAAAATTGTCGGAAACACTACCAGGCGCGACATGAATAAAACACTCCGAATTATCCAACTAAATGTGAGGGAACAGGGCGCATAATGAACGACAAAGAAGCTCAGGACGCAGTGGCGTTAGCGATTCAGGAACCCCAAGCAAGGAGAATTCAAGACCGGCTCTTAACAACCCCAATGGGACATCACAAATGGACGAAGATGGTCCCTTCCACACATAGTGAAGGCAGATGGGCAATTCGAAGCATGCTCTGGGTCAGTAAAGATGTGGAAGCGGAGCAAGTGTCGATAGAATCCCCAGATCTGGCAGCGGCGTTCGTCCGGCTCCCCGAGCAACTGACTTTTATGGCATCAGTCTACGTAGAGGGAGGGGATTCCTCGGCTTTGCGCGACGCATGCAATCACCTACGCAAAGCAATCACAAAGGTACGGCGAGACACAGACACAGTGGTAGAATCACAAACCGACCTGGCATCTTTCGAATAACAATTGGGCTATTGTGACCGTCGCGGCAATCGGCTGGCCGTACTTGCGAGGCTGCTTCTGCCGGCGAGTCCGTGCCACTCGGTGGTGAAATCGAGGAGGCATTCGGTCGGCTTGCGGCTGCATTGAGCATAGCATCAGGGGAAAATAGCTAACTTCATTATAGCCACTTGACAACATGGTCAGTTGGCTTCCAAACTATCTTAGTGATGAGAACGTACTTTGCAATTTCGTTCATCAAGTAGGCAATGGTGGCAGCTTTGAATCGCTGTCTGCATTTGGACACGGCGAAAGCGATTTGCCGTTGGATACGCTCGATCTAAAACTAATTATCAGCAGCTGGCGCAAGGTGGGTATTCGCAACTTGCCTTGCTCGCGGCCTAGATGAGATCCCACAATACCAGCAACAATACACCATCCCGATCGGACTCGTGGGAACGGCCGAACCAAGGCTGTGTTTCACTGCCCCCCCCCCCCCCATGTCAGCATGATTTCTGGTGACTGACGGTGGTACAGGCTTGCCGTCAATGCAGTCTACCATCAGCATAGGCAAACCAGAGACGAGGTAGCGGGCTCAGCTCAATTACACGTGCAGAGGGCCCGGGATTACTCCGTACTGCGGGGAATGGATGTGGGCCATATCTTCCAATGCATAGCCGTTTCGTATTTGCCGTTCCTGCGCCAGGCAAACCTTCAAGCGTGTTAGGAGAAAGTTTCACTGGAGGAGATATGATAGTATTTGGCCTAGGGCAAACTGAAAGGACTGCTCTCACGGCGAGAGATCTCAGGGTAGATCCAGTGCTGTAGCCTGGCATGTCGCTTGCTCAGCTACAACCAGGCTTGACAGCGCTGGCCCTCAGCTAGTGGTCCGTAATTTGATGCATCATTGGCTGATTCTGCTTTTATAAAGTCCGTGGTCTTTCTCGGTGGTCGTCGACGCTAGGCTTCTCTTTGTTGTCGTCGGATGCTGCGATGGCTCGCTCGGTCTAGCGTGGAACCGGCTCATGGCTGCCGACGAGGCTTCGGATCGGATGTTGGACGAGAGGTTCATAGCCGTCGGAATAAGGCAAGTTCCTAATACATTGACAGTTAACCTTTGATCGGACAGGGTAATGCCAGAGAGATGAAAACACTTTGGAATGTGACCGTATGGCTAGCCGGAGGGCCTCAACCCTTCCTGAATTGGGCCCGCTAAATACGGCAGGCGAAGTGGCCGTTTCGACCAAGTCTTTAGAAACAACGAAGACGCAAGCATACTGGGAGCTAGCGGCTTGGCCTATCAGGCTGGTGCACCTGGTTTAGTTTCAAGGACGATGGGGGAATATAGCTCGGTCATGTCGACTGCAATATTGACATTCGCCCTATGACGAGAATGAGACGTCAGCGATATTTCTGAAGAGCAGTGAGCCACAAACAGATAGATTCCACACTGAGATTCAAAACGCAGTCCCGGGCGTTGGAAATAGGCAGTGGTAACGCGTGGGTCAACTTACAAGACATGGGCTGGCTCTTGGTAGAAAAACCGGCTTCCTATACAGAGAGTCGTCAGCACAGGCTAACTACTCTCGAAACTGCCATAGTGAGCGAAACTTACTTTGCCAACTACTGCTGCGCATGGCATTCTAGTTTGGTCAAGTCGGCTAAGTCGTGGGTGGTTTCGATCTATGATAAAGCATCAGTAAGTAGCTTATGAGGACCCTTCATAACTCACTGTCTTCGCGACGTGAATTTATTATTGAAACTATTCCAGTTGCTTGAATTGAACTCCGAGAAAAACAGAGACGGATCTGGTATGAAACACCCTCCATGTTAGCATGATGTCGAATTATCGGGTAGCTAACCTTACCTGCCGTTTACGGATTTCGGTGTCGAGAATAGACAGACTAGGAGCGATAAAAAAGGTCAGTTCGATCACAAGTGCATCACAGTTTGGAGTCGGGTCAGTCCATACCGGAGGCAGCTGGGGAAGTCGAGAGGGGCTCGATTTTCTTTACAGGATGATATGTAGAGGAATATTTACGAACGATCGTTCTGCTGGCGACAGCTCAGGTACTTATAGCTTGTACCCAGACCTTATCTTTGCGCTGATGTCATCATTGCTGCCAATTGTGAGGGTCTCAACACCGCTGGCCCTCAAATTGCAGTTGACTTAACGTTTAACATTTGATTGAAGCAGTATTCGGCGACATCACGACTTCTTGTCCATTCTGTTGATGATTGAGTACATCCAAAAGCCCACCTCACTGTTGTTCTTGTTTCAACACGCAAGGTGATACCGCAGAAAAGTGCCGACGACACGTTCAACATTCATCAACGTAGGTATACACGCCATCGTGATAGGAGGGGCGGCAAGTGGTTATGCCATGTTATTCCGCTCACCGATGATGAGCGCATTATTTCGGTCAAAGAATGTCCTATCCCCGGATGATGCAAACACCAAGTTACGGATGGGCCTTTGGTTACGTGCTAGCCGAACCGCACACACGTTCATTCAGCCTTTATATCTACCACATCGCAGCAGAGTACATTTACCCTATCCCATTATACACTATAGTAGGTAAATACAAGTTATGGTGCGGCTTGGCCCTGCCATGTACAAACTTTTTATCAAAATTGCAGGGATCCACTTCTTCTGCACAGCTGATACGCGAATAGAAAAAAGTTTACGGGGGGAGCGTGGTTCTCTAGGCTATCTCAAGACTGATCTAGGCCTAGGATTATTGGACTAAGAGGGAATTAGGACGAAGAGCCAGCTCACATGACGTGTACCGTTCTGAATCGCCTGTACTCTTCAGTAGGCCGTCCTGTGACTGATTTCCTCTTGAGAGGATTTTCCCATGAGCCTAACCCTCTTGGAATAAGTCTCTTTCTAAGTGACCCTAGGCCTTGGCATGAGCTAGCTGAAACGGATCTATTGTCATCGTCCTTTGATGTTACTGTACCACTTACAATATGGTCTACCTAGGTTCATCACAAATGCAAAATCAGTCTCTTATTTTTATTCACCGCTGCAAAGACAAGGATGATGACAGACGGCTCTTCCACGAAAGAATAAGCGATCTAATAGCTCACTCCCTTTTATATAGGGACTTGGCTATGAGACGGGGCTGTGCGAATCAGTCTCGCGCCGTACCATATATTGTACTGTATTTACTTGATATTGTGTAGGTATGATGGATTTCTCCGATATACGAGGTAGGCAACGAAGAATCCTGTGGTACGGCTGGTAGAGATCTAGGGTCGCAATATGGCATGATGTCTACCTGTATTTGAGAAGGTGTTTATTGCGTGGAGTACGGGTTCATCACTGGTGAGTGAAATTTAAAGTAGTAACCTCGTCACCTTACCTTTCGCATTAAAGGGCAGACTCACAGTGTAAAGGGTGATAACCGTCGTTGGTTCTTTTCTGCGGCATCCTCATGGCAGTTGAAACAATGTCAGTAGCCAAAAAATATTTTCCGAGTTCTTGATCACCGGGAACAAAATGCAATCTCTCTGAGAGCTGCTTTGAATCAATGATGAAATGTTGAGCCAGTTATCATTGAAGAGTACTGTTTGTTTGAGCCCTCACAATTCAAAATAATTATCCCATTGAGGTAAGCTGACTGCATGGCTGAAATGCTATAAATACCCGGCTCGTCACCAGCAGAACCGCCGTTCGCAAGCATCTCTTTATCACTCCGGTAAAAGAATATCGAACAATTCTCGTTTCCGTGGCCACTATTTGGTATGTTGACTTCGAGATCGTTGACTTTGAGATCGTGCAACGAAATTAACTGACTTGTTACATCGCTCTAGCCTGGCTTTTCTCGACACAAGAGGTCTTCGAGCAGCAAGTGAGTGTAGCTTCCCAGTCGTTTAGATTCATGCTAACTCGGAAGATGCTCCATATCGGCCCGCCTCCGCTATCCCTCGGAGAACCCATTATGAGAACCTTTCTGGGCCCCGAATAGGCCAAGCTGCGAGCACAGTGAGTTACAAGTTGCCTTCATGAACTGCCTGCTGATGACTGATGAAAAATAGATGTCATCCTTTATACAGTCTCCTGCAGCGGACAACAATATCTGAGAACGTGAGTTTCGAACTTTGCAGCAAATTTTAAAGCAGATGTCATATGCTGATGACCCTCTG